GTTTATTCAATTTGTTACTCTCCTGATGGTACTACATTAGCATCTGGTAGTGCAGATAAGTCTATCCGTTTATGGGATGTTAAGACAGGATAATAAAAAGCCAAATTAGATGGTCATTCAAATGGGGTTAATTCAATTTGTTACTCTCCTGATGGTACTATATTAGCATCTGGTAGTGATGATCGGTCTATCCGTTTATGGGATGTAAAAACATCAAAGGAAATACTTAAATCAGATAGTAATTATAAAGATTTGCTTGCCCAGTTTAACATACCTCTTTAGAATAGCTCCTTATTGCCAAATGGTATTAATTATTAATTATTATTTAGTTAATCCTGATCTTACAATACTTAGAATATGCTAGAATCCTATTTTAGAAGCATCAGGAACACTTATCCTATAAGGACAGTTCATTAATCATTAAGGGAAAGATTTAAAACCTTTGTTTAAATCCAAAGGAAGTTGCTTTTTAGAAGACTTAAAGCAAAAGAAGTGAATTTGAATATTCATTAAAACATTGCAATTATAATTTTAATCATTTTCTTATAACTTTTTGCATAATATGTGTTTTTTGTTACTCTTTAAATATTTGGATAATATTGAGATGTTAGAAAAACTTTTATACATTCATATTTATAGATGTACAATACACTATTAAATTTATAATATAAACAGAGTACATAATTTATTCCTGTTTATAAACAGCTAATTATGATTACTAATAGTTTAGTATAATTTAGATTTTCAGTTCATAATAAACATAATAATACATTTAAGAACAAAGTTAAGAAGAAAGATACATTTCAAAAATTAAAAAAAAATATCCTTAATTTTAGAATGATCTTAAATGAAACAAAGTTAAAAAATTGTGATGAATGATTTTAACATTACTCTTCTCTAATCTAGGTAATATTTTGTAACCTGTTAAATATTATTTTCAATTGATATTAAAAGTATTAGATAGAATAAAGGACTGAAAAGATATATTAATCATCAATAAGTATTCTAACACCTAATAGGATTTAGAGATCATAATTATATCCATCCCTAACAATAATCTTAAATCAGCTCTATATGAATTACATCCAAAGGAGCTACTTTCAATAATAATTTTGCCTATAATGAACAGATTAATCACTAAGATCAGAACTATTTAATTTACCTCAAGCTGAATTTTTTTAGAAATTAATTAATATCTACAAAACAATAATACCAGTCAACTAATTCAATTTTATTAATTGTGTATAAAATGACAAAATTACCCAAGATTGGATTTCATAAACATAATTGAGAATATTAAGAAATAACAAAATTGTTCTTCCCTATAACTATGAATTTAACACTAAACAATAAATTTTTAAAATTAACTACATTTATTTATATTCCATAAATGTAGTATTTCCTCTTAAAAGTTTTAATGTTATGGCACAAACAGTAAGAGAGATAGAGTAGCTTGTTATAACAAAAAGGATATCTTTGTATTTTAGAATAAATTTGGTTACATCCATTCGGTGAAGAATTATTTTAATATCCTGTAGAAATGTTATCTTCAAATAATCGTTATAAGGATAACCCTTCAACTAGTTAATAGAATGTTCTTCCAGAAAGTGATATTTCTTTTCACTATTCGTAGCTCTACCAATCTAAAAATTTCCTAAAATCCTAATTTAGAAGCTTTAGGAGCTCTGGCCTTGAAAGGATAGTTTTTGATTATAGTGGATATTATTTAAGATCATTATTTAAATCTAAAGGTAGTTTAATTTTAGAGAAGGGTCTAAAATAGAATTAAAAGTCATTAAACAACTGTTAATTGTGAATGTTTACTCAACAAAATGGTTCTAAAAATTTTTTAATTTGTGTAAGTAGAATATCTGTAATGCTTCGAAATTCTTCAACTGAGAAAGAGATCTCTTATTTTCAGAAAACTTTACATATTTATAGAAATAATATCAGTTAAAAGCGAGAGTAATTTTAAACACAAGCCTGAATAAATCTAATTTAGAAAATGTTTCACTCTTTAAACTTACATAATTCTTAACCCTCTGTGAGTTCAGTAATTCAATGCTAAAGATTTAAATGCTTGAAAGTACTAAATTGAACATATGAATGTTTAATCATAAATGCATATCTAGGTGATTATTTGAAGCTGGTGATCATTTATTTTATTCTATATTTTAAGAAATCAACTATGCACAAGGTTAATGAGTTTCCCTTGTACAATTTACAATACTAAATCGCTTATCTATCTTCCATAATATTTTAATGTTAGATTCTTTTGGTTTGTAATATAAAACTCAAAATATAGTAATAGAAATTCATTATTAATTTTAAAAAAAGAAAATGTATTGTGTACAAGAGTAGGTTGGAGAGTTGTATAAGATTTTGTCTTTATCCAATGAGGTTGATGTTGTAGTCCTCCCTATCCTCATAGAGACATTAAAAAAGGAGAGAATTTAAGACTGCCTAAAATTTCTCTAAGAAGATCAAAACAAATTCCTTTTAGAAATAAAGAGTTAAAAGATAGAAAACTAATCTCTGCTTGAAAAAGTATAGACTCTTAATGGAGAGAAGAACATTAAGATAATAACAGGTGTCCTCAAAACATTTAAGGATCATGACTTTAATACACAGAATTACTCTATGAATGATTATGAAGAATTTAAAAAGATCTAATCAAAAAAATATCATTGAATAAGAAGATAATAGAATTCCTAAAATTTTTAGTTAATTTGACTGCTTTAGATGAGACCTATATTTGGTGTGGATCAAATTCTCTTCATTTGCTAGTTTAAATGAAAGTGGATTTGAGGGAATAAAATTTTGAGAATATCAGGATAAGAAATACCTCTTTAGTTGGTGGGAATTTTGTAAGATGAATATTCAATGGATCAGAATTTGATGGAATGAACTTGAATTAAGCTAAAATGTTTAATTGTAATTGGAAGAATATCAAGATACATGAGTTAAATAAATTAGATGGTCATTGTGGAATAGTCAATTAGGTATGCTTTTCTCCAGATGGTAAATTATTAGCGTCTTGTAGTGATGATAATTCGATTATATTGTGGGATGTTAAAACAGGAAAAATAAAGTCTAGAATCAAGGTAAAGGAAAAAGGAAAATCAGTATGCTTCTTACATAATACTTTAACAGTATTATCTTCTAATAAAATGAGTAGGATGATTCTTTTTCAAATATTGTTGATGACATATGTAAATGTTTAACTCACACCTGAAAGTAGAATAAATTTGTAAGGGTTGGCTATTGGTAACGAATGCACTGATCCAACTGTATGTACACATGCAGCTAGGCAATTCTAAGTTCATTTTTTTCACTAAATTGGAGGTATAATTTTATAAGTGAAGAATTATATGAAAAGGTAAGAAGTGTGAAAAATAATGTGTTGAAGTCAAAAACTGATATTGGGGAAGTTGAAGAGCAAATTACAGGAAAGGAATAAAATTAAAAGCCAACCAATACAATATGTATGGACCATGTTACACCTATACTCCTGAAGGAAGTAAAATAGCATCAAGATCTCACGGCTTGATGTCAGATACTGAGGATGCAGATATTCCTGCATGTGCTGATATTTGGATTATAATATCATTTAAGGTCGAATTAAGTTAGGGATGTAAAATTTCGATTATATTTGAGTTATTAAACATTAAATCAGAATCAGCAGAATGGGAAGTTTGCTCAAAGAAATTTGATGTTTATAAAGAAAATCCAAAAGAGTCTTATTATTTATATGAAGAAATTTTTAGCATTAAATTAAAGTCTTGATATATAGTGGTGACGTCGATGGAGTAGTTCCTGTTACCGGAACTATGTATTGGTTTAATAAATTGCAGAAAGAATTATGTATCATATTAATATTTATTGTATCAGCTTTGTTAATTTAAACCTTTGGAGGCCTTGGTTTGTACCAGGAAAGAGAGATGTTGATGGAAATTAAAATGATGGGTAAGTGGTAGATTTGGATGGTTTAACATTTATGAGGATTAGAAATGCAGGTCACATGGTACCTCTAGATAAAAGAGAAGAAGCAGAAATATTTATAGCTAAGTTTGTAAAGCATTTATTCCCAAGAATTGATTGATTTTATAAGTTGTAGCTTTTTAAAATAAACAATAATTTAAGGATTTGCAATAAGCAATAAACTTAATTATATTAATTAGTAAAAATAATTTAGGATTTTGATTGAATATAAATCACATACATTTGAAAATGCATTATCATACTTTTCCTATAATTTAATTAAATGCCAAAATCAGTTTTATAATTAAATATTTGAGAGGATCCGTACTATTTTCTTCATCTAATTCTGGTAACAAAAATTTACTCTAAATTCACTGCTGTGATTCGAGTTCATAATTATACCCTGTTCTGCCTCTGAAAGTTGCTCCTATTAAGTTAAGGGATATTTTGTAATGGCAGATGCTTTGGTTCAAATATTATGTATGAATACTCCCTTTTGGTGACAATAACAGCTGTCAATATTAGCAAGAGACATTAAGAACATATATACTTATATTACCAATGCTAATATTCTGAAAAATGTGTAGAATTATCTGCTGGCAATACTTGCTTATGATTCATACCTGAATTACCTTTCAATTAAGCAATGAACACACTCCAAAATTCTAACAAATATCTGCAATCTTCATCAGAAAACTCAACCAGCAGGGTTCTAATATTTATGTTATAATTATTAATTGTTTTTTGTAGATTGTAAATTGTACTATATTTGTGGTTCATATTGTATTGATTTTTATATAGGAGGAGTTTGGACATCTAGAGGCGAGTGCTGACTTTGCATATCATGAATGTTATCCTGTTTACAGTGTCCAGCAAATTTGAATCATTTAAGTGGTTGTAGATTTTAATTATTTAATCGCATGGACTAAAGCAATTCGCAAACCTGTGATAAGCAAAGATATACCTCTTACGATTCTGTTCAATTTTTTTAGAATAATCAGCTACTTTGCTTTGAGGACCAGTTTAGGTATTTTGTCAATAGTAATTCTTAATATTGAGCTTGGCTTATTTTTTATTCCAAAAATCATTAGAGCAAAAATGATTGACATATAAATTTGTACTCTATAGTGAAAAGAATAACATAAGAGAGCCAGTTATGTAAAAAGTAAACTATTCAAACATAATTGATCACAAATCTTGATTATTTGTTTATGTAATACTTATTTACAATATACTCACAAGTGAGGTATTCTACTATTATCTCTAAAGTTCAGGTCTAAATCTATTACAAACTCAACTATATATAGCCCTATTTTTAACGAAATGATTAATCTGCTTTAAACATTCTGATATCTTGATAGATTGCTACATAAAGTTGAGAGCAGGATTTTCAAACAAGAAACTCAGTTGATATTAAATTAGTTGTAGATTAACCCAAGCAGAGTGTGCAAATGCCATAGTCAGTCCAGCAAGATCGAGCATAAGTCTCTGCAAGAAGATGCAGTTCAGAATGTAAGATATATATTTAAAAAGAATTTTTTTTAAGAAAAATCTAGGATTAAATATGATGCATAACAATGGTTCAAAGAGATTTTAACCTGGCATACTATGCTCTATATGGATAATTATAGTACATTTATTGATAGTGTAAAGGGATGCAATTTTATTATTAATTGAATTAAATATTAATTCATAGTGCGAGTAAAGAATATCAAATGAAAAGTATATTCCGAAAGGAAAAAATTTATGAGCAAAATTAACAATCAGATATATGTATAATTCATGGCTTTGATCAGATTCCTTAATCTTAGCGTACTTACAAGAATAATTTCAAGTATCCAATGGAGGGAGAGATCATCAAATCCTCGGTTGATTAAACATTAGAATTTGCACCTCATCTGTTCGCCTGATAATTTGGAGTTATAAAATTGGTAGGAGTAAGTTCCAATAAGATGTTAAAGCAGACAAAATAATGTATCCGCATAAAGTGAGTACATTGACATCCTAAAATTTATTAAATAGTTGATGTCTTTTAACTAGAAACAAAGAAGCAGCATGACATTCAGCGTTAGGTTTTGGACGAGACTGAACTGCAAGGGTTCAATATTGGCAGCAAAGACTCAATCTAATATGTAAAATAAAGAGCAGCTTTGCATTCATCTAAATATATAAAATGCAAAGTTGCTTGACAAGTATAGTATTTACAATAGTAGACGCAAATACAGTTTATATTGAACTGAAAATTCTTAAATATATTTACATTGATCTTTTATTGTTTGCTTTTCACAAGCTTTTTACTTTAAACCTAACATAAGTTATATGCTTAATTATATTCTCCATCATCGTTAACTCCAATATTAAACTTGTTATTTGCTTCTAATCGATATTATTATTGGCAATTTTTTAAATAATTATTCCGCTATTTAATATCCCCAACCACCAAGTCTTTTGCCATTTTTATTTTCGTTGTTGCCAATTATTTAATTTTATTATACAATCCCTCATACATATCTATTCTCAGTCTAATTCTTCCTTGCTCAATTGACTTCATTGTTACTTTTTTAATAATGTATATAATAATTAATTCACAGAATTCCCTTGTAAATAAATACTAAATGGAACTATTATTACTTTGAATGCAAATTCAATATCATAGTTGCCTTTAATTTACTTTTTAAAAAATAGATAGGCAAATTAATATTAAATGAGAAGTTCAATAATAACGAAATTATTATTTAAATCAAAGACAATTACAGAAAAATATTACTTGATTATTTGTATCTTTTGCACAAGTTTAACAAAAGGATGATTTTGTTTAAACTAGGTAATAAATCTTATAGAATAACTTATCCGAATTACAACTTGAACTTGGAGAATTCAGTATAATGTATAATAGAGGGATAATAACGAGAAAAATTAGGTATCCAGATTGTTGATGTAAAGATAAATCTTTAACTTCCAATAAACTAATCGGATTTTTAATCTTTAGAAAACATATTCTAAAGTATTGTGAGCCTAGATCCTAATTTTTTTTAATTAATTAAACTTGCCTTCAGGGAAACCAAGTAAGATAACGCAACTAAACATACTCTCAGAATGACAAGTTGGAATGTTGGCTCAATAAAGTAAGGTACCAGCCAAGTAGCAAAAGAAAACAACGGCATATTATTGTTCTATAGAAGATAAAATCTATCCAAAACTCTCCTTCATTCACCTTTGGTCATAAAGAAAGGAAGTCTAAACACTAAAGAGGAGTTGCTATAAAAATACAATCATATTTGACTTGACTTGGACAAGTTATACCTCCTAATCTAACAGATTATGACTATATTGCTATTAATTATAGGAACAGCTGCTTAGAGTTGATCATTCTAAATTTCTACTCCCCTAACAAATAAATATTTAATAAGAATAAGAATTTTTTAAATCAATGGATATAAGATCTAATGTTCAATAAAAAGTAATGTTAAAGAATCATTATAAGTGGATAATAACGCACGGTTTGACTAATTGACTAACATTATGGAATAATCAGACCTAGCATTCACTAGAACAATCCGAGGGAATATAGTGAAATCTCTTAGACTCCATTTGTTACTCAGGACAAGCATACAGGTTAGTAAAATCTCCTGTTTACTAAACTCTCAGATCATGCAAGAATTAGCCTTCAACTATCTCTATAAGGAGTTCAAAATTAAAAAGAACATAGGATTGGCTGGATTAGCATTAAAATGTCATGATTTTTAAACATAGCACAACCATGTAAGATACAATCTAAGAAAACGACAAGTTTTTAAAAAAAATTCGTGTTAACTTTACCAAATCAGGCTAAAGGAAAATAAACGATTGAAGAAGAACTTATGAAATTGACTACATTACTTAATCAGCCAAACACCAAGTAGGCCTTCTAAAATATAAAAAGAATGGCAACTCAAAAAAGGAAGCTGGTATCTTTAGATGCTTCTAGGATGATCAATGTAATATACATACTCATTCAGATACTGAAAAAATGTACTGCAAGAATTAGACGGAATTTTGCAGAGAAGTGTATATCGGCCTCTCACCCTTACTAATTTGCCATTATATCGAATGAAGAGATTCAAAAGCTATAAAAACTCACCTCAAAGGATAAAGCTATTACTATAGATGGTATATCAGACACTTTTATTATATTCGGGTATATCCAGAAATACCTTCAAAATAGCAATTCAGACCTGTCACAATACTTAGCCTTTTCAAATTTTTAGAATTAAAACTTTTAAGCAAGATTTAAAGATTTCGCGAGCAGCATCTAAAATATGAACAAAATGGCTTCATGCCTGATAGAGGAACATAAATAAATTTAGAGAAATTGGTTTCTTACTTAGAAAATGAGAACAGAAAGGAGAGGAAATTTGTAATCTTTATAGATTTTTCAAATGCATATTGCACCATCATCAGAAACAAGTTATTTTGCATTATGAAAGAAAAATAAGTTTTAAACTTGAACGAATTAATATATCTATACTGATAATACTTAAGACCCTATTAAAAAAAGAATTTGGTGGTTTAAAAATGCAGTCGTTTAAGGATCCCCATTGTCACCATCACTATTCAATATTTACTTGGATGAATTTTTATAAGATTTATCTTCAAAACTGAAAAAGGAGCTGAATGTTAGAGCCTATGCAGATGATATAGTTTTTATTGTATACGATAAAGCTGTGGATCAGTTTATTTTTTTATTCGAGGAAATTAGTAGATAATGGAACTTAAAATTAAATAAAGCAAAGTCAGGAAAATTTCTTATTGGATAATGTAAATCCAGACCAGAAAATATAGAGGGTATATCAATCTTGAAGAATTATAACCATCTTGGAATCAATCTAACAGATAAAGCTTCAACATCTAACTAGATTAGCAAAATAATAGATAGAATTAATAATTTCTCCAATAAACTCAAATGAATCTCCTCTAAAATAGATATCAAGCAAAGAAGTATCCTTTTGGAAAATTTAAATAAAATCATTATCACCAAGTTGAATTTGGCTATTTAAAACAACCCTTAAAATCCCCAAAGAATGGTATCATAAAACAATAAAAAAAATTTCTAAAGACCATAACCAAGAATGCCATAATCGACACCAAATCGTATCATTGATATATTAATCAAAATAAATCGGTATAGCCAGGTTCCCAAATACCAAATGATTTATACTACTAATAAGAAAAAATATGCAAAATTCATAAATGTAAAGCGAATGAATAACATACAATTGAATAAGATTCTGGGCTCAAATTTGAAGAATTAAAGTCAATCTTCCAGGGGAGTATGTAGAAAAGCAAAGCTATCAAGATGGAAAAACGAATAGAACAAGCAATGTTATTGATTTTTTTCAAGCCAAAATTACAAGTTTTATAATAATTTTTTTTGATTCTGATTACTTTTTGATAATAGATCAATATGTCTTTTTAAACTCTTTCTGCGTTTTTAGGAGAAGGTCTACGCATTTCATGCTGAAAGTGATTATATTCAAATGTTCTGTTTGATCTTCTAGTGTATGCTAATTCTATAAGGAAATCAAACATATCATCCTAGAAATAATCTGCCTCTGTTTTATCCATTTTGAAATGTTCAGCTTAATCGCAATCAAACCATTTCTAAAATCTAAGAGCACATAAAGGAAGTAAGCTTATTGTGATTGATATGTTGGGTATGGCATATACACTTTTTGTTTTGGTGATAATCCAACTTGGAAACAATTTGTTCTTCCAGTAGGATTAGTTCCTCTAAATGAGAATAAGCAATCTTCAAGTGCTCCTAAATAACTATTCAAATTTAGAGTTTTACATCCTTCGAATAAAATTGTGTGACAATCATCATGTTCCATCAAAGAATATTTATTTGCTATTGAATCAAAATAAAAAAACTATTTATTGGATAAATTCTACCTTTGTACACAATCTAAACCAATCATTTAATAATTCTTTTTCCAGACTGAATCTGTTCTCAAGATAAAGTCTTTCTAGTAATCTTTCCAATTAACACCTTTCAATGTTAAATATACAATATACTTTTGTGCGAGAAATCGTAATTGGGTGGCATTTTATGGAAATCTTTTTGCAATGTAACAAGGAGAGGTTGAGTAGCCAGAAAATTTAATTAAAAATAAAATTTGATTTTCATGATTTTGCTCGATTAATGTTAGAATTACAAAATATTCAATGAGATTTACTATTTAAGATATAGGTAAATAATGAATATAAAAATAACACCTTTACTATTCCAGCCTTTAACTTAATTTCCATTTTTATTTTAATTATTAACTTAAAGTATTTTTTAATTCAGTAATTTAACATAAAATAGAATCTCTATTGATTATTTTATTTGTATTAGTAAAAAATGGGAGATGAAATAATTTAGGAGAAAATCCTTCAGAAAATATTAGAAACGATTTTCAAAGTAAAATTACCCAACAAACTCAATCTTCCCTGAGTATTTTAAAATGGATTCTCTTTCAAAGTTAAATGTGGAGAAATGAGAAAAACATAATGATAAATTTAGTATAAAGATGGAAAATAAAATATGCCATTGAATTTATATTTAATAATATTATTCTATTCAATCAGGTTGAGTCTTGTTATTTTATTCTTGATTGTATTAAATAAACTTTAATTCTTAACTATTGAAGTCATTAAATTACCCATTACTCTAATAAAATCTATGAAAGCGAGAAAAAATTTCTAAAAACATGAATAGAATGATTTTAAAGTAGGAGCAATGATGATTTTTGCATCCAATTGAAATATTGCCTCATTTTGTAATAGCAAATAGTCTTAAATAGTAGGATATTGCCATTGTATTTATAAAAATTTTGCTTATTTAAATTCATGCCCTTAAAGCATTAAGGTAGTAAAAACTCACATACCCCTAGACATTTAATATATTTTCATCTACTCTAAATATCTACTTCTAAAAATATTTGATGTAATGAAAAAATAGCTTCATAAGTGCTTTTTTATAGAGATTATGTATTTTTGCAACAATTAGATATTATCATATTATTGAAAATATATTAATGTAAAATAAATAATATAAAAAACAAAAAGGGAAGCTTGAATTTTCTGGCTGTTTACATCCTTGAGAAATAGAAAGATATGTGGAATTAAAACACGGTTTATAAATATTATAAAATGGCACTATATATACTGGATACTATACGTGAATCATTAACATATTCATTTTTATGTATGCAGATTAGAATACTCAGCAACCAATTCTTTAAAAATTTAATGCAATTCTATATCTGGAAAATCTGAGACAGGATTAAATTTTTTATATTATTCATTTGCAACATATGCGAAATTCTGAACTTTATTTTAACTCTTTTGAGAATATTTATAACATTATAAAGTTATAGTAGTTTATGGGTAGAAGTTTTTTAATTAATGAACTTGATTTAGTTTTGGAGATAACCATGTCATATCATTTTGATTGCATGTAAGTGTTTTTATCGGATTCATCAAATGTTTAGCATTTGATAAAATTGCGTAAATGCTTATATCAATAACTCCTTATAAGACCTTAACCAACCCATATTATCCTGCATGATCATGGATTGATGAATAATGTTTAAAAGGCCAAATTTCTAACACAAATTAATGTCCTGCTGAATCTTTATTAAAATGACCTAAGCCCAACCTTAGATATGACATATAGGGATCTAAACCATTCTGTTAAGCGGTTGCTTTTTTCTTTTACAGTATTTAGTTTAATTTGCATCCTGGGATTGTAACACTATGATGAATCAACTCTCCTAAACCAAATCTAGCTCCCTTCTATGGATATTAAGAGCTTTCTGATTATTCGATTTTCTATAATTCAACTTAGGATGCTGATTAGTATAAATCCTCGATTTCAGCTGCCAATTGTTTAGCTTATTTTCCTTAATTCAATTGAAAAATATTTTAACAATTTTGTAAGATTACCTCACTAAGTGATGGAATAAAATGATCCTTTGTATGAATCCTAACTGGTCTTAGCGAACCCTTGTGACTATACATCAGACTTGGTAAGATATTTATGGGAATGGATTCTTGCCAAATTACAACAGATGTGATTGCCTTGATATTTTTCTGAACTGACTCCATTTTGTAAATAGACACTTAAGTTTCTATCCTTGCCTCTCCATATCCAATCATCAAATCTAAGGTATTTTTATTCAAATATATCCATATTCCTTATGCATCCACCAGTTGATCTTTATCATTTGTAAACATAACTATTCGTTTATCAGTAAGTTTGACGGTTGCTTATTATGATGTAATAATCAGTTGGTTTTTTTTATATTAAATTTCCAGACAATTTTATAGAGCATAGTCGAGGTACCTAAAAATAATTGTATTCAATTATTGGAATTGAGGCTTTAATTCTTATTAAACCATTTGGGGATTTAATTCAATTATTATTAATTTCTCATCTTATTCAAATGTGAGATCAATTCTTTAATCTAATACTTGCGATTGAAAAACTGCCTCCTCTGTTGACATTTTGTTTTTACGAAAGTAATAGAAAATAATTAATATTATGATTTATAATGTGTTAATGAATATTTAAAATCGAAAATTTTTACCAATTGAAAATACTCTCTATATTTTTGTTACAAATAAAGTAACCTGTCTAATTTGTATTAAAATTATATTTATTCTGCTTCTGCATTTCTGGAATAAATCATTCTTGAAAAAGGATAATTTGATTCTGATAATTTAAAAAGAAGTTAAAACATTGATTAATATGAATTTTTTTCAATAGTATTATTATTATTATTAGTATTATTATTATGCATTAACACATGAATAAAAATTGACCTATGAAAATTTTCAGCGATCAATTTCATCAATAACTACAAATCTGATTTGGATTTTGACGAAGAAATAAGATATCTATATCAAAAATAATTTCTTATTAGATTAGAAATGACAAAATTATCAGTTGTTTAATCAATCTATTGGCAATGTAGCGTTTCTGGAATTATCTCATATCTTACTTGTTTGATTTTAGTTTCTATTTTCAATAAACTTATTGTCAATTTGAAATTATGAGAGAAATTAATGATAATTTCTTAAAGAAAATGTATAGCGAAGATTGAAATAATATTATAAAATTTAATATCATTAAATTTCTTCATTGTTTTGTCTAAAATGATTGATTTTGAATCCTGAAAAAATGTGAATAAAATATGCAAAGACAAAATAAATTTCTATTGTTAGTAATTGGATGAACAGGAATATCTAGCAAATTAAAGGAGAATTAGCAATATTCTTATCAGCCCATGTCATAATTGTAACCTGGTAATTAGGTCTTCTATTTTTATGACCACATTAATTCTTCGATATCAGGCATTATTGTAGAATAAGAACTGATGGAGGTTGCTTTTTTTTATGCATTTCCGCAACATCATTAATCCAGGCTGTAATTTCCTTTGGATTATATCAACATTTTCAATTGCACGTTAGTTGTATTTTTACTTCTATTTGCTACTATGAAATATTCTCTCCTCTATATTCTAATATAGCCTTTTTGAATTGGCTAAGAGCAGGTTTGTAAAATTATATAGTAAGAATACTAATGTAACTAAACCAAGTGTCTCAGGTTGGCCATCAGGTCTTGATATCTTGATGAACGTATCAATATCGTCTATAGCCAGTACATAATCTGGTATAAATATTTTAATTTGCAGCGACATACTTTAACAATTATTTGACTTCTGCACCTACTTATAAATTAAATAATCATTTGGATTATAAGCATCTTCAGGCAAAGGAACCTTTCGGTTTTAAAACCTAGAACTTTATGCATCTTATGGAGCTTCTTAGCTCCTGCTTAATCTAATAGATTTTCAGTAAAGACATTAAATAATCTTCATCTTCTTCACCACTATCAATTTCAACACTTTATTCATCCTCCACTACATATTCCTCATCATTATGTTAATTATCGATTTCCTTAACTGTTTCGTTACGACCAAAACCATAATCGTTCTGAATTGATAGGATTGAGATTTACTTTTTACATTATTAATTTCTTTTTTAATTTTTGATAGTTATTGAAATTAGGGTTGTGAATGTGTTACAATTAACCTTAATTTTTGTATNAACTACAAATCTGATTTGGATTTTGACGAAGAAATAAGATATCTATATCAAAAATAATTTCTTATTAGATTAGAAATGACAAAATTATCAGTTGTTTAATCAATCTATTGGCAATGTAGCGTTTCTGGAATTATCTCATATCTTACTTGTTTGATTTTAGTTTCTATTTTCAATAAACTTATTGTCAATTTGAAATTATGAGAGAAATTAATGATAATTTCTTAAAGAAAATGTATAGCGAAGATTGAAATAATATTATAAAATTTAATATCATTAAATTTCTTCATTGTTTTGTCTAAAATGATTGATTTTGAATCCTGAAAAAATGTGAATAAAATATGCAAAGACAAAATAAATTTCTATTGTTAGTAATTGGATGAACAGGAATATCTAGCAAATTAAAGGAGAATTAGCAATATTCTTATCAGCCCATGTCATAATTGTAACCTGGTAATTAGGTCTTCTATTTTTATGACCACATTAATTCTTCGATATCAGGCATTATTGTAGAATAAGAACTGATGGAGGTTGCTTTTTTTTATGCATTTCCGCAACATCATTAATCCAGGCTGTAATTTCCTTTGGATTATATCAACATTTTCAATTGCACGTTAGTTGTATTTTTACTTCTATTTGCTACTATGAAATATTCTCTCCTCTATATTCTAATATAGCCTTTTTGAATTGGCTAAGAGCAGGTTTGTAAAATTATATAGTAAGAATACTAATGTAACTAAACCAAGTGTCTCAGGTTGGCCATCAGGTCTTGATATCTTGATGAACGTATCAATATCGTCTATAGCCAGTACATAATCTGGTATAAATATTTTAATTTGCAGCGACATACTTTAACAATTATTTGACTTCTGCACCTACTTATAAATTAAATAATCATTTGGATTATAAGCATCTTCAGGCAAAGGAACCTTTCGGTTTTAAAACCTAGAACTTTATGCATCTTATGGAGCTTCTTAGCTCCTGCTTAATCTAATAGATTTTCAGTAAAGACATTAAATAATCTTCATCTTCTTCACCACTATCAATTTCAACACTTTATTCATCCTCCACTACATATTCCTCATCATTATGTTAATTATCGATTTCCTTAACTGTTTCGTTACGACCAAAACCATAATCGTTCTGAATTGATAGGATTGAGATTTACTTTTTACATTATTAATTTCTTTTTTAATTTTTGATAGTTATTGAAATTAGGGTTGTGAATGTGTTACAATTAACCTTAATTTTTGTATTTGAATCTATATGTTTTAAACCAATAAGAATGTTAGACTAAAAGTATTTAATTATATTAAATAATGAATGATTGTTATTTCGAATTAGAATCATTAATTAACGATTTACCATAACGAACGCTTGCATTAAAAATGCAATAATTATTTTATGGAGTAATAAATCAAGAAAAACAAAGTAGTCCTATTTTAGAGGTTGAAAAATATTTCCGCAAAATGATAAAAAAAATTGAGTAGTTTTATTGCAGAAGATTACAAAAATTGGAGTATTTTATTTCAAAAAAAGCAGACTCTCAACTAATTTTGTTATGCATAAATAAATATTTAGAGACAAAGCCTTGGAGAGAAAATATGGATTATACAGCTAAAGCAACTAAGCATAATAAAATTGATGATAAAAATTGTAATCAATTCATAAATTTTGACAATATTAAAGAGGAACATAATTCAAGCAAAACATCTACACCTTTTAGTCATTATACAGGAATTCCATCTATACCCAGGGATTCATCATTAAATTAAGCAATATTTTTAGAATATGAAAATTCATTAACATCGTCGTCATCATTTTAACAGGACAACTAAGATGCTCAAATAGATATTTCTGAGATCTAATATAAACTCTAATAATTAGTAGATAAATCACCAAAAAAGATAAGTGTAGTTAAGAAGAAACAATAATTAGTAGATTTAAAAGATAGCGAATTAGAAGAGTTCTCTGCCTTATCACCTCCTCATTAAAATATTTTGGATTGCAACATCAGTGATATCAAATCTGGTTTTGATTCTAGATTGATTTCTTCAAGATCACTTCTAAAAGAATCAAATAATCAAGGTAAGTAACCAAAAAGTCCCTAATAAGTTCCACAAACAAGAGAGTTTGAGAGCTTATTTCAAACTTATTAATCAACGAAAGAAATTATTAAGTATGTTGAATAATATCATTAAATGCAATAATAATAGCAAGTCCAATAACATCATCAGTAGAGTTTTAAGACAAAACCTAGTCTTGAAGTTAATAACGTATTGTCATGTTTTCAAGATAAATGGTAAAGTCCCTCAGCCAACAAAAGATATCGCGTGAGATCTTCTTATCAAAAAGAAATACCATCTTAAAACAAACTAAAAGTCAACACTTCTCATGAAAATTTTGAAATTCGAACCTCTAAATCTATTTAATCAAAGTAAAGGCATTTTCAACTATCTTCACCACTAAATGAATCCATGAATTAATTAAAGCAAAAATAATAAAATTAACTCATATAATAGCAATCATTATAATAAAAGAAAAACCTACAAAGATACCAACCATAAACATTATCATCTGCCTTATCTCATCTATACAAAAGATTTTCCTATCAAAAACAAAGTTCATCTGTGGTGACTAAGCGATCTACAAAACAAACAATTAGCTATTCTCTAGAAAAAGATCATTAAAAAAATACATGCAAATTAGTTGATTATTTAATAAACTATTGAAATTTATATATATATATATATATAACTCTATTAAATCAATTCGAATGCTTTAAGAATTAGACTTCTGTCTTTTTTAGAGAGTATTTTTTAAATTGTGGATTTGAATTAAGAGAATCATCAACCTTATAAGTCTCATCTGATAATTTTTCAATAGTCTAGCAAAATTCTATGTTATCCTTGTATATCTCATTTTAATTTTCAAATGATTATTCCCATGTTTTTATTAAAATACCTATGATAATTATAGCGACAATATCTTACCTAAGAACTAAATGGATTCGTCCTTAAAATAATCTAATGCAATTGAATGAGTAATTTTAGTATTTTCAAAAAATTTCATAGTTTCAAAAGTAGCCATATTATCCTCCTGCATTTTTATTTGTAAATTAAATTTCATGTCTAACAAAATGTTCTTTATCATTGAAATCAGATTTATTATTTCAAACTTAAATAACATCAAGAATTACTGAGTCTTATTGAAAATTTTTTGTTTTGAATAGCAAATCGACGTGAGTTAGATAAAGCTATATTTCTTCAGATTGTTACTTAAACAACCCTATAACTGCTTTTGACTCAATTACTTCCAAAGTTTTATATAATTTTTCAGCAGTGCCAATTTGTAAGCCTATCAGGTAAACATTTCATTTTACTAATTTCAATCTCTTGGAGCAATTCCTGAATATCTTTTAGTTTATCTTGCAATTTAGTATGATCTTTGATAGATTTCTTGACCTTCTCTAATTCTTTATCATCTTGATCTATCATTTTTTCTTTATCCTTAATCATAATTTTGAAGTAGTTAGAGTTATGCTTGAGTTCATCTGTAATGAACTACTCAATACTCCCTATCCGGTCATACTCAAACTCTTTTTTTTCTTTACAATATTTCAATATCTTAATAATGTTACTCTAACAGAATACTTATTATTAAAATGCCTTGATAAACTCTTAATTTTCAGTGTTTTGAAATAGTTCTTCATCTGTTTATTAAATTATTTTGGTGAGAGCACTAAAAGCCAAAGCTTAGTCCACCTTCTATTCTTATCTTTTAAGCCAATCCATTATTTATGGAAAGAACTATTCTAACAAATAATAACTATGATTACCTGATGCTTTTTTTCCTACGATTGAATTCCCGAGAGTCAAATAAGCAAACCAAATTATGAAAAAATATTTCATATTTATTATTCTTTGCTAAAATAACGTATATATAATATATAAAGTGAATTTTCTATTGGAAAAAAGTATATTATCGATAATTTAATTACTCATTTTTTTGCTAATAAATTTTGCTTATTTCTTAAACTACCTGTCCAATCAATCTAAGTGTTCTCCTTTCCCTTTTTTGTTTTTTATTATGTAGTATTTATTTTTAAAACTTAATTGTAAACAGATTCACTGGAATGTCCACTTAATTCTTTAAAAATTTTATCCTTCAAGGTGTCCTCTTACTATTGTAATTGTGGCTTTTATTGATTCTGATTTAAGATATAAAATCGCTTCTATTCAATTTAATCCATAGAAGGCTGCTTTTTTCTTTATTTTTAATCTTGAGATTTATTAATTGTGTTTGAATCATATTGATCTAAGTAAATATCAAATTATATTACTTCTTTAACTATTATAAATCTTAATAGATTGCGGTAAGATTGATTAGCTTTTCTAGTGGATCAAAGGAGTTATTTCTAAGTTTTTAGGTTGTTCAATATTTTATGCATTTTCATTGGCCAATTTCACAATTTCTTGTACACTGAACTTCTCACTAAGTTACTATTATTGATTGATCACAATTTGCTACTCATTCAAACTTACATTATGACTATTGACCGATTATGGTAACTGTGATTATTGATCACAGTTGTGGATATTTGTGTGATTCCAACTTTCTGGGGTATTTGAGTTGCTCTCTCTTCTTGAATTTTGGATTGTAGAAATTGGATTAGATCCATTACTTTTATAGATCGGCAATTTTGATATTGGAGATGGTGGGTTTTAGCTATTACTATCTTTAATTGTGTTCGAGAATGTGCTCTGGTAGATATCATCATTTTCTAAGATATCAAATACTTTCATATCAATTGAAGGATTATTAAAATTGATTGAATTACTTCTAGATTTAATTGATTATTATGATGTATCATTCAACAAAATATTGTAGCACATTTTATTCATGAATGTTAAAATTGAAGATTAATCAAACTAATTGATTTTTACTCCAGATTCTAGTTTCATTTCTGATAATAATTGTTAAATGTTTCTGACTCTCTTCTCATATCTCTGCATTATATCATCAAATGGCTTCATTTCCATCTTTTTAACTATGTTTGTGTGATTTTTTTCTATGTCAATTTAGAATTACTACAGTTGCTTCTCATAATTCGTCACAGCTTGTTGACAGTCCAGTATATTCTATTCTAGATTTGAATGATCATGTTGAAACTTTTGTATGTAAGTTTATTTTAATTATTGAGCTGTTTCAATTACCTATTCAAAAAATTTTATGCAGTTTGTTTTTTAATCTTCAAGCAATTGCTTTTGACTAATCTAAAGGCTATTTAAGTCTATAATTTTAGAATTGCAAGCCAATAAGGTTTATTTCATCTATTCCTAAAATTAATTTATTCTCATTTGCCTTTGGAATTCTAATTCTGTTCCAGCACTTTCTTCTATTTTGTGACCCTTCAATGCCAAATTCAAGGCACACTTAGAACAAAATAATGTTCGCTTATCATTTTAGGCATAGTACTTTGCCTATAAATAACAATTGTAATAGCTTCATACTTTTTTATTTGGATGCTTTAGACAGTTCAAATGAGAGTTGGCTTTCTATTTAAAAATATTTGAATTCTTTAATATTCTGTCTTATTCTTTAGCATTATAAGATGATTCTTCCTCCGAGCTTGATGAAATTGCTAAATTCATTAATTCTGTTAAAATAAAATTAAATATAATTGTTTAAAAACTTTATCAATTAATATCAATTTGGATAAAGGATTCAAAAAAATGTTATAAAATTAAACTTTGACACTGTTTGACCCATGAAATCACTTTTTTTGATTAATCTTAATTTTGGATTGTCCAACTCTTTTTCCAATTAAAATACTTTTAAATATAATTAATCCAATCATCAAAATCAATCTTTATTTTATATTATTATAATTGGTAAGACACATGGGAGTTTGTTAAATAAGTTAAACAGCAGATTATTAAAGTCTTCAATTAATTTCTGCTCGCCAGAACCTACCACAGGTTACTATTTAATAAGATAATAGGAAAGTGATTCAAGTAGAGAACCATCCCCTTCAAATAGTCAAGAAAAAATGAATATTGAATCAATTAAATAGAAATAATAACAGGAAATAAATTAAGGAAGTGGTACTAATAGAAGTATTATACAATATTTAGGAGAACCTGAAAATGAGATGAGCAATAACATTAATAAGGAGCGAATGAATATTTATGAAGCGACGTAATAAAAAATAAATTTTAATATTCACTCACATGACTAATATACTAATTCTTCAAGAACATAATTAGGATAAATATATTTGAACAGTAATCCTCTAAATATAAATCCTGAGCCTGAATTAAGACATAATTTTATTGTAAGTAATCCCAAGCTCACTTTAAACAAATGAAATAATGAAAATCACAATATATTGAAAATATTTCATTATATTCTTTGCTAAAATATTGTATTTTTTGACAATATGAAGTAATGGATTCAACAAGTTTGTTTATAATATATTATAATCTGTTTGTTTATATAATTCATGTTTGATCCTGTTCTGGTTGAGGCAAGATGGATTCATATTTTTCATAAATCTATTATGCAAGATCTAAATGCTTTTATTTTTCCTCCTCTTTCGTAAAAAAGGCGATTTCAATAAACTTCACTTTATTTTCATACCTCTCCTTTCTCTTTTGTTTCTGTTTTAACAAATAAGTTTAGTGAACTATCTTATAGATATTTTCAGCCCATTATTATATAATATTTTGTTATTCGATGCAAAATGGTTTATCATCCTCTAGAATACTCTTTAAGTCTTCTCTACTTGCTAAACCCATAATTAATGGCTCTTCCAATTATCTAACTTATCTCACTTCTGCTACATCTTCAGGCAATTAGTAATTATCAGATAACAATGGTCCTAAAGGTCGAGGATATGTTTTATATTTTGAGGGTAAATGAGACTAGTTACCTAACTTCTTTAACCATTTGGATTTTAGAAAATCCATTATGATCTCATACATTAAACTTCCTACTATATAACAATTTTGTTCAAATAACTCCTTTTTTTTAACTCTATCTGGAAATTCGGCCCAAGGCTTTAATATAACTCTAAGTAAAAACACTCTGATTAAAATTAATGTTATTAATAAACATTATGCTTTGATATCAGTCATACCATCCAATTAACCAAAATGAGTAAAATTGAGTCTATTTATTTCAAAAAGAAACAAAAAGTTCTGAATAGGAAATTCAAAGTTATGAAATATAGATCCTAAAAATTCAATTGTTTCTGGTTTAATGTCTTTTGCATTAAAATTGGAAATCAAGGTTTAGAACAATTTTTTTGTTTGATTTTTAATATTCTATCTTCTCTATTTCATTTCTGCTTCTAGTATTTTTCTCTTATCTGTAATATTTAGATTATCCTTATTGCTTGAAAACTGAACAATAACTTTTGCTGAATTCTTTTAAAACATTTCTAAAAAGTTTTACAAGCATTTAATAGCCTATTCACCTTTCTAATTCAAAGCCTATTGTTTCCTGTTATCTAGATTTTTTCTAAATCTGTGAAAGTATAATGCAAGGTAAATAAATTGATCTCTGAATATCTTAAAATTGATCTTTGCCCATTGTCTAAGAAATCTAAATAAAAATTTACTCTTTCGTCATTCCAGGAGGCTTAAACCTTTTTCTTTAGTATAACTTTGCCTATTCCAACTCTTTCTCTCTCTCTTTCAATTCTTTCTCATTTTTCAAATTCATTTCAAAGTTGCCTTAATATTTCTAATCCATCTATGCTTTTAACTGTTCTTGCTCATCTTTCTCTGGTCCCCAAATATCATCAATTTACTTATTGATAGTATTACCCAATCCCATTCTTAAGAATTTCTCATATTCAGTTATTTTGTCATCTGTTTACACTTCAATAGTTCTTTTCGAAACTTCATTTTTTAAACCATAGATCCTTTCATCCTTCGGTGGAATTTCAACAGCTTATCTTTATGGGTATGGTTAAGCGTAAGGAGGATAATGAATACTGCTCATCTGCTAAGAGTAATATTCTAATGGTTTTAAAGTAATTGATTTTATTTAAACATTTATTGGCTTTTAACTCGGCTTTTAATATTATTGCTGATATTACAAACTTTATTAATATTGTTGCATTTATTGTTAATATTGTTGTTAATACATTAGTTAATTGAGCATCATGTTCTAGTCATATATCAGTTATTACATAGATAAATATTATTGTCTCTATTGTAAACGCCTATCATTCAAATATATGTTACCTCTTGTAATCTTCCTCTAGGATCTACTATTAATTGAAGGCAGGTACATTATTATAGGTGTTCATCGATTAATAGCCTACATTCTAAAATGTCTGCCGATTATTATAATAATTATTATTATTATACATTTTTAATAATGAATTTTTTTCGTTGCAATTGCACCAATATTGAATAGGGATTAGACATACCTAATAGTAATCTCTACATTGAACAAATTATCTTGCATTCGATGAACTAAGATAAGGTTATATCTTTGACGATGGATCTAAATGTAATTTTGGAAGGATTCAAGTTAAACAGGAAGAAGGATTGTCTTTATTTATAAAATCTCAACGATTTTAAGGAGGATCTGCATTACACATTGACCAAATTGAATCAATAGTTTTAGTAATTTTTGGCAATTTATTATGTTAGGATCCCTTTAAAAAATTAGGACGACAGTAGTTAATAATTTTATTTAAATTTAAACTTGTATGTGTATGAAGGCTGTTATAAATTATTATACTTATAATAAAAGGACTCTTACTTCCATAAGGATGGCTATCTTTACGGAGAATGGGAGATCATGGGGTCAACTCAAGATATTCAGATAGAATTCATATGTAATATTACAATTTATTTTTGATTCTTAGAGGATAAGACTAATTAAGGGTAAAATAATCATTTACTTAGAGATCTCACCAATTGCGCTCAAAATCAATACACAGAACATAATATCGAAGACGAAAACCCCAAGATAATGTACTCGATAAGCAAGACACCCAAATTAAAAAGAAAGCGCTGAACTAAATTACTAAAAAAATCATTATTTTGATATAATTTTCAATTTTACTTTATATATGCTCTGCTAGTTACCAAACTTTACGTGGGATATAATGAGAGTGTTCTATCTGTTCTGGAAATAAAATCATAATGAGAATATCTTCTTAGTTACATGACGCAATTAGAACTTTATTGAGAATTCTGTTATATCGACAAATATCGTTCACTTCGCTTTGACATTTATGGCTTTTATTAGAATTTTATGTTTGGTAACAATAATTGTCTTAACTTTATTTGGTTATTTTATTTTAATGGTTTTAAATATGGAAGTGGGTCATCGATAAAGTGTGATCCCTGTTATTTGATCCTCTTTTTGACAGTCTTTTTTGGTAATATGGATCTCTTTGGTTCAATTACTTCCATAGCTTTAAAGCTAAAAATTGCACCCGTTTCGATTGTCTGTACAGCCTAATTTTTCATAGACAATAATAATTAATCACAATATGATAGAAATAATATAATTAATATTCATGAGTATTTAAATTTTTACTAACCGTCTAACTAGACTGAACTAATCTATAAAATTCAAAAAATTATTCCAAAAGAATTTTATCATAATTTAAACATTTTTTTATATAAATTTCTTATTTAAATTCAAATTAAACCCAAGTTCTCAATAATACTAATGTTTATGTACAGCATATTATTTTGATAAATCACACAATCAAGTATCATTTTTAGTTTAATATAAGTGTTGAATATAAATCTCAAATTCTAAAAAATAAAATTTATATTACGTTAGGATCTCTAGATTAATTAATATATAATAATTATTTTACATGCTTAAAACTTCATAGAATTTACTTTCAATCAATCTTATTTTCATAGATCTTTATTCTCAATATTAGAGTAATATAGGTATACTTTAAACAAAAACGAACTATTATTAATGTCTGTTATTTTTTATTAAATTATTATTTCTTGAATATTTGGAAATTGCAGAATAGATCTCATGATCATAATTCTAATTCTCTTTTTAAAGAAGATTCCTTAAATAATAATTTTCGAATTATTCCTTCAAACCTTGTAATTTCTTTTCTAATTGATAGTTATTCATAATGAAAAGATATATACTTATGGAGTTTTCTTGAAATCTCATGAAAAAAGAAATCTTAGCCTAAACAGGAGCAGGAATGAGGAGATTGAAGGATGATATTATAAATGATTATTAATAAGTTATATAAATAGATCAAGATTTAATGTGAATATGGCATATCTTTTATATGTTTAATATAATTTACTTCAGCTATGATAGACTACAATGATTCCATCAGCAATTCATCGATCTAAAATATATAATGTCCTTACTAATGGGAAAATCTTAATCATGCAATTGGGGTTAGCATTTCTGATTTGTTACTCAACAATTGCATCTCTTTCTAATAGAATTGCTGCATTAAATACTTTAAAATAACATTCTAAAATTTTTGTAAATACAATTTAATTACACTGAAAGAATAATGAATGCTTATTTTTGATGTTGTTTTAAACCCAAAAATGCAGCCCAAATTGAGATTCATTAACTTCATACTCTCTATAGAAGAAGTCAAAATCGAAGGTAAAGGATTTATTGGGAAAATTGTCTGTTGTTATTGAGCGATTTCTATTTCGTTTCAATATTTGCAAGAATTCTTATTCATTGAGTTTTAACTTTGGAGAGTAAATGAAAATCTTCAATTGAGTGATATCTTCAACTCCCTCATCAGCTGGTATGAAATCAAAATTAAGAAACGCCGATTCTGACAAACTTTTTTTTCTTTAGCTTTCCCTTATTTTAATTTGTCCAATTTATTCATATTTCTGTATTATATTTTATGGTTGTTAGTACTTTTAAATATTCTTCACAGGTTTAAGCATGCAAAGCTCCACTTCTTCTACGTCTTTCTTGAATTGCTTGTTTTTATTATTATTACATAACAAGAAATAATATATAAAATATGTTTTAAAAAACAAATATTCATTATTATTCATCATCGTTTATTTTTGGAGCTAAATACAATTTTAATGATCCCATTTGTTCAATTTAATATTCAATAACCAATGGTTAATCTTGAGACATAGACAAAATAACTTAAGGTGATAATGCAGCTGCCTTATTAAACAAATTGAAATATCTATAGAAAATAGAAATGTATTGTATACCTAACAGCAAAGCTTAAGTTCACAGGTTCATCAACATCGCATTCTACTCTCTCCTCTTTCTTTTCGCCATCATTAGATTTAACTGAAACTTATCCTTCTCCAATGTCTCCTTTCACATAAAATTTGATTCCATCCTTTGATGTTTCAATACCAATAGCTTCATTGATATTTCCCAACTCTCTACAGATTTTAGTGAATTCATTGGATGGCATTTTGATAACTGAAGAATAATCAGTGTCTGGAACACCTAATTGTTCTTAATCCAAAGACATCAAATTCAATTGGAACTCACTTATGCGATCTAGTATGGATATAATTAATAACATACTTTTTGATTCGAAAGTGAATGATAAGGTTGTAGGTTCTTCTTCTTGAGTTCTAAGAGTAATCTAATCATCATTTCCTGAGCACTTCAAAATTTTTTATAAATTCTCAATGCTCAAACCCATAGTAAGAGATTTTTCACATCTGTATTTTTTAAATCCTTTCTCGTTCAATTGTAGTGCAACCAAAGCCACATGTGATGTATCCATAGCCTTAAGGTGATTGGATCAAAATAATACTTATAATGAGATTCCTGTTCCATTGGCTTCAAGATTTACATTTTTAACCAATTCTTTGATTGCTTCCACAATTTTTTTAAATAGGACACCGTCTTCAAACTTGGCTTCGAACATCTAATCTTTTTAATTATTTAAATAAATTATAGAGGGAAATATTAAAAACACCAGATTTGCCGGGTAATTTATTTTATAATTTCTTGACTTATTGCAATTCTAACCTAATTTACAATTTATTTTGGGGTGTGGTATTTTACACCAGCAAAATCTATCAAATGAATATTATGCGATTGATGATAACGCATTTCAATACTGCAAAATTATATCAGACCACAGCCCATTGGGTCATTAATTAGATAAAGAATTTTAGATTAATAATAAAGCAGAGTATAAATTGTTTATGTTAAAATAATTTAATTGAATGCAAATAAAAAAAAAATGAAGTACTGATTGACAAATCAGTTTTTTTTACACTGATCTATTGAAGAGTTGATATTTGAGTTGTATCCTCCATATTTTTATTTGAATTTTGAAAGTCAACCTTTAAATAAAAAGTTGGGAGGATGAAAGTATTATAAGTTTCAGAAATTATTTATATATGTTAAAGTGATTATAGAGAATCAATTTTCATGATTTTCAATCGAGGTACTTGATCTACATTTCTGGAAAAATTTGTTTTTCTTTAATGAGTAAGAATCAAGTGATTCAGTTGAACTTGAGTAATAATTATCTTATTTCTTTTTTGGATCCGTGCAGAATTAGACATTCTATTTACGTAAATATTCTAGGATGGATTTAATTTGAGGATTTGGCTTATGGAAAATCTCCAATTCCAGAGAGTCGAGACTTGAGTTTAAAGAATCTTGCATAATTATTTGTAAATATTTTTATGTATTAATAATAAATCACAACCCCGATTAAACCAATTGAGTTCTAATATTTCTAATTTAATTATAAGCAACAAATATTACTAGAGCTCGTTCATCACCTCATCATACTCATGCGATGGATTCCTACCCACTGGAATGACCACATTTCTTACATAGTAATACTTCCCACCTGTTTTTTAGCAATGTTTGATGACCACCTTATCGCCAACCTTGCAAAAATTGTCTTCATCATGTGCTATGAATTCAGATGAATTGCCAAAGTATGACTTGTATTTTTTATGCCAATATTTATAGCTTACTTTAACCTAATCGCTTCCATAGATCAAATTACTTTGCATGATTTGTTTCTGCTGTCTCTGGTCACGGTGCCAAAAAATTCTTAACCAGATGGCAATAAATTCTTGATTGTCTTCTACACACTTATCCTTGTTGGATGTATTAAGGTCCAAACTGTTTACATTGTTTGAAAATATATTATATTTATTTATATTTAATTTTAAAATGTCTAATTATTCTTGCTAATTTTGTTACAAGAGAACAACTCTAGGATATATCAAAAACTATTTCCCTAGTGAAATCAATTTGCATCAAATGATTAGACACACTCTCTATCATAAATATGCCACTTCATAAAATTACTATTATACCAAAGACATTAATGAAATATTATCCAAAACTTCTACTGCCAGAACTATACTGTATCATGTAAAATATTCAAATATATTTCTAGGATTATCTATGTTATGATGAAGAAGATGAATATATTAAAAGATTTTATCAAATGCATGAATATCCTCCCAAATCAAAACTGCTTACAGAATTCTACAAATTTCATAAAGATTTACCAAGATGGGTATTGAAACATCCCATACTCAAAATTCTCAATTATTATTACGATAAAAGAAGGAAAATTGAATTTTACAAAATTTAAAGACAAATTGAAATTGAAAATTAAATGAACCCATGTGATCCACCAAAAGGAATTGTAGGTGATAAACCATTACTAAGTGATTCCACACCAGAATCTGAGAATTCTGAACCATAATCCAAAGTTAATGTTGATAACATTCTCAAAGAAATCAGTTTCTCTAATAAGAAACCTCAACCCTCCCAAGAAATTAGTCGCATATTATAAGTCCCTGAATCTCCTCCTATGGGTGAAATACAGTAAATGATAAGTTTGCTAAACCTAAAATCAGATTCTCCAAATCAAAAACAACAATACCAATGGTTTAAAAAGAAGAAGACTCAGGGCAAGAAATCTCTTAAATTAGATGAACTTGCCTTATCTTTGTCTGCCAGAACTCATTAAAATCCCTAAGAAGCAAAAATGCCCTTATCGGCCAGATATCAATAGTCTTATTCCAATAGATTGATTGACTAAAGTAATTTGTCCAATCATATTTAGTCTAAACTAAACTTTACAATAAACACTCTTAAACCATCTCAAGAGACAAAATTATTGATTTTAAATAAAATAAAGAATAATTCATGTAACAAATTCATATATTACCGTAATAGTAAAAAATTCAAATTAGATGAGAGGAATAAAAAAAGCAATTCACCCAAAAAAAATGATCAAAATAAAGCAATTTAGGAAATCAAATAACTTGAATTAAAAATCATTAAAAGTCTATAAGAAATGAAGAATATCAAAAGTAATAATTTATCAAGTCATGAATCTAAACAAACACCCACTTAAAACCAAAATAACAGCAATTAAGTACTTTCTTTGGATCAAAAGGCCTTGTATTAGATCCTCAAAGTTCCTGATTCGTTTAGGCAATTAAACTTTAACAAACTTCAAAACAAAACAAATCCCAAAAGATCTCAAGATCAGAATCAACGTTAATAAAAAAACAACAACTCCTCACAACATTAGAAACATGTTTAAATATTGGATATGAAAAAACTAATATCCAACAAAAAAGATATCGCTCCCAAGACAGAGAGAGTAAAAAAGACTATTCCGTCTCTAAACTTAAATCTTATTGGAACCATAAATTAATCAACATCAATGACAACTAGGAACAATAGCTTTACTCCAAGTTTAGCTTACGCGCAATTATTAACACCTAAACAAAATTAAACAAATATATATAATGAAAATATTATTAATAACTGGTAACAGTAAAATACTCACAATGTTGCGATTAGGGAAATCAATATGTAAAAATGATTAAATATTAAAGATATGTTTTTAAAATTAATTTATACATTCATAATGTAAAACAATTAGTTTAATCAATTAAAATATTTATTATGGTTTTCCTTCTCGTCAATAGACATAGAATGATCTAAAACTTTAATTAAATATGCATACATTATCGATTAGATTGTTTCTATTACTTATCATTCTGATTCTACTTTTTTTCGCTATTTGCAAAACTGAAATTACTCTATCTTGAATTACATCCAAAACTAAGAGGTTGAGTCTAATTTTTGTAATAGGAGAACAAATCTGTCTGCATTTATCCACATTAATGAGAGAAACTATTTATGAATTCTTCATCATCTAGAATTCTGTTAAGAATCTATTCTTATAATGCTCTTGGCTTAATGAGAGAGTTATTTTCTGATATTTCTTAATTCTCTGTGAAACTAGTGTTTGGATAGGGTAATTACACCTTAATAGGTTTACAAATTAATTTTGGTTTATTAACAGAATAAGGTTAATTTGAACGATTAGATGTTTATTTAAGGATTGGCTATTTAGTGGAAATGGTGGCAGGCTCTGTTTAAAAAGAGTCATTTCCATTAAAGGAATCGTCATTTGATATATTTTATTTAACTCTCGAGGAGGAGAACTTTGATTCGAGTGATTCAATTTTGATGTTTGCTTTTTACAGCTTCTTTTTCAAATTAGAAACATAGTTGTCTATTTTTAGTATATATTGATTATCCTATCGATAATACCATTTTTATTACTCTTTGCTAAATTCTTTATAGTTCTTACAATTAATCTGATACTAACTTATATTCTTAATTTCTCTCAACTAATAATTTCTTTAATTTCGCTATTTCAAACCTCTAAGAAGCCTCTCTCTGCTACAATTTGTGAATTATCTTGAAATTAAATTAATTTAATTACTTCCTTTAATTACGAAATACTCTCCTTTTACTAGCTGTTATTTCTCATTAAATTGTAATTTTATTAAAAATATTTTTATAAATCATTTCTTCTTTTTTTTTGATTTTAATACATTAACATGTCTTGATTTTGGTGATTATGAATTATAATTGATTTCCATTTCGCTATCAACCTCTGGGTCTAAAACCTAAATATTGTAAAAAATAATTTTTACTAATCCCACAGGAACATTTGCAAACATAGTTTTATCGTTGCCAAAGCAATAATAATACAATATTAAATTAGTCATTAAAATTGTAGTGAGAATTTTATTATCCAGAATGAAATCTATAATTTGAAATAACACACTCCCCAATGGCACCAAAATATTCTATATATTAATTGATAGATTACATTTAATAAAGCATCTAAAAACAATTCTAATGGAGATGGATCTAAACCATTCGAAATCTCATTATACACATTATTTCCGATATCGAAATTATTGATCAATTTCTGAAATGGACTGAGGTATTGATTCATCAAAGTATTTACATTTTCATTGCCTTTCCCTTTCTATTTATGAGCATAACGAGCTGCTTTCTGTTTCAGTGCTTTGATAAATTCAACTTAATTAATGAAGGTAGCTTCGATTTGATCTTTAGAAAGTAATGCACTCTCTAAGTCAATTAGGATATCTTCTATTTTGCCTTAATACAATATGATTGCACTGACTGAGGACCCTTTGCCTTTGAAGGTCAGGTCAAAATGCAGCTTAGTATCGCTCATCTGATATATCGTTTTGCGATTTGCTGTAATGTTTTTTCCATCAAATTCAAATTCAAAAGCAAAATATAGCGGAATGTTGATTCCCCCTGCCTCCTTGTAAATATCAAACTACTCCTTTATTAGTTCATCCTCCAAATAGATATCGAAAAAGCGAGCCGATCTTTGTTCTGACTATATTATTATAAAATTAGTTTATACTTCAATGAAACATAAAATTAAAGTGTAATTCCCATTGAGTCTCATAGTAATGGAATATTTAAAAAAATCTTGATCGCTAGATACCGTTCTCGATGTTTAGAATACATAATAATCCAAATATTGAAGAGGTATCAAATGATGATTTTAATCTGAGGTTACCTTTTAATAGAACATTTATTGTTAGCCGCCCTTATAATTTTGATCATAGCGATATAATATCTTTTGCCTGTCCTTATAATAATATTGATTGCCTGCATCAACAGCGTATTTAATTTTATTAGCATCTAAATACGAATTTACTTATATAAAAAGCAAAATTAATAACATTATTTACATATTAATTCATATAAATTATATCGTAAATTATTAATACCATCTCTAAATACCCCAGTCACAATTATTCGAGATTATCATCAAAAATGTGCGCATCAATGATCTTTTATTACTATAAAGTCGAACCTATTGGCTTATCAAAAGAGTCAAATACAAACAACCAAGATTTCTTGATTGAAAATAATCATATATTTATATTTATAATAGTATGATAAATTAAATGGAATCAAAATCAATGACAATCAGCACTAAAATACAACAGTCTAACTATTCTGCACTATCTAATCTACCTCGACACATTATTAATTAAATAAAAAGTGAAGGTATTATAACAATCCAAAGTTAGGTGAAATGTATATCACTGCACCTAACAAATGCTCGAGAATATGGATGGAAATGAGAAAAAATGATTTTGTGACAGATGCTCAATTAAACTTTACGATTGTGCAAAGAATCTTTGAAGCATGTAGAAGTGAGATCGTATAATTATTGAAACTGTAAAATGAAAAGGATTTCTTTGAGCTCTTCGATTAGGATAATGATGGGTAAGAATTAAATGAATTCCATTAGAATTTTGAATGAAGATGAGTAGATTTTGGTGTTTTCAGTCATCAAAGAAAAAATGCATTAGGTTGCTACTGCTTTGTTGAAAATTTAAGAATACATATTATTTAAACAGCTAATGAAAGAATTGAGAATTCTAGAAGCAAATATTGCAGATTATCAAAATTAATTGAGATAACGTATATCAATCAAGGAGAGAAAAGTTTATAAGGAAATAGGATAAGAAAAGCTCGATGATTTTTATGATAAATACTATCAGGAATTTTAATAGCTAACAAAGTACAAAGTAGACAGAAGGTACTCATATTATATTTATGAAGAGCATAATTAAAAATATCTTAAGAAAAAGAATTAGGATTGTTAGAGGATCGACTCTCTAAAGATACAGAATTAATGAAGGTGAAACCAAAAAAAAAATTGAAGGATCTACAAACACAAGAAAAGTTGGTAAGTCTGGAGGAAAGAGTAGAAGAAGCCTTAGATTTTAGAAAAGAATTGAAAGACCTAGAGAAGCATGAATAAGACAGAGTGTATAAGGTTTAAAAATATCGCATCGAAAAATAACACAGTGATTTATTATTTAAATAGCAGAAAGAAAGAGAATAATTAGAGGGTAAACTATAAGAAACAGAATATAAATTAATCATACAAATGAAAAAGGATTATGATGTTCTACTTAAGCAAATCAATCTACATAATAATGAAATCACCAGAATTTAGAGTTTAGCATCCAATCAAGCTATGAAGAAGGGATTGTATGAAGGAGAAGCTAAAAGATAGAAGGTTTAATCTTAATTATAAAATGCTATCATTGCCTAAACTAAAGCTATAAGTCAACCTGAATCTAAAATTAATGATCTAGATTAATTTCACGAATCTGAAACCATTAGAAAATTAGAAACTCGAAAGAGTCTTTAATTCGTTGGTTCTCCTGGTAAAGTAAATAATATTGAATATCTAAGCCTGTTTATTCAGAGGAAAGTGAAAAAACTCCTATGGGTTCTGCATTTAATGGAAAATCTAAGAACTTTTACCAAATTAGAAAAATTATCAAAGAGTCCAAAAACATCACTCAATTCTATATTAAGAAAAATTACGGTGCTGTACTCTAATCAATAATTTCTTTAGGATTTACCAGTCAATTTTATTAGGAGTGCCCATAACATCTAAGGGGATTAACATGAAAAGATAGAGAGATTTCTATCTGTTAAGCGAAAATCTTAGCATGAACTCTTACCACCTATCACTTAATTGTACGATGATGATATGTAAGAAAAGGTATGGTATCATAAAATATGTTTAGTAAATTAAAGCAATAACTTAGACTGATCAAGAAATTAAAAGAGAAAAAGCACTTAAAAGAGCATTTATTAATGAAAAACTATTTAGAAATGATTGAATAGAATAGTAGCATTTCTATGACACGTTTTTATTTTAAATTAAAATCATTTCATAATAATTTAAAAAATGCTTATGGTTAAAATCTCATATGCAATGCTTGTTTCTATTATCCTTTATTAATTTAAATAATAATCTTTAGAAAATTCAGTTCTTTTTGAAATTATAAATCAAACAAGGATATATTTCAACACTGGTTCCTTATTAACAAAGGTATTGAATAATATCATAGTAAAACTCTCTAACATGATTGTTATTATTAATCAAAAATTAAAAATGATTCTAATTAATTAAAAAATAGATAAAATTTGATTACGATAAGATCGTAATAGGAAAATGTGTTCAAATCGAATAAAAATTTAATACATGTTTGAGTTCCTAAGATTTTTTGTATGATATATCATATCAAAGAGATAAATCTCTTATAAATGAGCCATCATAAACTCCTACTATTTTCTTTGATCCGAAATGTGAGATAATTACAGTAATAAAATCGAATCAGTGTAAGCATTACTAATATTATAAATTAGATAAAATAATTTGTAACTTGATTGTTAAAATTTTAAAGTTTTCGGGTAGTAATAAATAAATAGAATTAAATACAAAGAAGATTATATATTGCTAAGGATTGGATGAATTGATCAGTACAATTCATAGAAATGATTTATAAAGGTAAAAAGTAAAAAATGAGAAATTTGACTTTGTCAAAATTATTGAATACAAAGAGCAATTGAATAACCTAAATTATAAGGCAGTAAATAATTTGCTGCTATTTGGGTGTTGGCAAGTTTGAAGTTCTTTATTGTTAATTCTCATTCTGTGTTTGATGAAATACGAATCACTTTCTTGGGGGATAGGTTAATAGGAGGAGAGTATAATAATCTATTGATAGACTGAGGGATGCGAATTTCACTTTATTAATTATATCATATATTTATTAATTGACATAATCATAATATGGGTTGTTGCTCTTTTAAATTGTATACCGATGAGAAAGGTAATAGTAAACAATAAGTAAGCTATAATGGATCCAGAAAATGAAATAAATGAAGTTGCAGGGGGACTGGAAATCAATTAATAGCCTAATAATCATTCTAAAATAATAATTCATGACAAAGAGACCAGCTTTATAAAATCAAACTCATTATCAAAAGAATAGGGTTATTCAAAGGATCTTGAATAGTAGTAAGTTTAAACTAAACACAAGGAAGGAGATACAGTAGAATTTGTAAAAAAAACTATTAGTGGAACTATGAAATTAACTCCTGAAATGTTGGTGAGAAAGCAATGTATAACAGAAAAGTTTTTAGCTCATTACGAAATAGTGAAAAAATTGGGGTAAGGGGGATTTGGAGAAGTATATTTGGTTAAACATTTATCAACGGAGAATCTGAGAGCTGCGAAGGTGGTGGTGAGGAAAACGATAAATTGTGAGGAGAAATTATTGGAAGAGACAGAAATCTTAAAGGCCTTGGATCACCCAAATATTGTCAAGGTGTTGGAAATATTTGCAGATTTTAAATATTATTATATAGTAACTGAATATTGTTAGGGAGGGGAATTGCTGGAGAGAATAAAAACCATAACAAATTATAACGAGAATCTGGCTGCAAAGTACATGAAGTAAGTGTTTTCAGCCATTTAGTATTGTCATCAGAAAAACATAGTGCATCGAGATTTAAAAGTACCTAATTTCAAACTATTTAGCCTGAAAACATACTGTTTNATAAGATCGTAATAGGAAAATGTGTTCAAATCGAATAAAAATTTAATACATGTTTGAGTTCCTAAGATTTTTTGTATGATATATCATATCAAAGAGATAAATCTCTTATAAATGAGCCATCATAAACTCCTACTATTTTCTTTGATCCGAAATGTGAGATAATTACAGTAATAAAATCGAATCAGTGTAAGCATTACTAATATTATAAATTAGATAAAATAATTTGTAACTTGATTGTTAAAATTTTAAAGTTTTCGGGTAGTAATAAATAAATAGAATTAAATACAAAGAAGATTATATATTGCTAAGGATTGGATGAATTGATCAGTACAATTCATAGAAATGATTTATAAAGGTAAAAAGTAAAAAATGAGAAATTTGACTTTGTCAAAATTATTGAATACAAAGAGCAATTGAATAACCTAAATTATAAGGCAGTAAATAATTTGCTGCTATTTGGGTGTTGGCAAGTTTGAAGTTCTTTATTGTTAATTCTCATTCTGTGTTTGATGAAATACGAATCACTTTCTTGGGGGATAGGTTAATAGGAGGAGAGTATAATAATCTATTGATAGACTGAGGGATGCGAATTTCACTTTATTAATTATATCATATATTTATTAATTGACATAATCATAATATGGGTTGTTGCTCTTTTAAATTGTATACCGATGAGAAAGGTAATAGTAAACAATAAGTAAGCTATAATGGATCCAGAAAATGAAATAAATGAAGTTGCAGGGGGACTGGAAATCAATTAATAGCCTAATAATCATTCTAAAATAATAATTCATGACAAAGAGACCAGCTTTATAAAATCAAACTCATTATCAAAAGAATAGGGTTATTCAAAGGATCTTGAATAGTAGTAAGTTTAAACTAAACACAAGGAAGGAGATACAGTAGAATTTGTAAAAAAAACTATTAGTGGAACTATGAAATTAACTCCTGAAATGTTGGTGAGAAAGCAATGTATAACAGAAAAGTTTTTAGCTCATTACGAAATAGTGAAAAAATTGGGGTAAGGGGGATTTGGAGAAGTATATTTGGTTAAACATTTATCAACGGAGAATCTGAGAGCTGCGAAGGTGGTGGTGAGGAAAACGATAAATTGTGAGGAGAAATTATTGGAAGAGACAGAAATCTTAAAGGCCTTGGATCACCCAAATATTGTCAAGGTGTTGGAAATATTTGCAGATTTTAAATATTATTATATAGTAACTGAATATTGTTAGGGAGGGGAATTGCTGGAGAGAATAAAAACCATAACAAATTATAACGAGAATCTGGCTGCAAAGTACATGAAGTAAGTGTTTTCAGCCATTTAGTATTGTCATCAGAAAAACATAGTGCATCGAGATTTAAAAGTACCTAATTTCAAACTATTTAGCCTGAAAACATACTGTTTGATTCAAGAGATCCAGATGCCAATTTAAAGGTGATTGATTTTGGAGCTAGTGAAAAGATGATTGACTCATCATTCTTGACTAAAAAGATTGGAACTCCTTATTATGTTGCTCCAGAAGTGTTGTCGGATTCAGGATATGATGAGAAAGTGGATGTGTGGTCATGTGGAGTCATCCTGTACATTTTACTAATAGGGAGACCTCCATTTAAGGGAGCAAGCGATATTGAGACTTTGAGATTAGCAAGATAGGGAAAATTGAATACGAATAGTGAGAGATGGTTGAGAACAAATGAATAGGCAAAGGATTTGATTATGAAAATGATTATAGTGGATCCCAAGAAAAGAATAAGTATGTAGGAGGCTTTTAATCATCCTTGGATTTAGAATATCTAATAGAATGAGATTGAGGATATTAATTTGATTAAGAATTTAAGTCAATTTACTGCTTAGAATAAGTTGAGGGCTGCAATCCTTCAGTTTATTTCTGTTCAATTGGTAAATAAGGAGGAGAGTTCAAAGTTGTTTTAAACATTTAAGACCTTAGACTAGAATGGAGACGGAGTATTAACAAAGGAGGAATTGTTGAAGGGAATGTTGAGTGCAGATGTGGATCATTTAAAAGCAGAGATTATGGCTGATGGGTTAATGTAAGAATTGGATGTGAATGAATCGGGGAAAGTGGATTTTACTGAATTCATCTCTGCTGCATTAGTTTAATAATAAAAAATTACTATTAATAATATCAAATTAGCATTTAAGATGTTTGATATGGATGGAAATGGAGTGATAAGCAAATTTGAATTGGAGAGTATTTTTGGTGGAATCGAAATTGACAATTAGGCTTGGGAAGACATATTGTAAAAATGTGATCTCAACAAGGACGGAGTCATAGAAGAAGAGGAATTTATTAAACTGTTGGAGAACATTTAATTATGAATTCATTATTCTTATATTATTTTCTATTGATTATAAATAACTCAACTCGATTAGAGGTTCAGTAATAAATAAATTTTATGATGTATAGAAATATGGGTCATTCCTATTAGGCCATGAATATTATTCATGAGGAAAATGGGAATCAATTATGGTTGGGTGATTACACAGCTGCTGAAGACAAGCCCACTCTTGACAATAAGGGAATTAGAACAGTATTAACAGTTGCATGCTAACTTAATATCAAATATAATGATTAGAACATGACTCATAAGGTACGCTTTTAATAACATAAGAGACATATTCAATTCTTGATTCGGAATAGGCGAATGTGGCGTAATTTTTTGACGACTCCTTTTACCAGATCAAGAATGGATTGAAATCTGGATCTGTTCTTGTACATTGTGCTGCTGGAGTTTCGAGGTCAGCCTCAATAGTTATAGCTTATCTCATGAGAAATAAAGGATGGACATACAGTGAGGCTATCTCCTATGTTAAGAGTAAAAGATTTGTCATCTGTCCCAATAGTGGTTTTTAACGATAATTGAAAAACTTTGAGAAATAGTTGAGGCAACTAAAGGAAAATGAAAAAACAAATAACCCAAAAGAAGTATAAGATAATCAACCAAACATTTCTGATAAAAAACCTGAGATTGCTGTTGATTTAAAGAAATCTGAGTTGTTAACAAAGATGGGCAATGAAAGAAAATCTGAGCCTTCATTTTAAAATGAGCTTAGATAGACAATCAGAAATAATGAATTTTTAGGAAATAATTCCAAATAAGATACCAAATAAAATTTCCGATTATAAAATAGAAATTGCTTGCCTACTTCTAAATTTAATAATACAAGATCAAATATGTAATAGAATAACAGAATCAATTTATAAACTATGCAAACCATTTACAATTCTTCTTATGCAGGTCCTCAAATTGTAACACATGCACAAAATAAGTTATTTGAAAAACAACCTTTATCAAATTTACCTGGCATCTCTTCCAAGGCTAATATGACTCATTATCCCATGAACAATAAAAGAAACTATTGAAATTTCTATAACTTGTGTATAGTTATTGTATTCTAACTGATATCATTTAACTTGTTTTTAATTATAAAATTTGAATAATCCAAATGAGAAATTCAAGTTCCAACTACACATTATAAAGAGATTTCAAAAAGATAGATAGCATTGATTTGAGAAACAAGAGTGGAATCAGAAATACAAAACCAGAGACTGCATATTCTAGAATCGATAACAAGGAGAATTATTCAATGTAAACAGGAAAAAATCAATTATTTTCCTATGGAGCAAAATACTAACATAAACTATAAATGCAAAAATCTAAAGTAGAGATACCAGTTGTAGAAGTAAAGAGAGTGGATGATAAAAAATAATTGAGTGTCATTTTCAAATTCTATGCATCTTTTGGAGATAGAACCAATATCGATTATATTAGATCAAACAAAGTACACAAATTAATGTCAGATTCATAAATCAAACTTTAAAGATAGGATTAGCAATAAATAGACTTACTTTTTGTTAAGGCAAATAGAAATAAGCCAAATATGGATTTTGAGAATTTTTATTACTTTTTGGAACTATTATCTGAGATTTTATATGGGGAAAATTCATTTCAAATCCTAATGGACAATCATTTGACTCCATTATATGAAAATATTATCTCATCAACAGATTTAGGAGATGAAGAAACAAAACTATCTCAAGAAATCGATCCAGTGTGTGTCAATTTAATGTAGGTTGTTATTTAACCTGTAACTTTCATCTATAATAAATACTTCCCTCCTTAATTTAAGAACTTTAATTTGAAAGACTAATAAGAAGAATTGATGATGAAACAATAGATAAGATCTTCATTGTTTTTGTTTTTAAAAGAATTTGAAATATGTCCTTAATTTATTACTAAAGGGTCTGCTTATTTATTATTAGACTACATCTAAGCAGATCTTAATTTACCTCAAATTTGCCAATAAAAAAAATAAAAGTCACGATTTGATATTAACTAATTCTGTTGTTATATTATCAAGTTAGCCATGATGACTCTTCAAAGCTTTGATGATTCCTCTTAGATACAATAAATTATAACTCCTTTGTAGAAATTAGCTTTTTTACTTGAGAGAATGGAGTTGAGTCAAGGGTTCAACAATCTGGAGATACCGTCAAATAACTCAAAAATAAATTGGAAATTAAAAGTACCTGAAGAACTTATTGAATTAATACTCACTGAGCCTGATGCAATTTAATATTTGAACTCTACCACTTAAAGAATGAAGATTCATCAGTTAAAAAGCGAAGAATTTTATGACGATTAAGTGAAACGAATTAATACAGTGCCTACTAATAGAGTTCGACCATCTATCCCAATTAATAAGTAATTCGAGGATTAATGCCAATAGTTATTTCAAGACAATTATACATAATTATTTAATATCTACCGATAATATTCAGGAATTAATCAATAAACTGGACAGGACAACGAATTGGTTGGCAGTAAATGGATGAAATTCTTGAAGGATGCTAATTTGGTTAATGTAAATTTAATTGACAAAAGCAGTAAACTATCTTACTAAGTACCTCACAATGAAATTGATTTAATATTTACTAAGGCCTGCACAATCTCATAAAACAATAGATCTTCAGTTCCAATCAAATAAAAGAAATAAACTATGAATTTCTAATAGTTTTTGAAAGGCCTTTAATTACTAACTAATGATATACATGTTTTAAAGACAATTTTATATGATCATGTATTACATTTAATGAACCAAGGACCTGAAAATAAGATGAAAGATCTCCTCTCTTAATTAATGACCTTATTAAAGGATAAAGAAATCGTTGAATTTTTAGGATTGCTACATAAATCTATTTTAGTATATTATAAACATTATACAATTGGTAAATAGATTATGAATTTTGAATAGTTCTTAAGATTCTATAAAGTAATTGTTGCATTTAAATAATAATTAGGATTTCTCAATTTTCCCTGATTTATTGGCCAAGAATAAGATAGTTCAGATTTTTTAGATATTGTCCAAATTGTATGAGAATCAAGAAAATTCAAATGTCAAGAGTGGCCATATTGATCAACACATGTTTGTTGAGTCTCTTGCCCTTTCAGCTTTGGAGGTCTTATTTAATGATGAGGAAAGCTTGAGTTAGTTAGAGAAAGTAAGTATATAAGAATGATGTTAGATATACTTTTTGATTGAGAGATTAAATTAATCTGATGGCCCTAGGATTGTTCAGAAGTAATTGGGACATACTAAGTAAAATTTAAAGTTAAAAATTTAGATGCCCTTCTGGTCAAGACTGGGACTTATTGTATCATATACGAAAGAGATTTTCATGGTTGGTTTAATAACAAGATTAAGTCTCTTACGAATAATGAATTCATATTATTATTTTTATATATTAAAGGGAAAGTTAAATCATAAAAAATGCAGTCGTTACTATCATTAATGAGCAAATTGTCATCTATCAGTTCTCATGAGGTTTTAGACAGTGAACAGGAAATTTCGAAAAAAGCATTTATACCTTCACTACGAACTCCTTTTGAAAATGACAAACTTAAATTGAGAAAGGATGAAGAATTAGAATATGTACAAAATAACATATAAAAGAGACTTGGTAAAAAATAAATTTGAGTAATTAATTGCTATCTTCTGCTGCACCCGTATTGGATACATTGTCAGAATAAATATTAGATTTAGACCTGTCGAATAACTTATTGCATTAATTCCCGAATTAATTAAAGTATAATTATCTATAACTAATTGTTCAGAACACTCACTAAGTTAAAGATCCTGAATTTGAGTTTCAATTAAATTCAATCGATTCCAATTAAATTTTATTTGCCAAATTTGGAAAAATTATTATTGACTGATAATTAGATAAGTACTTATTTTTTGGTTCATAATTTTAGAGTAGTTGCCATCCAGTTTATTTAAATTAAACGCTCTAAGAGAGTTAAATTTAAATAATAACAATATAGAATATTTGCCACAGGAGCTATTTGATTTAAAATTAACTTATCTCGGATTAAGATCAAATCTGTTTACTACAATTCCAGCTAAATTCAATGAAATTTTGGAGTCGTTATAATGTTTTGATCTTGATTGGTTCGATTATTGTGCTATCAGTTGTGAACTTGATAGACAGATCAAATCAAAATTAGTTTAATTGGGCTAGAGAGTTGTGCAAAGACAAGAAATCATAACATTCTCGTTATTTTACTTCTATATGGTCGGAAAAGTGTTTGACATTTAGTAATTCATTTAAAAGTAATAATTTAAATAATATTAGTGGTAAGAATATTTTATTTACAATTATATAAAGAGATTCCATAGGATTATTAAAGCAATTTAGTTAAAAGTATCCAGAATTACTTATGATCAAAGATGAGGAGGAGTGTTCACTTCTTCTTTATGCATTCAATTTGCATAGGACAAAGTGTGTTAATTGTTTGTTGCCAGCCTTTAGGAAAAGTAAAATTGAAATGCAAACTTTGTTCATGTTATCAGCTAAACGATTGGATATTCAAATAATGAAGATCTTGCTACAGAATGGGATTGAATTAAATCAGAAAATGGAGAAAGACATAATTGGACCAAATAAAATACTTGTCGCTCATGGATCTACTGTTATGCATGTAGCGATGACATCATTTGGCAGAAATGCATAACAATAATAATAAGCATAAATAATGGTCAAAGTAGTTTAAAACTTAAAGAATAGCTTCTATTAGACATGGGATGCGATCCAAACATTAGAAATCCAATGAAATTAACTAGTTTGCATGCTGCTGTAAAATTACCATCTTTAGCTGCAGTACGATTTGCTAGTAATTGCACTTAATTTGATTTCCACAAAAGAGATCTATATAAGAACACTCCTCTTCATAGTGCAGCTTCGATGGGGTTAGTTACTATATTACAACTGATTTAAGGAAAGAACGTCAACCCATTTTCTTTGAATCTCAATAATAAGACGGCTAAACAAGTATCTATAGCATCATTGCAAGTAATTAAAATTTAAAGGAAATATGAAAACTAATACTTACGAAAGAAATTACTCATTGAAAATGAAGATCATCGAACCTACTAAAAGAACGAGAACTTGACTAGCCTTAATAGTTACTAAACTATAACTCAGAATCAATAAATAACAGAAATAAAAAGCCAAGTTCCATCCCCTTAATCCCAACAATAACAAAGAAAGATATTCAGATTGAATTTAACCTAAGTCAAGTTGATGGAATAGAATGGTTTACTTTCAAACAGACAACAATAATCCTCTCAAAGATCCTTGGCACCTAAGATCCAGGAAATATTATCTAGTATCTCTTAAATTATGAGAAAATATCAACAGAGTAATAATGTTCTTCAAGAAATGAAGAAGTTATATTATTGCACTGAAGTACTTCAAGAGAAGTTGATAATTTCTATTTTCGTAAATCTCATTATCATGAAATTAAAGTATGGTTGGAAATACTTATCTAGTATCGGTACATCTACGATTTCTGTATTAAATCAAACTAAAATAATGTACTAAAAGCCATAAAGTGCTAATGAATATTTTATATATTAGAACTAGGGGATGATTGAAAAATACAAATAAAATTGTCTCAAAATGTAGAAAATAGAGGACACTTCATCTAATGCATAGTTTCAGAATTAAAAGCAGCAATTATCTTTGAATTTAAGATATAATATACATAACAATTGGGAAGAAACAATTAAAGAGTACGAGGAATTCTATTAGAACAGTATGGGCGACACATAATGGATGATCAGTATAAAAGGACTCAAGATCCAAAATAAAATAAAGACAGAGAATAATAACAGAATGATACTGTATTAGTATGAGCAACTTTAAAACAATTCAGCCTCCTAAACTTAATTTATCAGAGTAGTGCTAAGATAAATGGATTATTATAAAGAACTTAAAGTTGATAATTCAGAATCAGCTGGCAGTTTAAGTGATAGAATGAATCAATACAACAAAAATCCATTAGTTAATAAGAAGGTTAATCAGTTTGTGAATTTAAAATCAAACAAAATGGAATTCCTTTATAGAAATATGAGTTAGACAGCAAGGAGAGTGTCTCCTTAGGTTTAATAGCATCATGGAGAAAAGGCACAGACCTTTCGAAAAGATTCTGCTATTATTAACTCAATAGATTTTACTTTAGATAACTTGTGATTGAAAATAAAAATAATGGAAGATAGTTATATTTAAATTATTTATTTTATTTTATTTTTTTTGTACATTTTGCAATAATAATAACTCATTTTTGAGTTTCTTCTTTAATCAATGAAAGACCATCGTCAATATAGGTTTGAAGTTCTTAGTTGTCTTCAAACATATTCAAGATGTCACCAATTTCAAATTAGGATGGATCAATTAACATACCTAAGAAATTAAAACTAAATAAGTACCAACAACTTTTTTGGTTGCTTCTTTATCTTTTACAACATCGAAGACTTTTTGGAATAATAGATTACCAAGTACATTTCTTTGATCAGCAAGAGGAATCTTCAAGAATTCTTCCATTCTACTTTAAACTAAGGTGTAATCAGAGAATTCTTAGATGAATGATTAAGGTTGGACCACCTTGCTCATGGGTGGTTGTATGGGCTATTTGTTCATCATTTGATGTCTTGGAACTTAGGTTCTCATCATGGGGAAGGGGCCAGCTCTTGGTCCTCTGGGAGGCATTTGTCTCATTCCTTATCCTCCAGGGGGGAAGGGCATTTGAGGAGGCATAACTGGGAAGTTTCCACCGAAGGGAGGTTGGAGTAATTATCTTCCTCCTGGATTTTGGAAGATGCTTTGACTTTGCTTTTTGACTTCTTTGAATTCCTTTCTCATGGTTTTGGACAATAAAATATTCATCATCACATGGCCATCCTTGAAAATCTCTTTCTTAATTTTAGAAATTTCTGCATTGTTTTCATCATAGATTTCTGATCTTGCTCTCTTTGAATCTTCCATAGTTTAATAATGCACAAAGCATTATTGAACCTAAAATCTAGGATTCTTGGTCTTTCTTATGGTTAGACGAATAACTTTTCCAAATTTTGACAAGAAATCTTGGATTTAATCCTTTGTAACTTCTTCCTTGATGTTTTGAACGAGAATCAATCTGTCATCTGGATTTAAGTGTTTGCTGTAGACCATATTGTAAAAGAAGTTTTCACTTTCTCCTTTGAAAGTGTCATTATGATCTTGAGCCATTTCCTTGAATGCCTAAGTAATTTCAGCAATGGAGAAGGCCTCACTTGCATCACTGTTGACAGGTGGTCCATGTTTGTTGATTAATTCCAATGCATGATGAGCACCTGAATTTATGCATGGATGTTTTCTTTATTGTTCGCAAATATCCAAATTATCTTTTGCTTATTCTGAGTTTTCGAATGAGATCATTGACCAAGGTTATCTTGTGTGTTAATCAATCTTGACAAAGCAGTCCTTCACTTAAGTACCATGTTTTTAGAAGTAATCTTTGATTATCAAAGACCATCCATATTCAATTGCTCTGACGACCTTTTCCTAATCCCAATACTTCTGAGGTAATGGTTTAGCAATGGCTCTCAGATAGATCGAACTGGATTCCACCTTTCTTTCCGATTGGGCTTTGAATTGCTCCAACTTCAGCAACTTCCCCTTGTGAGTTATTGGGTGATTCATAACTCTCTTTATCAAGTTATCGGCATCTTCCTTCTTCTCAAATTGAACATAACCATAACTAAAATGGGTTAACCTTAATTGATATACTTTAATTGCTTTCCTAAAATGTCCCTGTGAACATCGACCGATTGCACAGTACCATATCTGGAAAACTCTTACTCCAATTCTAAGATGTCAGCATCTTCAGGTAGATTGTTAATGAAGATGTTGGCTTTTTTATCAGCATTATGATAATTGAAGTATGGCTTGACTCTGATGACATTTCTGATGAACACTTAATTATTGAATTTCTTTCTTGCTTCTTCGGCAGAATCTGGATGAGCAAAGGTAATGAATGCTTATCCTTTTGATTTCTGAGTAGTCTTGTCCTTTGTAATCTTCAAACTTTGGATTTCACCTACTTCCTTAAATTTACGATATAAATAATCTTCGGAGATACCCTAAAAGATGTTATTGAAGACATTCATACCTGATCTAAATTTTCAATGTAAATTATGGTCTTCATTTATTGTGGAGTGGTTTGTGGAGGTAGTTATTGCTGAATTTCTTTTTATTGCATATTTTTGATTTTTAAATAAATATTTTATTTAAAGATTTAAATTGAATTTGCATATTTAATTAAAAATAATATATATTTGCTTTTTAGTATTATCATTTATTCCTCTCTAATTTCTATCTCCTGCAACATCAACGCTCCCTCCCTTACCAGACAACCAACTATAATACAGTATTCAGGAAGGTCATCTAAATGAATGAAAAGGACATATTTGGAAAGAAAAAGATAAGATTAAACATCAATTAAATGAACAGTCAAGTTTTATTAATTTGATATTAAATTTGATTAAATAAGATTCAGGAGTTTCTATTGTTGTTTATTCTCTAACCTTCAAAATAATATTAATAATATTATTATAATTTGAAACCTATAAAGAACAACATTAATTATCAATTTCAACTAATAGAGTACATATATAAATTATTGATTGTTAATTTAGAAAAATAATGGCAGATTTTATTTTCTATTTACTAAACAATAGCATTAATTAAAAAGTAATTTTTTCCATCGATAATTTAAGTTCGCTGATTGGAAGTAGTTTTATCGACTTCGATTGTTTATGAATTAGCGCAGATGTTCTTATTAATGCTATATCTTTATTAATAAATTCTAAATCATAATATTAATACTATTATGATTTGAGATAGTGTTACAATCCTTGGTCCATTATTTTATTATAAAATAGAAGAAATTACATTAATTCTTGGTATCAAACTCATATTTGTATCAAAAAGTAACAGAGATTATAAATGAAATACAATATTAATAATAAGAGTTTAGAATTCCTTTTAAGTTTGATATTGTAAGGTTATTATTATAAATGTATTAAAATTCATATCCAAATTATAAGTGAAGAGAGTATTGTTTTATTTTTCTATGTTATCATTAAATTGTAAATTTCAAATTTATTTTGACTTAAAAAAAGAATAGATCTCTTAAATAATTTACTAGTAATTCAGCTCTATTTATGAGGGATATTCAGTTGTATTAAGTTATCGATCTATTTTTTTTAATTCTTAAATTTATTTTAATTTTATAATTAAATATATTAATATTAATCATCTAATTCAAAAATGCTACACCATGATGTAGTTGTATGTTATAAATCAATTTTCTAAAATGGAAATTTACTTTCAAATATTAATTGATAACAGATATTATCATGTGATGAAATCCTAATATTCTTCTGAAAATTTCTTTAAATATTGAGTTTTCCTATGTGTGAATGTAAGTATCTTCTCTATTAGGAATCAAAGATCGAAAGGCCGCCAAACAGCTTATTTTAAAAAAGTATTCATAGCTTATTTTAAAAATTATTGCAAATGCTGATGACCAATTATTAGCACCTAATGTATTTTTTTAAACATATAGTTGATGTTAAATTTGCTATTCATTAGAGCATTAATTCAAGTTGATCTTAATACATTCCAAGAGCATGCTTAAGCTGATATTCATGAAAGGCGCATTAACTTAAAAAATGCCTCAGTTTTGTGATTTTCACGTACAGATTATTGGCAAGTTGCTTCAATTAATGCAAAGAACAGTTGTAGTTGACTGGTAAGGATTTAGATATGTCTATTAACAATACTCTTGATGAACAAAATTTATCTATATCTATGAAATAATTTTTTAAGTATATAGTTGTTCAAGTTGGGCATCTCGAAGTATCTGAGCAAACTGATCCATTAAGGTAGCAGCCTCTAGCTGGTCGACAGATAGTTTACGGAATATGAAGAGTATTTGAAATTAGCAATATGAACTTCATTTATTAAATATCATTGCAATATATGATTAAATGGTCTAATATTCTATAAAGAATCTAAAGCTATGATGCAAGCGACTATAATGAATTTATTCAAACTTATATTTTCCTTAAGTTTATTATAGTTATAAATGTATAAATAAGAATAAAAAACTTCTCAATTAGAATTATAGGAAAAAGTCACAAGCCTTAATATGAGCTACTTTTTGTGGAATAATGAAGATTTGATAATAAAACTACTTTTTAGATGGTTGTAAATATTGATTGCGTAATGCGGCCATTTAAAGCCCAAATTATTGATAACATTATATTAATAATATTATCAAAAAATGAAATACCTGATTGCATTACTCTTGGTATCATCCATTTTAGCAGCCATCCCAACCAAAGTTACAAATTGCATGGCCAATCCAAAGATTGTTTTCACAGAGGCAACATTCAGTGTTACACCAGCTAAGGGTGTCGATGAAACAATCACACTATATGGATCTGCCAACGAACATGCAGAATTAGATAATGTTTAACTCAAAGCCAAATGGAATGGAATGGATGCTTTTGAAGACAACTATCCAGAAGACGAAGTCTATGACAAAGGAGATCGTGTTACCTACGAGTTGACCCAAAATTTCCCAACCTATACTCCATCTGTAAAATAATTAAATAATATAAATAGGGTAAAATTACTGTCCAATTGTGGTTCTAAAATGCTAAAAAAGTAAACTTTGCATGTGCTGAAGTGGGATTTGTTATCTGATTCCAAAATCTGTATTTTTTATTAAATAAGATATAAATTTTTAAAAAAATTCATACTTTTTAGATAATATCAAAATTTTTCATTAATATGGCATACCTGAGTAAGAGAATCGAGACTTCATAACTTTGGTAGTCGATCTAATCATATAAATATCTAAATTACAATGATGTAGAAGAATCTAGAAATCTTAACAGAATATAATTAATATATATAATTTATTAAGAAATTTAAGTCGATTCATTCAATAACATTATTTAATAACTATAATAAGTTCATATCAAATAGCTCAGCCGAACTTGTAAATCATGAATCCCAATTAGTTTATGTAAAAATGTATCATACATTAACTTTCATAAGAAACAAAGGACCCAAAATGTAATCCAACTATCACATGCCATGTCCCTTAAAATTTATTATCAAATTCATTTTTTATGTATTCAGCTATGTCTTTAAAATATCTCTTCTCTCTTTTAGCAGACAATTCTTAAAATTAATAATTTATGATATACTAAAAGCATGCTCAGCAGTTTCAAATGCAAATTCTTTCTATGCTTAATTCATATCGCAAAAGGTGACAACAGGTTTATGAATTTCCAAATTTGACACTATTACTACAGCATCCTTAGACTACCCTCCTCGACCAAATGACTTATCAATAGCAGAGCTTCCAATTTTTGATATGTCCATTAATTATTTGTATATTAATTATAATACTATATTAAAATGAATTTATTATCAATATAATAATTTGATAAAAGCATTGAACCAGTGACTATCTAATATGATTTATATGAAAAAGGATATCTTTTTTGTTTTATTTTATTTCCATTTTATCTAGATTTTAATACAATATATGATCAATGAATTTTTCATTAAGTGCAATATAATATAAGAATTATTGCGAGTCAAATTGAAAATGCAAAATAGCTGATGTCGAAAGAAAACCTGGAGAAAATCTGAAATAGAATTTTCATAAAAAGGCAAGAAATCCTATTAATCTAAGCTAATGGAACTGATATTGACCAATATTTATAAAATGACTTATGCTGTTAAAATCAATCTAAATTCTAAAATTCTTAGAAGAAAGAAATAACACTAGACACAATTATAGCTAAATTAGTGAGTGTGTATCAGATATGCTTCTTCTAATTTATATCATAATATCGTATAGATGGGGTTCAATAATTTCAATCGAAGGAGTAATATTTTATAAAATATTTGTATTTAATAATTAGAACATATGCGTTTTGATGTATTGTACGATTAGCTCATTGCAATTAGATCAAAAGTGATTAAGTCTGTCGGATGTATAAATTAGGGTAGTATCATTAGAAAATGGCAAGGAAATTTAGGAACAGCAGATTAGGAAACCTATATTGAATACCATAATTTTGATATTCTTACATAAGTAAATCTTTATCCTATTTCTAAAGCTTTAAATAATATTTTCAGCAAGTGAATAAGAAATATAGAATGAAACAGATTAATTAGAAATTTATTCCTAACATTTTCAAGAGATTATGAGTTCTTTTAAAGTCAAATAGCTGGAATAAGAAGAGGAATGAAACACAAATAAATTTATCATTAGATGTATTTTATAATAATATTTATAAATTTTTATTTGTGATGAGAGGCTTCTTTGCCATTACAAGGGCTTTTATTGCTCCTGTTGCAAAATCAACTTTTCATTTCTCTTCCCAATAGTCAAAAATATAAATGAGAATGTATATTAAATTTGTACTATTACAAGAGTCATTAAGAAAATAAATCACCTTATTAGATTATCATCTACGATGTCTGGTTTAAGAATTGCAAATCAATACGATATATCATTGTTTTCATTGTTAGAGGAGGCTTAAGGTAATATTTAAGATTTAGTATTATTAGGTAAAATTATTCTTATGAATTTTAAGATGACTCGACTGACTTGGATAACAGGCAAATTGGCTTACATTTAGGATGCACAGTTTCCATATGATTGGTAAAACATTATTATATTATAAATATTAACATTATTTATTATTCGGAATTCATTCTATTTATTGATAATTATTACATTTGGTAACGGATTTCTTATAGAAAATCTTATGATTATTTTGTAATAACTCTTGCATCAATTTATTAAACCATATTTTAACTATTAAATGAGGTTGTATTCCGTCTTTCTCAACAAATTGAAAATGAGAACCCTAAGATACTATAGTAGAATAGAATTGTACTCTACNTTATTGCGAGTCAAATTGAAAATGCAAAATAGCTGATGTCGAAAGAAAACCTGGAGAAAATCTGAAATAGAATTTTCATAAAAAGGCAAGAAATCCTATTAATCTAAGCTAATGGAACTGATATTGACCAATATTTATAAAATGACTTATGCTGTTAAAATCAATCTAAATTCTAAAATTCTTAGAAGAAAGAAATAACACTAGACACAATTATAGCTAAATTAGTGAGTGTGTATCAGATATGCTTCTTCTAATTTATATCATAATATCGTATAGATGGGGTTCAATAATTTCAATCGAAGGAGTAATATTTTATAAAATATTTGTATTTAATAATTAGAACATATGCGTTTTGATGTATTGTACGATTAGCTCATTGCAATTAGATCAAAAGTGATTAAGTCTGTCGGATGTATAAATTAGGGTAGTATCATTAGAAAATGGCAAGGAAATTTAGGAACAGCAGATTAGGAAACCTATATTGAATACCATAATTTTGATATTCTTACATAAGTAAATCTTTATCCTATTTCTAAAGCTTTAAATAATATTTTCAGCAAGTGAATAAGAAATATAGAATGAAACAGATTAATTAGAAATTTATTCCTAACATTTTCAAGAGATTATGAGTTCTTTTAAAGTCAAATAGCTGGAATAAGAAGAGGAATGAAACACAAATAAATTTATCATTAGATGTATTTTATAATAATATTTATAAATTTTTATTTGTGATGAGAGGCTTCTTTGCCATTACAAGGGCTTTTATTGCTCCTGTTGCAAAATCAACTTTTCATTTCTCTTCCCAATAGTCAAAAATATAAATGAGAATGTATATTAAATTTGTACTATTACAAGAGTCATTAAGAAAATAAATCACCTTATTAGATTATCATCTACGATGTCTGGTTTAAGAATTGCAAATCAATACGATATATCATTGTTTTCATTGTTAGAGGAGGCTTAAGGTAATATTTAAGATTTAGTATTATTAGGTAAAATTATTCTTATGAATTTTAAGATGACTCGACTGACTTGGATAACAGGCAAATTGGCTTACATTTAGGATGCACAGTTTCCATATGATTGGTAAAACATTATTATATTATAAATATTAACATTATTTATTATTCGGAATTCATTCTATTTATTGATAATTATTACATTTGGTAACGGATTTCTTATAGAAAATCTTATGATTATTTTGTAATAACTCTTGCATCAATTTATTAAACCATATTTTAACTATTAAATGAGGTTGTATTCCGTCTTTCTCAACAAATTGAAAATGAGAACCCTAAGATACTATAGTAGAATAGAATTGTACTCTACTAGCTTCATTTTCTAGGAACTGCAATTAAAGCCATATTTTTTAATTCCTAGGTTCAATATTTTTCTATGGCTTTGAGTGAGAAGAGATCATTTTTAAATCTCAAATACATTTAGTCCCTTATAATGATTTCATCATATTTCAATAATTATTTTATTTTTTATTGCCTACATATGAGCTATAACCTATACGAAGATGTATAAGAAAAGAAATATCAATTCGAATAGTCATCAGAGAACTTCTAAGGAGATGATTCTCCGATGCTCGATTTATACCACACCATTCATTAATCTCCTCCATCATAAAAATGGTCCATAAATAAAGTAAGCACTGGGTTGAGCAAATGCATAAGAAAAATAAAACTCACAAGAAAAGTAAAGACAAGTTAATATATTTCAGAAGGGAAAAGTATCCATTTACATGAAATTTAGATTTTATTATATAAAAGGTAGCCTCTCTAGATGATGCTAGCCACTTAAATAATCAGGAAAATTGGAATGTCCATTTCTAAGAAAAAGGTTTCAAAAACATGATAAAGTAGATGAAGCAATTAAACATACAATGAATTGTATGCAAACTATCTCATGATGCATTAGTTATCTATGTTATGTCTTTTTCAATCAATTAGTTATACTCAATATTATTGTTACGTATTGAATTTCTTAAATATTGTACATCGCAAAGTGTAATTTTTTATATTTCATACATGAATGTAAATCACATCCAATTCAATGAAATACTTCAATACCCAACTTATTACAAGAACTCCTTCAACATAATCTAAAGGAACTACTATCGTAAGAGTTAAGCAGTTGAATTAGGATATTAATTATCATTTTTTTAAAAATACTTAAATAGTATGTACATAAATTAGATTTGATGTTTATATTAAAAAATAAATATCTACATAATAAATAATGGGAACAATTAGAAAAACTGACATTGGGAAGAATTATAGTTCGACATTTACTATGTTGTGCTTTTCCATGATTTTGAAGATTAAATACTACTAGAAATCCTTAATAAAAGTATGTCAATGTACTTTAACACTATGTTATAGAAGAATTTACTTAATGTTAGTCATAAATCGTAGATTTAAAATGGGAAATCATAAAAAAATCATTAAATTTTGATGATCTAACTGAGAAATAGAAGTTAATAACAATATGGGATGTGTAAACAATTGACTTATGATATATTCATAATTTTCACTTTTTTGTAACCTTCCAAACGAACACACATTAATCTTCTCCTCCAGTTGAGATGATTCTTGAATCATCTTTGGTCCATTTAACATTTGTAACATGGGATGAATGTCCAGTACCAACAACGGCTTCAGAGGATTTCTTCAAGCTTGGGTATCTGAGTATTCTCACATGACTAAAGTCATCTCCGGAAGCAAGCAAATGATAAGATGTTTTAGGATCATTCTTTCCATTAATAGTAGTATTTGATCGATCAACGGCATTGATATCAGTACCATCAGCACATTCAGGCCAAATACCTTAGACTGGCCATCCAAGAGTAACTGTCCAAGTGTACCATAATTCATCCTTTAATGCAGATGCTCCACCAGGTAACTAAAAATTAATGATAACTAAATAATACTTATTTGCATTATGCTACATCCCAAAATAAAAGTTCATAAGCACCACAAGTGGAATGCAAATTGACACCATCTCTACTAAAGTCAAAGTGAGTAATATATGATGAATGTTTTTGCATTTTTTTGCCTATTGCTTTCCATGAAGGGTATTTATAGGCGTAAAGTGCGTTATCATGTGAACCAATAACACAAGTAGTACCATCAGGAGAGAATTTGATATCGCTGATCCATTCTTTAGCCTATTTAAATACTTTGGTTTAATTAAATTCAGCATCATATATTCTAATAGTACCATCCTTCATTCCTGCAGTGAAACCTTCATCCTTAGGATTTGTACTAACAACACGTGCTTTGCATTAATCAGTGAAATCTCCAGTATTGAGATCCCTCTTCTCTTCTTTGCCATCAGCAGTAAGAAGAGTGCTACCAATTTTAACTTATTTCCTATCAGCAATAGACCAAACACGAACAGTACCATCATCAGAACATGTTACAAATTTATCTTAGTCTTCTTAGAATATATCCAAACCCCAGACTTCATTGGTCCATTTCAAATTTGGACAGAAATGACCTCTCATAAGATTTGTAACCTAAAAGTCTGTTTGACTATTAATAGCTCCACCATCCCAAGAGAATTAATAAATTTCACTACCCAATGTTCCAATCAACAATTTGGAATTTGGCAAATCAGCATAGATGGCTCTGACACTAGGACACACAGAATCTGGACACTTTTCTTTTACTTTCACAGCCAAGATTTCTTCATAATTTTTACTTAAAACAAAGAATACTCCATCTCTTCCTCCTGAGAAAACATAATCTTGTGTAACTGTAATGCAATCACAAATCTGGGCATGTTTACTTGGCAATGGTTTCATAAATGCTTCTCCTTTCCATACTTAAATGCAACCATCTGCAGCTCCACATAAGGTATCATTTCCATTAATGGCAATACCTGATAAATTGTTGCTTGCTCCCTTTCCGAATTATCCCTTCTTTCCTTGACATTTACCATTATCATATTTCCAACATTTATAATGCTTCACTCCGACTGTTACAAATGCATCATCTGTATTCCATCTTAAATCAACGATAACATCTGGGCCACTCTTGTCTGACCACAATACTGCTCCTTTTCCACTCACATCAAAAACTGCCAATGAATGATCAACATCAACTGCTCCAGCAACTAATCTTTTACCATTGGGAGTAAATGCCATTGCTATGATACCTTTTTACAAAGGGGCTTTGAATTAGCATTTCACTTCCTTAGTCTCAGCATTCCAAACAAAGATATTTGGCTTAGCTCCTAATTCACCAGTGGCTACAGTCATTCTATCTACAGGATTCAGATCTATTGCTGTGATATCATCTTCATGCTTATTGAAATAAGTTTAGGTATTGCTACCAACATCTAAGACGATTCCTAATGCAGCTGCATTATATAATACTTAGCCATTTGCTAAAAAGAATAAATTGTTTCTCATATCTTTTGTACGATAACCATGTACATATTCAATTTCCAAATCACACTTTGGTGGTTTGTGTCCATCTGTTTTGCTTTAATAATATTGATATGTTGGTTCTTTAATTGCTCCCATCCATGGTTTGCATGCCATAAATTAATCTCCTTCATCAGTTTCCTCTTGGGAGAATACTGAATTTTCATCTTGCTATATTTATTTTTTAGGAGGTGGTTAAGCCTTCTTCTTTTTAACAGGCATGTCAATATCATCTGCTCCTTCCTCCTTGCATAGTTCTTGCAAATTAACTTACTCGACTTTTCCTTGAGCACTTCCAAAATCTGTTTTCCAAACAATAATCGATTTATCATTTCCACCTACTGAAATCAAGAAGTTATCGTCGCATGTAAATCTTACTCTCATAACATGAGATGAATGTCCAATATACTCTTTTCTCTTTTATTTGGGCACTACAACTGGATAATTCATCAAAACAACATGTTGAGTATCTTCACCAGATACCAAGTATTTTTTGCTATTGCTTCTACAAACAGTATTGACATCACTGTAATCTGCTGAAGGGAAGATACCTTAAACAGGCCATCCCAATTTACAAGTCCAACTAGCAAATTCTGTGTTAGCTTAACTAGAGGATGGTTGATTTTTCTTGGCATTTACATCAACATATTTAAGTTCATATGCCCCACTATTGACAACTACAATAGATGAATCAACTGACCAATCCAAAGCAGTCAAGGCTGAAGTTAAACCACATTAAATTTTGGTTCCTTATTTACCAAATTTTGGATATTCAATAGTCCATACTTCTAAATGTGACGCACCACCATGAGCACCAAATGCTACCTTTTTACAATCTGGTGATATCTTCAAATCATCAATCCAATATGTAGATTATCTCTTAGGCATAGTGGTAAAGATGGTCTTGGCAGTGTCCATAATTTGTAAAGTATTAGGATCCAATAGATATACAAATCCATTGAGATCACCACAAACTATAAATTTACCATCAGTTGACCAATCAACAGCTCTAACCTCACTTGGGAATGGTTTACTAACACAAACCATCTTCTTTTAATCAATATCCCAAACTCTAACTGTCTTATCACCACCTCCTGTAACGTATTTGTGTCCAGTTGGAGCAGCACAGGCTCCCCATAATTCTTCACCAAAATGACCTTACACTACAATACTGGTTTATTTCTTGGTTGGATCATAAGAGAAGATCTAAGCACCATTAGTACCAAATAACCACTGTTAAGTCTTTTCATTGTAATCCATGGCCACAACACCTGGTGGGAAGAGCGGATTGGTAGCCAAATTGATAATCTCCTGTTTCTTTACCAACTAACCTCCTTCATAACCCCATGAGTTAACTTTGCCATCTAATCCTCCAGAATATAATAATTTCTTGGCCTTATCCATAATGAATGAACACACTTTGCCTTCGTGACCCTTGACTCCTTTATCACTACTTCCACCTTTCCAGCAGAACAATGTTCCACTGCCTCCTCCTGAAACGATGACTTGGTTGTCAAATGCATATGCAACTGAGAATTAAGATTCGAATTTGCCTTACTACTAACCCATTTTGCCTTACACATTACGTCCACTTATTTTCCAAAACTTTATGTGCTTATTACCAACAGTCACAAATTCTTCATTGTCCTTCCATGCTGCTCCATTAACCTTTGCCTTGTCTATGTTGGATGTACAAATTTATCTTTTTCCCTACCAATCATATATGGCTAACGAATTGTCATCATCTTAACCTACTGTTAACAATAAAGATCCATCGGGTGAAAATTTCAATAACACTATTGCTCTTAAATGAAATTGGTTGAAGTTAGCCAAGACCTCCTTTGAATCGATGTCCCAAACAAAAATATCAATACATTTAGCTTTGCCTGCCTAAGCCATCTGTCCTGTGGCTGCTATGTTTCTATTTGGATGCAAAGCAAAACTAACTATATCTTCTTCATGTTTATTAAAGAATGCTTGTTGTTAAGTCTTAGGATCTACCTCCACTCCCAAAGCAGCTGATACAAACACCACTTTATTTTTATCTGTCCATCCCAACATGTCTCTGCATTCATCCAAAATGTAAAAGAATCTGAATCCATGAATATGGTACAATGATAAATTGCCCTTCGGGTCCTAATTATCTCTAGCCTTGTTTGGTTTGTACCATGATGGAACTGAATGTTAGACTTCACCTAAAAATGGCTTGACTGCTCCTATCATATCGCCCTTATCTAGCTCTTCTTATTCAAACATAGCTCCACCAACATTTTCTTCAACTTTTTCAGGCTCCTCCTGTATATCTTATACATCTAATTTGGATGGAGAGAAGATGTATCTCCATTGAAATATTGATAATTCGTCACCTCCCACTGAAATGATATGTTCGCCACTATTTGTGAACTTGATTCCACAGACGTAGGAGGAATGTCCTGTATATTTGATACATCCACTCTTTGGTTGTGGACAAGGATATTTGAATAGTTTAATTTTACCAAAGTCATCACAAGAAACCAAACATTTGCCATCCTTTGATCTATCAGTGGCATTGACATCATCACCATCAGAACAATCTGGCCAAATACCTTAAACTTACCATCCATAAATGCAAGTCCAAGTGAACCATTAAATGTCTTTGGCAGCTTCAAATTATATTGGCTATGCTGAATTCACATCATAGAATTCAATAGTATAATGGCTTGTATTTAATTGGATGAATTTACTGTCGGCAGAGAAGTCTAAGGTGAAGACATGATATTTGCAATTAGGTATTTTACTTTGTTTTTTCCAAGTTTTCGTTGAATAGAAGGCAATTTCAGAAAATGGTGGTTTATAACACACACACAAAAGTTCATTATTAGGTGAGAATTTGATTAATGAGATGATTTCTTTGTCAGGATCTACAACTTCAGTTATCTCTGATAATTTTTTTAAGGAACTTGCATCATAAATGAACGTTCTGCCATTAGAACAACCAGTGGCAACCCATTTCCCATTTTGACTAACACTCAATGTTTTGCTGCCATATTGATTAGGAGTTGACTTAAGTAACTTCTTCTATTTGATATCCCACATGCCTAACATTTCATCTTCTCCTACAGTATAAAATATATTCTAGGTTGGATGTGTATCTAATCCCCACAATTCCCCATTGAAATGTCCTTACATCAGTAATTTACATTGTATTTTTTAACCTTCTTCATAACTAAGGATTTCTGCAATTTCTGATCTTCTGGTACCAAACAAGATTTTACCTTCTGGACTTTCGCAGACCGAAATAACATTAGGTGATCCTTTTGGTGGATAACTTAATTTGAGTGGTAAATCTTTGGTGTCAATTTCGAACACTTTATTAAATTATGGATCCCAACCCATAATGATACCTCTCTTATCAGCAGAGATGATTCCTCGACCAGCTGATCTCGTCATTATTGCTTTGACTGGAGTAACATGAGCCTTGACACTCTTAACACAAATGTTTTTCTTCCAACACAAGAAATTTCCATTGAAAACACCTGTAACGATATATCCTCCATTGATAGCAATGGTCAAGACTGGTTGAGGTTATTGTTCCTTCCAAACTCCTCTTTCAGCCAGGATTGTACCATTTTTCCATGTGCAAATACTGATTTCTTTCATGCAAGCGACAACAATTTACCAATCACCTGGTAAGAATTTAATGTCAAAGATCTCCTATTTAGTTAATTTACCACTTGCAATCAAGGGAGAGGTTTTATTCTTTGGATCCTTCCTTGAATTCACGGCTATATCAATATCATAGACAGCCATGAAATGGTCATCATCCATGGCAATAGCAGCCACACTCTTTCCGTCATTTGAAAAGCAACAATTAGATATACCATTCTTCAAGACGTCATTAAATAAACAAACCATTCTCATATTATCTATATTCCACACCATCAACATTGGATTAAGACCAACTTATCCAGTTAACACCAAATTTTCATATATATCCAAACAAGATATATCATCATTGTGTTCCAAAAAGTGTTTTTAACTCATATTGCTTGGATCCAAGACTATTCCAACACCAGCTGTATGATAAACAATCTATCCTTTGTTCCCATATTTTAAATTGTTTCTAGTATCATGACATCTATATCCATAAATGTACTCCAAATCGAGAATTGCATTAGGTGGTGAAGCATCCATTCCTTCTGGTTTCTTACTTGGTTCCAATCTCTTTGCTTATTCCTTCCATTCCATTACTACTTCCTCCTCTTCTAATCCAAACTCGTCACTTGCCTCTGCTGATATTGTATGTTCAATTCCATTTTTGATACGTTCGACTCTCTCATCTCTAGGCAGTAATCTTCTCTCCATCTCAATTTCAATGTCACTGTCGATGTCATTATAGCAAGTCTCCTCGATTGTCAATTCATCTTTATTAGCCAATCCCATGTTGTATAGTACTTTCAACACGTCAGGATCTTTTTGCATCAATTTTAAATATTCTTCATATTCAAATCCTCCATCTCTATCCAAGTCCCACTTCACCAAATATTGTGCGAGTTTCTCTTCAATTTCTTTGGGTGTTGGGTCATCTAAGCCTTCGTAATAGTGAAGATTGTTAAATATGCTTGTTAAAAAGATACCCACTTCCTTAGGTCCCAATTTGTTGTCCCTATCCTCGTCGTAGAGATCGAAGATAGTTTTTGCTGTTGTCTAGAGGTTCATAAATATGCTTATATTACCGTCATTGGATTTTGGCATAATTATGCAACTCCTACTTTAAACTTATAGTAGTCAACTCGACCGCTGTCATCAAAGTCCATCAACTTAATAATCTATTTGATATTAACAAAACTTCATTACTTTAATGGCTTCCTTATGAGTAACATTGTATTGATCGGCGAATTTGTTTGGATCGATCACTCCGTTGCTTTCGATTTACAACCATTTGTCACTTAAATCGAATTGTTACAGATACCTTAAATAATCAATTTGATTTTCTGAAAAACCTTGGAATCTGGTTTTCCTGAATTTGCCCATGATTTGATTTCCCATGATAAATTAATTGAAAAATAATAATCATTTACAACAAAAAATTAAGAGGCTTTTCGAAGCAACAACCCTCAAGATGCTAATTGAAATGGCTCTTAAATAATATCAATGCAAAATCCAGAAAATCCGGATTCAATTCAACAACCTAACTTCAATTAGGAATGCCCTTACAATTCAGTCCAACTTCACACAATCACATTCAACAACGTCTGGGATTACTTGGTGCATCTATAGAAATGCCATTTACTAAATCAGAGATCCGAAATCAGATAATCCTCATAATACTACATGTGTCATCGCTGTCTCAAAGTCTTTGAAGAACTCCAGCATTTATTGGATCACAAAGACACCGAACACACAGTCAACTTTGAGAAGGTTTTCGACAAAAAGCCAGAGCAATGGATACAATTGTCCAAAAAAGGAAGATGGGAAATCATCAAACTTATTGAGAATTACAAGGACAACTACCTCAACAAAAAGGATAACAATTCTGAGAGCATATTTCCTCTGCACCAAACTGATCCTCGGTTGAACATTCCGAGAGACACCACAGCCAAAATCAGGAATCTGCAAATCGAGAAAAAGGAGAAATTGTAATTGTACTTATTACAATCCAAAGTGTTGGAATCTGCTTATCACAAACTGTTCAACCATTACAAAGATCTCTCAATGGTCAATAAAGAGTATCCTTATAAATTAACCAAGGATTCCTTCTCTCAATTAATGATCAAATACAATATCAAATTGACCACTCAGTTGTTTGACCAATCGAGAGTATGTGAATTCATGGAAACTGCTCTCACCAATCCAGAGGATCATATCATGTATATGAATAGAAGACAAATCAATAAGTTCTTTTACCTTTGGATTTTGATTCATGAAGACGTGAATCCCTTCCCAGGTGTTCAATTTCAAGAACCTTGGGTGATATTGGCCATCCCAACATCCTCCGATCAATTGCTGAATATGCCCACCAAAAAGCCTGCAGATAATATATAATTATTGGAATTGCAAAAGTTATTGAATGAATAATTGGAAATTGCCAAATCAATCGAACAGGAGAAGTCCAAATTCGATTAGAGGAAAATTGAGGAAAGCAAAGTGTTGGAATAAAAGATCTAAAAACTTGAAAACCTCGAAACCCAATTAAGAATTCAATTGACCACTCAAAATAAGTAATTAAATGATTTTGAATCAGTTAAGTAATAATTAAAAGAACAGTCTATAATCGATCTCCAAGATCGTAGCAACAAACTCGACCATTATTATCAAGTCCAAAGAACTAAGATCTAAAATGATATGACTAATCAATCGGAACTATTTAAATTAGCTGATTCGTTTGCAAAAGAGAAACAAAAACTACTGTAACGAGTTGAGATCTACACGGAGAAAAGAAACAAGGTTCATTACGAAACTCAGGATCTAAAGGCTTAAATCACGAATTTGGGGGAGAAGCTGCGACAGGATGAATAGGACAGATTAAAAAGTAAGACTAGAAGAAGATAGAGGATTATCCAGGAGTTGTGTATCAAGTGTTAGAAGAATACAAGGGAAGTTATCCATTTTCCATGTTAACATTTCCTATTTTGCATTTAATGTATCATCTAAGGGATGGTTGAAAAAAGATAGCAATGTCCTTTGGTTGCTATTGGACAATGCAGAGATTAAAGAAATCTGGATAAGAAGTTCAAGACTGTCAGATTCAGCAAAAATGATTGATTGATAAAATATTAATATGAACAATTAATCCTCTATTTTAGATGTCTCTATAGATTGCATCATACACTCTGAAATTTATTTACAAAATAATATGGAATCTTAAATAATTTAATTATGTAACAAGGATTCTTGTAATAACAAAATGGGTACTATGACGATGTCCCACAAAACAAAAATGATGCCTAGGAGCAAAAAACAACTTTAATGGAATGGTTGGCCATCGTTGGATTGATAATGTTAACATACATGGTCATCATATTCATTTGGATTGTGTGTAATGTGAATTTTAATTCGTAGGTATGGCTGGTATTCATAACAATTTCGAAGCCACCGTCATTTGTTTCATGGTCATCTTCTTTTGCATTTACATCCCCGGAATTGGATATTTCTGGTATAATGGATTGCAAGTGAGAACACAACTAATACAAGACTTCATTAACAAGAAATTATAGGAGAATCAAATGGAAATCGGAGGAAGAGTTTGATTAATTTAAATTCAATATAATAACTACGCCAATTCATGACGACCCCTAATTACTCTCTCATTTTGCGACCCCAATTCACTAAAAATTTATTATAATCTCCTCTATGCCTTCCTGCCCTCCCAATTCCTCTCAATCCTTACTAACTACATTCGAAATCAATCATACATCCAACAACAAATCTATAGCCAAATCGTATTTCCTATTACTTATGGCATTCTCACTAATCTGGAATCTCAAATTCAAATCATCTGGTCTCTTGTCCAATTCTTGCAACTCCTCTTTTATCGTCTGAGGCAATTCATGCCATTCCCTAATCATTTTATAGAATTCCCTGATTTCCTAGTATAGTTAATTGAATTCTTAGTCTCCTGATTTCGTTTCAATCTATTTGAACAAGGCCTCCGCCTTATCGAATTCCCCTAATAGCACATGTCCCTTAACTTAGTATAGTCTAAATCTATCATAATGTTGTTTTAATTTTTCATTTTCCAGACTTGAAGCACTTAATTTAATCAATTCATGGGCATTTTCTTTGAAGGAATGCTGATTCAATTCCATTATAATCTTATCGCGTACATCCTCTCCAGTTATCTCTTTGGATAGACGATCTACAGAGGCAATGAAATTCTCTAAATTTTAATTTTTCTAATATATATCTACGAAAGAGTTCTTATAAACCAAAGCCACAAAGGGGATGGATTGAATCTGCAATTACTACTTAATTTCTTCATTCTTATCGATGTCGACATTAAGAAGTGTGCCCAAATTCTCATACTGCCTCAGATGTCCCAATAATGTTTTATTGAATTCTTTGCATTCAGAGGACCAAGAGGCATAACAATTTAAAAAGATCATCCTCTCTTCGCTCAATTTCTCTATCTCCTACAAATCATTTGCTTCCATGACAAATTTTTGGACTCCTCCAAATTAATATGAGAATCGAGGAAACCAATTCACAATTCTTTTAAGCATTTCTTTAATTATGAAAAAAATATTAATAGTCTCCGGTCTCGCGGGATCATAGAAATAAGAAGTTGTCCAAGTCTTAAGCTAATAGATGAAAACTAAGGTCCTCCCTGCAGATTCTTTGCAAGTAGCTCATCGTAAACTTTAAAAAGGTTTATAAAAATTGGCCAATATCCACCCACTGGCCAAAGCATCTGTCAAATTATGAATTGATAGGCAAGTACGATGGATTAACCAATTTCGTTACTAGCTTTTAATTTAAGAGGGAAGTCTTGAAATTCCTTCAAAATATTGATAATCCCATTATTGAAGGCGGATGTTGCTTCTTTATTAATTAAGTATTAAAATCGAGACATGAATAATTCAGCGAAGAACAAATTCAAATGGCTGATCAAAAGGCTAAACAAATCCTCCTCAATTGTTCTGATCCTCAAACTCTCTTGAAGCAACTTTGTAACAAATATAACGAATCTCCACCAATTATAGATAAGTATCGCTTAATAAGGGCAGTCCGCTTTGCTCTGCTTACAGATGGTAAACAATATCAGTCGCCTTTTAAACATGATGAACCTAAATTATGTGAGATTCTGGATGTTAGAGGGTTCTTTCTAAGTGAACCCTAAGAAAACATATGTTAAATAATTTATGAAAGGTATTCAATACATGAAACAAAAGGTGCAATGAAATGCTTTAATAAGGAATTCTGAGAGAATTTTATGCATTTTATAAAATAAAGCAAATTGGCAACCTTAGTTAATTAAGATTTTGCACACCCATAGGATATGATCTCTTTGTGGAATTGATCAGCAATTTGACTGTGATTAATGCGAATCCCAGTTACTCTCAATCAAAAAAGGAAAGTTTAAAGAGAGAAAGAGTTAAAAGTTTCATAGAGAAATTCTACATTAAATGGAGATAATACACATCTTATTAGAGAAGATACGTTAGATCAAATTTCAATGAATTTATGTGGATAGATAATCGACGAAGTAATATAACAGAGTTGATATCCTAATACTCTTCATGTGAGAGACAAGATTACACTAGTTAGTTAAGTTGTATTGACAGCGTGGCTTTGAAAATAGACAAGCATCCTGAATCAATGGGGAGGTTGATGAAAATTGAACCCTCGCCAGAAATGTAAGAATTGGTGTTGGAGACTATGTAAACTATGATTTGAGTTGGAAAGTATGTATACATAAAATAATTATCAATTTTTATAATGCTTCCATGTCTTGAGAAAGTCTATTAGATGGTTCTGTAAACTCAACTCTAATTTCTCGATAATGAACAAATACTATAAATTAGATTGCAAGATTCATATCGATTGATCTTGAAGAAAGATTACTTGCATATCTATAATAAGGATGACCCCTTTATTTCTCTTTTGATTTGTTTTCCAAATTTAATACAATGGTACGTTGTGAAAGACCTATTGATTGGGTTTTCAATAAACGGATACGAATTTACGAGTCATCAAGGCAATTTACTTAAGAAACTCAAAACTCTCTTAGGAGGGAGAATGCTGTTCTCCAAGGTTCAAGACTTCTTCTAGCCCTAGAAGGTATTGGGAAGTGGAAGTTCTTCGAAAGTGATGGGTGTGACGGAGAAGGAAAGCGGAAACCAATATGCTGCAAAATGTGTGAAGAAGGAAGATATGAGTTTTTAGGAAATTGAAATTAATAATCAATTGTAGCATCCTGCTTTTGTTAAGGTCAAGGAGGTGCATCAAGGAGAGACCAGCTTTTACATAGTGATGGATCTATTGCAGGGTAAAACCTTATAATTGTTTCTTGGGCACCATAAACCTTTCCAATTGGAGTAGACAAAATAAATTATGCATGTATAATGATCAATAAATATGAGAGGCCTTGTTGGAGGGCATAGAATTCATGCACTCCAAAAACATTATGCATAGAGATATTAAACCTGAAAATATCATTCTGGAGGTGAAAGGAGGGTAGGTTAGGTTGAAAATAGTAGATTTAGGTTTGGCTACTTATAGCACACTGAGTAAATTTATTTGCATAACCAAGTAGAGAAGTTCAAAAATCCCAAATGTGGCACTATTGGATTTGTGGCTCCAGAAATCATCAACTTATAAAATCCTAATCACACTTATGATAAGGCCTGCGACATCTTCAGTTGTGGAGTAATCTTTTACAGACTGCTCACAGGCAGAGATGTCTTTCCAGGATCTAAATTTTCCTATGTTTTTGAACTCAATAAGAAGTGCAATATTGATTTCACCTATCTAACTTTGCAAAAACTGCCTGTTAATTTGACAGTATGCATTTGTATTATTGAGGAATCTTGTTTAAAGAATGTTATCAAGAGATCCTAAATTGAGACCTACAGCCACTTAGTGTTTGAATCACGAATTTTTTAAGAACATTCAAAAATACAGTGTCATCCAAAAAAAGCAAGGGTTTTTGTAGTCCAAATAGCACACTGTTGAATTCAGTTAGGATCAAGACATTTAGGAGTATTAAGGATCGTTTGTGACTACAGAGAGAATGTAGTATTCAAGCTAACCCAGATAACAACAAAAGACTATAAAAAAATTGAATACATCGTAATTTGATAACATAATTTGAATGTTCAGAATTAATATTATGATTATTACAAAGAGCATTGTTTTGCTATATTCGATTCAGTCGGAAAAAATACAGCCCGAGTGTAATAGCTTTTCTCCCGGCAATTAGTTTTAGTTTCTCCTAATTGAATTCCACTGCATAGGAGTAAATTTCTTAAGGGTTTGCAATGCTGCCGATAACTGGTTTGAGTGGACAAGAGAGTGGGTTGACTATTCTATTTACTCACCCTCTTGATGTAATTTCCAAATATTTTGTTTTTGAAATCAGTGATGGATTTCAAATTTGGTGATTCAGTTTCTCTAGATTTTAAATTATTTTCAGTATCGCATTTTTGTATGACTGAATCATTTTCACTGTAGATTGGCAGTTAATAATTCGATCGTTTAGTTGAGGACATCATTCTTGAGGTGGAATCTACAACTTCGATATCTTATTAACTAATTTTGCTTAGTGTTTCTTGATTTTATTTGTTTATTTTTCTCATCTATTTTTTTAGAGCTAGGATCTATTTAATAATGACATTTTACTTTTTCTATCTTCTGTTCCTTGTTTTAAGGTAATTTGAATTGGTTGCTTATTAATTGTAAGAATCTATCCTAATATCCAAAGTTAAATAAATTTTTTTCTCTCATCTTATCGTCATACTCCTCCAGTTTCTTCATCATCTCATCTCCTTTACGAATCTACTCAATTAAGGTATCTCTATTTGGTTCCTTCGTTTCATATTACTCTAATTCTGTTAACTCAAATTACTCTCGCCATAATCCCAACCATTGATGCACAGATTTTTATTCGGTTTCAACCTCAGAATATTATGCTTCTTAGGTCCCATCAAAATTATTGAAGCATCAATCTTGCAATTCTTCCTTGCCAAAAATTTCTATTTTTATTTACATACGAATTATTACTAAGGATTCCATTCTTGTACATCCATCTTTTAGAAGACTGTGATGAGCACGAACTGTATTGAAACCAGTATTCTCAAATGCAGTTCTACCGAATCTCTTACAGGGAGGATGAATGAAGTCTTTACTCATTTAATAAATAAAATAACTCATTTCTATTGTTTTGCATCTTCGATTAAATTAATTCTTTTTTTGTATTACTCCACACACTCTTTTATACACTCCTCTTCGCTGTTGATGAACTTGCTACTATTGAAAGCATACACACACTTCTTGAAGCAGTTTTTAATAATATCCATAATTATATAATAAAATTAAAACTCATTATTATTTACTAATTTCTCGCAAGTACTTTCTTAGTCTTTTCTAAATTAATTATATATTAATATATATTACATCCTCCAAATCTCTGTCCAATTTACTCTACTTTATTTAACCCACCGTAATGTTCTCTCTCTCTTTCTTGTACTCCTCCAAATCTTGCACATAGAACTAATAAACCTTATCAAAAACCCTGTCGATGTTTGCTTGGCTTACGTAACTCCCAAAAAGGTGGAACACACTCATTGACATCGCTCCCTTCTTCCAGATTGAAATTGGCAATAACATGCAAAAACTACCCATCAAAGCACCCCAACAATACGCAGTGATTCCTATTCTATTCCTACAATCAGCAAGTTAAGCAACCAGCATCATCCGATTTTACAATCGAAGCAAGTCATTCAAGTCCATCTCCTAGTGACTCTTCCTCATCTCCTTGCTCACATACTCAGCAATAACATTATTTTTTTCAAACACATATTTTATCACATTTTATTTATGCGTGAAACTAAATTGATACTGTGGAATATATGTTCCCCCAAAAATGTTTGAAAGAAATTGCGAAGTTTGATTCACTGCGCTTGCATAGAAAGAATACAATTATCCTGTCTCCTCATCATAACTCGAGGGCTTGTGCTTTATCAACTAAGGTCCCTCGACAGGTTTCTTTTCCTCCTACTACTGAGACAATTCCATCCTTATTCTCTGGCTTAAGGTCATCGGTTTTCTACTTTTCTCTTTCTCCTAATCTTCCATTATTTTGTGTTGTAAAATAATATATAATACACTTTATTCGATTAATTTTAGTTATTTCTGCGATATTTTGAGTCAATTATTTCTTAACCAGAAGGTTAACCTTTGAAATCAGATTGATTGGTATTCAAAGACAGTGCCTTATTGTACTATTATTTTAATTATTTTTCAACTTATCCTTTTTGAAGTATTTGGATAATGACTTTAAATATTAATCTAAGAATCAATTATAAATAAAATTTGAAGCTATCTTAATATTCAAAAAAATGAAATAATACAATCACATGCAATTAAGGAAGTAATTGATTTTATAATATAAGATTTATACTAAAATAAAAGTTGATAAAAAAATTAAAAATGAATTATAACACTTACTAAAAAGGAAATCACTTTTGATCCAAATAAAGATCCACTATTGATTTAAGGGTTTATAAAGAAAATTATATCTGATAATAGTGCAAAATGCCAATTGTTAAATTTAATAACTCCTGATGAAAATAAATTTCTTATGAATTGATTTCTTAATTTAAGGGATAATTAATCAATTTTAATAGTCTTTAAATTTGAGTTAAGAATAGGCATTTTTAATGAATAGATTGATTCTATCATTAAAGGTTCCTTGTTTTATTAATATGTTAATAATTAGAAAATAAATAAAATATAAAAATCTTATTATTATTATTAAGTAGCTCATATCAATAATTAAGGTTTATTTTTTATGATAATTTTAAGATTTTATTTGCTTCTTAAAATATCCTTTATTGGGCATATTTCTGTTTTTTCGACACAATATAATTTGTTTTTCAAACTCTTAAGGCTTACAAGGCTTATGAAATCTTAGCTTTTATGAAACTTAAAATGTTGTAATACATCTTTCAAATTTTTATATAACAAAGTATTTTAGACTATAACTTTATGAATTGCATCAATAGTTTTAATTAATTTTTTGTTTAAACTTAATTATTTAATCAAGAAGCTCCTAAATTTAATAAGCAAAGATTACTATAATTAGGATATAATTAGGCCGTTGATTATGCTACCACTTATGATGCAGATACTAAATATTTTACCTGTTCCTTCTATTCTCATCATCTTTAATTTAATAAAGAGAAATAAATTAAGCAGCAGATATATAATAAATATAATCACATGAATACAATATTATTATGGCAATTCTTATAATAATCTTAATTATAATTACAGTGATGATATATTGATTTTCAGACAATATAACAAGTCTCTTTATAGCCATAATTATTACCAGTTCCCTTCAGATTCCCATATTTGAGTAGTAATCGCATTTAATATCTTCCATCAAAATCAATGAAAACAAATAAAAATACTATTTTTAAATTAAAAAACATAGATAAATTTCCATTTATTAATGAAATTTATTAAGAAATGTTTGAAATATTAAAGGCTTCAATTATAATATTTGATTGGACATACCTAGGTAGCATTAGAATAGGAAAACAAAATATTTTGGACAGTGTGCGAATTCATTAGAATGTTTTAAACCATCGCTCTAGTTTTACTATATAAACATATTATTCGAATGCTTAATACTAATATTGAATTTGATTAGCCATCTTCGAGTTAGGATAAGGTTGAACTGTTATGTAGAATTACGATGCCTACCATTTTGGTATAAGAATATTTGTCCTTAGAACAAATTATATATTTCTAAATAATATTTTTGGCATCACTCTTTTTAATGTTGCTCATCAACGTGGTTGCATTGAGATTGGAGTATATACATTTTAAACAAATAAAATTTCAAAATAAGCGGACATTTAACAAAGTAGATGGCAATAGTTTTTGTAATGATTATTAACTTATTTTGTAGAATCGCTTAATCTATTGAATAGCACCTACAATAACAATGATTTTACAGAGCATTTCCTATTGAAACAACTAATGGGCACCGACAATGGATCCCTTATTGAATTGCAATTACTGCGAACCTCAATATTAACCAATTATTTCACGCACATCATGTTCCTACCTTAAATTTATTGGGTTGCCATCATATTCTATCGAATCCACAAACAAACCAATTACTCAATAGGACTGTTTATTTTAAACTTTACACTCAACTCAATTTAACTGCTTTTTCTCATAATATTAGAAACTTTATCTTTGTACATGTAATAATCCTATCGACTTAAAGACACCAATTATTTGAGATTGAGAATAACCACTTCGTTTAAAATAGGACAGATGCTGAGAATCATTCCGACTCTAATATACTTTAGCGTACTTTACATAGTAGAACCAATGACCATATACAACAACTTAGTATTTGAGCAAGTGTTGTCATGTTTTGGAATTTTGAATTTGATATTTGATCTCCAAGATCAATCCTTCAATATCCCGTTTGTTTAGCCCTATAAAATCTATGTATTTCACTTGGCATTTTCATTGGCGTTTTGTTTGTCCTTTTTAAAACTGTTGCAGTTACACATAAATGACATAATAACATTGTCAATGATGATATCTCCTTGTATGTGCAAGATGCTCAACCAATTGACAGACTTCAATTTCAAGAAAATAATAACTCATACCTTGCATCCAGAGAATATTCCGCCTAAATAAAAGATTTTGAAACGAAATTCCCAATCAATAACCAAATCCCTTATCGTTAATGACGATGTTCATCAAATTGAAAGGCAGATCTGCTTATAGAAATTAGAGCAAGTGAGTATGATTAGACTTACAAATTACAAGTATTTCCTACAATTCCTGAGACTCTATGAGTTACTGTGTATTAATTAGCAGCATGTATATCAAACAACAGATGTTTTCAATCCCAACAAATCAAAGTTCCTAATGCAATGCTTCATTCTAATAAAAACTCACATTGAACTATGCAATAATGTGTACTGTTTTTGCAGAGGATTTTGGGGAGAGAAGAAACAGACTCTCTCTGTAAACTTACAAAAATAGGATATGAAAATCTTCTCTGATTACACTTGTAAGGGTCTAACCATTTCAATAGACTTGATCGATAGATACATTCGATATTACATTAAACTTATTTTGAATATAGAAATATATGTCACACAACCTAATTTAACATACATAGCTCAGTTAATCAGTTTTCTAAGCAAATCAGAAGAGTCATTACAGGCATGGCTATAAGTTATGGAGGTAAAGCTCTAATTGCAAGAGTAAAAAAAGCCATTTGATGAAATAACTACCAATCTGATAATAAGTTACTCTAAATATCAAACACTGTTTAGAGCGTAGTTTTATTTGAATGACAAATCCATCAGGAAGACTATCCTATACGGAGATTATAGGAACACTGAGTTGCAGAGAAGTCTGTTTATACATAAATTGATGCAGAGTCTGGATGTAAAGAAGAGTTACTTAATCAGATTAGGGAATAATAAGCAATCATACGAAGAGGTTCAATAACTTTACATTGAATCCAACTCTTACTTCCTGCAACTACAAAGTGAATTGCAAGAATTTCATGATCAATCGCAATGTCGAACTTCTTGTTTGCTGATGATGCTGTACTATTGTGAAGTTCGTTGTGATTACCTGCAGTTTTAGAAGTATAAGAATGTAACTCTATTTACTATATTTTTTAGTATCTCAGAACAAAGGACGTTAAGTTTTTTGAGTTCCCAATTATGTTTAATGCTCCTCAAAACATTTGTTATTTGAAGGTGAATTTGTCAAGATTCTCAAAACACAAGTGTCGAGGCGAAATCTTATCAAGATCAGAAAACTCATTTACGTTTTTTGGATTCGAATCCAAGGATGATTTCCTACGTCAACGAGTTACTGTTCATGAGTTAGTGCCACGTTTGATTTCCTCGGTGCACAACACGATTATTGAGTTATTTCTAATGAGCAATCGACCTAATGTAATCAGAAAGGAGAGGTACCTTATAGCGGAGAAGACCAACCAAGAGATCGTTTTCATTGAGATGTTTATAGACTTGTGCTTTGTGATTACTGGCACTGAGTTTCCGGTGTATTGTTTCATGCAAGAAATCAAGCCAGTTGGAGTCTTCGAGAATATAAGGGGACACATAATTGTGGACGACTATGAAATCATTCAAGGCATAAGCTCCTTAGCTTACCAATCTTTATTCCTGGATTCGCCAAGTGAAATCTGCAATAGGGAGATTTCAGAATTCTATGGAGATTTCACTGAAATTGCCTAGAGACTTAATCAAATGATGGACACAAAAACCAGTAGATACAGGGGCATGACTTAATCGGTGGTCAGCTAGTAGGGCATTCAATAGAAGGATGCGAATTCGGTGTATAATCATTACAAGTTGAAATTGGAGGATCAATTATTCATCATGAGTGAGTAGGACAAGTTCTTTATTGATATGACAGTCACATTGACGTATGGGATTATCAATGGGAAAGTTTCAAAAGTATTGTTATTTATTTATATTATATTTTAAATAGTACTTTGTCATTGAGTTTAATAAAGTTTAACAAATTGATATCACTGAGAATAATGACTCCAATTAAACCAACAGTTTGAAAAGCAGTGTAAAGTAGTCTTAATATACTCAAAGAACAAACACCTTATACGACATCTAAGACAACGAGAGGAGAAGCAGCGAGGGATCTATCAAACTGCAGAAGTACTCATTTCCCTAGCTCAATGAACAATGCATAACAGTCTCCCAGAATCAAATGCAAGGATTGAAGCAAGAATAATCGGATGACAGAATCAACAACCAAAAAAAACTGGAGAGGAAATCCAAGTTCTTCAATTTCAAAGGAGTTGCCAGGAAGTCTGATTCTAATGAACAATTTAATAATGATCACGATTCTGGATCTTCTAATCACAAGGCGTCGGCGACATCGCAGAAACAACAATTAGATGTTCAAAAGTTCGTTTCAAAAGGTATGCAATATTAGGAATTCTCGAATTTTGACTACGAGAAAATCATATTTGTAATACACATGATAAATGCTTTGATCCTGGGAATCATTTTAGTCTTTCTGCTGCTTTACTAATTGAAGTTCAAAAGCCAAGCAGAATCAATAATCCCGACCATTTAAATTTTACAAGCCTTCATTACTACTGATTACACCGACAACATCCAATTGTCCCTGATGTACAATAAATAGAAAGAACTCAATCAGCAGGATCAATATTACCAACACCTATAGAGGTTATTGGTAAAGGATGCCAAAAACTACTTAATGTACCAAAAGAACTACTTCTTAAATTAATAGATCTAAAATGTATTTAGTGACACCTAAGTGCAACATGAGAGTGAACAGGACACTAGTGCTTGGAATGCAGCCTTTTACATCCTCTACAATCAACTCGACTTTGTACAGGATCAGAACCAAAATCAAACCAACTAATTGCCGACTTATGTAAATCTGCTTCTGGACTTCCCATATCACAAAACAGCCTATGAAAATATCAATCAGGCATTTAGTGATTACGTTTAGTTGTCTATTGACAACTTTTCCGATTCCCAAAAGGCTCTCATAATAATCCTAGTGGTCCTAAGCATTATTATATCCTTCATCTCTCTTATTGTGTATCATAACTACTTCAAATACATGAAAAAGATAACCAGATGCAGTGAGCAGGTGCAATTTGATGCACTTGAATCTGAGATCAATATCTGTGCGACGATCTTAACCAATAAATAAGTATATACTCATTATCATCTAGAAATTGTGTCTTTATGATTACAAGATGGACTTCACAGCAAATTTCGATTTTCGATAGCATCAAGAAGGTCAGACTCATTTTTCTAGTTATAAAGTGATTAACAGTTCTCAGACTAATACCAAGCGATCACTCAATTTCACAGATGGCATTTCGATAAAAAGAGCATTGAGCTTTTTGTATCCTCTATTTTGTCTGTCAATCACATTAATCTATTTAGGAGTGACATACATGGATACGGAGAATGTGATGTCCGGTTTACAGAAGGATATAACCATATACAACGAAGGCATATTATTTTAGGAACAGTTTTCGATGCTCTGTATTAGTAGTATATTGCAAGAGAATAAGGATTATCTATTCTAGAAGAAGTACATCACTGCATCCTAGTTGCAACAATATTATGACTACATCTCGCCTTCCATTGTCACCACTCAACAATTGAGCAAAATCATTCGACTGCCAACAGGCATCAGGAGTGCTGATGTGATAGACTCCCTATCTGTTAACATTTGCAGTATCTTCTCGGATTAGGTGGATGTGTAATTATGCGAACGATTAGACTAAGGGTTGCTGCAGAATGGAGTCTTGGAGTCTACGCAATTCTACATTATTCAGTATAGGAACAACTACGAACTCAATTATCAAGACACCTTGGATTATAGTACCACAGAGGATATCGTCTCAATCAATTTCATCATCAAAGGCATCACTAATTACATCAACAGATCTAAGGAAAATTTGGAAACTTACATTCAGGAACAAATTGATTTAAAAATGAACTGGTTCATCTTCATTTTCACATTGACAATTATTTTGCAAGTAATCCTATCCCTTTTGATTTCATAAAACCTAAAATGGAGATTGAAATCCTTAAAACAATTGATATACTTATTGCCTCGTGACACTTTATATGCAAATGATAGTTTTATGAAAACACTAAATTACGTACAAAGACATCAAAATGATTTATGTTAATGATTCTATTTAATATTAAGATTATAATTGAATCAATTAAAAAATGTTTTTATCGATAACTCAGTGCTGTAGGTTTTTGGCTGCCTTCTCTCATAATGGTTCATTAGGAACACTTTCTTTGGCTTCGTTCTAAAGAGATTGTGCTTCGAGGAGATCATAATTCCTGACGCCGAGGGAGTTTTGATGTCTCTCTATTAATCATCGAGAATCTCATATTATTGCAATTTGGCATTAAACAGCATTTATTCAGTGATATTTTGATATTTGAATTAATGAGAAAGACTACTCTGACGATCAAAGGTTTGAGGTCGAGTCCCTTGTGATGTTTTGGAGAATGGCTGCTAATTAATCTGAGATTGATTAATTCCATTTTGAGATTCCTTGTCAAATGTAATACAACTAAACCGACGCTGCTCTCTCCTTCTAAACTCCTTCTTAATTAATTATGATTGGACCTCCAAATGGTTCAAAGTATCCGCTAAACTCTGCTCATTTTCCATTTATGCTCTAAGATTACCATATACTAATCCTTACTTTTTTTATTCGCTCTATTGCACTCTCCTAATGGCTTTCAGTTTCTTTTAAGTGGTCTAAATGAAATCCATCTAGCATAATTGATACTTGGATTTCTAAATGGAATATTGTTTGGCCTACTCCTTGATCTTAAACTCAGTCTAAGGAACTTCAGTTGGAATTACAATTTCTAATTGTGGTTACGAGGAATTCTTTTAGAAACCATTGAGATCCTTTGAAAATTCTTCAGAATAACTAAACTTCTTGTGAGTTTTCAAGTTTTTATTAATTCTCTGGTGATTAATTTTGTGCCTTTGTTCATACTGTCTTCTTACCAATCTTTCACATTATGGGTAATTATTGAACAATTTGGCTAAGTCTGTATAGGTGATCAAATAAGCCGAAAACTCTTGCGACGTTACTTAGGCAGTGTGTATCCTGTGACAATCTTCAAAGTATTCGACCTCCCCAAAATATTGATCTTGTCCCAATTCGCAAAGAGGGAATACAATGTGGTTTTCTTTCTTGAATAATTTGACAGTGCCCTTCTTGATCACAATTAAGGTCTGAGGAGCATCGCCAATTCTGTAAATGTAATGACTTATTGGGAAATGGACTTTTTCAAATTTGTATTAACTTTCTACGGCTTCTTTGTATGTTAAATTTTTCAGAATCGTCAAACTGAGCAATTTCGTCTTTTTTCTAATTTTTTCTTGAATAGATCTGAGTTTAATTTACCTAACTGACTGTCTTCCAGTATTGTCTTATAGTCTTTTTTAGTAAGTACGGCTACATGCAAAGAGGTCTTGGCAATGACTGTGCCAGTACGGGCAGATTCAATCATCAATCCTCGTTCTCCGAACATTTGTCCTTCGTGTATCTAAGCGACCAAATCGTGCAGGAACACTCCTCCATTAAAGAGGAAATCCTTGTCTGGGATCTTCTCGAGGCCAAAGGTTAATTTCTTGATTGTCTCCACATCTTTGTGTTTGACATCTTGGCGCTCAGTTTAAACGATTAAGCGTGGCTTGTACGATTTGGCTATCCTAAATTCTATTCTAATTTGGGCTATACTGCTCGAAATCGTCTTCCCGTAGATTTATTGTCAGTCTTCTATTTAGTTGCTTGGGGGCCTAATACAATTTGATTATTGTGCTTGGGTGTTGCTCCAATTCTGCTTCTGTCAGAGTTTTCAGTTGGTTCTCCTCAAACTCGACTTCTGCTTGGATTCGCTCTTGTTTCTTGCGCACATAAACATTGACACTCCCATCTATGATGATGAAGAATTCATTGGAAGAGTCACCTTTTTGCATACATCACTCATTACAACCTTCTTTGAACACGATGTCATTCTTGTTGTAATGTTTGTACATCATCATTTTACAACATCTTTGGTGCTATTTGGGATCTCGTAGACTCTTGAAGAAATCCAACTCTTTGGTTGCTTACTCCAGCACTGCCACTTCAAAATCCATTCGATCATCAGGTGGTGTTTTCAAAATATATTAAGCAACTTTCAATTATGTCTTTGGATCCTTCACTTTCAGAAATGATTGACACAGTTTCTTATATGTGTTCTGATTACCATTTCTAACACTCATAAATTCATCCGGTGAAATAACTACTTCCATTGGAACAAAATAAAAATAAAATAAAATAAAATTCTAATGGATTATTAGGAAGAACTCAATTAAAAAGATCAAACCATCAAACTATTGGAGGAAGAGAAGAATGCCTTGATTCAAAATGCAAATGAATTACAAACCAATTAGATCGCCTTGGAAAAAGAAATCACAAGATAAAAAACCAATATTGCTAATTATGAGGCGGAACTTATAGAATTGCATAAGGAGAGAAAATCTTGTGACGAATAAATTCAAAAGTCGCAGATCTAAATAGAATCCTATGAACAATAGATTACATTACTTAATGAAGATCTAAAGAAAGTCACCATTCAATGCGATGAAGCCTTGTAACAACTCCAACAAATTTAGAGTAGACATGAAATTGAAATTAAAACACTTCTATAGTAGTTGGCGAATGAGAAGGAGAAAGTTAATGAAATCAATGATGAGAATCTCCTTATTATCAATAATAAATAAAATGAAATCGATTTACTGATTGAAAAACTCAATGAACTTGAAAAACAAATCCAATCTAATCTCTAAAATCATATTTCTGAAGTAGAATACTTTAATCAATAAATAGAATCTGCAAAGTAAGCAAAACATGATGAGTGGGAAAAGACTGTCAAACTATTGCAGAATGAAATCGCTGATCTAAATAAAACATTGTCTGAAAAGGAACAAAATAACAAACCTGATCCATAAATTGAAGAGCTGAATTCGTACATCATAGAACAAGAATAATAATACATTAAGCAATTTGACACTCAAGAGGAAAAGATCAAATCATTGCAGAATGAAATTGCCCTATTGAATGCTCAATTGCTAGAATTGTAAAAGAATAATGAGAATTAACTACTCGAATTAGCAGCACTTTAATAGGAATTACAACAGAAAAATGAGAGTTGCTCTAAACTAACAAATCAAATTGAAGATTTAAAATAATAATAATAAAAATAAATGATATCATAACAAACTCAACAAGCTTAATCGGGTTCAAATGCCAATGCTGCTGACAAAATGGTGACCATCTCAATGAAGGATTTATTGAATTGGGATAAAAGGTCAAAAGATCAATAAAATCAAATTAAAGCTTTGTCTAACGAAATTTAATTACTAAAAAATCAATAGGAGGAACAATTAAAATTATAAAATTCAAAATAAATGAAATCCAATCTCTCATTAGAAGGAATGGTTCAAAAGTGCTAAGTCTTGTAACAAATAGTTGATGAAACCAGTCAACAAAACTCCAAAATTAATTCAGAACTCAACACATTTAAACTACAAAATCAATAACTTAAAGATGATTTGAACAATTCCTAACAAGAATTAAAAGAATTGAGAGTGATCGTCTCGGATAAATTTAGATTGGAAGGCGAACTTGCATCTGCCCACATCTAAATTTCAGAAAACAAAGATCTAATGAAAGTAATATTGATATATGTTAAAGATAGAAATTTAATGAACTTTAATCCAATTATGAAAATACAGAAGAGCAACTAGAAACAACCAAAAAAACCTTGAGATAAAGTGAACAACTTAGAAACAATGTATATCATGTCATTTATTATAGTTATAAATAAAATTAGATGAAATCACTATGTAATATCAAAAGGCCTCATAAGAATTAACTAATGTCAAATAGGAGAGAGATTAAAAGAATATTAAACAGAAAGACTTAGAAAAACTATTGCAATCTTAATTTTAAGAATACTCAAATCTTGAATCAAAATATAAGGAATCTTAAATCAATTATGAAGACATGTAAAGCTAAATTAAAATTTTACAAAAAAAATACTCTCACGTAACTTATCAATCAGTATCTTAGGAAACAGAACAATTAAAGGAAGAATGTCTTTAAAAACAAAAACTGATACTTACACTAGAAGAATCCAATAAGTCCTTAATTAATGACCTATAAGCATTAAGAGAATTGTAATTTAGATAAAAGGCACCTGAAGCTCCTCTAACAAAAAAAGAAAGAATTGTAGTTGAATCCCTTTCATTAAGAGTGTAAGAACTTGAATTGGAGAATAAAAAAATAAAAGATGCTTTGTGCGCAAAAATTGTTCTTTTATAAAATGAATTAGAACAGAAGACCAACTGCATCAATTAGATTGCCAATTAAGTAACAAAATAGGTTCCATCTTTATCAGAGCAAAATCAATTGGATAAGGAGGATGTCAAAATGATACAACAGCTCAAGAAAAAGCTCAACATTCAAGAAATATTAGAGGTATTCACGTATTCTAAACCGAATAGAAAACCCTGATTGAAAACCTACAGTTAAGGGACTAGATTAAGGTTTTAGGAACCGAAATCAATAAAAGAAAATGACTTATTATTTTTTATATTTATATGACAAATGCCATTTTGAAAAACACTTATTTTGATTGTTCTCTCGCTTCAAACTATTATGATGGGAGATACAATTTGATTAGTAAAATTAACATAGAACACTATTAGAAGTATTTTCTGTATGTCTGAGCATATAAATTAAATTTGACGTCTCTTACAAATTTAAATATTATATTAATTGTTAAGAAAATCCCACAAAATTAATTTATAGGTGGATATTGAAAATAAATTTAATTACTAATGATATTTAATATTATTATGCGTATTTATTGCGTATATAAAATTATAATACTCATTATGAACAATAACTGAAGTTTTTGCTTATTTAATAAAGATTTATTAATAGTAACATTATTGTTATTTATAATAGCTTATGAATTTCTATACTCTTGAATTTGAAGAATAAGTTGGATAAGGTATTTAATGATTTAAAGACTAGATTTAAGAGAATAAGAATAAATATAAGTTAGTGAAGAGTAAATGTGCGAATATGATCAAAGTTCTAAACAAGAAATTAATTAGGATATTACTTTTGATGGATACTTGCAAGAAGAACCTGTTCTAATATTTAATATCATTGAGGAATCACCAAAAAAGAAGAATAAATCCATCTTTAAAAAATCCAAAAAAATAAGAAAATCTGAAGCAGAAACAGATTTTAAGTGTTAAAAAAAATCTAAAACTTTAGTATCAGGTAAAGATGCGGCTAAACTTCAACAATGTAAAGTGTTAAAGACCATCATTTCCTAAATGGAGTCTATATTAAAATAAACTAGAACATACCTTCTTAATTAGTATTAAAAATAAAAATGAATGACGAAAACTTGAATTATATATTCAAAGAGTTAAAAGATTGAAATTGATACCATGAAATTCTCTGATTCTTTTCGATAAGTTATTTTAGACATCTTGTTTAAATTTTCAACTTCGAATTATTTTTTAATTCCCAATAAACGCAATGACATTGTAAAATTGCAGGATTTGTATTATACCAACAGAATTTATTAGTTAATAATTCGAGTCATGTAATATAAAATATGGCAATAAAAATAATTAGATTTTTCAGCTTCTATCATATTCCTCCTGCATATGCCTTATGCTCTGTTTGGGTTTGTTAATCTAAGTATTCACTTTGCTAATTTTATAATATTTTTAACTGGACAGACTGATATTAATTATTATAATAATTCTTATAATACTGACATTGAAATTATGCCAATTTCTTCAAGCTTCAGGTAAATTATAATATTTATCTAATTTTAATCTGTTTGAAAATATATTATTTCACCTAATCTCTATGGATTCAATTTTAATTGAAAGTAGTTGTAGTATTTTGTTAGATATTACATAAAGCCCTAGGATATTTATCAAAAAGTATTATCAGTACTATTTTGAAAAATTACAAAGAGTTTAGAAAATCAATTGAATTAATATTTCAAAATATAAAATTATTAAATATAAATGACAGAGGATGTTGTAAATCTGTTTGTATCAAAATATGGGTCATCAGATGCAAATAAGAATTCATTATTACAGAAATCTATATAGAAGGTCTTACATAAAGAGGGAGCAAATTCTTAAGTCTTAACTAAATTAAGATAAAAGCTTGGTTAATCTCAATCGCAATAACAATTTTTCCCAACCTTGGGTAATGGGGAATCCTCATTACCTAATAAGACTCCTATTGATTCATAGAGGAAAACCTTTGAACCATTCACAAATCGTGTGAAGCCGTTTCAAAGGACTTACTTATAATAGCTTGATTAAGTTTCTGAAACTTCTGAAAAACCACCTAAATCAGTTTATTACGTTGATCGATAAGATGTAACATTCTTACTTAATTAGAGGAGGATGAATGGGCTGCTCTTATGAAATTTGATGCGTAACTGTATTAAAAAGAATAGGAGAGGAAGAAGGAGTTGTTGTAATAAAAGAAGGCGCAAATGAAAAATGAATTAGATATGCAGTTGAGAATAAAATAGGAGAAAAAGCAAAAAGAGAAGGAATTAGAAGAGAAATACAATAAATTTCAAAGCGATTTATTACAGAAAAAGAATGAACAAGAATTAGACAAGTAGACATCTGTGAAAAATAAATTATTTCTTTTATAATCAGAAAGAGATATGTAGTTAAATAATAAAAAAAAGAAATAACATAGCGAGGACAGAGAATTGCGTAATTATAAAAAGGAGATCAGTAGGAGATATCAAGATGAATTATAAAAGTAGATTGATGAAGAAAATAGAATAAAATTAATGAAGAGAGAATATATGTTTAAAGTAATGAAGTAATCAGAGACAGATAAAATGGTGATCATGTAAAAGTAAAGAGAATAAGAGAAATTAGAATAGGAAAATTGTGAGAAGTAATCATATAAATATACTTAGATATGGAGAATTGCTTGATTAAATTGAATAGAGAAGAATAGAGGAAAACAGAAAAAAGAAGGAGAAGGTTGATAAAAATAATGCTTGGAGTGAATCATAGTTATTAAAGTATAAATTGGAAAAGGAGGATGATGATAAACTATAATATTGGAAATAGTTGGAGGAGTAGAAGTTTCTAGAGGAAGAGTAGAGGAAGAAAAATAGAGTAAATGAACTAAAATAAAAGACTATATAATCATTGGAATAATCGATTAAGCTTAAATAGAAAAAGAAGTAATAAGAAAAGGAGTTGGATAATCTATAAGGATTAATATGGAAGGAGGATACTGAAAGATTCTTTTAAGAAGAATAGGATAAATTGGATTAAGTTAAAAAAGTCAAAATTGAACATAAAAAAATACTCTAAAAACAAATGCAAGACAAGTTCAAACCTGAAAGGGGAGAAAAAATGAGTATTCCTGAACTCTTATAAAACAAAACAATTTTGAAAACTATTAAATAGCAAGATATCTATGATTTAGAGAAAACTGTTGTTTGAATTATAAATTCAATTAATTTTAGTATTATTTACAATGAGTATTACTTAAATCATATATTCTAACATGAATGTATATATTTTAAAGAGATAAGTAAAAAATGATTTTGTTTTGTTTAATAATTTTATATGCTTTAATTATTGATTTTTTATATTAATATTTTCAATCTTTTATGCTTTCGACATAAGTTTTCAATTCGTTCGCCTAAAGACAAAGTAATGGAATCATTAAGTTATTGGCATACGGAGTGTTCTTTGGAGGAGCATATGGTTGTGCTTGGCATCAATGGAAGGGTGCTTAACAAAAATAATTATATGAAAAAGTAGAAAATGAGATTACTGAATGGAAACCCATTACAATCAATGGCCTTAATGCTAATAGATATCCATGGGCCCGTAATATCAGATAATGGGAGTATAAATTAGTGAAATTATATGGATATTTCAGAGTACTCATTGAATTGTTATAATTTCTTAGGATGAAAGATTTTTCGTTAGAAGAGAAAGAGAGGGAAGAGATGGTTTCCTAGTCTTTGCCCCATTTGTAACAGCTTTATAATTCAATGATACAGAACAAGATCCTGAACAAACTACCAAATCACAAGTCATGGTGAATTTAGGATGGGTGCCAAAGGATAACATTAGCGACATTCAAATGGGACAAGAGCCAATTGGAACAACAGTAATTGAAAATTGAGATATTAATTAGACCTATGAAAATGTTCCTCATAATGAAGATGATGATTAATTGACAGGGTTCAATAGAAATGTATTAAATATGGAAGAAGATTATTAAATGCCTTTTGTAGAATTTGTAGGAATGGTAAGAAGAGGAGAAGAGGAAGATGTTTTGAAGGGACGTAGAAATTGGCCAAGAGAGGGAGTGTACAATTATATTGATTTGTGGTTCATGTCAAGATTGTACAGATCGTTCAATTTGGTATGATGATGAAAGCTAATATTGTAGACAGATTGTTCATCTGCATACATTGAAAGATTGGTTCAAGAATATGATGAAGAATCAGCTAACTTATATCCAATTCCTGCCACCAAAGACAACTTTGATAAGCCTTTGCCTACTCCATAGACACATTAAGCATATTCATTATTTTTTGGGCTTTCTTCAATAATGTCGTTAGCCTTATTAGCCATTAGAAGATGATCTATTAAATATATTATATAAAACAAAATATTTCACCTTCAAAATAATAATTTAAGTTCGATTAACCTAACATTCCGCAGAATTCTTCTGAAGATATTGAATATGACATTGTGTATTCCTATATTTATTATGATTACTTTTATGAATATCAACGTAACAAATGATACAAAATTTGTATTTAATCAACCGATATAGTTAGAAAGACTATTGAGTGAGAATGAATGATATAATCAAAATATATAGTAATCTAAAAGATGGATTCAATATTATTTTTATATTCCAGAAAAACATAAATTATTCAGAAGGGCCAAGGGAACTAATTCGCACTCTGGAGAGATTCCATATAGGTTTTATACCCCATATTGAATTAAGTCAATTTATATTCGAAGACAAACTCAACCAAACAATATTCAAATTTCTTTTTATAATTTTTTTCACATGAATTTAGCAAAAATTTAATTTTAGTAAGGATTTTTAATTTCTTATTACTTTTATTGTTGACTACATTGGTTGTTAGAATTTAACTTCAAGTAATGAAAAGTATAAAAGAAGCTCTAATAACAGAAATAAAATAATATTTATATAGTTACAATATAATGAAGTCAATTTAGTTTAAAATCAATCAATTATGATGTCATTCCACTTTTTCGACGATTTGGAGGAGACATACTGTAGTAAGTTTTAAATCCACCTTTCTAACTACTATTAGAAATGAAGAAGTCTAAATAAGGGTTTGGATCTTATTAATTTAATTGATATATAAATTAATTTAAGTCCTCGTATAATTTGAACTATATTTTCGTTATTGTTGTAGCATTTCGGAAAGACAGGGGATCGGGGATATGTTTCAATAGTTTATCTTAAAATTAGATTTGATTGTTGGGTCCAATCTAAGAGATTAAATATTGAGCCAAAGGAAGGCCTAAAGTGCTGAAAGGTTCAGTACTTCCATCCAAATTGACTCCGATCTTCTATTGCTATTGCTACAAATTTAGATCAAGCTCAATACAAGGCATTTAGCCGTTTTTTAAGTTATTAGTAGTAATATTGATTTTATGAAATTAGTCACTCAAATTTTAAATGTTTTCATAATAGTGATTCACACCCCAATTTCTTTTTTTATGATCAGTAAAAGACGCTCCTTTTGATACAAATTCTTGGATTGAAATTGGAATGTTAAGGAGTTAATGTTTCATTGTAATTAATAGGCATCCTGGATTGGAGTGAATTCTTTTAAATTTAATTTAAATTGGAAAACCTAAAGGATGAATCTCATAAAGCTGTTTTTCATCATTCATATTTATGGCAAGCATTAATCTAATAAATTCTGAGATACTTAGAATAACTGAAATCATTTTAGATCTGTCTGTTTTCAATTCTAAATCAAATAATAATTATTTATTTGAAAATTTTAAATCATCCTTTAATTATGTAATTAAATCTTATAAGTTAAATTAGTTGATATGATATTTTAATTTGTTATAGATGATTTTAGTGATATTAAAAATGTTCCCACTTTAGTTGAAGAGTAGATAACTATTGCTAATTTAATTATTGATATGATAAAGCTACTATGTGTTCGCTTATTATTTGAGGAATTTTAATAAATTGATTTGATCTTTGATGTACTTCACACAGGCCTTACTATGATTAACAAGTTATTAATCTCTCCATTACAGTTAATGAGTGAAAAAATCAAATAAATCATCACCTTCCTCTATAAATAATAACAAAATTGTTGGTTCTAGAGTATTAAAATATATTTTTGTGATTTGAAATTGCGCCTTTTTGCCATTGCCAACGAATCTTCCAACAAATTTAGTAATTTTGTCGTTTTGTTATTTTTAGAGTAAATCTTTAATGAGTTCATCTTCGAAGTTAAATGCTTTGTGATTGATTCCTTCTAGTGGTTAAATATTGGAATCCCTTAGAAATTCTCTAAACCTCTAATCTGAATTCAAGTTAAACGTGTCCTTCATGACCCTATTTATTTTGTCCATTTTTAACTGAGCCTATTTGGTATCATATTTAACCAGTACTACCCACGCTGGCAATTATTCTTCTATGAAATTCTCATATAGAATTTGAGATCTGTAAGCCAGGTAGTGCTAGCGTCGTTTCATCTCTTTCTGATGACGGTAATAGATAAAGTAAACACAAAAAACACTATATTTAATTAAGGGAATCATCGATTATTTAAGAATTGACATTTCAGCAGCTTGACTAATTAGAAATATTGCTGTTTGGATGGTAAATATGTTACCCTGTAAATAGAGACCTTGTTGATGACATGAATATTATACATAATCTAGCAGCTCCAACTTCTATATATATATTTTAACCTTGATTTAACCATATGTAAATGTCTATCAGTATGCTAATGACAATCAAATTTAAGCTCTTTATGCCCTCTCTTTGCATAGGGTATCTGCGGAAAAAGAAAAGCATGGTCAATTCAATACAGAGAGTCACTGATGTTGTTATTAAATAGATGATGTTCTGATTGTAGTTAATAAGGTTGAGTATCAAATAGACTGAGAATGTGCCCAAAGTAATTTCATACATTTTTTGATTTTGATCAATAACCCATACCTTAAACTATTTTTCAAGTTCAGATGAATTAAATGTTAATGTATATTTTTTGATCATATTATAATTAATTCTTAATCACTAAAACCTTATAATAAGATTAAATGAGAAATGAATTATTATCATTAAATCTCAATTTAAATTTTGTATTTGCAAACTAAAAGTTTTTCTCTAGAAATTATTTCAATGAATTGATAAAATTCATTATAATGCTTCTAGAGGTTATCAGAAATGATATCAACCTATTTTTGATATCTGGAATCTCTTCTTTTGTCTTTGGTTTAGTGAATTATTTATCAATATAAACTCTGCAAAAACGATGTATTTATAAGTTAAAAAATCATTAATAATCATCATTTAATCTACATTTAGACTTGAACTATTATTGAAATTGAACTAAAAAAAATATCAATGAAATAGATAAGTCTATGACATTTATTCAATGAGGTTAAATTCAATTTTGACTATGTCAATATGGAAACCTTTATTTGAAATATATTTATATTTCATTATCCAAATTCTCTTCTTCTTAGTTACTTATAAGTGATATGATATTTAAAGGAAGAATATTAGAGTTTTATAAATATTATTAAATGAATCGAAACATCCCAATTGGGAATAAAATTTGTGCAACTAAAGAAATATTCTAGAACCAAAACATTTTAAATACTCATCTCTTGACTATGAGACCATAAATCAACACTAGCGCACCAAAACAATATGAGTTTCTAAAAAACAAAAAGATTAAAGAAGCTATCAAATCACAAAAATAATAAGAAATAGTCAGAGAAAATTAAAACCTTAAATCCAAATTAAACAATATTATGCAGTAGCAATCAAGTAATAATTACATACTAATTTAGATAACTCCATCTCGACTTTTGCAATTAAGAAATCCACTACTGTAAGTCTTGGTCCAAAGAAATCTCTTAACAAAGACCACAGAAAAAAAGAATTGATTAAGATAGTCATGGAGAACCAATAACTCTTGAAAAGAATTTAAGATTAGAAATCTCAATACAATGTTTAAGATTGGAATCAAGAGAGAAGATGGGTTGAAAAATACATCTCTAATATTTGTGAATATCCCTATAAGGATTTCAAGCCAACCAAAACTCTAGTACAATACTGGACAAACTCAAGAATTAGCGAGTCTTAATTGTAAAGTAATGATTCAGAAGTTATATTATTAGAAAGAGATAATTTTAACAACAAGAAATTAGATCCCTTAGAAATGAAAAGCCAATAAACCAAGTATCAAGTATTATTAATCTATTCAGATCAAGAGGTAGGCAAGATAACAACACAGAGCCTAGGTAAATCTTAATAAATTAAGAAAATCAATAAAGGTAATATACTCTATTATAATACACTAGAAGTATCTTTGAATCGGATTTTCAACCTTATGAGCCCTATTAAGATTAGGTTAGTAAAATTGTTAAGGAAATCATTGAAAAGCCTTAGTAATAAGAACAAGTGTAACAGTAGTAAGAAATAGAAGTGGAAGAAGATCAAGATGAAGAGGAGCAACCAAATATACAGGGAGATCAAGAGAATGTGGGATCTAATGAGCATCAAAGAAAAGAGTAAGAAGGAAATCTGAATAATTTAAGAGAAGAAGAATTACAGTAATAAAATGAAGTGGATAACTTAATGGAGAATTCATAAGTAAACGAAGATTAATTGGATGAAAGTTTGAATAAGTCTCCTCAGAATCATCAGAATATTTAAACCATTGATTTTTAATAACAAGATTAAGGGGTATCAGGCAAGCTAAATTATGACACATATTGAATATTTTCTACTTATTGTTAAATTATTAATTCTATCGAATAATCTTTAGGGTATTTATTTATAATTAAAATATAACCAATATATATGAAATAGCATATATGTTAGATATATTCATATTTTTTTGGATTGCAGCTTGCATACATTACCAGTAATGTTACACTTATTCAATAATGGTATTTTATATATATGGTATAGTTTTAAAAACTTATCTAATTAAAGATCTATGTTCTTTTTACGCGTTAATAGTATGACCGAAGATACTCTTTCCTCTTTTTTCCTGGTTAATTACTATTTTGTTGTATTTTGTATTAGATTAGTAGATGGTCTCTCTCTAATGCCTTATGAACTCTTATTAATTTTGAGATTGTGATTGGTGAAGTGTTGTTTGATTATTTAATCTACTGAAGGTTGCTTGAATTGCGAGATTTCTTCTATCTGATCCTAATATTTGACTGGTTCAGTCAACATATGTTTGTGATGTTGCTTTTTGATTACAAATTGCTTTCTTTCTTTTAAGGGACTTTCCTTAACATGTTTGGGTTCCTTCTTTTTTTAAATAAACCATGGTCCTAATGGGGTTTCAGGTAACATTTCATCCAAATCGATATTGAGAAAATGATCATACGAAGTTTACAAGGCTATATTATTAGTATGAGTCATAATTTTAATTTATAAATAAAAAATGAAAAATTATTTCTTATTTCTTTTATAATTGAACATTCGTTTAATCCATCATTGAGCTGATGCATTGAGTTCTAGCATTTTTTAATTAAGTGTTTCAATCATAATCCTACTTCTGTTTGTTTTAGACATGTGGCTGGGCACGCATTATTCATTTCTATAACTTCTGCCCAAAATCTTCTTGAAATCAATCATGACATTTTTGGTATTTGGATGTACTATTGAATTTTTATTTGAAAATTGATCATATTGATAAATTGATTACTCTCTTAAACAAACTGATTTATTCATTAGAGATTTCCTAACGGTTTACTTTTCAAATCCAGGACCAACAAAACTTATTTTTCGTTTCCCAGCCTCATAATCGGCATCATAAAATGATTAAAAACAATTATATTTGTTAATATTTAAAGAATGCCCAGATCCCTTAAAATGAGCACTTCTAGGTCTTCTAAAATGATGCTAAAATCAATATCATACGCCCTAATTGAATTAGTGTCAATAGATATAAACTAGTTCAAAGTCACATTTGAAGAGGCATTCTACTACCGAGTCGATTGTTCTCTTGACAATTGTCTCTTTAGATCTACAAACCCCTTTGTTCTTCTAGATTAAGTATTGCTTGAATCGATTGAAGTTTAAGATTCGTTGCCTTGTTTTATCATAATTTTATGTTCCACTGCAAATTTACCACCTAAATCAGACTTTCTTAATAGTTATATTCTTTACTTCTATATGACGGAATATTTCGGATTGTAAACCCCAATGGGCAAATTAGGTTTCCCTTAATTTTGTAATTTGTGTATATATTCTCTCGACAAACCCAAGCTAAAAGGCTATTATCTTTAGGGTTTTTTGGGAGATTGACATGGTGTTATAATTATAGATTAAGCATCGTTTGATTTTTAGATGGATTACACTTTGCTAGCCTTACCCAAGAGATGAGCAAATATTTGAGAGCTTGATTTTCCAGCTTTTGAATACATGTGTTAGAAGAAGTTTTCTGTGTTTTGATTCATTGTCGATAATTATCGATATAAAATATAATATTAATTAGATTTAAATTATCTGGGTCATGATTCAAAGGTGAGGACATTTGGTTCATTGGGTTGAGTCACACAATGATGGATGTATTAATATGGATGTATATAATCAAATTGAAATTTATCAATTATAAAATTTTATTGTTATGAATGTATAAAATTCAAGTTCCATAGATATTAATTCATCAGAAGACAGGAAAGAGGATATTAATGAAGTGATCGTTATGATGAATAATTAATTTCTCAAAGTCAGAAGACCTAATGAAGATAATATTTTAGATTATCTAAATTACGATCAACAAAACAATAAAGAGAAATTGACATCCAAAGATAATACGCTAAATTTGGAATCGCCCCAATAGGCGTTGCTCCAATAAAAGAATGAAAACTAGTCGTATTTTGAATTTCCGAATTCACCTCAAAAGACATATAATTCAATCCTACTAAAATTAGTGAATGAGGAATAGAATGCTGCAGTGAATTTAAATGAATTTTCATTAAGATACTAGATGATTTTAAATGATTTATGTTTTAATTACTCACCTTTGGACTAATAACTGATATATAAGAAGCTTAGAAATATATACTAACAATTTTACAGCGTCTACGACATCGTTTATTTTGTGATCGGATTCTTGTTCATTTATGAATGTACAATCACTATTGCCTTTGGAACCAAATAAATTTTTAATATTTCCTTTTATGTAATCCAATATTTTATAATGGTGTTGGAATCGATAATATAGTTTAAAGAGCAAACCTAAATGAATAACATCTACGAATCAGTATCTCATGTATTGATATTCGTGTTAATCATTGTGAATAACCTGATAGAGTTCCAATACTTATGCATTGTATTATTTTTGCATTTCTATTTTTCGTTTAAGAAATACAAAATAGTAAAGTAGAATTATCTACTATACATTAAAAATATCTCCACTTTTGAGATTGTAATTGTGTACTTACTATTCATCCATGTTTCTGCTCTGATATTTTTTATAGTATCAAACAACAAGGCAGACCCATGGATTGAAGACTTGAATGAGGGTAAAGACTGGACTAGCAGTTATTGTTATTCCTTATTTTGGTCGATAACTACAATAACTACGGTGGGATAGAACGTGATTCAGTTGAGAAATGAGTCTTTGGTTATAGTCACAATTTTGATTTAGATTTCGAATATAGTCTTTATAATCTTTGTTGTGATCAACATATAAAAGTGGTTTCTGAAATTCGGATAGTTCACAGAAAATGTTGATGTGATCAATCATTATTTAAATGAGAAGAAAATAAGTAAAAAGTTACAATAGGAAATCAAGTCAATCTTATATAATAAATGGTAGGAGAAGTATCTGAGCAATCACGAATAGGAGCAGTAGATTTTACAGTTATTACCGCAATACTTAAATGAGGACCTGAAGATTGAGATGTTTTAAAAAATACTGTAATAGATTCCATTCTTCTAGCAGATTTCTTACGAATGCTACAGGGAAATAATTCTGTAATTCAAAGAGTACACTTTCTCGCATAACGAAATCCTCGATTAAACTGGATTATACTATTGTTCCAAAGGTAGTTTTGAGTTATTTTTACCCAACAGCGTGAGGATTGAGAGTCCGCAGTAGAACAATGCTTTTTATGGATTGAACTATTTGTTTTATGATAAGCCGGACGTTTGTTAGGCGGTGTCAATAAACAAAACTCAGTTCATTTATTTAAGTAGATACTCGTTTTTGAAGGTGATGAGGAAATATCCAGTTGATTATGTAAAAGTGAAATGTTATTATGTAGTAAATGTATAGAATGCAATTGGAGATGAATTAGTTGGACATTGGGATTCAATGTCCTCTCTGTTAGGATGTGAGACATGGTTTAGAGGAGTGTCCTAAAATTCATTTGTTTAAAAATAAATTAAGTGTGATATCTAATCACTTGACGTCAGAGGATATGGGGAGAGCAAAGTTCAAGAGAAAGAGAGATAGAAGTACAAATGCAGTATTTTCTTAGAGGTTGTTTGAGGATGCTGCATCGATGTTCTAAGAAATTTTAATTTAAGATGAAACAATCAAAGAATTCTCAATAGTGCCCTAATAAATTTAAAATAACAATCCCAGAAAAAAATCAAAATCATTGAATTCTGATGAAAATTCGAAGGCCTTGCAAAAGTCTAATTCTGGTCACAGTTTGAGTGCAATTCAAAAACCTCAAGGTTCAGGTTTGTCATTCAGTACCTTTTCTATGTTCAAGGATGTCTAAGGATAGAGGAAGATTTCTAAGCAGTAGGATAGTGACAAAATTTCAAGTAATTCTTAAAATAAATAACATCAATCAAGTTCGAATAGTTTTAAGGATTTACCCATAACGATGAACATGGAAGATAAGATTGTTGATGATTCAATTTTCGCAGCCCAACCGCGAATCAAGAAGCAACAGATAGGGAAACAAGGGACAACATCAATTAAGATAACTCCTCCGAATGCTCCCTTGTAGGCCATTCCTTCAGTGAGTGACATCAACACACTTAACGAGGACAGTTTTGTTCATTAATATTCTATGAGTAGCAAGAGATACTCGTCTCCTCAAAAGAAGGTTTCTTCTAAGGCTACAGTAGAGACGCAGAAGCAATTTGAGTAATTGGAGATGCAGAAGATGGAATTCGAGTGCCCAATTAATTTGATGCACTATTTTCCATAGCACAATATTCAGGAAGTGATTGAAAAGTTCAAAAACATTCAAAACAGAGAATTTTAATGATTATTACTACATATAATAATGATGATGATATGATTATCATAATATTCGTTTCTTTTTTGTGAATTAAATTGAAAAGTGGAAATATCAATTTATTTAATATAATGCAAATTTAATAACACTATTCTTAGTTGATAGATGAACTGAAAATGCACGATTAGAAGTGTTTATTCCAGAAATTGGAAGGAACACTGGCTGAAAAATTATGCGTCAAAGAATTGCTGAAAGAGTAAGTCATAATCTATGTCTAAAAAACAAAGGAATTCCTCCTTAAAGACATGGTTATATCTTTCAATGCTCTAATTATAGATAATTCATACATAGAATTGAGCAAATGCCAATTCGAGGAGAGAGTGAGCAAACCTAAAAATAATGAAGGGGTCAATGTCATTATTATTAAGAATACTGCTGGTAAAGAATATCTAATCACTTCCAACTCTCAATAGTCTCTCAGAATAAAGATTTATCTTAAAAAATTTTGTGTCAATAAAAATTATAGTGGGAAATATCGACTTTTAGAACAGAAAAACTGTCTACCTCTTTCCCAATCATATAAAGTATTAAAATATATACATAAAAAATAGAAAAATAATCAACATTTCACTACTCTAAAATTTGAAAAGAAATAACTGGAAGAAAACCAAGAACTTCAAATGTTCCACAATTAATTAACTATTATGCATGCTTTTTAATCGATTCCTAATGTCGTTAGGGTTTGTGAAGATGCATAAAGATATTACATACTTGGAGAAAGCATGAAGCTGTAATCTTTGGAATCACTCTTATTAAATGGTTTTGAATTTAAAGAAGTGCCAATTGTATCTATTATTTTCATGACCCTTCAAACCATTCAGAAATATCAAGCCAAAACCATTTACCATGGGAACATTAATCTTCAGAATATCTTTATTAATGTCAACAGTCCAACACTGCAAATTGCTTTACTCTTCCCTAAATATAAGGAACATAATGTCAAAAATATAGAAAAAGATATTTTTAATGTAGGAAAACTACTTTACTAGATTACATTTTATACTTCAAGAGGGGAAATTCCTTAGGACATCAATTTAAATTTGATATAATCGTTAATGGATCAATGGTCCTTACCCAATTCTTAAAGAACTCAATATAGATTTCTATATAGAGTCAGTCAACTTAATTTGTTGAATCAATTGCTCTCTCCAGGAATAACTGTAGAGATAGCTTTGATTCATCAATGGTTCGTGAACATTAAGTAAAATCTTAAAATTGAACCTAAACAACACATGTCCAAGGCCTTACTGTCAACCATTGTGGAAGAGTAAGAATTTCATATGACCTCCTCCTAAATTCTTGATCATCGAGTTACAATCACCCAATAGAGTTACCAAGAATACGGTATACATAATTATCTTATACAGAACCTGACGAAGAACTTTACCCTATTAGATGTTAATTGATCAACATAACTCAAATGATACCTTCTAAAAAGAAGCATGATGCTGCTAATCCATCTTTGTTTAGATCGAAGACGTTTACAAATTCTACGATGAAAAGAGATTCCTTGAATGGAATCACTAAGTAGTCGTCCTTTAAATGATTAGATGTTAATTGAAAATATAATGATTATATCAAGATTGTAAATTGCACAAATATTTATATTCCAATTTAAAATGGATCTAATTTGGCAAGCTAATAAGTATGCCCGAAACTAAACAAGTTCGTAATAATACTCAATGGATTTGTGATATTTAAGAAAAATGAATCTCTGTTTTATTGAATTAAAGATATTTTATATTTTTAATGGGTGGAGATAAACACGATTTGAGTTATTATGTTAAATGTATGATTGGTGGCACCTTAGCATGTGGTCTTACACACACTGCAATTGTCCCATTAGATGTCGTCAAGTGTAGAAGATAAGTACAATAGTATGATAATCCTTGTCTAGGTTTTCCCAACTTTGTACAAATCTTTGGGCGATGGATTAGGCACAATTTCTAAAACCGAAGGATTGGGAGGACTTACATTGGCTTGGGGACCAACTTTGATCGGATATTCACTTTAAGGATTAGGCAAATTCGGATTCTATGAAATCTTCAAGGATGTTTATAAATCGGTTGTTGGAGAAGAAAATGCCAATAAATATAGAAGAATCGGTTGGTCTATTGCTTCAGGAAGTGCTGAAGTCATTGCTGATACTCTCTTATGCCCAATGGAAGCAATCAAGGTCAGAATGTAAACCTCTAAGCCAGGCACATTCACTACAAGTGGAGTTCAAGCATTCAATTAAGTCAAAACCAATGAAGGTATTTATACCCCCCCTAAACAATCTAAGGCATCAATGGACTCTACAAAGGTTTGGGACCACTTTGGGCCAGACAAGTTCCATACACAATCGTCAAGTTCGTTGCTTTTGAATAAATTGTTGCATTATTCTACGAAAATGTGTTCACTAAACCAAAGGACTCATACTCCAAATTCACATAATTGTCAGTGACATTTGCATCAGGATATTTGGCTGGTATCTTCTGTGCCATCGTTTCACATCCTGCTGACACTATCGTATCGAAATTGAACTCAATCTAAACAGGAGGTATGGACATCATATTATCTTAGGATCTTTGGGTGAAAACGTCGGTAAGATCTACAAGGAAATTGGATTCTCAGGATTGTGGAGAGGATTAGTCACCAGAATTATTATGATTGGTACACTCACTGGTTTGTAATGGTGGATTTATGACAGCTTCAAAACTGCAGTAGGATTATAAACCACTGGAGGTGGAAGTAGCGCACCCAAACCCTAAGAAACAAAGCATTGATATATATCCAATTTTATATCAATTCAAGCATTTATATAATCATAAATTAACAATATAATCCCCATTAAGAAAAAGAGCAAACCCCATCTCTTTCCAAGTTACTCATTCATTTTCGTTGCACTTATTAAATGTTTATTTGCTTTCTCGATATTTTACAAACTTTCATTTGCTTAAATCATTATTTCCTCCGTTAATTTCTCCTGATGAGCAATTATCTCTTGCATTCTCTATAGAGACGATGAAATGTCCCTGATTTATTGTTGAATACTCAGAATATCTTTCATCTCATTATCGTACTTCTTTAATAATTGCTAATTCTCCTGATACAGAGGGTCGTCTTTCTATTCACTAGAAACTGGGACTTATCCTTCTGACCTTTTATCATCAATTTTAGAATTCACTTTGCTCAATTTTGTCAACTATGAAATCCTCTCCTTCTGTCTTTGTCGAAATAGTTTAAATTCCTTAAACAGAAGAATACCCTTATTTAATTCACAAATCAGACACCCTAACACTATTTCTTTATGTGCATATTCTGTCTTTGTTTTCGATAATTTGAGCATCTCCTAAATACCCTTTATTTTCTCTGAACATAAACTAATCTTAGTTTGCACTTCATGGTCAAAATCATCTCTCTCCTTTTCAGAAAAAGGATGTCCATACAGATTCGATTTCGCTATATACTTGTCCTTCTGTATATCCATAAATTAGATTATTGTAATGACCATGCTATACTAAAATTAGGTTCATTTGCTTACTATTTATTAAGTATAACTATTAAAATAGTCAGACTCATTTTCATAAATACTCTATTTTAAAGAAGATGTTCCAGCTATTTAAAAAAATTTATCTGTGATGTCCATTTTATTTACAGAGAAAAATTAATTAGATTTAATCTAGTTAATATACACAAATTATATCCATTCATAAAATTCATTGATCCCTATTCTTAAGACTTAAATAATATAATATGATTATGTAATTCTAGATTTTCTTTATATTTGATAAAGTTAAAAATATGAAGACCTATTTAATTAATGGTGTATAAGCAGTATTGTACATACAAAGTTAATAAATTTTAATCTTATGCAGATGTAAAAGACTTGAGATGTGATCATTTAAATTTGAGATGATTATATTTTTGTTTGGAATAAGATACCACAAAGGGGGAGGGGGAGTTATAAAGTATTCTGCAAAATTACATTTCTAAATATCATCATTTAAATAAGCTAAGAGTTAATATTTATAAATGAATATTACATAATTTCTTTTTTTGAATGATAAACACTATTATAATTCATATTTTAATTGACTCTAAATGAAGATACCTAGAATAAAACTTGAATAATATCAAAGAGAAAGTGAATCTAGGTTACTAGAAACTTGAATTGATTCTTAATAGTAAAATAGCTTATTTAATTAAATAAGACTGATTATTCAAATATACTCAAGCCATTAATGAATTGATAAAATTTATCTAAAACTCTTAAATTTTTAAATTACTAATTAAAAAAAAAAAATTTTTAATACGTAATTTAACATGAAAAACAATACTATTAATACAAAAATGATTATAAAGGGAACTTAGATATTATAATTAAGAATTGTTCTAAAATTGATGAAAATGGTCTTTGAAACTCATTCATTAAGATAACTTGTCGGTGAACTGCTTGATAATTGCTATGAAGTGCTGAAGGCCTTTTTAGAATAGGCTACCCAGAATGATGAAGTTCCTTAGGAGAGCAAGACTTAGATTAATAGAGATTTAAATGGCGCAATAAACTTCTACAATAGAAATTATAACTTTATCTAGGGTACTTCTAGATACTATGGGGATTTAATGAGTTAACTAATAGTAAGTCGAAATATTTGAAGAATATTTTATTCGAGGTGAAGCATTACAGGAATAATTGGGCTCATTCTAAGGTTTTTACTATTAGAGAAGTTCATAGGTTAATATATAATTTGTAAATTTAGAATTACTGATACTATTTTGCTGATGTTTAATGAGAGTTCAGTTTGGATATCGATAATGAGGTGTATCTGATAGTGAATGAGATAAGGATTGAGTGTATTAAAGGATGAGTTTATAATTAAATTAATCATAACAATATTGAGATTATATTATATTTATGTAGCCTAATCAAAATCAATCTCCGATTCCAGGATCGGTTGAGATCATTAAAGGTAACATCTCTTTTGTATTGTGAGACAAACTCTATTGGATTTCTGATCGCTAAGCTCCAAGAAACCAGCCAAATGCATTCTATTTTTGCATAGATCAGGTATTAGATGGAGTCTAATCTGTATTAAGGATCTTGTGTACGAGCCCTTTTTTGCAGATTTCGGTCCATTGAATTTAGGTCACACTTACAGATTCGTGACTGAATTGGAGAAATTGCTTAGTGATAGGACATATCAACAATATGCCATCTATCACTATACAAGTTTGGATAGTGCTAAAAGAGCCAATGCTGCCTATTTGATGGGTGCCTTTCAAGTGATCATCTTGAAAATGAGTGCAGACGATGCATGGAAACCATTCCAATCCGTAAAGCCCGCTTTTCAAGATTTCAGAGATGCAAGTTACGGATAATGTACTTATAAATGCACGGTATGTTATTTTGTATATCCATATAGATTTTACATTGTCTGAGAGGCTTGGAATATGCAATAAAGTTGAAATGGTTCGATGTTAGAAAATTCAATCTTAGAGATTATGAATTTTATGAAAGAGTCGAGAATGGAGATTTAAATTGGATTGTTCCCAACAAATTCATAGCCTTCTCAGGACCATCTCCAAATTAGAAAGATGCTGATGGAGTAAGTACCCTATTTCTAATTAGAATCGTACATTCACGCCTGAAGAGTATGTCCCCATCTTCAAGTAATTTGGAGTGACTTGTGTTGTCAGATTGAATAAGAAGGCTTACGAGGAGTAAAGATTCATAAAAAATGGCATAAAACATGAAGAAATCTACTTTCTAGATGGATCAGTCCCAGGAGATGATAAGATTTTGAGATTCCTTGAGATAGCTGAAAAAGAGAATGTGGTGGCTGTACATTGTAAAGCAGGATTGGGTAGAACAGGAACCTTGATTGCCGCATATGTGATCAAGCATTATAGGTAATGCCCTTCATAATTATTGAATAGATTCCCTGCTCCAGATTTTATAGGTTGGATCCGTATTTGTAGACCAGGAAGTATTTTGGGACCCTAACAAATCTTCTTACTCGTAACTTATTCGTATTGATTCCTATAGCAAAAACAAAATTGGTTAATCAGTTTAGGAAAGGACTCTACAATATGGAATCAAGTTAAGTAAATTGCAGCCGAAGTCAACATAGAAAAGAGATTGAAGGATCTGCAATTAGGACCTATGAGTGAGGGTATATACTTTATTTTATAATTTAGCCGATAAGAACAAGGCAGAAAAAGGTGATTAAGATTAGGCTTAAACATTGAATAAAGCAAAAATAATGAAGTAAATAATATATCGCTAAATTCTCTAGTTAAACCTCAAATTCACCTGGTTTGAAAAAATGAAAGAATAATAATAATGTTATTAAATAAATTTAGCCTATCCTAAATATAAGTTGTCGAATTATATATTCATCAAATTTCAAATACATTTTTTATTGATTTTTTGTTATTATTAATCAATAAATAGTTCGATTACTAAGATCTATAGTTTTTCTTCTTCTTTATTGTTCTCTCTGCCTCATCTATTGAAATGCCCTACAATTCATCAGATTTAGAGTTTGGATTCCTCTAACATCTTGATATTCTAGATGATCTTTACTAATTTGTTGAGTTTGCCCTATTGCTTTAATTTAATTTGGACTCCTATTTCAACTGCAGATTAAATTTCTGATTTTGCCAATTATTTAGAGCAAAAATAAGATTCCGCTAATTTTATTCTGTTTATTATTATTCCTTCCTTTGCCTATGCGAATCATGATTACTACTCCCAATGAATCTATTCTCTTTCCATAATCCATCTATTATCACTCCATTGCTTTGATGATATGTTCCTTAACCTTCTCTCATATCATTTACAAATTAACCAAAATAATAACTCCCATCTTGATAAATCAATTTACCCTTCCCATGCTTTAAATCATTTTCATAATCTCCCTAATTTAAAATATTAATTATACCTCATATGATGATCCAAGTTTGTTACTCCACATCCCATGTCCATGTCGTTTTCCCTCTAAAAATTATCCTTAATATATTGAACCATCCAACCACCTATACTCCCCGTTGCCTTGAGGCTTACCATAAAAATAATTTCCTATGTACTTATCACCGTTTAAGAATTACTCAATACCATATCCATTCTTGACTGAATTAGTCCATTAACCAAAATAGACATTTCCATTCCATTTGTGTTCGCCCAAACCATCCTATTAGCCATTGACCCATTATCCTATGTATGTATCTCCTTCTAGTCCAATCCATTAGCCAATCCCGTGTTTCTAAGCATTCTACCATTGACCAATATACTATTCACCATTGATCCACTTGAAGCACCCTTCACCATTAGGTTTTTTGTTCACGACTTAACCATGATATATGCAAAGGTTATTTAAAATTTAGAAAACTATATTTAACTCATTGTTTTGATACATTAATCTACCATTTTTATTTATTTTCACATATATTGAGTTAGCTTTTAAAATGATTTATTTTTCTTATATTCTAAATTAATTAATTTAAACAGATGATCTTAGAATTTTATTCTTTTGAAGTATGTTAAGTATTTGTTTTTGCATGATTTCTTGATTTTCAAGTTAAAATATTTGTTGAACTTCCTAAATAAAAGATTCTAAATTTATTTAGATAGGATATTTTTTCCTAATTCTTTAGACTTACATTTGCACTGTGGAAATTAACTGATACTCCTAGTGTCTAAGAATTAAGAATATTTTATTTACGTTCTCATAGTTAACTTATTTATTAATAAAATTTAATGATGTAATAAGTAATTATAAAAAAGTTCAAAATATTATTTTTAGTAATTAAGGTTCTCAAATGGAACCCCCTTTTTGCATTTTTATTCATCAAATCTTGGCAATTCTGGTTGTACAATTATTAAATCCCAAGTTCCTGTAAGAGAATTTACATCTCGCATATTTATTAGGGCAATTGTTATTATTTCCTCCAGCTATTATAAGAACTAAATATTAAATATATAAAACCCAACATTGTCGGTAACAACTCAAATTAGTATGTTAATAAATTTTGAACTAATAAATATAAAGTCGCTTTTGAATGGTTTTCTCTCTTCTCTCCAAAATTCAAAAGAATACCAAAAACTAAATAAAACTATTCACCAAACATGCCCTTTCTATTTTCTTTTTAACTTTAAATTATAATAATAATAATGCAATAATGAGAATTAACCAAATAATCTACATCTACTCAACTATATTTAGATCGAATTCCTGGATTTTACACTGAATATTTATGCTTTTCTTTTTTATAGAATCAGATTTCTTTTTATAATACTCTTATAATAATCGTAGTATATACTCTTTAAATTAGGAACCCAACTTTGATAATGAACCAATTTATTCTCAATCCATTTATTTGATTATTACTTTCCTTATAGCAAAATGTTACATTAATAATGTATGATCGACTTATAAATTTATTGTAAAGTAAATGTCAAGAAGTTGATATTTAAATTGTAAGCAATTTAGATACCAACAATCTACCATCTTACTACTTTAATATGATTATGATGAAATATCTCCTCTAAATTTCTAATAAATCTAAAACAGAATAATCATATTTATTTTAATTTAAAGAGGATATACAAAATATTTGAATAGTGCAATTCTCTTTAACATAATTCTAGGATGTCAAAAATTTGAACATTGATGAATATTAATAAATAAATGAAATAAGTGGATTAAATTTCATATATCTGATCAAAAGCTTTTTTAAATTTGCATAGGGGATTAATTAGAGGATTACTTTTCTTTAATTGATTCTTCATACTGTTCAAGCAGTTTTTCAAGTTCTTGGATATGCAATGTCTATTTATATATCTCAGCGTTTAAGTCTCTGATTTCTTTATTTTTTTCACTAAATTTAAAATTGAATTATTACTCTAGCTCCTCTGTATGTTTACTTTTTAAAGTTTCAATTTATTAAACAAATTCTTACCGTAACTCTTCACTTGGTTGCTATTCATTTTGTTTTTCTTCTTCTAACAATGCTTGAATTCGTTCATTGTAAGATTGCAGCTCATTAATGGATTCTTGATATTTATATATTTCAATTTGTTGAGATGAGATCTCTTTATTTAATTGTTCTATTTTTTACTGAAAAAAATAGTTGAATGAAATAATACCTTCTGTTGCTTAGTTTAATTTTCTAATTACTTGATTTAATTAAGTAATTCCTAATTATCTTTGTGAATGATCTTGTAGGTTTTTTCATATTGTATAATTTTCTTTTCCAAAGGTTCCTTACTACTGCGAAGATCTACTATAGATTAGTAATATTCTAGTTTTTCCCTTAGTCTTTAATTCTCTTCTCCGTAGTTTTGAACTTCAATCTAAAGTGTAAGATGTAGATACCTCTAATTCTTGGACTGTAGTGTATTTAGTACATTTCTTTAATTAAGCTATTTCTTTAGTTTTTTCAAGCAATTCTTGGACCAGTTGTTTATGTTTCGCTCTTAATTTTTGAACAATTGCAGCTTTTTCAATCACTAACTTGGTTGTGTCATTATTATTGGCAGTTTTACTATGTTCTTCAACTAAGTTTTCATATCTTTGTAATTCTTTCTAATATGAATATTATTGATACTTCTAAATATAAGATTCGAGATTTAGCTTAGGATGACTCTTTTTTTGATGCATTTAATTATAATTTAAGTTGTCTAATTTCTTCTTGAGTAACTTCATATTCACATGAGAATTTAGGACTTGTAAGTTATTTACTTATTGGATGGTCATAATTATACATTAATTTACTTCCCATATTGGCGCTACTCTCCATCATTCTTGTGCCATTTGTGGTTATGGGTCTGGAGTTCTTCATCCTAAACTACATAGACGACATATATAAATGAGGGCAATTTAATATAATCAAAATATTATAACAAACTTAGTATATAATCAAATATTATTAATAAAATGATTGTGGCCTTGTTCTCTAGAGAATGATAAAGCAATAAGAATAAAACAAAAATACATCTCTTTTGATCAACAATCCTCATGAAATAGTATAATTAATAGGTGATGTCTTAAACGAAATAATCCACTTCTGATGGCTGGGAGGAGTTGAAGGATTAGTTAATTTATTGCTTCAAAAATTAAAAACGTACATTCAATTGAATGATTAGATTAGTCAAATTTGAACGATAGTCTAAATATCTTAATTAATTCAAAAGTCAGTAGAATAATAAATTTATCCTCGTTTCTCTGATAATTCAAAAAGTGAAACTTTGATTTATTACATAAACCCTTAAAAATTATGATAGCTTGAATTAACACTAACTTTAATATCAATCTGTTTAGATAGATCTAAATTTATAGAACATTGTTATTCTTTAACATTTAACACAATATATCAAGTTCTCTGAAAAGTTTGCATTTTTAAAAGATTCACGAAATACAGAATGATATCTTTCAGTCTAATGAAGGCTTTAAATGCATTACAAATTAACTGTAGTTATAAAAAGATATAATATCTGAGATGAAATCAAATTAAAATAGATCAATAATAAATCTTAAATTTAGATTTAATGTGCTGAGATCTATAATCATTTGAGTAAAAAAATGTGAATTATAATTTCATGTGTGCCCAAATTAAAATTCAATAAATCATAATAACCTAGTATGGAATCATATAACATCTAGAAAATTGATTATTATTTCACTTCCAAATTTATTGCTATTAATGGCTATAATATGAGAAGCATAATTACATACAATTTTCAATGATTTCATATAAATTATTATATTTTTTCATTTAGTTCATTTCTTTATATATACATCTATTTTAATATATGCAACACCAGTATTACATTAATAAATTATTTTTTCAAAATATGGAGCAAAAATTGCAATTGTTATCCTCCAGCATTCAAGTTGACCCTAACAATCCTTAGATTCCTTAAAATTTAAAGCATTTGAAAGTATTCAAATATAGTCTAATGTCTAGCTTGAAATTTTTAATGAATTGGCTGCAAATAGATAGGCCACAGAGAAACATGCTTGTAAATTATTTGTATATATCTTAGTACATTTCTGTGAGTTGGAGGTCACCTATTTATTAATTTCAAAACAAATTGAGAATTTTGAATTAGCAATAGAAAGATTGATGAAATTTTATAATTAAGGCTTAGAAAGCAGAGATAAAGCTCACTATACTGGCATATACTTAATTTACCTGTTGTCCTTTAATAAGTATTAATATTTTGTAAATAATTCAATAGATTTGCCTAATATTATTCCCAAATTGAATTATTACCAAAGGATACATTTTCAAACCCATTTGTTCATTTTGTACTTTAATTGGAATACAAGTTGAGCATAGGAAGTTATTCTGATCTTTTAGGTGATTATCATCCAACAGGAATTGAAACTGTATTCTTAGAAAGAATTATGGACACTATTAGGTAATTTGAATTTGTGAATTTAGATTACAAACCGCCTTAAGTGCCAATGCATCATACAAGAGTTTAACGATTGAAAATGCTATCAAATTATTCAATGTTAAAAGTGTTTAAGAATTATAGTAGTTTGCTTAGAAATAACATTTCAAATGGAAATTTGACAATCATCATGTTTATTTTGACAATGTAAGGAATCCAAAATTAATTAAAATTAGGTTCAAAATGTGGAGAATCCCTTGAATTCAGAATTTTTGATCTAAAATTCCTTAAGATATGTTCATGAGTTTGATAAAATTATATGAAAAAGTAGTAGTTAACGATATAATCTTATAAATTACAAATTTTAAATAATTATTCTATGTTTCCCAATTCATGCATTTTATATAAAGGATTCTGGTTTAGCAATCTTGGGCAAAGTTTAAAAACTATTCTTTATAACTCTATTGTTGTTAGTTACACTTTCATCTTATTAATAAGGACTGAGAGCAGAATTATTTAATTAAGAGAATCTAAATTGTTGTATAATAATAGATACACTTTATTTTAGTTGAACTCTAATTCTGTCTTTTATTATATGGAGATAGTTTATTTTTGTTAACTATTAAGGTGTCCCTCTTTGCGTATCGAATTCTACTTATTCATTAAGATTGGTAAGTCAGTTGAAGTTCGTTTGATATTTGTAATACCTCTTGGTTGAGCAACTATTTTACTCTATATGTTTGAATTCTAAGATAGAGATGGATAGAATAATACTTAATTGATTTAAGAACTTTTTGAAGCACTCCTCATTTGTTTATCATCTTTATCTTTATCCTTATCTTTCTTTGTACCTTCTGAACTCTTTAATTATGGAGTAGTTTGGTTTAACCTTAGAGCTAAATATTAAAGAATTAAAATACCACAAGTTTTGGCTAATTTCTTTAAGTGTATTTTCCTATTATTAAATGTCCCTAAGAAAGAGAATGATGAGGAGTAATATTATGATTTGATTGGGCCTCCCTTGTAAATTAAATCAAAACCCCCTATTTATTCTTCATTGCCAGTTAGTATCTTTTCGAGATCAATGATTGTGAAAACATCATCAAGTAATCCACACTTTAATTCGAAATCAATAGGTGTATTAGAAGTCATAGAGGGACTTTATTAAATTAAATAACATTAACCTTGCATTTACTTCCAATAGCCATGGTTTCAAAGAGGAATCAAATAGTATATCAAATCCATATAGTTCAAAACAGTGTTTATCGTTAATAATGATTTTTTATACTGCCAACAAGGATTTAATCATTAATTATTGGATATTATAGAAACATTCTTAAACCTTGTCTTATCCATACTTAGTCATTAAAAATAATTTCAATTTTTATAGATCCCATTTGCCACCTAACTTTTCATCATAATTATCAGATGTCTTCTAGATTGCCACATTAGTTAAATGAACATCTAATCTTAGTTTATAATTGTATACAAGTATTGGTAATGTCCTCATTGTCATATCTATGATGAGTGAATCTAGCAAAGCCAGTTCTATATAAGTATAATGTCAGAGGGGAATAGGATGTGCATAATAAATATATTCGAGTATCAAACTTTTTCCCTCCAATCAAGAGAGGGTCTGCAATATATCTTTAAACTATGTAGGACTCAGCCGATGGGTTTTCTGGATTAAATTTAACTTGATTTTTCCATTAAGAAATTTGTTGTATTTTATTAAACAAAAATATGCCTCTCCCTTATGATTTTCCTATCTTTAATTATATGATTTAAAAACATACTGGCTTCATGATCCAAGCAGTTTTGTTATCTCCTTGCTTTTTGAATTCTTCATTAAAAATTGGGTATTCACTTGGTAGATGATATGTAAGTGGGAAAAAATTATAACTAAGTCGTTAAATGGAATATGATACGAATTAGCTTCATCTGTTTTGCCTTCCTTCTCCAGCATTCTTCTTTATTTTTTCAGATTTTTGATCATCAAATCTTTTCGAGTTAGCTATTTATTAATACTATGATACTTCATAGTGATTGCGAAAATGATTAATTTTTTAGTGAGATTGAAGATGAATATGATCCATCACTTCATGTATCCACTCCTTCTCAGCCCACATGATATCCCAATCATCACCATCTGTCTCCTTCCAATTTCTACGTTTGAATGCCTATTGAAGATTCACAAACAATCATACTTCTAAAATGCAATTCCTAAAGGACGTCTTGTATTTGATATTTGAACTACAAAGGATAGATAAATATATAATTACAAATGATTTGGGTAATTCTCCTTCTTGATATACTTTCTAAAGTACTCAGACATGATAATTAAGTTTTAATAAAATTATAATATGTATTTAGATGATATGAGCTCATAGAATTTTAAAAGGTGCCTTCGATTGTAATATAGAAATCAAACATTCAAATGCTAATACTTAAATCATTTTCATTCTCATCCTATTGCACCTTTATTATTTCAATATCTGAACTCGTGTTCAATGCTTCCTTATGATATCTTTTAAGATGCTTTTTTAATACAGTAAAGGATTAGAAGTCTTGTTAACATAAGAAACAACAGAAAATATAATAATTTTAACAATGCTTCTTCAAAATATGAGGATAATACACACTAGAAAACCCCTGAAAATTGCAAGAAGGACATTAAAATATCCTTTTGCCATTCACAATAGAAATCATAGTCCTCTTAATTTAAATTCTGTTTATCATTAACTTGACCTTACTTCTTATCTCCTTGAATTTGTTTTTACTATGGTGTTCCTTTATGTAGTCAAAATCAAAATTGAGAATTTTAGTAGCTAGTGAATTCTTCTACCTAAATTCCTATATGATATCATTCAATTTTGAATAACATTCTTCAGGTGACAAACTAATTTGAGCATTAGTATCTTAAATTAATTGTTGATCTGTGTTTTTTTGTTTGGTCGTATCTGCTGATTTTTCATTATTGAGAAATGTTTTCTTGCGTTTTTAATCACCTGCTTCAATCTAATTCTTCTGTTCCTCGAGTTATTATTTGGTTGTACGCATTTCTACAACTTTATTCTTATCAGTATTTTTAAATAGAATTGTTGTTAGTATTTAAGTGCAATCAAGTTACATTTCTAATACCTTTTTTAGTGTGCTTCTAATTGATTCGTTCATAAAACTAGATTATTTATAAAATATTGGTTGAGAAGCACTAATTAAATTCAAATTATAATAGAACATTTTTATAACCAAATTATTATAAACCAAAAAACATTAAATAATTCAAGATTATAATTTCTATATTTTTTAGTTTCTTTATATTAGTTTATCTAACATTATTTCTTTTTTATATTTCTCCAAAAATTCTAATTCTTATTTGTTTTTTTCGTTTTTTTGCGAAATCTCGAGATTTTTTTCTAAAATTTTATTTTATTTATGTATCTTTTCCAACATATTTTCCATTTATTTTTCTTTGGCCAATTTAAAACGATGTTCATTTTTTTCACAAAGATTCTATTTTCTTAAATCTAATAATGACTAATGTCTAATGAAAATAATAATATTTCATGATACCTCTTAAGACCATTTTCGAGTTTATCATCAGCTTCTTGAAGTTTTGAAATAAGGGAATCAGATCTTTTTTAATCGAGGGACTCTTAGTATTGTTCGTATTTTTACATAATCCTACTATTTTTCATGGATAGACTTTTCTATTGTTTTATTTATGAAATTTCATGTTTATTAAGTTGAATCTATATAATATACACTGTAAAATTACTTATCGTTATGTTGATTTACTATAATACATTTTGACATGTTCATTTTCTTTTTGAGTAGAAGACTCTAATAATTTTTTTTATTTTTCTTCAAACATCTTCAAACTTTGCTGTTATTTTTTTCTGTCCTCTAATTATTTTCTATTTAAATAATCATTCAAATAGTCAGACTTCTTTTTCATGGAATCCATCACTTGGTTAATCATACTTTACTCCAAGCTTATTTAGATTTGTCTCTTCAGTTATCTCTCTCTCTCTTTTTCCTCTTTCTTTTTTAATTGTTCAACCAATTCCTCCTAAGATTATAAGAGTAATTTCTGTTTTCTCTCAAAATGTTAATCCAGATCTTTTTCTAATTCCTAAACAATCTTCTTATGCTTTCTATATTATAGTTACTCTTCTTGCTTAATTTTTTGACATACCTAATCTACTTTTTGATTCTTTCTTTTCAATTTCTTTTTAATTTAATCTAATTTCTTTTGTTTGAGTTGCTCAGCTTTTTAGTAGATTTCTGGGGCTGTTTTACTGTAGTATTCCTCCTATTTGTTAACTTGATCCTAAACAATATTGAGAAATCTATGACTATATAAGACAGTGTACTTGTTGTAATTTTCAGATTCCTTATTTATCTTTTTTTCGAATAATTCCTTTTTTTGATCTGCATTTAAAATAACAGAGATTTATGGATCTTCCCTCTGAGTATTCTTGGCTTCAGGTTACTCAGCAATCAAAGACTACTCTTTAATCTTAATATCTTTGGAATTTAAACGTTTTGTAACTTCAGATTGGATATGTTTGATTTGATTTCTTCGCTTTAAAAGGTCATTTAATATTTGATATTTATTGGACACATATTGTAAATATTGGACGAGGTTTTAGAGTTGACTCAATTTCTTTTGATAAAAGCTGGCATACTCTTACACATTGAGATCATCCTCTTGTATTTTAAGCATTTCCATGGCAGCTTGAGTCCTGGGTGAGTTGGTATCAAATTGCATTTGAAATACAGTTAACTAATTAGGATTTCTAATGATAGTATGTTTCTGTCCAGGTTCCAAATAATTTTACTCAATGGCAGATTTTAATTATGCATTCGAGATGGTTGGGAATCTTTATTTCTTGTGATTCCCTAAGAGAGTGATGGGACTAGATTCGCTGCTTTAGTAGAGCGAATTCCCTGATTTTTATTTTGTGATGATGATATTATTCTTTTCCTTGATATAATCAAGCATCTGTTTTTAGTTTTAATTTTTATTGATATTGATTTATAGTATTGTAAAATGGCATAATATAGAAAGAAAGTTTAACAATAGTGCGACTCTGTATAAGATAAAATGTTATATGGTTTCTAATGAGTAGTTATGGTATGTGTAATGAATTGATGTGATTTGAATAATTCATTATGAGGGAGAGTTAGATTGATTTATCTGTATTGGAAATTATATTAATAATGTTATAAGAATTATAATCATTAAAAGAGAGGAAGGAGAGTTTGAAGAATCAAAGGATTGCTTTAGAGGAGGAGTTGAATCAGTTGTTGAGCTATTTGGAGTAGGGTTCGAAAAAACAAAGCGATGCTTATAATGTTAAGTGTTTGAGCACTGAATTCGAGATTAAGAAGAAAGAAATATAGAAGCAGATGGAAAAGGAGAGTTAGGAAATCATAAAGAATCAACAATATTGTACTGAATAATAGAGAGTGTATAAGGAGAGAGCTGATTGGATTGATAAATTCAATGATAAATTAAAGGAAGATTTTAAGTCATGTCAAAAAAAAGAGTGAGTTATCCTTCTATTTCATAAGGGAAACGATATAGATTAGAAGCACAGTGGCTAAAGGAATAAAACGGTTGTTTCTATTGTAGTTATGTACGATTTTCTTTGACAAGGAAAACTAGAGACTCTTGTGGGGATTGCACAAGATCAAATTTCTGAATGATGGTCAATAGAATATAACAAGTTAGGAGGAGGATCAATTGGCTACTTCTTTGGGCTATTTAGGATTACTATTGTAGTAGATAGCAAAGATTAAGGGAGTGACATTGAAATATGAATTCAAATTTAAGGGGAGTAAGAGTTACATCCAATAATAAAACGAGTACATGTAATTGAATATACTAGCACTTTGTATTTATTTAGTTAAAAGCCGTCTAATTTGAAAGTATTGAAATAAAGTTCTGGATTATTGATTCAAAATCTATATATAATAATGGAGGAGTTGAGTGTATAGAAATAGTGGAGAAATCAATCATTGCCAACCATAATAGGTAAGATAGGAGAGATGCTATGGGTGGATGCTTGATAATTATGATAATTATGATAGTTTTGTAATTTAATAGATATATTAATAAATTTGTTGCAATGAAATAATACACACTTTAAGTAATCTTCTCCATTATTGACGATAGGTTTGAAATGACACATCTCATCTACCATCCACTCGATGCCGTTTCTAATCATCATTCTCCTCTATCCTCTCATCATATTTCTCATCAAAAAGGGTTGCTTCCATGAAGTACATTTCTCTTGATTATGCCCTCCATATCCTGGCAACATCGATATGAAACAGGCCTTATGCCAACATGCAATCTAAAAATGAATAGTCATCTTACTCTGTATATGGGTTTCTTCTCTGGTTTGCAATTCTGAAGTGTCTNGTGCGACTCTGTATAAGATAAAATGTTATATGGTTTCTAATGAGTAGTTATGGTATGTGTAATGAATTGATGTGATTTGAATAATTCATTATGAGGGAGAGTTAGATTGATTTATCTGTATTGGAAATTATATTAATAATGTTATAAGAATTATAATCATTAAAAGAGAGGAAGGAGAGTTTGAAGAATCAAAGGATTGCTTTAGAGGAGGAGTTGAATCAGTTGTTGAGCTATTTGGAGTAGGGTTCGAAAAAACAAAGCGATGCTTATAATGTTAAGTGTTTGAGCACTGAATTCGAGATTAAGAAGAAAGAAATATAGAAGCAGATGGAAAAGGAGAGTTAGGAAATCATAAAGAATCAACAATATTGTACTGAATAATAGAGAGTGTATAAGGAGAGAGCTGATTGGATTGATAAATTCAATGATAAATTAAAGGAAGATTTTAAGTCATGTCAAAAAAAAGAGTGAGTTATCCTTCTATTTCATAAGGGAAACGATATAGATTAGAAGCACAGTGGCTAAAGGAATAAAACGGTTGTTTCTATTGTAGTTATGTACGATTTTCTTTGACAAGGAAAACTAGAGACTCTTGTGGGGATTGCACAAGATCAAATTTCTGAATGATGGTCAATAGAATATAACAAGTTAGGAGGAGGATCAATTGGCTACTTCTTTGGGCTATTTAGGATTACTATTGTAGTAGATAGCAAAGATTAAGGGAGTGACATTGAAATATGAATTCAAATTTAAGGGGAGTAAGAGTTACATCCAATAATAAAACGAGTACATGTAATTGAATATACTAGCACTTTGTATTTATTTAGTTAAAAGCCGTCTAATTTGAAAGTATTGAAATAAAGTTCTGGATTATTGATTCAAAATCTATATATAATAATGGAGGAGTTGAGTGTATAGAAATAGTGGAGAAATCAATCATTGCCAACCATAATAGGTAAGATAGGAGAGATGCTATGGGTGGATGCTTGATAATTATGATAATTATGATAGTTTTGTAATTTAATAGATATATTAATAAATTTGTTGCAATGAAATAATACACACTTTAAGTAATCTTCTCCATTATTGACGATAGGTTTGAAATGACACATCTCATCTACCATCCACTCGATGCCGTTTCTAATCATCATTCTCCTCTATCCTCTCATCATATTTCTCATCAAAAAGGGTTGCTTCCATGAAGTACATTTCTCTTGATTATGCCCTCCATATCCTGGCAACATCGATATGAAACAGGCCTTATGCCAACATGCAATCTAAAAATGAATAGTCATCTTACTCTGTATATGGGTTTCTTCTCTGGTTTGCAATTCTGAAGTGTCTCATGCAATCTTAACAGCATCTCTTCTTCTTTCAGAGTCTAAAATTGGTAATACACTTCAGCCTCCAAATCAGACACTTTGATACCTTCCCCGTTGACTATTCCGGAGACCACTTAAAAGTATTTATCAATGTCTCCACTGAATGAAGCAGACTTCTCAAAATAACTAGTGGTCACTGGATCTGAAGCACAGATTGCCAACTATTTGGCAGCATCATGAAGCACCTTTTCTAAAGTTGAAAATATGAAACCCTAGAGTCATAACTATACATACATGTTTTCCAAATAAGCTTCTTAAATGATCCTCATATTTAAAGTCTTTGGCCTTCAAAGAAAGGAACAAGGCTGATTTAAACAAATTGTATCTCCTATCCTTTCCTAGAGTGTTCTGTTTACTGATTATGAATGCCATTTCTAATCTCTGATATATGGTATGCAAAAATCTCAATAAGATGTACAAATTTTGAGTAACATAAGTTGTAGACTTCACTCTTGGTTGTAAATTTAAGAAGTGTCCTGGAGGTTCATTCTCTATCTCTGGAATTGAGACTGTATTCTCTTCAGGATTATAATGAATATCATATATTTCTAACTCTGTTATTTCTGTCTTTAATTTAGTATCATTTAAAATCAACTCAGATATTTGCATGGGTTTCATAGGAACTTAAAAAAAGTGATTGATTAATTTAATCATTAGGAATGTACCATTTCTTTTATCTAATGAGTTATTCCCTCCCATAATTTAAAGATAATGGATAACAAATTACCCACATTCTTAGAGTATTTGTTCATTACCCATCCAAAGAGAAATCAGTGGACAAAAACGGACATTTTCTTTTGTCGGAGCAGCCAATGGCATTTATTTTGGTAGGAATGGTTTGATATTGGTCATTTAAGCTAAGGAATTTAAAAAGGACTCATCAAAGGTGAACTATAAGATATCAGCCTTTCTTTTAATGAATACATGGTCCTTTGTTCCAAGGAATTTAATTAGTACATTTTTGGCATACTCTTCAATTTCTCTAACAAATCTCTATCCATTGATTACTAATTTATCATTCTTTTTGAAATAGAAAGATCTATGATCTAATGATCGATGAAAGTTAATTGTAGAGACCGTTTCCCAAACTTATTTGGCCTTAGTATTTCTTGCTTGTACCAATTCATTTAATTTCTACTTGACTCTCTTAATCAAAATCTTAGCACTTTCTACAGGTTTAGTTTAAAACAATTGTAAGATTTCATTCTGATCTTGAGTCTAATTTCTATACAATTATTATAAAATTCTCATGTCAATGACCTTGGTCACTAAAGCTTACTCACCCTTATTCCCATCTATGATTTCTTGAAGTAGATTAATAGTTCTTTTGATCTATTAGATGTTGACATCGAATTCAAATCGTTCATCTTCACTTTTAAACAATTGCTCTTCAAAGGTGTTTTTTCTCATAATCAAGAATGATTAATCTTCAGAACCAAATGGAACAGAAACCCACGAATGATTAAGAATCTCTGGATTGTTATTTGCCTTGGCATATCCAATTGGCATTCTCACATATGATCTAGTCACTCTGTCGACCTATGCAAAATCGGTATCTTTCAATGGTTTGAATAATGGAGTTTGTATTCTTCTAGCTATGACTCTGGTGGTCAACATCGACCTTATATCGTCTATGTATTCTCTCTCCAACCAGCCTTATTGATTAATCAATTCCATAACTTCCATCTGAGTGATTATGCATTCAGAATAGAGATGAATAACCTTCAGAAACTCATTCATGAACTGTTAATAGTCATTGGGGAATTACTGGATCACTCTCAATCTAAATTTATCCCAAAATAGTAATTCATTCTATTTTAATTAATCAAATTTTTACCATATCAATAACAGCTATTCCACTCTTATCCAATAGTCTTTAGAAATAATTCCTATTCTCTTCAACCTTCTTTTTTGGGGGATTCTACTCGTGCTTCTTTTTGAAACTCTGCAGGAATTACTATTGCAATTGAGGATCATTGCTGAATAAATCCAAGATGTGATCTTTATTCTGATGGCCATCCAATTACCCATTCTGTATTTATTTCAATATGGTCTCCATTGCCTTACTCTAATTGGTCTCGTTGTTCACGAATTCAGTCAATTTCTCCTTCTGAGTCTTGAATTTAACATCATCTTCCAATAAACCATTCACTTCCTTTAAGAGTTCTGGTTCTTCGCCCAACATTTAGCCCAACTACTCCTTAGCTATACGTGGATTTTAATTAACGATATTTGAAAATTGCCTATGATTTGATCAAAATTAAACTTGTAGAGCTATTAATTAGTGCGTCTCAATTTCTAACAAAACTACTCGCACCTCTCATATAACTATTAATCTAAGTCCTATAGTAAAAACCTATTTGAAAACTTACTTCGCCAAATTCCCCCAAATTGCTCTTGCTCAATATATCATCGCTCATTTTTAATTATCTTATTTATAAAATATAATTAAAAATATTTATAAAAAAAAGAAATAAAAATACATTTTCCCTTTCTTAAATTATCATAACTTTTTTAGTTAATTTAAATGAAATAAAATATAACCAACAACCCTAAAGTCATTCGAAAGAGTAAGCACTAACCTTCATACTCTCATAGGACCTTGGAGTGAAGATGAGGATATGAAAGTTCTTGAATTGATTCAAACATTTGGTCCTTAAAAATGGACCCAAATCGCCCAATACTTACAAGGCAGAGTAGGAAAGCAATGTAGAGAAAGGTTCATGCCATTACTCATCTTTTTAGATGGCATAATCATTTAAATCCATCGATAAAAAGATCTCCTTGGGCTGAAGATGAAGAATGGATTCTATATCTATACCACAAAGTCTTTCGTAACCATATACACATTCAATATTTACAGGTAACAAATGGTCTGAAATCGCCAAACACATCACTGGTCGAACAGATAATTCAATAAAGAATCATTGGAACAGTGGTATGAAAAAGAGGATGAATGAATTCTCGTATAAATTCAACTAAATTAAGATGAAGTTCCAAAGAGAAGGGTATCCTATTGCATTCTTTACTCTAGTCTTTCAACTCTGAATGAATATGATATTTAACAAAAAGGAATTTTGGAAGCTATTTTATATAATAAGCCACTGAGGATTGAATAAAATCAATCTTCAGAAAATGACAATCTTGAGTAACCGTAAATTCAATAAAAAAAGATCAGAATTGAGGTTCTATAATCAGAAAAATATACTGATTTGGAATTAATCAAGGATGATGAATAGATTAGAGAATTAGACTACTAACATCACGAATTAGATTAGAGTAATAGGTTTCAATTCTCATTTCCTATTATAGTTATTTGGATTCGAATCAAAAGTTGTTGGTTTCTAAGAATCCAATTGACAGCGAAGACAATTTCTATTGACAAATAAGTCAATGCAATTTTGATATAATAACGATAATTTTCCTGGAATATTAAATAATTTAATTCTCATTTGACTTCTTCACTGATATATCTGGGTCTGTACTTTCTTGGAGAAGGTACTCTCTCTGATTATTTATGTTCTACTAGTTATTAAAGTAAGTAAGAGATATGAGCATAGAATTCTTCATTCCACTCTTTTTCAATAGGTTTTTTTATGCTTTTTATATTCTACTGAGAGCCAGCTCTGGTTAACTTTTTATCAGAATATTAGGTTTTATTCTCTCTCTCATTTGTGTCCTTGTTCTCCTCCTCATCTCTTATAATTTATAATTTCAGTAGAGGCTAATTGATTTAAGGTTTATCCAAATTATTTAAGTTTGAGGATTCAAATTCCAAAGATTTTTAAATAAGATTATTTGATAATAACTTTTCTTTAAAATTTGAAAACCCCTTTGGCACTCTAACATTATTACTGATAATAATGTAATTGAAAATACTTATAATTATCTACTGCAGTCTAGACAGCCTTTTCAATTGGAGACAATTAATCAGGATCTTCTCTATACAGAATCTCACTACCCAATAATGTGAATTCTCTTACGCTATATCATGAATGGTCAAATCAGCTGCTGCTCCCATTTTCAAGAGAATGGTGGCTATCTTAGCATTTCTTAAGCAAATTTCTCTTAATTATACTTTTTCTTTTATCATTTAAATATCCTTGTCTGGATCTATCCTTTCAATGAAGAGTTTTTCTTCTTAAGTAAATGGCTAGGTCATTTAATTCCAATGGTACCAGACTACTTCATCTCTACAAATTTTAAATGAATCTGGAAATGAATAACCGTGATCAATTGGAATTAAAAAGTAATCAAATGATTGTCTGGTTTATCCATTTGCTTAAGGAACCTTTCTTTATAGGATATATAAAGAGATATATTACTTCTTTCTCACTAAAATGTTTTCTTCGTTGCGATCACAATTCAAAATTCTTATGTCTAAGATGGCTATTTTCTTCGCTTCCATTGATGGATACAACCCACTCCCATAATTACCGACATTATCATCATGGGGTATGTATAATTAAAATGAACCTTCTTTGATTGGTATTTTTTCATGCTAAAACTATTTATATTCCTCTGCTTCATGAAATGTCGGATGGCAGATTTAAACATAATTAGTTATGGGGACTAAATTAACTCAACTTCAACATTACCATTATGATAATGTCCAGAGGACTGATCAATCAGGTATGCAGCCACTTCTCGATCCACTCCTTCCCCTGACAAGATGCCCTATCTGAGTCCAGGAGAGTTCATCTTCCCTCTCATTCCTCTCGGGTTGTTTGGGCTACGCAATTACTTTAGAACTTACGCAAAGGCTTCTTCATCATACGGTTTGAAAATTGCCACTGGTTTGTGATTCTGATTTTCTAATATGTAGGTTCCCTGTGTTCCGAAATCGGTCAATTTTGGGGTGATTCCCTTCATGAAGGCTCCTTCTACAGCCCATTTCGCATTTTAAAATTGTTCCTGAGTACTTCTGGACTCCTCCAATATATTATGAAGACTATTGATGAAATACGTCTACTAACCCTACTTACGAGCCACCAGTTTTAATGACACGTGATTCTTAATTCCATAGTCCTATCTCAATAGAATATGAATTACTTCAAGATCTTAATTGTTCAATTATAACTCTTGATTTTTATATAGCACCCTGAAGTCACCCAAATCAAGTTTTGTTGCTTTATGTATTTTTTGCTTTAAAATTGAAATCTTCATCCAACTATATAACTTAAGGGTGAAGTCATTCCCTATCTGAACCTGATTTTGTATATGCAACACTAATTCTTTTTGAACTCGTTGGTCATAAGGATTTGAAGAACTAAAGCCAAAACCTTAAATTAAAAACCTAATTTACTCTCAAACTTCCTTTTGACCGGTCCTTTGTTCATTTATTAGAATCTTCAATTTTTATAATATTATCTTTGAGTTAACAGATATAATCAATAAAATTCTGTTATTAATGAATTTTATTGTTCACTCCTAATCACATTCACTCTAAACACTAACCTGACGTGGTCTCAATTATTAATTAACACACATGTGACTCAAGCTATAGTTATTCTAGGTGGTTCTTACCTGGTAATAAAATAGTACTTGAAGAAAATAAATTAATTTTATAATGTATTGCAATTTAAGTCTATAATGAATGACAATACTGTAGATACTTCAGTAAAACTTATAATATAGTATGTGATTTCAGATTCCCCTTGTTAAAAGGAAAGCAGGTAGTTTGTGTTAATGTCTAAACTCTTCTTAAATCTCCAATATCAGGCAGATTATAAAAAAATTGATGAAAATCAAATTATTTATAAGAAATTCAAACAAATATACTGGTTTGTTGAATACAATGCAATAATTTAATTGTATGTCTAAGATTGAGTCTCAAGTGATGAGTTAAGTGATTATTGATATAAATCATAGATTAGGATAATAGATTGGAGATAAATACAAAATATTTTCAGACTATAACAGATGTTGTTCTTCTTTACAGGATTGTATTTTTGCTACTGTCTAATTGTATTTCTATTCTCATAGTATTCCTTAACTTAGTCCTACTCCCAGTATTTCGAGGATTCTTCTTGTATTTTCCAAAGCCATCAGGTAAATTCAATGGAAATATTATTGGGGAGTCTTGACAAGTAGTTGTATTTTTTGAAGTCGTTCTTTTAGAAGATTTAGTTTCAATGATTGGCTCGTAAATCTCATGTGTAGTATTGACCACTTATGCACAACCCATAGGGAATTCGGATAGAAAAATAAATTTAATTGGTATATTTGTGATAAATGATTTTAAATTGATTTTTGGCTATTTGAAGCTGAATGACGATATTGGAAGTCCAAGATATTATAATTATTATTTTGAATTTATATAATTGCGATATACATAATCAGTTCATTAATGTATAAAAAATAATTATTTTATATATTTCATATAATAATTGATATTTCTCAATGAGTGCAAATCAATAGGCGAATCAATAGGAGCTCTCTGATGAAGGTATTGATTGAATTGAAGTCGATAGAATTTATGAAGCTTCACGCTAAGCAATTCTACAGAACTCACGGATAGCTGATAGGAAGTTAGCAACAATACATTCCAGTTCCAAAGGATAGTAATCATAACGGAAAGTTTACAGATGTAAATAATGAAATAAACATAGCATTTACTAATGGCGACGATGTACAGGAATAATAGTCTCAATACTACTTGTGATAAGGAGCGCTGGATTAATGGTTCAAAGGATTGGATGGAACATTTATAATGAAATTTATAAACATATATTGATTCATTTTATAAGTCGTGTGCATATCTCACAATAATATTGTTTGCTTTTATTATGGGTAATAAAATAACTAACACAACGGACACAAATAGCGTGCAATTGGCAATCCAAATAAAGATTGTTTTTATTGACTTGCAATTATTGTTTCAATAAATCATCTCTCATGTAGAAGAGACAAAGGGCACAGTAATTAAGAGTAGCAGACAAGTCCGTCTTAGGGTGCTTGGAGTATAGTTGTTGCGAATCATAGATCGATTCGTTTGGAGATGCATATTATTTGGATTTATTAATAGATGATTTGCTGATAGATGATACACTGATTTCAGAACTATTATTATATTACTTTCCTGTAAGTCCTTACATCTAGTTCCTATTAACTTTTCATAGAAGAGCTGTCATACCTTCATCGAAGTATTATACCACTTTCGACAGATTGATTTAAGCATTACAGTCTTTAACTTCACAAAACCTTGTGATTTTGTTGTTTTAGCAACAGCTCAAACAGTAACTATGTTTGCAATTAGGATTCTAATAAGTATTATCTCTAGTCATTTGACAAATTTAACATTATTTACGAGATTAATGCATTTTAAATATTATGTATATTATTAATAAATAATGAGAGGGAGTAGGGACAAATTAATATATATAAATATGCAATTGACATGTTAATTCCATAATTTATTTTGATTTATTTAATATCTATCATTTATGTTTTACCATAAATTAAATAAATTCATCAAATGAAACTTCCTTGTCTAATTTATTATTCTTATCTTTCTTGTATCTAACAATAACTTTCTATTTTTATTGATACAATTTATCTCTGATAAAGACAATAAATTTAATATCTTGGCGATCAGCAAAATTGATCTAAATTCACTATAATAAAATACGCATTCTTCCAATTGACAAGTTTCATCATCATTGTAAATCATGGCTGGTATGTCCAAATAATGGCAAGCCTATAAATATACTCGTTTAGCTTCCTAAAGATTCCCACCAACCTAAATAACCTATAATCTTTACTGAGCAAATCAAAACTTAATACTTAAATAGTAATGAATTAGCCTATTCTTGGGAAACAGAGAAGATTTCTTCTAAGACATCCAATTCAAGGGTGAATCCATTGATCTCCACTTTTTTATTGCAAACCTAAGATAATCTTGCTCCTTCCTTCAAGATATTGCTCTAAACTTTAGATAATGGTAATTCTTTCTGACTATTCAATATGTGATTTAACTACAATACCTTATTATAGAATTAGATCTTGATAATTATGCTGAACCTCCTCCAAAATGATTTAAATTGATTTCTATTTTTTAAGTAGGAACATCCATTATGATTGAACATAAAGTCTATAATTTTTTGCAGCTCTTTTCGTATGATCCCCCATATAATATAGGGAGCTATACATATTCTCCCTTCAATTTCTATTTCAAGCAACTCAATTCAAATTGAAATCCGTGACTGAATCCATATTTTTTATTATTGACAGAACAATCAAATAATATGGGGATTTCATAGTTATAACTCGAAGGATTGATCTATTCTCTGATCTTGCGATAACAATGTAATTAATAGTGTAGTTTTTTACCAAATTCGATAATTTTATTCTACTTCCATTTCAAATCCTCATTATGCGATAATTACAAAACTTCAACGAGATTGATGTCTTGAATTTTGCATTTATATTAAAACAAAAGTATAAACTTATCCAATTTGTCTATATATTTCTCTATTATCAATTTAGAAACAGCATTATCGGAATCATTTAAAATAAAGTATCTCAATTTGCTTGCATTAAACTAATTGTAGGAAGCTACCTTCGACATGTATTAATATATCTGCTTTTGAGAATCGATGTCATAAACATTAAATGCAAATAACAAATCCATAATAAATTCTTGATTAGTCAACTTAAGCTTTGGAATTTCTAGATTCAATTGATCCATCAACTATATTGATAGAATGATAGTAGACAGCAATCCATCATCATCGTTGAATTAAATCTGATCAAAATTCAATTGGTTTTGGACTCTAATCTAATCTAATTCAGATATCATTGTCTCTCCAATCTCAAAGCATTGTATTGACTTACCCTATTACAATTTATTGTTCAATAATTAAAGTTATTTCACAAAAGAATTTCTTAATTAATGTCTAAAAAACACAATTTCCCCATTCTAATTCATCATTTGAATTGGTTGCTGATGTTAACTGTAGAGGAATGTACCATTCTTGTCAATATCCTTTGGCTTATTTATAATATACGGAGTCTAAATTTACACAATACATTATTGATTCATAAATTACAATATTTTAGGCATATAGCATTATTTTACATAAAATTTCTAGTTAATACAATGTTACAAATAAAGTCTATCTCTATCTAGATAGTTCAATCTCTTATTATTAAATAAGGCCTCAATTAACTTCTGATAATAAATGCTTTCGTTGTCTTGAGTGCCTAAGATCTTGATGGCTTCCTTTAGTAATTCATCTTCCATTTTAGGGGGGATTAGTTCGCTGTGGAGAATTTCCTGAATTGTTGGTCTTTTCTTGGGATCAGTATTGGTCATCCACTTTATCAATGCAGATTGCCGAGGATGAGAGACTTAAAAAGATTTAGGCAACTTGCCATTTAATTTCAATTAAGATAGAGTTTTGACTCTCTCTTTATGATTCTAAAATGGATGCCACATTTCCAATAAAATCACTCCCAGAGCAAATACATCTCTCTTCTCATCGAATTCTTACTCATTATTGGGTGGACAATAAAAGTAGGTTCCTACATTAAGTGTCTTATCAAGTAATTCTAAGTCATCCTTCTTTAACAGTGGTTGCTAGGTTATAAAATTTAATATTTCTGGAATTTCATTGGTATTTTCAACTGAATTGCTATACACAATAGAATGAGAATTTTTAGAGGTATGTTTAGCTAACCCAAAGTCTCCAATTTTAATATCTTCTGTTGTATCAATAAAAATATTTTCTGGTTTTAAATCTCTATGAACAATTTTTTATTAATGAGTATACACCATTCCCTCAAGTATCTGTCTGAACTGATTCCAAATGAACGATTATTCAGATTTGGGATAAACTTCTTCAATTTGCTTCCTCAATGTTCTCGTACAATACTCGGTTTGAATGTATAAAACAAGAATCTTTTTTTCATTCTTAATTGGATTGTTGCTATTTTAAAATAAGCCACTTCCAAGACTTGAAGCATTAAAATTGAATTAACTATCTGATTATTAAGTGAATCCACTAACTAATTAGATTTCAGAATCACTAAATAAATGATTTAATTTTACTCCTCATGGATTTCAAAGTCTTCTTGAGTCTTATCGCATTCATCAATCCATGCCTGATAATATCGTATCACATATCTATGATGCAAATGACTTAATAAATCTACTTCTCTCATTATCCTTGCCAAACCCTGTCCGTATGGAATTTTGATCTTCTTTACTGCATAGAATCTACCATCAATCTTATTCTTGACTTTAAACACTTCTCCACTTTAAGTTAATTAGATAATCTTACAAAGATCCCTTTCCCAATGTGGTCACTATATCGAAATCAGCTTCCATCCTATTAAAAGAGGGTTCTTTAATTAAAGTCAATTTCTGATTTGGAGACAGAGTTAATTGCTGCTGCTACTCCTCCAATACTTTGGCATTATTGCTGAAATTGGATAGTTTGGAAGACGACTTACTGTACGGAGTAAACAAGAGATTCATAAGATTGGTTCTATCAGTCAGATTCTTGTCTTGGGATTTGTGCATCTGAAAGATTTCAGCCATTTTGAAGTCTATTTTTTCTTATTCCTAATATAAATCAGTTCGTACATTTTTAGCTATGCTATCAAATTTGTTGAGGTAGAGATTGTTGAATATGACTTCATACTTGGGGGATAGTAATTTTAACAACTCTTTGTTTGTGGTGATTTGAAATAAATGCAATAAACTCACCAATTGTTTATAGTTTTAGTGATGACAATTCTTCAGGACTATCTAAAATACTACTATCTAATTAACCTTAATCAAATGGATTAATAACAACTCCATCCCTGATAACTGTTGCCAAGCATACACCTTTGGACTCTTCTATATAAATGGTTCCGATGGTTCCGGCTCTTGTTCATTAACCTGTTAATCCAGCCATTCTTGTCGCAACTTAAATTCCTCCTGTATGGACGTGTACTTTGTGTTCTCCTTCTCCTCCATTATTTAACTTGATTTAGTGAGCAACTTCTTCTGTTTTTCTCTCTTCTTCTCCTCTTGCATAAAGATGTCATACAAGTTCCTTGTGTTGATCTTCTCATTATAATTGTATTAGTGTTTTGAAGTCACCTATTTTTGACACTACAAAATTAATCCATCAATATAACCTGCACCACTATAGAGAATATTATTTGTGATCCTGCTTGATTCAATCCCGTCTCAAATAAATCCGAAAATAACTCCTCCTTCTGAATGTCATTAAAACCCTCTAATTAAATAAAGTCGATTTTCGGAACATGATCAGGGTAAGATTGTGGGAAATGCAATCCCAACACTGCCATAGCTTGAGCTTCACTTTCATCCAGAATTTCCTCAGGATATATAGTAATTTAAATGGCTTTCACATATCCACTCTCTGGTGGAATTCCTATGATTTTATCCTGATAGATTAATTTCAAATTGTTAATCTCCTCTATTAATTGATTACTCGCCTTAATGTCCTTTGTTTGTATTTTCAGACTAGGTTTCTATTTAATAACCCTCTCGTGTTAAACTGACTAATTCATAAATAATCTTTAGTTAATTTTTATAAAAATAAATAATAAACAAAATCTTCACTATTAAAACATGCATGCATCCAAAATGAAATCAGATGCATATGTGTTTGGCTTCTTGCTCTCACTTATCACATAGACATTTTTATTGGCCTTTCTAACTACTTGTCCTCCTCCCAATTTTATCAGATATTCTATCTCACCCTTTGAAGGTATCACATCTTCATTCACGTAGTATTTCCCTTCAAAAATTTCTACGATATTGTCATTGCTCTCAAAGTAATCATCTCTGCATTGTATTATTTATTTTATGCTCAACCCAAATTGTTTTTGAAACTCTTCACTCTCAGGAACATAATTTTAATGGTTCTACTAATCATATTGTGCAAGAGAATCCTTCAACCAATCAGCAGTAACTATTTCAGCTCCATGCATAAGTGCTGCCAAGAATTTGAATGTCCTTTTAAAAGGCGTGTTAATTATTAATAAATCAAATTTCTCAAATTAATTCTCCACCAATTCAAGATCCAGTTTCATCAGATCTTTCTCTGAAGGAATTTCATTTTCTGAGAAACCACTAAAAGCAATCGTACGAAACTACCTATCATTATTAACCAACCTTTTTTTTCTCAATCCCCTTCTACTCTTTGGTACAATGTTTTATGCTTTCTCCTCCAATATTTTTGTATTAGGTAACTCCATTGAATTTGAATGTCTAGGCAATTATTATTTAGGTTGTATCTTCTCCTCTTCTAATTCCGATATTGAATTGTTACTAATTTCATCAGTGATTTTCTTTAACATACCCACCTACTTCACCACGTCCTTCTTCTTCTTGTCCCTCTTCTTTTTATTCTCTGTCCCTCTATTCTCCTATTACCTTAACTTCTTAGGCGTATCATCCTACTGAGATTGATTCTTCTCCTCCTAAATCTCCTCTGTCTTAATACTGAATAAGTTGGATTTTAGTGATGAAAACTTCTTTATCACTTAAGGCTATACGATACTTTAATTCGGGAGTTCTGGCAAACTGCCAAAAATATCATTCAATTCGATGTTAGAATTTACATCCATCTTTGGTGTCGTGTACACATTTTCTGATTTAATACTATTCATCCTATTGAATTGAGAATGAGAAACCTAAGATTTCTATTCCTCCTTATTGTTGAATTAAGACGAAAAGGCCTTTTCTAATTCTTCATCAATCATAGTCCCCTTTATTTCATTATTTTATTCAAAGAACTTTTATTGCTCCTCATCGTTCACTGTGGCCCCTAATAATTGTGAATCGATAACAGTTGAATCAACTATTTGGGGTTCAGGAGCCTAAACTTTTGGAACCACATTTGGTGTAGTTTGCTGTTATTTTTTAATTTTAAACAGATCACTAAATAGAGTTCCTTTTTTCTATACAGGAGGAGGTTCCTTCTCAATAAGATCTGTCTAAGTCGCTGCTTCCTGCTTGTCATTAGTTGTCAATTAATTCATCAATCTCATATTAGAATACTACACAATCAGTTCATTAAGTGTAAAAATTTCAGTTTAATCGCCTTCTTCAATAATTAATGTAGATGAGCAAGGGTCTTATGTGTTTAATACCTATGTTGTTGTACAAAATGATTGGGTTGTAGATAATTTCTGGGCTTATTGTGGAATTTGAAAGATGTCCTCTAGCGGCATGGTTCCTGAAAATTCTTCAAGATTTTAGGTTGTGCCAACTTAATTGCAAGTGTTTTATTGGGAGGATTCACTTAAATCAAGAAGTTTAAATTTATAGGTTTGAAAGTAGTAATTTTTAGTTGGAAAAATTTCAATGAGAAAGTTTTTTGGTATCTCAACTTTGGAATAGGGTTTGAGTGTGGAGTCCTTGTAGACGTTGGATGTGTCACTAAAATGGGTGAAATAGACATCGTTGTTAATAAGAGCCTATGGTTTAGATTTATTGGTTTACTACTGAGAAGAGTACACTTTGGACATTGCGGATAAGAAATTTGCACAATTTTGAGTCGCTGCCAAATTTATTCTCGCCTTGGGCCAATCTGTATTTATAGATTTCTTTATCATTCTAATCTAATACTTAGATCATTAGAGTGTTTATAATATAATTATTTTTAAAGGAAAATTCATATTAATAAATGATCCTTATTTGTAAATTAAAAGAATGATATTCATTTTTATCTTTTTTCAGACCCAAATAATTTCTAGATATTAGGAGTTTTATGAAACTAGTGATTTGTTGTAGTTTTAGGGTACAACAGTTATGCAAACTATTCTGTTTTGATTCTGTTGTTCTCATTTTTATGAACTTTCTAATCAGGCATAGTAGCAGTTCTTTCAGTGATCATTTGACTTTTTGTGGATTCTAGAATTTGTTTGAGTGCCTACACTATATTTTAGAGTTACCTTAATGTCAGCATTTTAATTCTATTATTACAAAGTCTTAGAGTATGCATGTGTAATTTTGGATGACTAAATTAATGAAGCAGATTTATTAGATAACTCATTCCTTTTTAGGAGGTCTGAAATCTCTGATTTCCCTGAGTATTTCGGCATTCTTCTATTCTCAGTTGGAGATATTTACTAAGATATGACTATTAATACCCTATTTTTATCTTATGGATTAATTTCGAAATTGGGAACATTTTCTACATTTAATTAGGCTAAATTGACATGATTAGACCTAATTGGTTTACATTAAAGAGTTTGAGGCAAGTCTTCTCTGGAGAAGTAGAAATCACGCAGCAGAAAATTTGGGTTATTGTCAGTGTTCTAATTTTATAGAGAACCATGCATACCACATATTCTTTTTATAGGTTAATTGCATATTATTTTCTGAATTCAGTATCTCCTTTATTAAATTCTTCCTCATCAAAGTTATATTTTAAAGGTTCTGGTTTATATGGAGGCTAAATTGCCCTATTTATAATAGCCTCAATGTTGATATCAGCGAACCAGGGATGACTCAAGATCTCCACTATACCCTAGGATTATCCCATTCTTTCTTATGGATCCTTTTCCAACAGCTGACAAATCAAATCCTTTAATAAATCCGAAATTTGAACATATGGTGGGAACTATACCTGTTCAGACAAGATGGATGTGTAGATTTCTTGAGTGTTGTGGGAATAGAAGGGAGGCAAGCCTGTTACTAATTCATAGAGCAGTGCACCTAAGCAATAACAATCAACCAAATAGTTATGTCCACTTTTTAAAAGCATCTCAGGAGCCATATACTCCGGAGAGCCGCAAAAGGAGTAAGCATAATCTTAGTTTGTCATATTGGGTTTGCTTAATCCAAAATCACTTAACAGCAGATGTCCCTATAAATCTAAGAGTATATTCTCTGGCTTGATGTCTCTGTACACAATATTTTTGGAATGTAGATATGCCATTCCTATACAGATTTCAACAAAGTAATATTTTGCATCTTCTTCAGTTAGACGCTTCAATTTTCTTAGATGGTAGAAGAGTTCACCTCCTGCGCAATAATCCAAAACAAATGCTATATAATATTTAGTTTCAAATGCAAAATGCAAAGGAGTAATAAACTCGTTATTCACATTCACCATAACATCTCTTTCATTTTAGACTATCACCTCTTTTTGATTTTCCATTATGAAATTCTTATCGATTAACTTCAAGGCATAAAACTTACCATCATCTCTTTTTCTTACTAAATAAACTCTCGAAAATCCTCCAACTCCTATGCACTTCACCAATGTGAAATCTCTCAATGATACTTTCTTACCATAAAGAGACTGGGTAATTAATGGCTGCAATTGAAGAGTTACTCCTTAGAAAACATTCAAAGGTAAATTCGGCAAACTTAGATAATAATCATAGGGAATGATTTTCTAGGTTGTGTAGAATTAGCATATTTTATTGATTTCTATGAATACTTTTAAATTAAACCTTCCTAGATCTGGACCTCCTCTGTTGATCCTGTTCCTCCTCCTTGTTTCATGAATGACTTTTCAATACAAGCAATTTATTGAATCAAATAATTGTATAAGTTATCAGTAGTCTAACCTTGGTGATTATAATAATAGTGATATCTAGAGAATCAAATGCAATAATACTTTTAGCCCTTATAAACCAAGATTATCTTTAATTGCTTCTATGAATCATACTGATTGGATTCATCCTAAAAATTCTTCTACTGATGTGATTGATTTGCTGATTGAAGTTCATTAGCATTTTTCTGGAATTAGATCTTATTTTTGCTTAGAATTTATTCAATGGAACTCTTTAATATATGAGAATCCTACTGTGAAGATTACTTATTTTGTTTCATTGTAAAGTATTGCTAATTGTCAAATTGCTGAATATTTTTTTATTCCTTGGCACTCTTTATTTAGAGATCATGAAAATATTGATCTACAGTAGATTTGAGTATTTTATTTTAATTTTAATGAATCTAACTCATCTAATTGTGTTTAAGAATGTTTTTTTATTGTTTTTATTCTGTTTGAAGAGTGGCAAGTGAAAAATTCTTACTTTTTAGAAGCTGTTTCTTATTTGAATTGCCTTCCTCGGTTTCGACACGCTATATTACGAATGATAGAGTACATTTGATATTTTTTGGCGTTCGCTTTTCTGGCTATTTAAAATATCAATGCTTCTGCTTTGTTGCAATTATGATTTGATATTATTGGTTACCTGAGTAATAGTATTTCTCTCTTTTTTAAAATACTCTAATAAGTCCTATTTTGGATTTTTGGCAACAGTGGTTATGCTCTCAGTCTTTAGAATTTTGGCATTATTCTTTTTTGGTTTAAAATCCATTGAATACGGATTGTCTAATAGGCTTCCTCTTCCACTAGATTACATTGGTTGAGATGAATAATTTTTCATAAACGATATTTATAATTATTAATAACCATTTCATAGATGGAGATGATCAAATTTAGGTCCGATTAAAATAATACTCTTTACAAAAAGAGATCAAATAATATAAACTGACAATCAGAATAAGAAAAATCATTTTTAATTTTGCCTTCTCATCTCCATCATCTTCTATTTTGCTTCCACTTTTGTATTTTGAACTAAATCAGTCATTAGAGAAATAAATATTGGAATCATTATCATTGTGATTGTGATTATTATTATGTATTGTAACTAATATTCTAAACGAATCTTTTTACATATTTAGTCTCAAAAGAATAGATTTAATCTTTAGCATATGTATTATAGAACCCTTATTGTTCAATATCATTATCCAATCCAAATCGCAAGGTACATCTAAGCAATCCCAAAAAGGTATAAATGAAATTGTCATGGCTTATTAGTTTGCCTTGAATGGTTACGATCCATGACATTGCACAAACACTGATTATGAATACCAAAACAAGCATCAAGAACCAAGACTCTCTGTTGAACTATGCAAACTAGAATTAGCATTACTCTTATCATGACCAATCCATAGCATTTTAAATATGGACTCCAATTCCCCATAAACCTCACTATCGAAATCATCAAAAATAACACCAAAACAGCTGAAAATATTCTACTCAAAAACAGTGGCACTATCAAGGCATTTGCATCCTAATATTAATCTGATTTCAAATCTATTTCTTATAATGCTTCCTCATACTAATTGTCTATTGTGTTCTTCATAACCATTCCAAATTGACATAAGATATCTAAAATACTAACAATTTCATTACAAATATAATCAAAAACTAAGGGAATTCTAATTGTAACATAAATCACCTTTAAATTTATTATTGCATATTCTCCTACTATCAATTGTTTCTACTATAGATCTTTTTAATCACTTTCGCTTATCTACCTTTTTTTAGCCTCCAATTTTTTCTTCCTGTTCAGTAATTCTTAGTATTACAGGTAGATCACAATCAAATTATTTTTAGTCCCTACAAAGTATAAGCCAAAGAAATCTATATAATTTTAATTAGTTGTCTACCAAAAAAGGAGGAAATCAATAGGACAATCGAACAATAAAATATAATGTCTTTGTTTATTAGAACTTGTTCTGGTATATCTTTTAAATTAAAACCTTCCGCTGAAAAGCTATTATAATTCAAGAGACGCTAAATATCATCAAAATATTTACGTCGTTGAATAAATAAAGCGTAGTGATACTTACCTATATAATTCTCTAAGTAGGACCATTATAATAATTCAACAAGAATTGGGATTGTTTGATATTATATTACAACCATTCTTCTGAAACCATTTAATCATAACTTTCTTAAAAGGATTCTCTTGAGCTTAAATTAAATTCCCAAACATAACCTCCGAACTATTCGTTATAGACTTTAGGGTCAAAATTTAATTTAGTGTAACTTTGATTTAATTAGCTGGTTTATGTTATGTTGCCATCACAGAGGATTTTTAACTAAGGTAGAATGATAAAATAATAACACTTTTAGATTCTTTTACATTAATTTGTTATTAGTATAATAATTAAATTTATCGATCATTTGTTTATATAAGCTGTTCAATGCTTTTGAAAAATAAAATACATATATATCTTCTGATAGAATACTTAATGTAAGAAGTATATGTCAAACAACAAGCAGGATTAATTTTTACCCAAATACATTTGCTTTTGATTTTCATTCAGAATATCGCAATTATTGATGTTATCCTAATTATCATTAAATATTTACTATACCAACAAGAGTTTGAATAAGTAGGCCGGACTGAAGAGGATAGGTAGGACTCAAACCATGAACTGATCCATTAGGGATTGATAGGGAAATAATTTAGGATAAGTTAGTAATTGGAGATATGTAGGACTTTTAGATTGCCATATTTAAGCTCTAGTTTAAAAGTAATTAAGAATTTGTGAAAAAGTCTAACTCACTAATTTCAATAATTGCATATAAAATTAATAGTGAGACGAATAAAATAGATTCCAAAAAGTATTTGAGACTGGTCAAATAATCCATATATTTGGACCAATTAATAGATTTTTAAATTCTTTTAATTGATCTGAGCTATTTAGTCATTAATTCTTGGGTGGCTCCATCAAACAAAAAATCNTCTAATTGTAACATAAATCACCTTTAAATTTATTATTGCATATTCTCCTACTATCAATTGTTTCTACTATAGATCTTTTTAATCACTTTCGCTTATCTACCTTTTTTTAGCCTCCAATTTTTTCTTCCTGTTCAGTAATTCTTAGTATTACAGGTAGATCACAATCAAATTATTTTTAGTCCCTACAAAGTATAAGCCAAAGAAATCTATATAATTTTAATTAGTTGTCTACCAAAAAAGGAGGAAATCAATAGGACAATCGAACAATAAAATATAATGTCTTTGTTTATTAGAACTTGTTCTGGTATATCTTTTAAATTAAAACCTTCCGCTGAAAAGCTATTATAATTCAAGAGACGCTAAATATCATCAAAATATTTACGTCGTTGAATAAATAAAGCGTAGTGATACTTACCTATATAATTCTCTAAGTAGGACCATTATAATAATTCAACAAGAATTGGGATTGTTTGATATTATATTACAACCATTCTTCTGAAACCATTTAATCATAACTTTCTTAAAAGGATTCTCTTGAGCTTAAATTAAATTCCCAAACATAACCTCCGAACTATTCGTTATAGACTTTAGGGTCAAAATTTAATTTAGTGTAACTTTGATTTAATTAGCTGGTTTATGTTATGTTGCCATCACAGAGGATTTTTAACTAAGGTAGAATGATAAAATAATAACACTTTTAGATTCTTTTACATTAATTTGTTATTAGTATAATAATTAAATTTATCGATCATTTGTTTATATAAGCTGTTCAATGCTTTTGAAAAATAAAATACATATATATCTTCTGATAGAATACTTAATGTAAGAAGTATATGTCAAACAACAAGCAGGATTAATTTTTACCCAAATACATTTGCTTTTGATTTTCATTCAGAATATCGCAATTATTGATGTTATCCTAATTATCATTAAATATTTACTATACCAACAAGAGTTTGAATAAGTAGGCCGGACTGAAGAGGATAGGTAGGACTCAAACCATGAACTGATCCATTAGGGATTGATAGGGAAATAATTTAGGATAAGTTAGTAATTGGAGATATGTAGGACTTTTAGATTGCCATATTTAAGCTCTAGTTTAAAAGTAATTAAGAATTTGTGAAAAAGTCTAACTCACTAATTTCAATAATTGCATATAAAATTAATAGTGAGACGAATAAAATAGATTCCAAAAAGTATTTGAGACTGGTCAAATAATCCATATATTTGGACCAATTAATAGATTTTTAAATTCTTTTAATTGATCTGAGCTATTTAGTCATTAATTCTTGGGTGGCTCCATCAAACAAAAAATCTGCTTCAGTTTTTTTGGTGTCTTCTCTAATTTTTTTTTATTTAATGATTTTAATTCCTATGACAGGTTGATAATTTTTAAGCAACTCATAAATCGATGGGTAAAGTTGGTCCAAAATAATCATATCAGGTTAAAGTACATTTCCCATTAAATCTGTATAAAATATCTCTTTCTCTTCTGCCATAAAACATGATTTTACAATCTATTTTAACTCTCTGAATGTGCGTACCGTCCCTGGTATTTTAACAACCAAGGAGTTGCAACCCTATTTCAAAGACACAAAATATCCATCTTCAAGAATAACTTTTTCAACTTCCTGGATTATTTGTTTTTCATCATTGGGTTAATTTTATGTCATAATGAGATTTCCAACTTGTAATTACTTCTTTGATATTTCTTGTTCCTAAATACTTTCTAAATACTCCTTTTTACTGGTATTCAGAAGAAATAGATTCAATGTTTAAATTACATTTTTTTCTATTGTCTCATCTACACCTTAATTTTGATCTGTTTCACCAATAGCTTTTAATGTATGATTGTGTTTGTGATAGAGTTCAATTTGTTTGATTAAAGATTCATATTCCTAAATCATATTTAATAAAGTACTTTTTCCACTCGACCAATTTCGTCAAAATAATTGTCATTCAATTTTTCCTCGTCTGCTTATTCTTATTAGAGTTTTTTTAATTCCTCCTTGAGAGTATCTCTCTGTCTTTTAAATGGAGCCAACTTTTTATTATTGTACTGATTATTGCTCATAAGGAGGTGTATAAATAGAAATTTGAATAGAAATCAATTATTACTTTAATGAGATAATTATAATTAAAGTTTATTAGTATAAAATAATCAATCAAATTACTGAATTGAGGTAGGATTTAAATGATTCTTGGCTTACCATTAATTAATTTAAATTCTCCTTCAGTTTTGATGATTTTTAATCAAGATTCACTTTGCATTACAAACTCCTATTGCTCCTAACTATTTCTTTATATTCTTTTTACAAATCTGCATACTCATCCTAAAACTCCTTCTTCTGTGAAATCAAATGCATGCATTTTTAGAGCAACCTGAACATGTCCTCATTTCCCTTCTTTTATTCAAACTTTTATTTCCCTATTAAATTTTATAAAACGTTTAGGTTTTTGTTTTTGAGAGTACATTTCTATTATGATTAGTCAAGCTCATTATACAATGTTTTTTACTGAGTCATTTAACTCATGCTACTATAGAGCAAACTAGAGAAAGCCTTCTCATTAAATGAATATTTTGGACGATGATGAGCCATCTTAGCTGGTGGCGATTATGCAAGGGATTTTGCTTCCGATTTTCTATGCATCTTAATGTATTCTATTAAGTTCTTCATTTGTGAATTTCTATGTATCCTTGCATCGATTTAACTCGATTTTAGAGTACATGAGTATTTCTCTAAAAATTCTAATTTTGAATTCACAAATTCAAGACTTACTATACTCAGATTGTCCAACATGTTGTTTATTGTCTAAACAAGCTATCTGTACTCTTCATCTAAATCTTGGCATTGATTAATAATTGACTACATTTATTTTAACGAACAAAAATATTAATTATGACTAACTTGATCAAATGAATATTAATCCCTTTTAACATTTCATCAAATTTACTCTAAAATTCTATATTGATCATAAGTAAGTGAAATATAAGTATATACTTGGTAGAGATCAATGAAGCTAAGATGGCCCAAATATTTTATAATGGTTCATTAATAGTTATAACGAATCAAGTGTAAAATTAAATATTAGATAGACAAATTAATATTTGTAAAATTACAATTTTATCATTCGATAGTATTATCAAATAAGTTATCAAAAAACTAAATTTTGATTTGATTCAATATTCTAATATTTCTATAATATCATTCCCCCTTAAAAAAATACTCAAAACAAAATGAGGGATTCACCTACTAATTTATGAGATTGAAGAAAGAAACCTAATCCTCATCATATTCATTTGACATGCCAAATATGAACTATATCTGTTTATTTAAAAATCAAGTAATTTCTTATAAAAAATAATTTATCATGAAACTATTTCTTAGGTTTTGCACTCTCTGATAGTTAATAAAGTCTCTGCACTTGCCTTTGGGCAGGAACAATTGAAAAACAGAATATTTATATTTTTGCCTATATCATATATTTAATGAATACTTCAGATAAAGTTGCAACTGAAAAATTATCATATCGATGTAAACTATGATATTCAAAAAAGTATTAAAATAAGGTAGCCCTGTTTTAGAATAAAAGGGAAAATGAAATTTAAAACACAAGAAGATTAAATAATAACTATAAATTAAAATTGATTTTAAATTAAATACTAATGGTAAAAGATTCTAAAAAGGAGAAAAACTAATTTATGGAACTTTTCTATTTGAAACTGAAGTATCTATATCTTAATAGATCAAATAAAGACTTTTAAAACGAATTTCTCACATAGATTTATTAATTTTATCATACTCTAAAATAAGTAATTTGAGCTTTTCTACTTCATTATTATTAAAATCTTCTTTTTACATATATCATTATTAAGCATAATAATTTATAAGAATGTGATTAAGATTTAATACTTGAACTGCAGGAGAGCTGAGTAATTTTGGGTTATCAATTGTTTTTATGAGGCTTCTAACTTTATTATATTAATAAAATTTTATCTTTATTGTAAATTTTTCTATTTTTATAGCTGTAAAAGGGGATCTTTTTATTCTTTAGAACTAATTGTGGATATATCATACAATTTCTTAATAGTTCTTCTCATTATTCACCTTAATCAGGTAGTTTTTCAATGTTACTTAATTTAATTTTCCATAATTTCTAAATTTTAAAATTGATAGCCCATTTACACCCATATTAGTATTAATATTAAATTAGATAGCTGATTACTCTCCAACTGAAATATAATGGGAACTCTTAAATTTATGAATAAACCTTTCAAGAACAATGTAAAAACATATATTAAATTCATAAATGATAGTGATAAATGTAGTTTCAAAACATCGTTTATGTTAATTCAAAGTTTATAGTCATTTACTTACTGGTAATGTTAACTTAAATCATTCAATAGTAAAACCTTCTTTTACTTTAACGTATTTGTAGGTTGTCTTATTTGAATTGCACAAAAAGATGAATTACTTCACATTGTCAATTAGTCAAACTAATAATATTTATATAATTTTATTTAATAAAAATGTAGGACGTATAATAACCTCACAGTTCCAAACTCGATCAAGAATCAGCCACTAATGCAAAAAATCATTTGCTATTAGTGAATGTACTCATAATTTCATACTCTAATAGAACATCACAGAATTATCGAATGAATTACTGTAAAGTTATAAACATGAGATTGACTAATTGAAATAGGAATTGCATTTAATGAAATAGAGAATCACAAATAACAATGAAGAAATCAAAAATACAACCTAACCAACTTTAGATGCTATGTTAAGGGACTTAAGACAAGTAAAAATCAATGAAACTTTTTTAGGCCATTAACACTTAAAAAGATGAAAACTCTAAATTACAGTCGCAAATCACTGAAATCAAAAAGGAAAAAAGCCAAATTCAACAATTAATAATTGCTGCTACTCAAAAAGTTGCAGAACTCGAGCATTAAGTAGGAAACTATACCTCCTCATGATTTATAATTATTAATTGATTATTCGTGCAGAATTCATAATCAAATAGATATTCTTAACTCTAATCAAGTTCACTTTATTGCATAATAAAAATTATAAATTTAATGTTCTTTTCATTTTTAACACATAATAATTTAAGAACCTTCTCATGATCTCTCAATGTTTTTTAACTAATTCTCTGGATATCATTCACAGACTATGTAAATAAGAAATAAATACATGATTAAAAAAATAATAGGAAAAAAGAATAGATCAATTTTTTATAAGAAAACTTCTATCAAATATTACTCTTATCAAATTGATGATTATTATGAATTAAAATAAATAGTATAATTATATGGATTGAGAATGGTATAGCTTGATTATTTACAAAAAGTAATAATCCAACAGTGAAATTTTAGAATAATATTACAACATTCGATAATACAGGGTTCTTAAAGTAATCTGATGTTTTATTTAAGACAACTGAACATCTATGTTTTAAAAGAAACATTTGATTAGATGTCTAGAATTACTTTCTAATTATGCTAATTTATATCAGAATTATGTTTCTTTAGATTTGCCTATAAAAATTAATGAAACAAAAGTGCCAAAATCTATTGAACGGACAGTTTTCACTAATTTAATGAAATAGCTAAGTTTAATTTTCCAAATTAAGGTTGTTTTTTTGTTAAATTAAAGAAGTTCAAAAGATTTCTTCGATTTCTAGCTAATAATTTCATACAATAAATGTAATAGTAATCGATAGTTTGTAAGCATAAGATATTGGAATGTAAAGCAATCAGAGGGAGAGGCAAAAGATGGTTTAATATTGCTAATTTAGAGATAGTTTCAATTATAATCTATAGATAATGATGAGTAAAATATACAATTAATTTAGATGAATTACCCTAAAATGGAGAATATTAGACTTATAAATCAGGGAATTTGCTACACCCTTAAGTTTAGTTACTCGGACTCCATTTCTAAATCAACAACAGTATTATAATTGGATTTTAAGACAAAATTCTGCAAGGGTGCTGAATTATATGGAATATAATAATAAAAAAATCGATTGAATTTATTTATTAAATATTAAACACAAAATCTCAGTATTTATGCTAATCCTGGGCTTAATAAAGTATATATTAAAAATAAAAAAAAAAATCAGGTGTCAAGATGACATCATCCTATTTTGAAATGCAAGAATTTGAGGCAAGTTATCATGATGTAAATTAAGCAGCTTTAATCTTTTATGAAGACACAGATGGTAGTCATCAGGATACAGATAAGTTTTTGAATTGGGAGGAGGATCTGATCTAAATATCAAAGTCATCTCCCTCTCAAAGAGACTACAAAAAAAACATCTGTCGGAACATATTAAGATAAGCTGTTAAATCTATGAGGAGGGGAAAATAGTTCGAATTTCTATAAATGGAACTATAGCGAGAAACTTCTCATTTTATAGATTATTATCAGAAAAATTTACATAACATAAATGGATTCAGAAGCCTCAAAAAATAATTAATCACAGACTAAAAGGACACGCCTGAATAAAAATTGTGGAAACGTGTCTTTCAGTCATACATGGTTTGGTTCTTGAATTAAAGAGCTTCTCTCTTCATTCTGAATGGAGAAGCCAACAACTTCAAAGAATACCTAAGATTCAAAAATGAAGTTATGTTGTTTTATGCATAATTTCCTGAACAATGGTGTTCAAATGAACCAGCCTGGAAAATTGGTAATTGATTATTCAATTACAACCAAAAAAGGATTTATGATTGCATTATTACAATCATAACATATATAAATATAAATATCTACACGTCTTAATACTCCTTACCCTGTCTTAGCAAGTAAAAGAGTTTAGAAATAAATTTTAATTTTTCGATCTTTTTTGCGTCAAATTTTAAACTGATTGTTAAAGACACAAATGTTCAATATTGGTGGATCAATAGTTTTCAATAACCAATGATAATAATGACCAAAATCTAGATTGTTGATCTAAATGAGTTGAAATCATACTTTTATGTAATTCTCATTAAAACGATTTCTAATAGTTGTTTATAAATATAATGTAAAGCAGGTTTTCTCTTTTCAGTTGAAGATCTGATGTTTATACTAAGCAAATTACAAATTACATTTTAGCAATTTATTTTTAATATTTAATGAGAGGATTAATTGTTAGATTCCGATTTTCTGAATAAGTTTCAGTTCAATAGCCAATACAATTGAAAAGATTTTATAAGGAGGCAACCATTGAAATGGCCACGAATCCAACTAATCCATATCATTAATGGCTCGTGAAAGTATATATTAATAAGTAATATTTAAATAGTTAGATGGAAAGACAGTAAAAACTCCTTCTAAAAATACGTTGGCAGTCCCATCCCCTCAATTGGCATCGTTTATTGCTCATGAATTTAACATGCAAACTGAATACATAAGACCAACGACTATGCCACTCTTAACTTTAGCTAGGAATGCAATTGATATTGAGGCAGATGATAGAATCAGATAATTTATGGAATAATCAATTATTAGTTATTTAGAGAGGGATACAGTGTTATTTAGAGAGAATCCAGACACTAAATTATATAAAATTCAGAAAGACAAACTAGATCCACAATTGAAAATCTTTAACGAGAAATTTGGATTGCATTTGAAACCCAATTTTGGATTAAACATAGAGCCTTTGAAATAATACGATCAAATTAGAATTGAAACAATAGTGAGTGAGTTGAATAATTGGCAATTGGTCAGTTTGGATGCAAAAGTTGGTATGATGTAATTATCTAAGTAGAAAATCTAAAATCCTGTATTTTAGCATTACTAATTTGGAATAATCATTTGTAAGTTGAGGAGGCAGTGAAATTGTCAAGATTAGAAGAGGATTTCTAAATTGCACAGTTTGGAAAAGTTGAGGGCCATCATGATTACGACGAGAATACTATTATGATGAATGTATCGGCTTCTAAATTGTTTGCATAATTGATTTAGACTTAAAGTATCGCCTATTGATGATATATAAGTTGTTAATTTTATTTATATATATTAATTCGAAATTGAAATTGCAGAATGAAAAAGAGTACTAAGACTTAAGTAACTAACACATAAAAACAGAAAGTTAAATCCCCTACTAAAAAAACTACAGAAATTCAATAAGAATCTATGTTATAGAGTGGAAGAGATTGGGCTAAGCAATCCTATCGTAGTTCTCAGAGTCCTTCATAGCATAGTCCTTCGGGTATCAGTCCAACAACTAAGAGAATGTCGTCTTCTGCAGTTTAAGTACCTGCGAATGTTAGAATGTAAAAGAGACATTCATCTATTGTTGCCAAAGGAACAGAGATGCATTAAAGATCAGTTATCAAATACTTAGGATTAAATTTAGAACCTGTATGCGATAAAAAGAGTCATGAAAAAAATAAATTAATTTACATTTGTTAAAATCCTTTGTGTAAAGCTTAAAAACGATTGGGTTGTGCTTATTGTTTACTGGAAGAACACAATAATCATGAGACAATGGAAGTTTAACAATTTTGTAAGCTTTTTGATGAAAAGTATAGAGAGTTCTAAGATTAATGTAGTTCCATTCAGAAAATGCCAGAAAGAGTTTCAGAAGTCAAATAAAAATTTGAATAATTAACAAAAGACATATTATAAAAGCTTAAATTAATTGAATAAGGAATTATTTGTGCAGTTGACGGTTTCTTATTTTGGGAAACCAAAGAAAATGGATTGACTGAATAAGTAGAGTAATTAATAAAAAAGAATATTTATGATATGAGTTAAGATGAATTATTTGACAGCATAGAGTTTATTTAAGGGAAACATATAAGGGAAATTACTCAGATTGCTACCTAATCCAATTTGATAGTCAAGAAAAGAACAATATAATTAGATTTGACTTGGCAGACATACTTCCCTCAATTAGAATCTGATATCATGTATGCTCTAGATGACAATAAAGAAATGTTTATACATGATCAAGATCTCAATCTCATAAGACTGCAAAAGATTGAAATGAAACAATAGAGATTAGATGGATTATCCTAATAAATTAAAGAATAAATCTAAAATATTAATTCTGTTTTTAAATAGGAAGACGTCTAGATGGTCAACAGTCTACCTGAAATTATAAAGGAATCTAACAATCAATTTGAATTTATGTATACGGATGGACAACAGTATTAACATTTGGATGAATCTCAATAGAAAATTCAAGAAAATGTCACTACTTTCCCTCATATCCTATACACTCAAGATTGCGAACATAGGCAACCCTGTAATACAATACCTATTTTTGCTTGCTGCAATAAGGCTTACCCTTGTGCTCAATGTCATGGATATAAATAGCACCCTCCAAAAATATCAGTACCTAGCTATCGATATTGCATGAAGTGTTTAGAAATCTATTTAGTCATCTACCCTACCAATCAAGCTGTCAATTGTCTTAAATGCTAATGAAATTTTATTTTTTATATTATATTATGAAAAATAATAGCGTTTAATTCAATTCTAATTTATTCTAAGACTTTCAATCGAGTCAAGTAGGTCGTAAAGAATAATAAATGTATTAATAATAGGGTTAAAAAATAAGTAAATGATAATAAATATTTAGATTCAATTGAAGATATTCATTTAGAATTAAAAAATTAAGGCTAGTCTAACTCGAGTAGAGCAACTCAAATAAATAGTGGCACTAGATATCATACGGATGGAAATCCAAATAATTATACACCTATAAATCAAATTGGATAATAAGCAAAAAGAAATTCATAGAATGAAAGTAGTAGTGTTAATTATTCAATTGAGAAGAATTAAAATTAATAATAGAATAATGACATTTAAAGAAATCAGATTCGCTTGTTGCAAAATTAAAGTTTAATAACGTAACCTCAGAATTAAGAATAATATAAAAAAAACCAAGTATATTCTGATACAGTTATTGCTATCACAAATACTACTAATTACGCCTAAAATCTAGTTGCACGTTATTTAGAAGATAATAATATAACTAACTATGAGCTTTTAACAGTGCCTGGAGGTATCTTCGGGTTGTAAAATAATGAATTTTGGGAAAACTATGTACTTAAATCCATTGAAATCTTGAATTTAAAAGAAACCCCTAAGGCTATCTACTTATTTTCTGTTTTAGGTGACTATTTTGTATTTATATATTTTTAATATTATAGTATAGTAAAATGTATGGATAATCGGATGACAAGAATGATCAAAGGAGAGAAGCCTATTGTATTCTGATGAAACTTTAAATGAAATTAATAGCTACGCCCTAATTTCATGGATATCTTTTAAGTGGTTCGCATGAAACTCCTGAAAGACTTTTTTGAAAGTTTTAATTCAGATAAAAATCAATATTCATTCCATTTTGTAATTATATAATCATAATTTTTAATTAATTTAATGAGTTAAATTATAGTTATCCATCATGTGTAAAATATACACGTTAGAAATTAAGCCCTTAATTTAGTTATCCTATGATTAACCTCAAAATATCTCAATTAAATTTAATTAAAAATACTTATGTTGAAATTCTTTATGATTTATACTGTCTTCTTATATTATGTATTATTAAGCTTTCATTTAGTCTTTTATAAATTGCTCTATTCAAAGAGATTATATTATGAAAGAGCAAATAGAAATGTAAGAAAATCTATAGTAGTTTGTTAGATTGAATTAATCAATTAAATTAGATCTGCATAATATATAAATTCCAAATAATCTCTAATAATTGAAGAAAATAAAAGAAAAAATTTAGATTTAATGAAGTATTCAAAAATCTCAGATGAAACAAGATTGGCCTTTATCAATAAAGTAGAATAAGGAGTCTGTACTATTAAGTAGGCAGCCAAGTAATTTGGAATTAAATTTTCAACTGGCAAAGCCATTCTATCATTGTATAAACATGAAGGCCGTATTGGAAAAAAACAAAAGAGAATCAGAAAAATAAAGAACCAAAACTAACTAAATCAAAGAGAAACAGTGAAAAACATAAAGGAAGAAACCTTTTCTAATGTGAAACAAGGTTAAGAAATTAAAAATGGCTAAAATAGTTATTCTTAATTTAACTCTATTGTTCAATCATACAACAACTACTAACAATGGGTTAATATCAATATTTGGCTACACTGCTTGTCTGGAATGAGTTTCCCCAGCCTTGGAAGTCAAGGAAATGGATTTTGATTATATATAATAAGAATTTCTAATGTAATTCCTAAGAATTTATTTTACACTAATTTAAATCTTGTCAAGTAAATATAAAAATGAGAATTAACCAAATTAGATTCAGAGCTCTTATAGATTTTAATCTTCTAATTGATATAATAGTTTTGCCTTGCATGTAAAATGTATAATACATATCTTGGTTGGACTGATACAATATTTACAGATTATGTGTCCTCATCAATAAAATTATTTACAATATTATTTAATAACAAATCATAATGTATCAACAACACAATCTTATGAATATGCGAATACTGGTTGAAATTGGGAATCGTCATTATCCAACAAAGCAATATCTTCATTAATAAATGTAACAAACTTAAATTAGTTCCACATTTATTCAAATAACTCTAGCATTTCTAAAACATTATCGTATTTTTTGTCGAGCATCATCCATTCATGAGACTTATTGAAAGAATTGATTGTCCAATTAGCAGAAGTAGTAATTAAAACTTTTCCATCAATTACACAAAAATTGGTTGGTAAACTTTCATATTTTTTTGTATTAACAACAATCTTTATTCTAAATTAGCTCTCTATTAGCAATTCACAAATAACTGCTTAAAATATTTCATCATTTTTCTATCTTTCCTTACAATCCATCATCAAATATATTTTTCTGCCTCCATTGGCTAACAATACTAATAATTTAATTATCCAAGAATGATCTATTTCAGATATACATGCTATAATGAATTGTTGACAGTCTTTCATCATATTAAAAAAATAATGAAAATTCCATTTGTTTGGAAAAAATATAGTTTATAATTGTCTTTTCTCTAAGTTATTTTTTCTTATACTATTTTTCCCATAGGTAAGCAACTAGTTATTCATTTATTAATTTTTCCTCGCAAATCAAAGTCATATTTTAAGCTTTTAAATTATCATCTTAATAATTTGTTATCTTGAATTAATATATCAAATTAAAATAGAATAGAATAATTAAATTTGCATTTGATCTAAATTTATGTTTCGTATATCATAATTTTCATTTTACCATGCCATCATCTCATAATTTTACTTTTCATAATATAATTTTAAGGAAAATATAATTATCATAATTAATAAACTCAAAATGTATGAACAGCTCATCATATAATAAAAATTCAATAATCAATAGAGTAAAATAAATGCCTAAAAACCCAAATCTAAATTTGATAGCAAATCCTCAAATATAAATTATTTTAATTTAATTGACTAAATATTTATCGTAATTATAAATCAATGAAAATATAAGAATAATAGAAAAAAGAATTATTGAGCAATGGAGGAATAAAATATTAGATTTTAGTATATATAAAATTTGTATGTAAATTTTGCTGTCAAGAAATATTGTACATTAGTAACAAAGAATAAAAATTTAGATTTTAGTTTAATTATTGTAAATTTCATAATAATTGTTTGCTGAANGAATTTATTTTACACTAATTTAAATCTTGTCAAGTAAATATAAAAATGAGAATTAACCAAATTAGATTCAGAGCTCTTATAGATTTTAATCTTCTAATTGATATAATAGTTTTGCCTTGCATGTAAAATGTATAATACATATCTTGGTTGGACTGATACAATATTTACAGATTATGTGTCCTCATCAATAAAATTATTTACAATATTATTTAATAACAAATCATAATGTATCAACAACACAATCTTATGAATATGCGAATACTGGTTGAAATTGGGAATCGTCATTATCCAACAAAGCAATATCTTCATTAATAAATGTAACAAACTTAAATTAGTTCCACATTTATTCAAATAACTCTAGCATTTCTAAAACATTATCGTATTTTTTGTCGAGCATCATCCATTCATGAGACTTATTGAAAGAATTGATTGTCCAATTAGCAGAAGTAGTAATTAAAACTTTTCCATCAATTACACAAAAATTGGTTGGTAAACTTTCATATTTTTTTGTATTAACAACAATCTTTATTCTAAATTAGCTCTCTATTAGCAATTCACAAATAACTGCTTAAAATATTTCATCATTTTTCTATCTTTCCTTACAATCCATCATCAAATATATTTTTCTGCCTCCATTGGCTAACAATACTAATAATTTAATTATCCAAGAATGATCTATTTCAGATATACATGCTATAATGAATTGTTGACAGTCTTTCATCATATTAAAAAAATAATGAAAATTCCATTTGTTTGGAAAAAATATAGTTTATAATTGTCTTTTCTCTAAGTTATTTTTTCTTATACTATTTTTCCCATAGGTAAGCAACTAGTTATTCATTTATTAATTTTTCCTCGCAAATCAAAGTCATATTTTAAGCTTTTAAATTATCATCTTAATAATTTGTTATCTTGAATTAATATATCAAATTAAAATAGAATAGAATAATTAAATTTGCATTTGATCTAAATTTATGTTTCGTATATCATAATTTTCATTTTACCATGCCATCATCTCATAATTTTACTTTTCATAATATAATTTTAAGGAAAATATAATTATCATAATTAATAAACTCAAAATGTATGAACAGCTCATCATATAATAAAAATTCAATAATCAATAGAGTAAAATAAATGCCTAAAAACCCAAATCTAAATTTGATAGCAAATCCTCAAATATAAATTATTTTAATTTAATTGACTAAATATTTATCGTAATTATAAATCAATGAAAATATAAGAATAATAGAAAAAAGAATTATTGAGCAATGGAGGAATAAAATATTAGATTTTAGTATATATAAAATTTGTATGTAAATTTTGCTGTCAAGAAATATTGTACATTAGTAACAAAGAATAAAAATTTAGATTTTAGTTTAATTATTGTAAATTTCATAATAATTGTTTGCTGAATGAAAAATTTGTTCGGTCTCGAGTGAAGAATAAAATCTTGCTTTTTGGTTATACAAATTTTGTAATAGAAATATTGATGAAATAATGTTTAAGGTGGCTGAAGAATAAATTTTCTAATGGCAATATATTTTTTGGTTGATTATTTGGTAACTTAAATTTATGTGATTCTCTATATATACTCCAAACATTTATCCAAAAACATAACTTATTATTTGACTCTATTCTCTATACATAATTGAAGAATATTTTTTTGGATTTTAATTTTAAATTTATTTTAATTATTATTCAAATTATTAATTGAAAATATCTATCGCTGTGATTTCATTCAACTACCGTTAAGGTCAACCAATAAATTTCGATTTTGATTATGGTTTAAGATAATTAATTTTTTTCTTAATGAACTTTTTTTTATCATAGTTAGGTAAATATCAATTCATATTAGATGAAATTTAATGATTAAAGTAAGATAGGGAAGTCTAAATTCTTATATACTTTATATATGAATAATTGTTATTTTAGCTGTTCAAAGGATTGAAACAAAGAATGAATGAATAAATACATAAGATATGAAATTGATGAAAACTTTTAGATGTAAAAGATGAGTCAAAAATTAGAGAAATAATTTCATAAAATTGGTAACATAATAAATTTATCAAATCACATGAGGATATATATTTATGACATAAAGAGTTTGTATTATTAATTATTAATCTTTTTATTAATAATTATTATGAAGTTCTTAGGTATTTTTATTATTATTAATTTTTGTTATATTTAATATTCATTTTCTTAGGATTTTTTGTTGCTCATTCAAAATTTCTTCTATAACAATTAAACAATCTTTTAATTTGCCTTTTAATCTCAAGTAAGATTCAGAGTTTCTTCTCTAATTTTTTAGATTTGATTAGTACCGAGTCATCAGCTTAAATGTCTACATTATATCTCTCTTTATATTCACTTAATTTATGATATTTTTCTAAAATATGCATCACTTCATTAGAAACAATTATTTTTGTAGATAAGACATTTGCCCTTTCTCTTCTTTTAGAATAACTACAAAGTAAGCATATTTTATTAGAATTACCTTGATGATACCGATCTTCTTTCAATAGATCGTTTTCTTTGATGTTTGTGTTTTCGTCTAGATTAAGATCTTGAACGTGAGTTCCTCTCAGAAATGGAACTGGATTTTTATCTAAAAGTTTGTTGAAATAATAAACCTCTTGATTTTATAATCATCATAATTGTTAGGTATTTGAGAGGTTTGATTTTCATCATTTAAAAATTTGCCACTTTCCATGATCTATTTGTAAATATTATAAGAATACAGGTCCTCCATTCTTGAAACATTCAATTTATTACAGAATCAACTTACTGGCGTCTTATTTATTTTACAGATTTCCCGCTATTTGAACAATACAGTCTAAAATTATTAGAGAATTGATGTACGATAATCATGATCAGTTTCATCCTTATCAGACAAGACTTTGATTTGAGCTCCTTTAGACTTAGTAGCTAGTTCTCTAATTTAACCGCCCTCTAAGGTATTTGATATAATGAGATACTTGCTCCGATTAATTTAGAGGCATAACTAGCTGGCATAACGATTTTGATTTCCAATTCTTGTTTTTTTTGATGTTCTGTGACTCTTCTAATGAGTGATGACAAAGCATCTTAAACATTGGACAAGGATCCTTGCAATTAAACTATTTTATCATCTCTTTTGAGTTTGCATTTTTGCTAAAAGGGTAATAATAAATTATAATATTACAGTAAGTCTGATATCATTGCTTTCTTTGGCCTTGATTGAGACATCATATTTATTTTCAACTTCATTTTTGTTCTTCAGAATGTAATCGACAACTGAGGATTGGAAAATGAGTTTTGCCTACGAATTATTGTGGAGATTGTTACTTTGGAATTCACTTTTTAGGGATTCAAAGCTTCAGGGACCTTTTTATAATCTTCTTGAGATATGCCTCTCTCCTACATTTTTTTGGTTATAGCTCTAATAGCACAATTGATAGTGGTTTGATCACCAACAATTTTAACAGTTCTAGGAGAGTAATTGGCAATTGGTTGATTTACTGTGATTTTGGCATTGGTTTCTTCGATGATTTTTGCAAGCTGGGATCCTTTGGAGCCAATCAAGAAGGATACGATTCCTAGGATTAGATAGTAGNTATTCTCTATACATAATTGAAGAATATTTTTTTGGATTTTAATTTTAAATTTATTTTAATTATTATTCAAATTATTAATTGAAAATATCTATCGCTGTGATTTCATTCAACTACCGTTAAGGTCAACCAATAAATTTCGATTTTGATTATGGTTTAAGATAATTAATTTTTTTCTTAATGAACTTTTTTTTATCATAGTTAGGTAAATATCAATTCATATTAGATGAAATTTAATGATTAAAGTAAGATAGGGAAGTCTAAATTCTTATATACTTTATATATGAATAATTGTTATTTTAGCTGTTCAAAGGATTGAAACAAAGAATGAATGAATAAATACATAAGATATGAAATTGATGAAAACTTTTAGATGTAAAAGATGAGTCAAAAATTAGAGAAATAATTTCATAAAATTGGTAACATAATAAATTTATCAAATCACATGAGGATATATATTTATGACATAAAGAGTTTGTATTATTAATTATTAATCTTTTTATTAATAATTATTATGAAGTTCTTAGGTATTTTTATTATTATTAATTTTTGTTATATTTAATATTCATTTTCTTAGGATTTTTTGTTGCTCATTCAAAATTTCTTCTATAACAATTAAACAATCTTTTAATTTGCCTTTTAATCTCAAGTAAGATTCAGAGTTTCTTCTCTAATTTTTTAGATTTGATTAGTACCGAGTCATCAGCTTAAATGTCTACATTATATCTCTCTTTATATTCACTTAATTTATGATATTTTTCTAAAATATGCATCACTTCATTAGAAACAATTATTTTTGTAGATAAGACATTTGCCCTTTCTCTTCTTTTAGAATAACTACAAAGTAAGCATATTTTATTAGAATTACCTTGATGATACCGATCTTCTTTCAATAGATCGTTTTCTTTGATGTTTGTGTTTTCGTCTAGATTAAGATCTTGAACGTGAGTTCCTCTCAGAAATGGAACTGGATTTTTATCTAAAAGTTTGTTGAAATAATAAACCTCTTGATTTTATAATCATCATAATTGTTAGGTATTTGAGAGGTTTGATTTTCATCATTTAAAAATTTGCCACTTTCCATGATCTATTTGTAAATATTATAAGAATACAGGTCCTCCATTCTTGAAACATTCAATTTATTACAGAATCAACTTACTGGCGTCTTATTTATTTTACAGATTTCCCGCTATTTGAACAATACAGTCTAAAATTATTAGAGAATTGATGTACGATAATCATGATCAGTTTCATCCTTATCAGACAAGACTTTGATTTGAGCTCCTTTAGACTTAGTAGCTAGTTCTCTAATTTAACCGCCCTCTAAGGTATTTGATATAATGAGATACTTGCTCCGATTAATTTAGAGGCATAACTAGCTGGCATAACGATTTTGATTTCCAATTCTTGTTTTTTTTGATGTTCTGTGACTCTTCTAATGAGTGATGACAAAGCATCTTAAACATTGGACAAGGATCCTTGCAATTAAACTATTTTATCATCTCTTTTGAGTTTGCATTTTTGCTAAAAGGGTAATAATAAATTATAATATTACAGTAAGTCTGATATCATTGCTTTCTTTGGCCTTGATTGAGACATCATATTTATTTTCAACTTCATTTTTGTTCTTCAGAATGTAATCGACAACTGAGGATTGGAAAATGAGTTTTGCCTACGAATTATTGTGGAGATTGTTACTTTGGAATTCACTTTTTAGGGATTCAAAGCTTCAGGGACCTTTTTATAATCTTCTTGAGATATGCCTCTCTCCTACATTTTTTTGGTTATAGCTCTAATAGCACAATTGATAGTGGTTTGATCACCAACAATTTTAACAGTTCTAGGAGAGTAATTGGCAATTGGTTGATTTACTGTGATTTTGGCATTGGTTTCTTCGATGATTTTTGCAAGCTGGGATCCTTTGGAGCCAATCAAGAAGGATACGATTCCTAGGATTAGATAGTAGGTACCTTCTGGTATTAAGAGAATGATGTTGATTTATTGTTTGCATCTATCTTGGAGGGATGAAAGAATATGAAGGATGGCATCGCATTTGGCATTCATTTTATTTTCTGCAGGATCATCAATTGTAAATGCTAAACCTTCTAATTCTGGGATTTAATTCTTTTGGCTGACATAGATGGACTTAATCGAATATTTTTGCTTATTTAGATTTGATAAGATACTTGTGTTTCTTCTAAAATGGATTTCAAATCATCAGAGATGAATTTCTTCTGGATAAAGAAATCAAGTTGAAATTCTTTAGACCTTGAAACTTGATTCTGATGCGACGATGATTTTGAGGTTTGGGGTGAAAGTCCTCTTTAATCTTAATCCATATTTATATTAATTAAATTATTTGATGGAAAAAATTAAAGAATATTTACCGGATGTTTCTAGCATACCTGGAATCATGTTCTACTCTTTTATATCTTATTGGATGATATATGCATTGAGCATGGTTGTCGATAGATTGATGTTCTCGGGCAAAGGTGAGGAGAATAGCAAAATGAAGAAAATCATTAAAGCAAGAGATGTTAAGAAACAACAAGCAGATAAACTATTGAAGAAAATCGATAAAGTCACAAAATGAAATTTATAAATGTTGTAGAGTTATTAAACAAAATTAATTATTCGAATTAAATTTAATTTAAGGCTATATGCTTAGAGGAAACAAAGTTTAGAATTCATTCTGCTAATCCATCCCATGCATTATTAGACCCACTTTATAGATGAAGAAACCATTACTATGGTTGAATACTTAATATAAGGAAGAAGCAAGAGTAGATTATACTGTTAATTTTAGTTGGACGACATCAAATTGCCGCAATCAGTCATCACCCAAAAATTGAAGTTCTTAGTTAACAGAAATGATTTCATCAAAGAGTTAAGCAATTTCTCATTGCATTCCATTCAATCCTAATATTATTAGAAATCCTTGTATGATATCTCTCATGTAATCCTTTTTGTACTATTCTAGTTTATTGAGTATTCGTAATAAAGCAATTAAGTACACATCGATGAATAGGAAGCATCAATGTCTGGTTTGAAGTTATTTCAAGTATTCTCACCAGAACAAATTCAACTGCTCAAATTTCATTTCAATTAGCCTTAAAGTATCACCAGCATTTCATTTATTGATGGTGCAATCAATCTCATTAAGAATGTTCATTCATTTTAGGATAGTTTGTTTGTAAACTTTGCATCCAATTTGTTTGAATTGTTCTATGAACCTTAGAACAACAAGAAGTCAAAATAGCAAGATGAAAAATTTAAAGAACTATTCTAAGAATTTGGAATTGTTTTATACAAGTTTGATTATCTCTCATAATCTTAACCATTGAATATTGCCAAAATTATCGGACAATTATATGATTTGATGATCACAAATTCAATTAAATTGAATGATTTCACCCATTATCGTAAGACTGCTAACAACTTCATCCAGAAATATTACGGAATTCAATCACACAAAATGATACAACCCAATATTGTTGACTACAAAAACATTTTATACACAATCTTTCTCAGTGAAATCAGACCAGAAGCCTTGATACAAGATGCAGTCAATAGGTACTACTATTAATATATAAATTCAGATTTGCCAATTCTGGAATCTAGAGTGGTTCTATATCTTCAAATATTGATATCATGAGCATGATGTTATTGCATGGTGTTCCATGCACTGAGAATTTCCTTAATAAACTAAAGAATTCTAAAAGATAGAGATTGACAATTGGTTAATTGTATGTCCTATTAAAATGTTATGAACTTGCTAAGGTCCCTTTATATGAATTTAGCCAGACTTTATTTTTGGAGTATTTCAATAATTTGATTATGTTTTAGCGTTGCCAGTTTCATCTCTCATGATAAATAACTGCAAGATGGCAATTCAGTATTGANTACCTGGAATCATGTTCTACTCTTTTATATCTTATTGGATGATATATGCATTGAGCATGGTTGTCGATAGATTGATGTTCTCGGGCAAAGGTGAGGAGAATAGCAAAATGAAGAAAATCATTAAAGCAAGAGATGTTAAGAAACAACAAGCAGATAAACTATTGAAGAAAATCGATAAAGTCACAAAATGAAATTTATAAATGTTGTAGAGTTATTAAACAAAATTAATTATTCGAATTAAATTTAATTTAAGGCTATATGCTTAGAGGAAACAAAGTTTAGAATTCATTCTGCTAATCCATCCCATGCATTATTAGACCCACTTTATAGATGAAGAAACCATTACTATGGTTGAATACTTAATATAAGGAAGAAGCAAGAGTAGATTATACTGTTAATTTTAGTTGGACGACATCAAATTGCCGCAATCAGTCATCACCCAAAAATTGAAGTTCTTAGTTAACAGAAATGATTTCATCAAAGAGTTAAGCAATTTCTCATTGCATTCCATTCAATCCTAATATTATTAGAAATCCTTGTATGATATCTCTCATGTAATCCTTTTTGTACTATTCTAGTTTATTGAGTATTCGTAATAAAGCAATTAAGTACACATCGATGAATAGGAAGCATCAATGTCTGGTTTGAAGTTATTTCAAGTATTCTCACCAGAACAAATTCAACTGCTCAAATTTCATTTCAATTAGCCTTAAAGTATCACCAGCATTTCATTTATTGATGGTGCAATCAATCTCATTAAGAATGTTCATTCATTTTAGGATAGTTTGTTTGTAAACTTTGCATCCAATTTGTTTGAATTGTTCTATGAACCTTAGAACAACAAGAAGTCAAAATAGCAAGATGAAAAATTTAAAGAACTATTCTAAGAATTTGGAATTGTTTTATACAAGTTTGATTATCTCTCATAATCTTAACCATTGAATATTGCCAAAATTATCGGACAATTATATGATTTGATGATCACAAATTCAATTAAATTGAATGATTTCACCCATTATCGTAAGACTGCTAACAACTTCATCCAGAAATATTACGGAATTCAATCACACAAAATGATACAACCCAATATTGTTGACTACAAAAACATTTTATACACAATCTTTCTCAGTGAAATCAGACCAGAAGCCTTGATACAAGATGCAGTCAATAGGTACTACTATTAATATATAAATTCAGATTTGCCAATTCTGGAATCTAGAGTGGTTCTATATCTTCAAATATTGATATCATGAGCATGATGTTATTGCATGGTGTTCCATGCACTGAGAATTTCCTTAATAAACTAAAGAATTCTAAAAGATAGAGATTGACAATTGGTTAATTGTATGTCCTATTAAAATGTTATGAACTTGCTAAGGTCCCTTTATATGAATTTAGCCAGACTTTATTTTTGGAGTATTTCAATAATTTGATTATGTTTTAGCGTTGCCAGTTTCATCTCTCATGATAAATAACTGCAAGATGGCAATTCAGTATTGATGCTAGCTAGAATTTGTAATGAATTGTTTTCAAGTTCCTTCATTACATCCAAGGTTGCTTAAGAAAGAAGAAATGATAAAATTTTGAATTTTCTTGAAAGGAATGTTCAAAGACACATTGATCAACTCAACTTTAATCATTTACTTTTCATTTCAAATGTCTTTAATAAACACTTGAAATAACCCAATTTCTTGATTAATTTGCTTCATGATAAATTGAGTGAAATCAAACTCAATGAGTCCTCACTCAGTTTATATAATGATTTCCTAGAAATTACTCATGACTTCTTCAAAGAATAATACACTCATATCAAACAACAAGTGTTTGATTATGGACTTGCACCTTCACAAGAATATCAAGCAGTTACGAAGACCTTTGTTGAAAATCTAATCCAATTTCAATTCACCAGCATACTAGCCACAAACATTCTAAAGGTCGTATCCTTATCATGTAAACAACAAAACAATTAACAATAGGCTTTTAATTTGAAAAATCAATCATTTTAAAACTCATCTCTAAACCTAGTTTATTTTCTAATGATGTCAATCTATTGACTAAAGTTATGAAATTATATGATATCCCAATCAATTAGGAAATCCTAAGTATCATCATGAATGGAAACAAGGATGATTAGATCATGACCGTAGAATCAATCTATTATGTGTGTCAAATGAATGGTTTGAATTCAGAACAACAGGCTCAATTAAAGTAATTTGCTTAGGACATCATATATGCATTATTGGCAGAAAACGAACAATACTTGGTTGAACAACGACAAATTGATGACTTCTTACATACATACTCTTCATAAATCAATCAATAGCCCTTTGAATCAGTGCAATACTTCCCAGAAATCATCAATACATTACAAATAACCTTTGAAACTGAACAGATTGCAATCCTTAATAAACTATATGAGAGAACTTGTGTCCTCTGGCATTCAGATATTTTAGTCAAGAACTTGATTTTAATTGATAAAATGAATGTAAATATTCTCAATTAACCTTTAGATTCTTAACTATTAGATATATATCAAATCATCAGAAAATCTCCTTAGTTGTTTCGATTTAGTAAAGGATGGTACAGAGGTCTTACCCTCAGGATTACTTGCTGATAAAAAAGTCTAGATGTCTCTACTCAAAGCATTCCTATAGTAAATCAGGAATTCTACTCATCAATTTTAAGAGAGTTTGAAAATCATAGGCTATTTGGCATATCTGAATATTGAATAGTTCAATAATGAAGATGTAATGGTATGAATTAAACACCTATATTTAGTTATTTTGCAAAGCCTTAGGTAATACTAAAGATGTATACTTTTACGATTTGCAAGTTTATCTTGAAAATTATTTGTCTGAAAACTAATTGCCAAATGAATCAAATATTATTCAGTTCAGTTCATACTTCCCTTTTATTCATTTGAAAGTTCGTTAATTATTGAAGGACAACTTTGAAAAAAATAAAATAGAAAAATTATCCTTGGAACTATTAATGGCTTCTTAAAATCAATAGGTTGGAATTAATTCCATTGATTAATTATTTGAACAATTAGACAACTAAGAGAAATAGAAGTTTATCAAACCAATTCTCTAGAATTTAATTTAAACTTGGGATCTAAAATGTTCTATTGATACAATCATAAGATTTGCTTCATAATGCTATGATGAATATGATTCAGAATTCAAATTCATATACTTAGTATTAGAATTCCTTAATCGATCAAAATCATCCATTTCTATTACAATGGCATAAGATGAAACCTACTTTTAATTGCATTTTAATTAAAAGATTGTTGATTCCACATTTGATACCAAGGTATCAGAATTATTTAATGGCATTGATCTCAAAGGACTCAATTTCAAAACCACGAAAGAGAATATTAATTATTTCCCTTCTATTACAACTGAGATGAATTATAATGAATTACCAAAATACAAGGTTTCAATGATCAAAAAACAACAAAAAGCAAAGGAAGAATTGCCTGAAGGAAAGGATTAACTTTCATACTTTTTGAAAAATCACATCAATAATTTGTCTTTGTAACCCTAATATAAGTATATTGATTCTCTAATCTATTTGATGATATTGAATGGATTGGAAGTATCAAAATATTTTGGATAGATTCCAAAGGAAAACTATACAAAAAGAATTCATATGATCAAGAAAGACAAGAAATATTTAGAATTCTTAGTGAATATGCAAACCAATATGGCAGATTTAGAAAATAAGTTCAGATTTTTCAGTGGCATTGAAGAATCTTAACTCTCCTTATTTATTTGTTTAAAGATCGAGAACATTGAAAATCCAACTTCTCTTCCAGTATTTCTTCAATATGTTTCGAAAAATAATACTGTTATATCACCAAATGGTCTGTCATTAAATCCCCTTGTGTTGTTAGAATCTTTAGTGTTGTCTGAAAAAGGATAAGTATATTTGATAAATTTTAATAAATGGATTCAAGTTTATCAAAATAAATAGAAATAAAAAGATTTTTTTTAAATGTTGACCTAATGATTTATTAATAAAATATCATATATTTTTTTGACTTGGATCATCTTGTCTTTCCGATTAATTTACAATATCAATTTGAGGCATTTCTATGGGTTCTCCAATTAAGTATGTGAATTATTTGACTGATAATAGTTTGGTTTAAATATCCAAATAAAGATAATTTTCAAATGCAATTGAAAATAATTGTTTAGTATCTGCATCATACATATCTAACACACTCGATTTAAAAAACTCTTGTTGGGATTATTGCTCTTCATAGTAATTTCCTCTTTCTTCTTACATTCTGTCCGTCTTAATAAAGTAATTTTCTGATAAATCAAATAATTTTCCTGAGTCAAGTTTTTTTTTGTATTTCTCGGTATATTCTCGCACCTCTTTTTTTGATACAGATTCCTATTATTATTGATCTTTGTTTTAGTTAATTTATCCAGATCCCTATTAAGATTTATCAAATTCAAGTTTTTTTTCAAAATATTATGCAATATCACCCTCATTTAGATCCTTCTGAGTTTCTATAAAATAAGCTAAAATCATATCATGTTCATCATGCTATTCTGAAAAATTTTTATCCTTTTTATTATAAAGTTTTGTTTCTTGAGATTTAAATTCTGTAATGAAAGAGAAAGTCAATTTCAACTTTTCAATTGATTCTCTCTTCATTTGTTGGGAGTATATTACTCTCCATACAGCCAAATCATCATCTATATATATGAGTTAAGAGTTTTATTAATTGTTAGAAATTTAATTCAACATAAAAATAGTGTCTCCATAGTATTTGAAGGGGATATTAGAAATTGTAAAATCTACGCATCCTTTTTTCATCAAAATTGCATTTTGAGAGAATTGAGTATTGATTGGATGGTTTTGGGCTTTTTTTCTCAGTACATCATTCCCTGGCAATATCAAGTATAATATATCATTTACATTCTTAAAATTCAGTATGGTTTGACCTGGATAGGGTTTAAAAGACAGATCTTTATACAAATTATTCTTATCTAAAATATGAGTGGTAAATGATTATTCCTTGATTTGAATATATTCTATTAAATTCATAATCTAAGGAGTGCTAAATGATATAACTTAGAATTTTACTAAATATTTTCTCCTCCAAATAGGACGACCTTTAGAACTTAATCCGTTTAACCTTCTATACAAACCGTTGGTGATGCTCTGGCTTTCAATTTTTCTATTAATACTTAATTATCCAATTTTTAATTTGCAACTTTTTGATGGAAACTACCTTAACTAAACTTTTCTTAATCATCATGTTTTAATTTGTATAATTATTCATCTTTAATGCTGTATCTCTGACCCTACATTTAGAATTCGAATCCCTTTTATCCATAGAGGATATATATATTGTAATTGTAATAAAATACAATTTAATTTAAAATGTCTTAAGAGTCTAAAATGTTGGTTAGATTAGTACTAGATTTAGTTAAAATAAATTACAATTTACAGATTTGCTAGGATTTCATGTTATTAACTTTAGCTGTTTTGAAATCAAGGAAATATAAATATTTGTTTTTGCCATCTTCATACAGGACTATGATATCATCCTAATAATTAATGATAACCTGTGTGTAAGGTGATAATTTATCTTATTTCTCCAACTCGGGTACAATAATAAAATATGTTTTATTGTTTTTTTTATAAAAGATTCTCTAATATTCCTTTATTTATTTCTCTATTCTAGTCTTTTTTATTTATTTAACTTCTTATTATAAATTTTTGATTGCGATTTCACTATATAAAATTGATTTGTATAAATAGCTAAGATTGTAGTGAGAATAGATATCCTTTAGTTTATGGATCAAATCACATAATTCCAATTTCTCTTATGCAATGATTTTCTAAATTGTAATGTTTTATTCTTAAAATGAAGTATAACAAAGATTCATTAGTTGAGTTAGTTTTTATTCATAGTAATTGTCACGTTCATTAAGTTCAATGTCAATATGAATCATTAACCTGTCATTACTCAATTTGGTCAGAGCATTGACCAAGAATTAGATTGCGTATGGGTCATATTCAATATCATTTGATAATGATAAGCTTAAAGCAATGTAGGCTTTGTGTGAGAATCTCTCAATTCTATTATGCATAAAATTCTAAAAGAATGTCTTTACTAATTGACCATGTAAAATGTTTTTGTTATTCTCATTTTAAAAACTATAATAAGGAAGCAAAAAATAATTAAAATTCGCTGTTTCCATGCCTGGAAACCATTTTTCGTATTCTTAGAATTACTATTGATAGTTTTGCTCTCTATTTTCCAATACTTTGATTAAAGAGAAGTAAACGAACTCATCAGACTTTTCAAAAGTTTTTTCCCATTCTTACAAATTGAATGCACTCTCCTTTCCAGTTAAGTTAATAAATATCACTTTATTACATCTCAGAGATGGCTCTCCCTGTAGTTGAGCTATAAATAAAATTGAAGTAATTACGTTTCTTTGATTATTTCATTTAATAAGCCACTGCTTAAGCAAAATAATTGATATATATTTAATCTTGATCTTTGACTACTTAATCTTGAAATTTGACTGGCTAGACCATCATAAGGATGTTGTTAACAAAACCTTCACCTTGTTTTTCAATTGCTTCATTGACATAGTGAGCTAATGTTAAATTCTTTTTAACATATTCAGAAGCATTTGAATCTGCAGGTTTTGTGCAAATTGATGTCAAAATATGTTTAAGAAAACTCTTTTCACTCAGTTTATATCGTTCTGTATCTATTTTTGGCAATATTACTTTTTAATGGTTCTACAACCACGAGATTATTTTATTTATTATGATCTAATCTTCAGAAGCTAAAATTCAGTTTTGAACTTTTACTTTCATATTAAACTGCTCTGTAAATGGTAAGCAATGCATTTCGATCTCTTAAGTCCTTGTAAACCAATTATTCATTTCCCTTTCTCTTTTTATGTTGTTGGCTCTAATTCAAAATATAATTTCAATTTTTACGTATTCTTCAACAGGATCTTTCATATCCCAACTTCTAAATATTTAGACCTCCTCTGTTGTGTATGAAAATACCTCATATTCTTCTTCTTCATGCTACATAAAATTTAAAAATACTAATTAATAGAATTAACAAATAATAAAGAAAAATATATTTTATAATAGGTAACATATTAAAATTTAAGTCCAGAGTTCGTGAAGGGATTCAAATCTTTAATTTTTATATATTTTTAAACCTTAATTTATAAAATATATGGGTAATCTCAAATCAAGCACAAATAAAAAAAACAAAATTAGTGATAAATTAAAATTGATTTTAGGAATCAGATTAGAAAAGTATTCATAAATTTATTTTAAGCCAATTCAACAAATTATCTATAAATATTATAAGCACAATCTCAAGTTTCTTAACATTAAAAGAGTTCAATATTATGTTGTCAGTTTCTTCCACAACATATTAAGTTTTTGGTTAAGTGTCTAGTTGCTATCAAGTTCATTGTTAGAAGCTTCTCAATGTGTAAAGTGACATCATACTTTCAAAGAATTGGAAACAACTACTAAGATTATTATTATGTACTCCAATTAAAGGCATTCCATATGAAAACGCTATCAAAAGTATTCGATTCAATATTTAACAACATCCAACATTTATAGAAAATAAATTTAATTACAGCTCATTCCAGAAAAGCATTCTATATTTTGAAACCAACTTCGAAAAAGTGCAAACAAAAGAGTATGAATAACTCAAATAATATGGCAGTAAACATTTCGAATAAATACTCAAGTTGAGATAAGGATGTGAGGTTCATATCTAAATGCCGCATTCATTGATGAATATTTACAGCATCCAGGATTACATTAAAATCTATAATGTGTATTTAAACATGAGATTTGATAACGTAAATTTAGCACAATTTATTGAACTTTGGGATCGTTATTGCGGATGGATTAGTATAATGGAATGGTCCACCTCCTCAATAATTAACCAATTCAATTAAATCATAGATGAAACTCTACATAAATATAAGATTCCTAAATTCACATTTCGTCATTTCATGACCACTCTCTGGGTAATCAATTCAAAAAAATGCATCAAAGAATTAAGAAAGGAATTTGAACATCAACTATTCAGAAGTAGAATCCAAAACACTAAAGTCCAATTATTAAGAAGATACATTTAATACTTGATTGATATCAGCACAAATTAATCTAATGTTTAACATTATGGATAACCTAATTTTCAATATGATCCTGAGATCTATGTCTTGGCAGAAATTGCTGTAGAAATGACATCAAACCAACAATACTTGATAGATGAATAAATTCTAAATTACACCTTTGGTTAGTACATCTATTAATTTATCATTTTCTAAAATTTGACATCCAAAAGAATTGACTAATTCAAAAATCTTATAAGCTAACACAAAGAGACTAGTATAAGATTACAAATAAAGTAATATTAAAATCCTGATGAACTTCAATTAGCGAATTAAGTATTGGGAAGATACAATCCAAAATAATAAATTAGAGCCCTAATTAAATAGATTTCAAGATAAAAAATAGAAGAAAAGGATAATTATTGTTAAAATGAAACATAAGAAAGTTTGGAAGCCTCAGAAATTTCACAAATATCAACAACTTGCAGTTCTGTTTTTATGAGTACAAAGAGTAATGATGTGTTATTAAATTACATCTAGATGTATGAAAAAGATTTATACAACCAAATTGAACATTTTTATTAGGTCTAAGAAACAATTATAGAATTAATGTAGGATATAGAGTAATTATCTTAAATATATGATGTTCCAGAATTGGGGGAATATAAAGTAATGAAATATGAGACTCTAATTGAAAGATTAAATTAGGTTAAATAAAGACAGAACAAATAAGATAGTATAATACAATCACCAGCATCAAATTATGGAAGAACCACAGCCTAAGAAATGCTTCAAAGAGTTATCAGTTGATATTATTCGATTGATTAAATATATTTTCAAACTAAGTAAAATCTTTTGATATTGTATTCTGGATATTCTTTAACTCCACTCAAAATCTGAAACAAAATTTCAGCAGATCCAAAACAATAAGTCATTCCTTTTGAGCCATGTCCTGCTGAAATATACACATTATTAAAGACAGGCACCTAACTGATGATGGGAATATCATCAGGAGTTATCGGTCTATAGCAATGTCTAACATAACAATCATCCATATTGATATTGAATCCAAAATGCTATTAATTGAATTAGATATTACTTAATTAAAATGCTTCAATCCCATTTTAGCTCCCCATTCTTCACTAGGAATCTCCTTACTAAAATCTGATCCAATCTCAGCTCCACAAGACAATCTGATTTCATTGTTTACATAAGTTGAAAAATATTAAGGAGTAAAGAAGGTGTATTCTTTAAAAAATGTATCATTAGGCACTCTAATTCCTAATGCCCACCCTTTAATAGGCATAATTGGAACTCTAATTCCCAATTTATCTGTTAAATATTTAGTCTTATGAGCACCTGCTATAACAAAATAATCAGCTAAAATAATTCCTTAACTTGTCATCGCTCCAATTATTTAGCCTTTAGGATCAAGTGCAAATCCTCTGACATTTGTATTTGTGGATATATAAAAATGGCCAGAATAATTATCAATACAATAATCAATTATCCTTTCAGATAACTGTCTGGTATCTATATTGCTTCCAACATCAAATTTAATACAATGCTACAATTTCTCTGCTATTACTTTGCCATAGCCAGATTAAAACTTAGATTTTTCAGAATGCTTAATATTAAACTTATCCAAGGTTTTCATCATTGAAGATTTGCTTGATTCTGAGTCATAAAATCCTAACAGTTCCTTACAAGTTAATTAACCTTCCAAAATATTTGTATTCTTTTATATCTTTTCCATTTCAGTCATGCTAATTCTCCCCATTTATAATTAATGTTCAACTAATGAATGAACTTTCGAACTAATATTCAATTCATAGTTACTTAGTAGTAGTTTTTAATAAGGCATTTAAACTCCAAATCATGAAATACTTCTCAAAGAAAGCATTCACATTAAATCTTAATGTAGTGTCTTCAGGATTCTTAAAAATATTCTTAATCATAGTCCACATATTTGCTGTATTGATCATAGTTTTCACAGATTCTGGTACATAAACACATCCATTGTAATAACTAGCCTATTAAGCAATATCCTAATCCTTATCTACTAAGATCACACTATAGCCTTCTGATAGTAATTTTAAGGATTATGCGATTCCAATAATACCTGCACCAATAATTAGCACTTTCTTTCTCTCATTTATACCATCTTATCTATTAACACTATGACCTGCTATGATAGCGCTGTTTGCTCCTTGAGCATAGTTTCTATTATATAGATCATTAGTTTGGGACTAATTTAATAACAAATTATGATTGATCATAGTTGCTGACAACATCTTTCTATAGAGGAAGTAGCCAACTCCCAAACTACCTGCTATGACTGCCCTATATATTATTAGTTGATTAACCATATTTATATATATTATGTTTAGAATAAATTAATATTATTACAGAATATTCGAAGAATTACTTTAAATTTGAAAAATAATCTAATCACTTCCTATAATTTTATACTCCTCTTTCATCTTTATAAAATGTGTATCAACTTAAAGCTAATAGAAATTCACATCATTTTAATATTATATTAATGATATTTCTTAATATCAATAATTTATCATTATTAATACTAATAAAAATTTCTTATTTTGAAACATTCATTTTATTTTTGTTGAAGGAATTTTTCTTTTTAAATCCTTTGTATTCAAAGGGTTCATGTAAAAAATAACAATGATCACTTTCACAAGGAATTAATATCCTTTTTAACTCTGGACAATTTAAATAAATGATAAATTGGCGTATTCATACTGTAGTATGAAAATTATAAATTTTAAATATTATTGTTATTTGCTTAGTACTCAAGATTGCTCAAAGAGTATTTATGCTTGAAAAGCTTGAAACAAATAAAAAATAATATAATAATTTATTTTTTTCTTTAAATCTAAATTTAAGATTCAGAGCTCTCGATTTCAAATTTTACTCTAGATTTATATTAGTAGATATTACAAAGCTCCAATATTAATAAGAAAGAAGTATCTGAGCTGAAGCTTTCTTAAGATCATCCACTGTTACTAAATTTAAAATCTTTATAAATTAGTAAGATAGAATTTATAAACAACTAATTTATTGAACAATACGCTTTAAACTTATTGAGGAGATGTTTTATGTATAAAATTAAACGATATTGATTGCTACTTTTTTATCTTTATGAATTCAAATATGAAAATTATTCAACATAATATCAATTGCAATTATATTTATACTATATTATTTATCATTTGCATATCTTTTAAATTGAATATAACTGATCCGAATCTGAATAGAGTAACTAAACATAGAGTGTATAATATTTATAAAGATAAATAATCAAATTTTGAGGCATGAGGTTAAGAATTCAACAATAATTAATTTTCTTAATGAATTTCATATATAAAAAGTATCATGAACCTGTAGCTTATTACTCAATTTATTTATCCGTGAGCATTTTGCCATTGACCCATTCAGCAGTTATTTCTTTCGATTGATCCATCCTGAGAACTCCCTTGCCATGCTATTTCCCTTGTTTCCATTCTCCTTTGTAATAACGCCCATCAGACCATTCAAATACTCCATAACCTTCTTTAAGATCATTCTTATATCCTCCTTTGTATTTCCTACCATCAGGCCAATTGAATGACTATAAAATGTATCATTAATTAACTTACTCCTTCTCCATCCATTCTATTTTCTTTCCATTCACCATCATATACTTTACCACTCTTCCAATAATAAACTCCATGTCCATCCATTTTATTATTTTTGAAGTCTCCTAAATACATATTGCCATTGCCCCATTTAAACATTCCTCTTCCTTATTTTTTTCCATTTAAATATTCTCCTTCATAAGAAGATCCATCTTGCCATGTTTCTTTTCCTTAACCTTACTACTTATCATTAACCCAGTTCCCTTCGTAGGTGGCTTAATTTCTGTATCTGTGGTACTTACCGAAGCCATTAGCTTAGTCGTGTTTCCAACTTCCTTCGTAATAATCACCAAAAGAATGAATTAATCTTCCAAACCCAGATGTTTCATTGTTCACAAATCCACCTTCATAGTAGCTGCCATCTGGCCACAACAATTTTCCATACCCATGTTTCTGGCTATCCTTCCATTCTCCATGATAAATGAAATCGTTGTCAAATTTGATAGGTGGATTTTCCTCACCTCTCTCCATATCCTATAGTATTATAAGTGGAGGCAATTGATTTAAGACTGTCCGGACTATTTAATTTTCAATCTCAGGAAATGCATCCAATCGTTATCCCAATTTAGGTGCCTCAACACTCTCCATTCTCCTAATAACAGAAGGCTAATCAAAAAGCTTGTGTTCTTTGACTGGGTGACTTTCTGAATCAAATATGATTAATTGATTTACAAAGACCAATCTTTACAAAATCATCTGCTTCCCATTCATGAACGTCACAGTCTTCATTGACTAACATATTCTTCTGCAAGGGAATCAAAGTATCCTTATTTTGTACTATAGGATGTGAACAACAAGTACTTGCATTACCCATTTAATTATTATAAATTACGTAAATCTAGTCCTTTAAGAATTATTTAGAAGATGTTAAAAAAGCAAATTAAGTTAAGGAAAAAATAATGATAATTGAAATGAAAATTAAACGATAAATTTAGTTCAGAATTTGAATAAAAAATGATCAAATATCCATTGAATAAATGCGACCCATTCCCAATAATAAGGAATTTTAATTGATTAATCAAAGTGAATGCTAATGAAGAAACCATTTGTAATTTAATAAGAAAAGATTGATGAATTCTATGTAAACAATTAAAGTTTAGGGGAATTTAAAGAGAATAATAAAATTAATAGAAAATATAATCAGATTGATATCATAAAGGAATATTCACGATGAATGATGGCTATTTATATTTACGATGAGAGAGAGCATGTAAATAATTTGATTTATTCAAATGGGTTTTACATATGGTTGAAACTAAGTAAAGAGTAAATAATTAATTGAAAGAACCATTATGATGAAAGATAAAATATTTAATTGACATTTTAATAGAATTGTATTATTATTAATTTTAAGATCTTCATCGATTGTTGATATTTGATAATTAAATAATTATAGTTTATCATTCTTTTAAATTTTAGTATGTTAAGTAATCTACTCCTTTTTTTGAGTCAAATTAACAATATGCAGTATCTAACGAGTAGAATAATAGATTGGTTCTTATTTGATTTTATTATATATATTTAAAGATTACAAAAAAAAGAATATGCTTTCCAATTTTCTATTGATGATTTCTATTTATTCATTTTAGAAATAAAAAATTTCTAACAATAACTACTATCAAACTAACTTAAAATAACACGATTTTTACTAAAAGGAACAAATTGTGAAGGAATTGAGAGGAATTCCCTGTCATTAAAACGTAGTTTTTAAATGTTGATTGGGTCCACAAATTGGTTATGAGAGAAAGCTTATTATAATTAATTTGAATTAACATAATTCATAAGTCTAATTAAGTAAATAAGGCAATGAAGGTAAGTCATTAGCTTTTTTACCAAAGTTCGTCCAAATGCATGGACTTCAAATTTGATAATCTCTTTACCAATCCATCTATGAGAGTCTTAATGCTTAACAATGTTCTAATTGTTTCTGAATTTTAGATTGGAGGTAGGAATCATTAATTATTTAAGTGATTACACTTTTGCAAAGTGCAACTTTATGAGATGATTAATTATATGATGCTGCCTATTTTGCTACTTTTTATAGGAATAGAGATGCATTGAAAAGTTGATTAAAATCAGGCTGACCTATTTGTTCTTTTAGTTTAGGAGCATTTATAATTTAGTATTCTTTGTCCAAAATAAGAATATTTTGCCTATTTTGATTAACAACCAAAATTGATTGGAGAAAACGAATAATCAAAGTCTTATTGATTTTCATGAAAATATTAGTTATCCTGATCATCTTCAGTTGATATAAACTGTAGAAGGATTGATTTCTTAATATTTGAACTATATAAGTGGGACATTAGATATTTTAAAAAAGTGAATGATGCGTACAATTTTGGAATAACAATTTAAATATTAGATTTTATATAAAGAAATATTTTTAAATATTGTGTCAATTAATTCTAAAATAGATGATGCTATTTTTCATTAATTATTAAATGTTAAATAAAATAGTGTCAAATCAAATCCCAATCGAATTTAATTCAGACCAGGATGAATTTCATTAATGCTTCCCAAGCAAAAGTGATTCTACAGCCACACCAGGGTTATTAGATAATACCAATTCATCTAAAGCCTTCTGTTCTTAACTTTTTGACGATCAACTTAACTAAGATGGTAATATATCAATAATATGTAGATGATGAGTTCAATTCTTTGAATAAACAACTCTAGAATGTGTTGCTTACTGACAATTATCGACCCTCATTGATTCAAGCTTTCTCAGCTGATATGTAAAAGATTAAAAATTAAAAATTTAGGTCTTCATATTTGAGTCACGAAAAACTGACAAGGAACTCCAGAAAAATGTAATAGGAATACGAGTAGGCCAATCCAAAAGAAAGGGAATTCATATTTAACACTTATATTAAAAACAATATATTTCATCTAAGTTTGGACAAATATATGCATTACATACTGGAAAAAATTATTGAAATTGGTATTTATTATAAATAAATTAGGGCCAATAAATTGTAGAAACATTATTCTAGACTAAATTTTTCATTCTATTAAGAAACTAGTAATTGATCTTCACGCTTGTAAGGTGATGCAAAAGGGATTAGAGGTTATGTCCTTGTATTCTTAAGAATCTCAGCCTCAATTTTAAAAATATATTAATTTTATTTTGGAAGAAAACAATTTTACAAGAAGGTTATACACAGATAAAATTGGAAATCAAATTTTCTCTAAAAGTTTAGATGTTTTGGATGAGAAGAATTTAGAATCTCTTCTAAAAATATTCGATAAATATGTAATTTAATTATAATATACTAGATCTTAAATCCAAATTAATACTCCTTAGAATTATCAACTGATTAATATGGATGTCTCATAGTCAATAAAATAATCGATATCTTCCCTAAACTTATCGATCCAAATACTAAATCTATTGCAAATGACATAATTATCAGAACCATCAAAAATTCCTCATGTCTGATAAGAAGACAATATGCCAATTATATCATTTAGTAAATATTGGAAAAAGGCTAAGAGAATCACAAAAAATTGCTTTTGAATAATTACTTAATCAAAGATTTTGTCGCCATGTCCCTGGATAAGTATGGTAGTAATGTGGCAGAAAAGGCAATAGTATATGCTGGAACTTAATGGAGACAAAAGCTTTGGGAAGAGGAGGTTTCAGTTTCTGAAAGGTACGATGTTAATGTAATTTTTATAGTTCATTTCGAAAATTAGTGAATGATTAATTTGCTAATTATCCAATATAGAGACTTTACGAATATTTATCTCAGGACTATAGAAATGAATTCATCGCCTTGTTAAACAGATTGCATGATAGCCATTTTCTCAATCATCATGGTTAAATAGTCTTAAAATTTTCTCTTACTAATTACAATGTTAAGCGTTTTGCTTAAAAAGTCAATACTGCTGAAAATAGTAAGCCCTCTAAATTGTAAGAAAAGAATAAATAGCTTCAATAAATATATGAATAACAATAAAGGATGAATTAAAATTCAATTTAATATTAATAATATCTTTAATAATAACAAATGATGGCATAATAATATTAAATGTTTTAATAATAACAATAATAATAATAATAACAATAATAATAATAACAATAATTCAAATCTCCAGTTTAATTTCAATAATACTAAGCAATGCTCTTCTAATAAGCCATGATGATGTATTAATAACAGCAATAGATGATTTCTCCTTAACTATAATAGTCCTCTTTGAATTAATAGCAGTAGTTTCCTTTCTTATAATCTATATAGCCGCAGGATTAATGGAATTAATAGGCACTCAATTATTATTAATAACTTTAATGTTTTCAAAAAATGAATTAGAATTAACAGGAATGACTTTTGATATTATCAAAGTATAAAGCAATAAAAACAATTATTTTGAGTTGATTTATTTTTTAATAAATGTAGACATCAAAATTACTATATAGTTTTTATAAGGTAGATTGTTTGTTAAAACTGTATTCTGTAATTAATATATATAAATTAAATACACATGTTTCATAAACAGTATATAGAGTAGGCTCACAACCAAAGTTTTTAGGTTTTAGAAGGCAAGGAATATCATTTCTTAGGAGACAAGTTGGTGTTGAGTGAGAACTCAGATGAAGAGGAGTTTAAGGAATAGAAGAAGGAATTTAAGGTACTGTAGAAGACGAAGAAAAAACTGAATTGGAGAAAGAGCATGGGATTGATTTTGGTGTAGAGAAGATCAAGTGCATTGTCATATGTGGAATTTAACTGGGTGAAATTTTAATTGCGCTTAAGAGGATTATTGAAAAAGATGATCAAAGGATGTACTATAGAAAAACCTTATATTTTAAGTCCTGATGGGTCAGTGAAGATGATGTGGGATTTATTATGTCTTGGATTAGTGATGTATGAGATGATTAGTATTCCTTTATAAATAAGTTTTGAGATTGATGTGAGTGTGGAATTTTCAAGAGTGTCAACAGGAATATTTGCATTTGACATCATATTGAATTTCAACACTGGGATTTTTGAGGATGGCTTATTAAAGTTGAATAGGAATGCGATAATAAAGGATTATGTTCAGTTTTGGTTTTGGGTTGATTTTACAACAACATTCCCATATGATATAATACTGGATGAGTCATCAAATTACATCTAGAGTGCAAAATTATTAAGATTGCTGAAGTTCTTGAGATTCATAAAGATATTAAAATTACTGAGATTGGCCAAATTGAAGAAGATAATGGATAAATTTAATGAGATACTCTAATTGAATTCAATATTGGCAGCAATATTAACATTTGGCAAATTGTTTTTGTTTGTGTTATTTTTTGCACACCTTTTAGGTTGTATATTCCATTTTACTGCATAGTAGGAGGATAAGAATAATTCATGGTTGGGGGATTTATATAATAAGGATTGGGATATAAGATACATAAACTCTTTGTATTGGGGAGTGACAACAATGACAACAGTTGGATATGGAGACATAAGTCCATTAAATCCAACTGAAAGATTTCTGGGTATTTTTTTGTTATTGATTGCTTGTGGTGGTTTTGCATTCACAATGAATTCAATTGGGTTTGCATTATAAAAAATAAGTGAAAAGTCAAGTCAAACTAAGGATAAGTTGAGTTAAGTGAATAAATATATGAAAAAAGCTAAGATTCCTGAGACCCTTCAGAATAAAATTAGAAAGTATTTGGAATATGTGTGGGATAGGAATGGAGGAGTGGTTTTATAATAGATTACTGGAGCTTTGTCAGTGGACTTATCAAAAGAGTTGTAAGAATAGGTGAATGGTAAATTATTTGGTTATTTGGATATCTTTTGGTCAAATCATTCATATGACTTTTTGGTATTGTAAGTGATGCCTATAATGAAGGAGAAAGTGTTCTGCCCTTAGGAAATCATATTTGATGAATCTGAATAAGAATCTTATGACATATTCATGATTCAATCTGGAGAAGTGGACATCTACTTCCAGAAAACAAATATATCAGTGGATAAGAAAGGCAAGAATGAATTCTTTGGAGAAATCAGTTTCTATTCTGCTCAAAAGCGAACTGCTAGTGCTAAGAGTGTGGATTTCTGTAATATTTTCATAATAAATTCAATTGATTTTCTGAAATTAGCAAGATCATATAGTAATGATGTTCAAACTTACTTTAAAATCAGACACAAAATAGTCTTTGATAAAGATTATAGTGCAATAAGCATAAGATGTTATATGTGTTAGATGGATGATCATATTGCCAGAGATTGTCCATCGTTGCACTTCTAAGTGTAAATTAATTGATTGATATTAGATAGGCATCACATTATCTAGCTTTCTTATAATAAGTAAAGCATGTCTAATAGTCTTCCTTCGTAAGAAAGGATCGGTTAGATTACAATGCTCGATTTCATCATAATCTCATCTCTCGTATTTAAGATAAGTTCATGAACACTGAAAAGAAGATTCAATATTATCAAGAACATAAATCTCATATGTTGATAAGTATTGAGTAATCAGAAGTCCAAAGTATAAAGACTGAGGAGGATGATTATAATGCTATTAACCAAATCAATAGATTAGACAATTTTGATCGCAGATTCAAATCGTCAGTAAGATTGAGACATCGTAAAAGTGACAATATTTGTCGTTAAACTGAATCCATTGGACGCAAAATCAGAACTACAGCCAAAGTTACTACGATTATTCGACGTGATCCAATGGGAAAACTAACTATTTCATGTGGATCAGAGGATGATCAAATCGATAAAGTTGCTTTGGAGAGAATAAATAAATATTTAGAAGATTTCCATAAGAAGATATCATTGTCACGCAAAAAGGAATGGAAAGAATTCTCATCCATTCCTAATTTTGAAAAATATCATGAATATCTTATCTATTATCCAGAAAGCAATATTTCTAAAATTATACCCCAATATTAAAAATAGAAAGCCAAAATTATGACTGATGTATCCTTAAACTCTTAAACGTTTGGTGAAGAAGAACTAATTGCTTATGCTCAATATTATTGTTATGACTTAGAAGCGGTCGCTATCACTAATTTCTTCAGTAAAACTTAAAATAGAAATTTATTAAATTATGAAGAATAAAGAATCTCTAGGTTGGACAGAAGAACCAAAAAAATGTAAAATTTTATCCGTAAACCTGCCAGAGTATTTATATTGATCTTAATCTTTCTAGATAAAAACAGCCATTTTAGTACTTAAGGCTGTAAAGAGATTATCTAAAAGTTTAAAAAATATCCCTGTTATATGATTATTACTTTATTTCTCCAAATCCATTATTTATAAAATAAGCTATTTAGATTAGTAATGTTTTTATTCAAAAGCAATCTCCTTACATCCAGACTTTTTTGGTTCAAATTTAGAAAAAAGCTAAAAGTTGTAGAATTGCAATCTCCTAATAGGAACTAATTCAAAAATCTTTCAAAAACTCTTTGTAAATGAATTATTGATCATAAAACTCAAATTTTTAAAATTTTATTTACTAAATTACGCTGTTGTTGAATAATTTTCATTAATTTTCATGCTTAAAAATAAAAGAGAATATTAAAAGAATGAAAGAGAGTAGATCAGAATTTAGAATTATATAAATCAAAAAACGATTTTCTTATCAATTTTACATAATTTCATTCTTTTATTTCTTTATCAATTCATCAAAAAAGTCTTAGCATTCCTTGATACCATTTTATACAAGATCTAAATTATAGCTTCTTAGGTTTCTATTTCTCTCCAGATCATTCTAATCTATTTGTTCAATAAATGTCTTTAGACTTGGTTATGTTTCTAAAAATCCATTTAATAATCCATATGCATGCGCAAACTCGTATTTAATATGATCTTGGATCTCCTTATTTTATTAAGAATCATCTTGCAATTTCATTTTTTTATTTGGTTTCTTTTTATCTGTAGTCTAAATTCTTTCGATTGTTCTTTTTTGAAATTCATCTGCAGCGGATTGACAAACAATCCAATATGATTCATTTTCTTTCTTTTGCTCAACTTTAAATATTCCATTTGATGTCAAACTTCCTTTAACTGTTTTGTACAAATTCCCTTTATATTTGCTGCCATCTAATCTTTTCAATTTGCATAAATTTGAACGTACTTGTTCCACAATATATCTTTCACTTAGAGTAGTATTTTAATGAGCTTCAAATAACTTCAAAACAAATCCAGTTAAAGTTTGTTAGAATAATTATTTTTTTTCATTTTCATTTTAATCTATTTCGAAATTGGCTTATGGCCAGATTTCATGTTCTGACTCATCTGTTCTTTAAAATTATTACTAGACTGATTATTGTGATTATGTAATAATTGTAGCTTGTTTTTCTAGTGTAACAATTTAAAATTACTCTTATATAATTTCTTAGTTTTCATTTATTTTGAGGGTTGATGTTCGAATCTGATAGGAGTCTGGGACTAAGGCTGATATTGCATATATGGGATATTCGTATCGAAGTTTTCTTAATAGTTTTGGGGCAGAATCATATATACATTGATTGGCAATTAATGGTATTAAGGAATCTAAGGCGATCAGATTTAAAATTACTCCATATGAATTATAACCGCAAACTGAATTGTAATCTTGTTCTTAATTTTCATCTAAATGGTAATGATCCTAGTTAATTAATTTATACTTACTGGTATATCATTATTCTGTTTTTTTAATGATGATTTCTAATACATTTATTAATTAAACAACGTGCAAACTATTTATAATAATAAAATAACTAAATGTCTGAGAAAAAAGATTTAATAAAGGAGGCATTAAAAAGAAGACAAGGAGGTGGCAAGAGTCGTAAGATTATTGTCTAAAGATTATCTAGCATAAAAATCATCTGAAACAGGAGGTTAATCGGGATTAAATTTCTATTCAGGCGATGTCTCATCTCTTAAAGTTCAACCCAATACCGTATTAATTATCAGTCTTGTATATTTGGGAATCGTCGTGCTCTTACATATATTTAGCAAACTTAGATCAGGGGGAACAGAGACTCCGACTGAAGGAGCCTGATATATATTAATTATAGTAAATTATCTATGTACACGTCTTTGGAATTATATAATTTGTATAAATGCTCTGCTTGATTTTTTCAATATAATTAAATCAAATTAGCTTCTCCCAAATCAAGGCGGCTCCTTCTCCTGATGCTGTTATAGCCAATGAAGCTTCTTGTGAAATCACAGCCAATTAAATTTATCCTACGATTTAGAATTGTTTAATTACCATTTCCTTCTACTCTCAAAATATCCAATAGTTCACCAACAAATGGAATTCCACCAATCAATTCATTGACATTAGCTCCTTTGGCTTGATCTACGGCAACTGACAAATTGACTTCATTTAATTCTGGCAATTGCATTTCCTAGACAAATTATTCATATGACTAGAAATTGAATTGTAATCTTGCATTGTTCATCAATGTCAATGGTGTTAGTTATTCTAAGACTTTGACTTTGTATGATTCAAAGTATTTTCCAATAGCAGCATAATGTCCTTATCTAGCATATTCGATCTGTCATAGTAAAACAAAATAATTACAAGATCGCTTGAAGCTGTTGCATCGAAACTTGCTGAGAATCCTTTGGCTACCCAGTTAATAATGTTCTCATTTGGTGTTGCACCAATATCTGCTAATCCTGCAGCGAATGCTAATTATCATTATTATATCATTACAAAGCTTCAAATTGGCGAATATTGAGCTATTTTCTTGGATAAACATTCCTGAGATCAATCTATAAGCAACAAGAACATTCTCTGTTAATTCATTATTCATGTAGAATCTAACCAACAATTCTTCTGGTAAAGCTTTGTATTCAATTTTTAAATCATTTTTGAATACTGCTATCTTCTATGAGATATCTTCTGGTATCATGTTTAAAGCCAAATCAATTATGCCTTCAAAAAATGCTTCAAATTTCTCTTGGACTGCATCAGAATTTTAACATTTAAATCCAAAAACAATTGAAACAATCTTAATTAGATATTAAACTTACATGGTCACCTGCATATGGGAAGTTTTTCAATAGAGATTATGAAAAATTCTTATTGTCTTCTCCAACTCTTACTGCAAATTCCAAAGCTGATTTGGCTTGAGATTTCTCACCAACATTCAATGATATGGAACATTAGGATTTTCCTTCTTCATTATTCTTGTTGAAGATATGTGCTATTAAATTAGATAAAAAAATGATACCATATTCTTGATTCAACTTTTTATGGAGATTCTTAACATTTTTGATATGTTTAAATTTCTTCTATATCAATTTATCCATTTGCTTCTGTTCTCCATATAAGAAGTATTCATAAAACTCATCAAATGAAATCTTGCCATCTCCATTTGTGTCAAGTGCTTATAGGATCTAAAATATTAAGAATTCTAACCTTATTCAACTTCTAGTCGTTCCATTAAAGGCCCACATTTGCGGCCAATCCTTTAATTTCCTCCTTGTCAATTGAGCCGCTTCCATCTTTATCAAAAATATTGAAGTATTCTTAGATCTGTTCCTTTGTCTTATCCATTAATAATTAATTAATATCTTTTAGTTATCATACTTTATACTTATATACATAACAAACCCTAATTTATAATAAACAATTAATAAAAATGCATTTGAGGTATTATTTGAATGAAGAAGGCAAACGTGTCTACACTCTGAAGAATACACTTGATGATGGTTCGTACACATTTAATGCTCATCCTGGTATTAACAATGATCTATCAATCAGCTAGATTTAGTCCTGATGATCTTAATTAGAAATACAGAGTGGAACTCAAGAAAAGATTTGGATTGTTGCCAACATAAGGAGAGCCTCATTAATTTTGATTTTGGCAATAAATAATATTACAATCACTTTTAAACAATATTATCTAATGGCTATTTCAAAACATTTTCTAATCCAATCGAATTTTTAGAATAGGTATCAAACAAATTTTCTAAACTCTTAAAACACTTGGTAAGAATTTAACTCCTAATTTCTATCTAAGATAGGATATTTGCTTTTTCAAACTTTCAAGTATAAATCACTATCTGCCAGTGAGAACAAACTTTTTCAATTTTCTTATTATTCTAAATCTTCTTTCATTAAATTCTTATAACTTGCTGCTTGTTTAACGTATATATCGGATATCTTTTCAGAGAGGTGTCTATGCTATATGTATAATTCCAATCCTTTGGTAATTTATTCTTCCTTGACTTCAGATATTAAGATGATCAATACCTATACAGATTTGAGCAAATCTGGTTTATAGTCTTTATACAAACCATTTTTTATTCATATTACTAAAAGTACTTAAAATTCAAAGTTATAGTGATAATTCACTAATGGAACTTATCTATAGCCAATATATCCAAATATTATTCTTTGATTGAATAATCTACGCCAATTTAATTTTATGAATAACTTTATTAGTTTTCTTATTTTTCATCTTCTTATCGTTTTGTATCAAGATTCGTTTTTAATTTGCTTTAGCTTAGCTTGAACATTTCAATTTAGAGTCTTAGTTTTCTATTCTAAATGATAATTTGAATCGTATTAAGCTATGTGAATAGATGCTAACTGGGTTCCATTTTCATTTGCTGAGGTCATGTTTAAGAAGTGTAAAAATACTCATTAGGATTACTTTAGCAACAACCCATATTTATATAATTTATTATATGTCATTTCTTATTTTGTTATTTTAGCAGCAGTTATCTCCACTTGTTAATCCATTCTTCTGGATATGCTTTCGGATCAGGCTTTTACCCAACAGGAATATTTTTCAATCTTTCTTCAAATTGCTTATGCTCATCATGCTTCTTCTTTTTTCTTGATCCTTCTTAATGTTTGCTTTAGTTGCCATCTGCATTTTATTCTAAGTCATTCTAAATTATAGTACAGTTACTTCGTCATTATTTGACCATGAGGATTATTATTGTTAAGATGGTTATTACATTTTGTATTTTTAATATTGCAATTATGGTATTGCATCAAAATAATTTTAATTTCATTAATAGTAATATATAGTTGTATTGCTGTTGTATATATAGACATAGTATTATGATAATAATGCATTCAAATATTTACTTAAAATGATATTGATATATATAAATATATCGATTGTCATTTCAATAATTTAAATTAAAACTGAATCATGCTTCTTGCATTCATAATAAAATAGAGATATAGTTTCTTATAGATAGGTTTGTTTTTGCATGTTAACTTAATTGAATACAATAAATAAAAAATATAGTTGACAATATATTTATAAAATATATTAAAATATATAGAAGGAAGTTCATTTAACTTTTTGTTATTTAATTCCACTATCAAACCTCTTTAATGTTTACTTAATATCAACTTAATTATTGAATTAACTTTCTAATGCCTTAGTTATGTTATTTGAATCTTGAGTTTAGGATTTTGTACGCTATGATCGAATAATTTTTTATTAAGTAGCAGTCGAATTATATCTACTTGAAGCATTGGATTCATAGACTCTGGCAGTTGACTATTATGATATCTTCGATGCAGAACCATATCTGTTGTTATTGATTTCCACACTACTTCTATATCTGGATGATTTATTTTGTTTGTTCAATTTTTGAAACTAAATTTGTGTTGACTCCTTTTCCTTTTGTTACTTGATGATCTTTTATAGAAATTGCTTATCTTTGTTATAAATGATGGGTATGAATTGGAATCCTTGGGTTTGAGTTTCTTTGTCAATGGAATGTGCTTAACTTTTCTTTTTTTATTTCTACTTTTTGATTTCCTGTCTTCGGTCACAGAATTTCTAATAGATCAGTCTGAGTTGGACTCCAACCTCCTACTTACTAGAATAATTTTTAATGGGTACGTATTGACCGTTTGAAAAGACAATGAACTATTGGTGACAATATCATTTAGTTGGTTTTTGATAAAAAAGATGGAGCCTTGTGAACTGTATTGTTGTTATCTTGAAATATCAATGAAGAGGATACTTTTAGAGTAGACTGCTCTGCAGTATTTTTGAAACGCTGATGGAATTGATGTTGGAGTATTTTCGAGATTATCGAATTTTGGGATTGTAGTAAGTATCCATGGTTTTGGCAATGGGAGTATGAAATATGCGGGGCACAAATTTTTGGGACTAATCGTCTATTTTAAGTTACAACCAATACATTGGAATTGATAGTATCGAAGAGGACATCGTTGGGAGAATGGAAGTAGTTCTCCATGTACTCATCGTGGTAATCCCAAAAGAGGTAGTCTTTGAATGTATTGGTGATTCGACTTCTACGGGCAAAGATTAGATCGTTGATGATTCGAATGTAAGTATAATTCTGCGAAGACGAATACTTTTCATAGAGTGCTTTTTTGATGATGACTGCAAAGTCCTAATTTAGTGTTGTATGTACATATTGGTACTCACAAAAATTGCAAGTCGAATCCATAATTTCTGTTAATTTTAACATTTTCCTTTTGATAATTATAAGATCACTGCCAATCAAAGCAATGTGTGATGTGAGTACGATTTAATTATAATCAATCATATTTTATCTTGTACGCCAATAGCAGAAGTAGCCCTGGACAGATCAAGAGCACCATGATCACAGGAAAGAAGAATATTCCGAGTAAGATCAAGCACATTTTATCTCCATCCTCCAATTGCCTATAACTTTGTCGATTAAAATGCTTGACCAGTTTCAGCGGAGCCATTACGCTATAATAAATCAAGATGAATGGGATTATGGGTAGAATAAGTACGGTGGCAAATAATTCGAAGATGATCCCTCCATACTTCTTCCATCTTGGTCGAGAATGTGGCTCATCATTAGAAAATTGCTTATCTCTCTATAACGTTAACTCTATTACCTGGACATCCAAAGCAATTGTCTGAATCAAAGTGCATTCTTGTGTACCTTGCTCTGCATAACCAGCAAAATTGAAATCTACATTGATAACAGGTCATATGATTGCACCCTTCCTTCTTTTGAATTGGGGCTTTGCATTTTGGACAACGTTGGATCACCAACTATTTCAAAGTTAATTCGTAATATTTGTCTAATGCTTCCTATTGCTAATCACAAATCCATACTTCACATGTCATCCCTGGATGATCTTCCCTTCTGCACTCATAACACATCTCCTGTCCACATTCGCATTTTATAGTATTGCTAAACATGCTCTTCCCCTTAATGTATTTGTCGCATCCTGTTCTGATACACCATCTTATTGTATCATCCCTATCCAACAACTTTTGTCTCTTGAACTTTTCAAACTTTTGATAGTATTCGTCGTTTATTAAACTCTTTATGGCATCATCATTAAAATAGTTATCACATCCTTGTTAAGGACATTCAATTTCCAACACTTAACCATTGTTTATTTTGTTCTCCAAATAACTTTGTAAACACTCACAACAGAACTCATGTCTACAATTCAAAGCTTTCTATTTATTTTTGTACTCACTCAAGCAAATCCCACAACAATCATTAGTCCCTTTATCATCTTTTGCTTACTCTTATCTAGTCTCTTCAACTATAAATTAATCTATTTATTATTGATCATCTATTGAAATTGGAACAACTTATTTGTATGATGTTTTCTGTAATTGTATTCCAGAGCAAGATTTATATTGTTCTTCAAACTAATGAATTTTTTCAATCACCAAATCTAAAACAACCTAATAATCCTAATCCAAAGATATTTTCTGTTTCTAAATTATATACTCTGCCATATAAGCATTATATCCGTATTAAGCTATCTAAGTAAGTATTTTTTTCTTCGTATGACTGAAATTTTAAAAAATAAATACATACAGCAACTTCACTTTCTAATTCTCATTATTGAACGTTATTGAATGATGGGAGTTCCTTCTATTTTATTATTCTTTTGGCATCTACAATACAAAGTCATGTAAACTACTTTTTCGTATTTGAGATTCATGTAAATTTTATTGCTTTTCTTGATCTACTCCATGTACAAACAAGAGATCATCACTCTTACTTAATGGTATTTTATAGTCCTTAATCTGCTATTTAATCATTAATTATATTATTATCAATTGGAGATAACAAATTCAAACTATTCTAAAAATACACATTTAAAAATCCCTTTTTTTGTTTTATATACTATTTATAGATATATCCAATAAATGTATAGATATCAATGTTAAAATAATTCATCTTACTTTATATAGATTTACTGGTATTCATTTTTGATTTTAGATATAGATGAAAGTAACTTGAAAGTGCAAATTGAATGCTGCAACATTTAATTTATCATAGCTTCAACAATCTTTACATTTTGTTTTATCAAATTACATTCCATCATTCATTAATCGAGAATTTAGTCAGTAATCACAATATATATTAGTGAGATCTAATTCAAAATTAATAGAGTATTGCAAATTCTAATAATATTCACTTTACTAAATCTAATATTTCTAACATGAGCATCATAAGTTTTAGGAACCGATTTGCACAAACAAAAATATGGCCTAATAATTGTAGCCATTTAAATTTGGCAAATTGAAATTCTAATATATAAGAGGATCCTAAGTGAATACTCTAATGGCATTTGAAAACTATTATTAGGGAACAATCATTAAGAACTGAAATTTATGGTGGTAGATCTGCGATTGAAACCAGTTTAAAGTTGTTATTATGATTGATTTAAGCATATAACAATTAGATTAGTAATAATAATGTTGTCGTAGAATTGTGGGTGATTAATTGGATATCTTACGATGTAATCTTCGAAAATTTAGATATAATCAAGAGAATGAGAAATAAAATTAGTATTTTGAATTTTTATTAATTAATAAACTATATTATCTCAATAACTATGATGTAATAAATATTTTGAATGGTAGCTAAATGCCGGAATCATAATTGGGGTCGGTTAGAATGAGACCTTCCTAAATTCAGATTGAAGACGATCAATAAGTTTCAACACAAAGACGAAATTTTTTATCTCCAACATTTAGTTAAAATCTACCCCTTTTTAGGGAATTGTATGCAGTTTTTAAAATGAATATAGACAATCGAGATAAGCGCAAAACAGAGAACAAGATTATTCAAACAGTATTATTACTCTTACTGATGAGAAGGTATTCAAAATACAAATTAGGTAATCTCTTGTCATGCTTAAATGATCAAGTCTCTCATGTTCAACTTATTCCTATAGGCATTTTTTGTTAATTATCTTACTTATATGCACTGGAAATATAGTCATCGCTACGTGCTCCTGCAATTGTGGATATAGGACTTAATAACAATTTTTATTCTGATATACTATAACTACAGAAAAGGAGATGATTGCATTTGGTAACTCATAGAAACTATGTTTCTATTCTTTTTTAAAGTATGCATCATCGTTTTAATAGATCTTCATTGTCTTTTACTATGAAGTTCAAGCATTCAAGATCTATTTTATCGCAATAATGATGTTAGCGGTTTCATCATTGCTTTTGATTATGAAATTAGTCTAAAAGATAAAGACTCCGACTAAGACTAGCACTGCTTTAGTATTATAATTAAATATATTTGAGATTTTGCAATTCCTAAAGACAATGTGCTGTCTCTAACTCTTGTTGATTACACTTAAATGGGAATCAAAGATCTCTTGGTCGTGGATCCAGATCTTTCTATTATTGTGGGTGTTCCTTGTAGTTTGTGCATTATTGTTATTCATTTCATTAGTTAGTTGTATTGAAACATTGGTTAACATTATTAAAAAGAAATAACAATGTCATTACTGTAAATATATCGGTATTCTTTAGTGGCAGGCAATTTGTGGATATTTATAATGCTAATAGGATTTACTTTATTTCCTTTTTTGTTCATCCTGAGAACAGCTGAATTTTATGAGGAAAATCAATTAATTTCAATTACTGAAACTGCTAAATACATAGTAGTGATCACTTTGTTTTCGTTATTTCTTCTCATTTTCACTCTTTGCTTCTACAAATAAATTAAGTATGGTTCTCAATTATTAATTATTAGAGCTTACTTAAAAGATGTTTAAGGAATCTCAGATTAAAATGATGTTGATTAATAACAAACAGTGTAATCTCCGAATTCCAGATAACTTAATTCCCCACATTAAACCAAGAAATTAGAATTCGTTAAATTGGGAATACCTTTATATTTGATCAAATTATCTTGTACTTACTTTGCTGTTCTGGACAAAGCCTCTTTTGAATTCAAAAAAAAACAAAAATCTCATCAAGAGTTAGAATCTGGTCGATCGAATCTTCATGGTTCCACAATGAGGGAAACCTGGAAAAAAATACTACAAAAACCAGCTGCTAGCAATTCTATGATTATACATAAAAAATAGGCTGAAATCGACTTAGAAATATAAAAACCTGCTATCACTGATAATGGTAATCAAAAATCTTATTTATAACTTAGTCAAAGTAAAAAGGGAAGAAACCCCAGTTACTGTATCGAAATTGGAATAAGAAGAGGAACCAGTTCGATCTATTAAATCTATTAAATCTGATGGGGAATCAAGTGTGAATTAAGACAAGTGTCTTGTTTGCTATGAAAATATACCCAATATAGTTTTTGTACCATGTCGTCATGGAGGCATCTGTTAGCAGTGTGCTGAGGATGTAATATAAAAATCAAATGAATGTTACTTATGCAGAAAAGTAATTTACTAAAATAAACAATTAGACTATAAGTCAAATTTTGAAAGTTTAAAAAAATGTAAATAAATAATTGGAAGTGTAAGAAGCATCAATTTTGGGCTGAACTTATTTAATTAATAAATACAATTGTTATTATAATCTTAATACCTTGTTTCTAATTTGAAATATACATAACAATTTCATTAAACCAAGAATTTCTTACTAATAGAGCTCAAAGAAAAGCAAAAGGCTTAGAGCATACTCATTGGAAATCTGTAATCTACATTAAAAAGGTTCTTCTCCCACTTTATTTTTATTACGATTACACTTTACCTTCCCATGCAACAAATAAATAATATTCTAATCTTGAGGATCAATAATCTCAAAGTTCCTGGCTGATGCTCGTTTTGCTCTTCCAAAGAAATTCAATTAATAACACTCCTTTTCCTCATTATACACAGGGTCCATCTAAGCTAATTATACAATTTAATTATCAATCAGATTCAACATACTTGCAGTGAATTTTCTTATTATATTCTTACAATTACCTTGGCTATGTTGCCATGATGTTGGTTTGATATTGGATGACAGCCAATTCTCTTCTCTCTTATCCAAAATACTTGGGGATCCTGCCAGCTGCCTCCTTTGGATATCCATAATCATAAATGTGAAACACAGTTCCCCAGAAATTTCTTTCTATTACGCCAACATATTCTTCTGAATATTTGATATATTATAATTACTGCAATATTATAATTACAATTTTTACATCTTTTTCAAATATCAATATCTCACTGTGAGGTGATTCCTGATAAGCCACTAAATACTATTTCCCTTACGCCTCATCTAATAACTAATAATAATGAGGATAATCAGTATTTGGTGATGTTGTTGTTCTCTTTCTAGAAGTCTTATAGAATTAATATTTTTATAAGGGTTGCAGAAAGGGTTTCTTGCGATTCTCTATCTTCTTGTACATACTCTTGAAGAACAATGTCCCTATCTATAGTTGTTTCTATCCCCAAGTGATTAAGAGAATATCCTCTTTAATCTGCTAAATCTGCACTTAAGCAACATTCATGATTAATTTCTACAAATAGGGGTCAGTAATCTGTTTTTGATAGATTCCAGCCTAGAATTGAAAATACTACAATAGCAAACTAGGTTTTAAGTAGATACATACGAATAAAAGTATTGTGAATATTCCATACATTCATATTGGATGGTAATTAAAGTCAATTGCATCAGGACATAGAGATTCAAATCCACATACAATCCAATAATTACATCAGTCATCTTTTATACTTTCATAATAATAGAGCAAATCAACAATCTATGCAATTGTTTTTGCGGTTTATTGTTAATAAACTATCGAAACTTTGTTTAATTCTAATTAAGCAAATCAAAGCATTCGAAAAAGAAATGAAAATCTTAATCATTTGGTATTTTAATTCCAAGGGAACAAACCACTATGATTTATACAACATCTTCTTAAGCATTGAAATTATCTTGCAATGCCTGTATCTCATTCAAATATCTTTCTTATTATCAATATTTTACTTTTGATCGACATAGAAACCATATTCAACTTTTACATCCGGAATTTATTGGTCTATTATAAATTTTGATAATTACCTATTTTATTGGGTTTCATAACTAATAATTCTTAATTTAACATGCACTTTACATCAATTTTTAATTTTTTTATTTGCTTAGTTTATTAAATCTTGCAATCCAATCCGAAGAAACCCATATTAGATTCTGATTCTTTGCTTTATTTGTGTTTCGGCAATATATTATTAAACATTAATTTATTTAATATGATTTCCAACCTAATTATATCAGTTATTACTATTATATAATTTATATTATCAACATGAAAACTAAATGTTCCTCTGCAAGACATTATACTGACAATGACAACAAGGAATTTTGTAACCTCATGTCACAGGAATAAATTGATGAACGCTTTGCAATTATCTAAAAATAAAACTCCTTTCGATAAGTAAGGAGAAGAAACACAGCCACTGCCAGGTAAAACAAAGTTGAAGATTTATGCATTTTATTTGAGAAACTTATAAAAAAGTCAACTAAACCAAAACCTTTAAAATAGAAATATCAGGCTATCTGTTAGGAGTCAGGAATTGATTTTAATGAGCTAAGAAATATTACAAGAATGGATGATAAATAAGACTATATTATCAGGTGTTGTGTTAATTAGATTTCTTCATAATTTGACAGTATTTCTTGATTTTAAATAGACATTCTCTCCAAATATAACATAAATTCACATACTGAAAGGCATCCAAAGAAAAATGATGATCAATTAGATTTGTATGGGTGGTTGTAAGTTAAATCTCAATATAAATCCATTTTGAAAAGATTGAAATTTGCATTAGTGGATTTGATTTAAACATCAAACAATTTTAAAAAAGTTAATAACTTTCTATCGTCGAAATCTAAAGTTACTTCCCAATAGGTAAGTTTCATCCATACTACTAATAATATGGACAGCAAAGAACAATCTACTCAATACACCTCTAGAATCTAAGTAAATGCTGATAAAAAACTCATTCTGAATGTTCCTGAGCTGTAATACTCTCCCCCTGAATTGTTTTTTGAATGGAATAAAGCCATAGAGGATGGCTACATAACTACAGGTAAAAATATGCATTTAATGGGCTATGAAACCATAAAGAAATAATTAGCAAATGGAATTCACTCCAAGAAACGAGACAAAATATTAAATAAATGTGAATAAACTGGTAATTACATCACAGAATAAGAACTTTAATACATAGCCTCAACTAGTTTCTTGATTAATAAATGTATAGATAGAGAATTCATTTAAAGAGCCATCAATTGCTTAGAAGATAATGTATAATTAATTTTAATTAGGTCAAACATTAAATTGAATTGAATATCTCTGAATAAATACTCTAAAACTTTTACTTCATCAAAGAAAATCAAGTAAAAATCAGAAACAAATATTTTGAAGAATTGAATAAGAAAAAAAGACAACAAATAAGTAAAATATCACATCTATTATTGTAGCTGAGAACACAAAAAACTATCAGAGACAATAACATTTCTCAAAGGATTCTCTTTAAATTAGAGTAATTAAAGGAAAATTTGTCTAATATTTGAAGGAGGCTCAAAAAAGGAAGTTTTTAAAGGAGGCTTTTGACCATAAAAAGTAGAGTGCTTTGAGAAGGCTGAAGAATTCAGGAAATCCATTGGCTAATATTTATGTTTAGAAATTCAAGGAGATAATGTTGGGAATTGTTAGAAAATATCGAGAAGTATATATAATCAATAATCAAGAGAAAAGGAACTGAAAAAATAAAACAATAAAACTTTTTAGAAAGAAACACTTCAAAATAAACGTTTAAGCCATTATTTATAAAAGGCCAAGATGAATTGTAATTAGAGTAAGTTAAACATATATTTCATCCCCCCTCAAAACTACTTGCACTGGACCCTGAGGAAAAGTTCCAATAACATCAAAAAGAGAAAATAATAAAGTGGAGTAAAAGTTATAGATTAGGAATAAGAAATTATAATATTAGTTAGAATGAATTTATGAAGTTTTATAGTGGAGGACCGTAAACTTGCAGATAATTTTAGAGTTAAAAATTGAAAGGATTAAACGATCATTAAGAGCCAGAATTACCTAGTTAATAACAATGGATTACAGATGATATTGAAGTGTAAGCAGCTAATAAAATAAAGATGGCAATTAAGCGATTTTTGTATAAAAAGAAGTTCTTTAAAGTGTTAGAAAAGAAAGAACAATTAAAAAGCATAGACATAGAATAAAGAATATAAAAGTGTATGAAGGCAAAAAGATTTTTTGAAGAATTGCATAAAGAATTGAACAATCAATAAAATGAAAGATTAAAGGATATCACTTAACATTCTCCTCCTAAATTACCAATGGAAAAAGTTGTATTTATTCCTGGGTCTGCACCTACATCTCCATAAATAAATCGATTGAGCAAACATAAAACTACTGAGATCTCATTAGTTAGTAGTCGTATCATTAAATAGGTATATAGGTGTATTATTGTAGTGTGATATGTAAAAAAGAGAAACCAATGAAAAATAAAGATAAAAATTACTCAATAAATTTGTTAGAACTAGACTGGATGGGGAGGCCAAGATAAAAAATAGAAAGTTGATATAAGCAGCAAAAATGAAGAATAGTGCTATTGCAGAAGCAGCTGGGTTCCATTATAGTAAATCCGATACAGAACTTTATGATTAAAATGGAAACACTCCTTTATATTATAGTGCCAAATATGGAGATGAATCAATGACGAAATTCTTATTGAAAATAGGAGCAGATGTCAATTAGATTTGTTCTAATGGAAATACTCCTGTTCACATGGCTTTCCTATCTGGAAATTAATAAATAATAATTGAATTCATCAACAGAAATGGTAATCTTAATATACTAAACAATGACAATTATACTCCTCTAGCCTTTGGAACTCAGGAACTACTTCAATCTCTAAATTTGATTCATTGCGTTGCCACAGTATGATACCATAATAATTAGGTTAAATAAGATAACACAAAAAGAATTGATAATCAGCACTTGATCCATAGAAAGATAAAGTCTGAAACCTATGAACTTAACGATGAATTAGTAGCAGAAATAAAAAAGAGAGGATGACAGAATATCAAAATTCTTTATACAATTCTAATTTGATAGTAAATGATATCAAAAGGGCTATAATTTATCATCAATCCATTCTCCTACAACTATCCTTTTATCTTTATATCTCATCTCTCCATGACCATTCTTTTTACCCTACTTCCATTTTCCTTTAAATACATCTCCATTTTTGTATTAAAATGTTCCTATCAATTTTTATAAATTATACCTTCACCATCAAAAACATCTTTATAAAAGCCACCTATGTATCTGTCTCCTGTTTTAAAATCTAAAATACCCATTCCAGATTTTTCTCCTTAATACCAATCTCCTTCATATTTATGACCTCCTATGAAAAAATATTTTCCATATCCATGAATCACATCTTCAGAAAACAACCCATCATATTTTTCCCCATTTGCATAATAGTAAGTACCAGACCCATCCTTTAAATCATTAGATAACTCTCCTTCATAAACATCTCCATTCGAATAAATAATTCTGTAAATTTATAATTTTTCTTCCTTATAAGGCACTTCCCTAAGTAGTTCTCTTTTAATTTCTTAATTCACTATAAAGTCTTCTTTTGTTGTTTATGTTAAAATATTTATTTAATGATCATTTTAATTTTGCTGATCTTCTTAATCATCGCTATCATTATCCTGAAAATAATGATCATTTTCTGTCTGATTCAGCTAGGACTATACCCTAGTTTAATTGATACTTAGTACTCTTAATCATTTTAATTTAGAGAATTCTCTTTCAACAATTCACCATCATTCGAAAGAAATTAGTTGTAAATTTCCTCTAATTCTTTTTCTGCAGCATCAACTGCTTACTTCCAACAAGCTTTATATGCTTTTATCTAATTAGACATTATAAGAATTATCTATAATATTATATTATTTAATCAAATCTAAATTAAGTTGCCCTATTATTAATTCTCAATGTCTATCTATTTATCAGATTTATAACTCTTTTAATTGTTCAATTTCTAATCATCATCTCCATCCAATTATCATTATTCTATTTAAAATTGTTTCATTTTAGCGATTATTGAATGGTTAACTTTACATAAAATATGTCTTTGAAATTCTGTCTTGGAAGATAATCAAAATCTTGTAAACTTTCAGCTGTACTTAATTATAATTTCTATTTTACAATTGTCTCAATTTTATATTACCAAAAAAGAAAAGGTTTTTAGTTTCCTAAATAGTAAATCTAGTTTTCAAAGAAGATTATTAGAAAAAGTTATTTCCTTCTTTTTCATTTTAAATGTCCCTCAATCTCAAAATCTTAGGGATTCAATAAATCTTGGGCTGTTCCAAGTTCTCCAAAGCAAAATTAAAGGTAAACTGTTTCATATGGAGATTATTCATTGAATAAATCTACTTCAAATTATATCTGAATTTTGTTCTGTAATTTTCTTTAAACATTTCTGTTGAGATCAATTAGATTTTCATATCTAAGAAGTACTGAATAAAAGAAAGAATGATTAACTGTCAATTAAATATATATCCAGAATTAAATGTAGAAGGCATCTAAGATTTGGATTTTTGTTCCTTAAGGTAAGTAAAAACTAAAATTTATTTTAAATTAATTAGATTCTATCATTAATAAGCAAGTATCATAATAAATTTAAGAAATAATCTTTTTTTATTTTTTAAATAATTATATTTTATAATGTAGATTAATTTTTATCATAAAAAATCTTTGATTGCTTTTTTTAATTAATAATAAGCTCCTATTTACAATCAAACATCATTCAGAATATTTGTAATGATCTTTTTATTTTTATTCAATTCTATACTATAAAATATGAGTTTTATCTTAAGTAGATAAAATATCCTAGATTGATATTTTCAAATATATAAATAATTATAAACCATTATATTCCATTCTTAAAAATGTATATCAATCTTATAATAATTAATTCTCCATTTCATTTATGTTGGTTTATTTACATTCAAAAATATACTTTGTTTTTACCCCTTATTGATATTTTTATGATATTAAATCTACTAATTAAGTAATTTAATATAAAGCATAATAAGTTTTATTAACTTTATTATTAAATTCTTGAATCTTCTCTTTCTATCCTTTTTATAAATTTAAATATATTAGTTTACCAGATACAATTTATCTTTATTCTTCTTAAATTTAGTTCTATTGGTTGGATTGACAATTACTCCTCCTCTCCTTATTCAGTTCTATTTGATCAGAAAATTTAACAAATATAATTATTAGGATATCACTAAAGCGATACAATTCAGATGGTTAAGATTTTCTTTATTTAACATTATCCTTAAGCATTATACTTTAGTGATATTAAGTGCCATTAATGTATTTCTTCATATATAAAACAAAAATTTTGATTTATAATGATTTTCAAATGTAGAAAACTCAAAATAAGAATATTTCAGCAAAGTAGTGTAAAATGATACTGTCGTAGTCTTTTGATAAAGTCTTCTTGAATCTTGCCATATAAATGCTTAAATATAATCATAAAATAACCTAAAAATGAAATCATTAAACATTAATAAAACCAAAGTAAAACTTGAGGATGCAATTTTATAATTTTATTTATAAATATTGATTATATTGAAATGAATTTTAAACATGATAATATGTTGTTTATCAATATCTCATTTGGGATATAGAATATCATAATGTCCAGGTCTATATAATAAATTGATAAATATAGAATTTGGATTAGCATCTTCTGGAATTTAGAATATAGTAGCATCAACTGTGGCAACATTGCCATCCAGATAGAAAATCCTGATAGGAATTTGCAAGTAGTTTTGCAATGCTATGATTTGCATCTTTATTAGATATTTTTTATTACTTAATCTGCTTCTCGATCAATTGGATCAACTTCTTATTAACAAAACAATTCAACTGTTCCAGTTTCTATGTATCCTTCAAATAAAAATGAATTAGCTTTGATATATCCAGAGGTCAGCATTCTCATGTACATTATAAGATAATCAGATGTGACTTTATTGCAGAATGCATCTACGATCCCCTAAACAGTAATGTTGTTTGGACATAATTTTATTTATTTCATAATTTCCTACATAGTATAGCAGACTTACATCATAAAAGTCGTCAATAACAATTTATTCATACCCAACAGCTGTTAAGTCCGCCTTTGAATTAGCAATTGTGGTGCTAAACTTATTTAATAGTTGCTAATCTTTAGTTTAGATTATTTATTCAAATATTCTAAACAGAACTGCTCTATAGAAGCAGCTACCATCTCTTCTCACTCTCCTGAAAAATGGATAGGATTCACGGATTTTCTAGAAATTCATCATAATCACTTACTTAAATTTTTTGATGAAACCCTTAATTTTCTAAATATTCTGATTCTAATATTTGCAATTCTATTGGTTAAGTAATAATGAATGGATCTTAAGCTTCTATTTCATTTTTAATTTTATCCAATTACTTAATATGTTACTCATATAATTCTTGATCGTAAGCATATTGATTAGAAGATTATTAACTCATTATTATTTTTTATTTATTTTTTTTGGTATAAATTATTATTCAAATCCATTTTCTACCTCTCTGTTTAATTTTATAAGTTTCCTTTGAACTTTGCACTATCGATGAGTATTTACTATTTGTACGATTCTCTCATGCTTTTCTGAAGACAGAATATTCTCAGGAATCTACTGATTTACTTAATTTGATTATTGCCTTTAAATATTGTTTTATCCAACGCAACTTCCCATTATTTATAATATTAATGGGCTAACAAAAAATTATAAATTTTAACACATTATAATAAATCAACTCTATACCCAAATCACAAACTCTAAATTATTCTATGGTTTGTATTTTATATTATTTCATTCCAATTATCAATTACCAATTTTCTTAATACAAGTCAGATATTAGAAATTTATTTATAAATAAAATGTTGTTATTGACAGATGATCCATTAACATTAAGCTAATCAAAAATTGAATAGTTTGAACTCAAACTAACATTTGATGTTTAATTTTTATTGGAGGTTGATATCAATTTTAACTCTCCCAAAATTTAGATAGCTATGTAGAATCTCAACTTGAAAGAGCAAGACTTAGTATAAAAAAAAATATCCCAATTCTTTATTGTGGATGAAGATTATTCGGTAACTGAACAAAGGTATCTGATTCATTTGCATCAAATTGCTTAAAGAAGAAAATTATTGGTAAAGGAAAGGAATAAAATTAAAAAAGACGAAGCCGAGACCTTGAAATATGATTAATTGGCAAATACCAGATATTATTCTTAAACTGAGAGTTTCAACTATTTAAATATTGAAAATGCCATTTCTATGCTAGATAAAAGAATTGAATTATAACAAATTAAAAAAGATAAAACTCAATTAATCCTCAAAAATAAAATCAGGGAGTAAATTGAAGAGGAATTGAAAATTTTGAATGAGAATAAAATCTTGGAATAAGAGAACTTACGCGTAAAAAAACTAAAAAAGCAAAGTCTTAAAGCCATCAGTGATAGAGCGCATTCTTTTAACTAGAAAACTCAATAAATTGCAAAAAGGCATTAAGAATCAATTCAATATGAATAGGAAAAGGCATATGAAAGATAAAAAGAAATTCTTTCTAAAGAAAAACTTGAGTAAAAATTCTATTATTTTTAGATCAGATGACTCAGAAAGAGGATTATACCAAAATTAAATAAAATAAAAAGAAAAAGAGCTAAAAGATTTGCTTAAATAAAAATAAGTAAACGATAGAATTAAATAAATCAAATAATAAGAAATTGAATAATGTAATTAATTATACGCAAAGATTTAAACTAAATTAAATAAATCTCAAATTAATAGACTAAGTTTATTAGATAACAATAGAACTTCTATTTTTTAAAATACCTAATCTCATCAAAAAGCTGAAGAGTCGCAAAAATTTTTAGAAAAATATATTCAAAAGTAAACTAGATATATCAATAATTCAAAAGAATCCTAACGATAATTAACAAAATTAAAAAAACGAAAAAATATCAAGTAACACTTTAATTAAGACAAATAAACAAATTACACAAAAATAGAGGAAACTTATCCTGAAAAGAAAAGTTCAAAATATTCTCCTCAATTGAATAAAAAAAATAAGTCTCGAAGTTTAGTCAATCTTGAAAAAATAAATCTCCAGCAACTAGAAAAAGTTAATAAAGTTCTTGAAAAATAACGATCAAGCAGCATTTTATAATCTTAAATAAGAGAAAGAAAGGAAATCCTTAGAGAAGCAAGCAAGAGCAATTTTCAATAAAGAAGTCAATTTTAAGAACTTCAGCATGATTTATCGAAAATAAAAAACAATGTTTCCAAAGAATTTTTGTTTAAAAAAATTTCTAAATGGGATTGTGTAGATTTAATAAATAAATATTATAAATGAAATATCTATTTAGTTTTCTATTATAATCATATTTTTTATGTTATTGTCTGAAATGAAATTTAAAAAATGAATATATGCCTTAGTTTGCTTAGAACTTTAATTAAATGATAATCGAATTTATTTTTTAAATAAGATGCTTTTCAATTAATTTAACCTAATAAAATGAAAAATATATTAATTGTTATTACAAGCCTATGGTTGAAAATAGATTTGAAATTCTTAAAAGAATTAAATTTAGGAAAATAAAAATCTTTATATTATCAAATAACAAAATATTTTTACCAGATCTAAGGTTAGCAGTAAATAGAAATAATGAATCAATAAGATAATTGGCTAATCTAATTAAATAAATTTAATAACTTATAATTATCTTAATTTTATAATAAATATTATCAAAATGATAGGTTGGAATCTCCTGAATTTTTTCTAAATTATTAAACAGGGGAATCAAGTTGTGCATTTTTTTGATAATCATCATCCATTTCACATACACTCAAACGTAAATTTCCATTTTTATAATTTTCTATTTATTCTTCTTGATCGCTATTCCATTCCATAGAATTATCTAAGAAATTTATAAAGAATATTACTTAATGATTATTATCTCTAAACATGATTTTTCTATTTATTTAACATCAAAGCTTCTCCTTTCTATTCAAATAGTTAAGGTTTACAAATATCTTTAATTTACTTCAAATCAGCTACTACAATTTCTAATGCTTTTGAGGCGATAAAATGTGATTGTTCTAGTTCGTCAAGCATTTAGTTTAATGATTACTGAGCTTAATCATATTTTTTAAGTTTTGCTAATTCTTTTGCAGCTCCAATAACAGTGCCAGCCTTTGCTCTCAAATAGTTAACTTCGACAATTTCTTTTGGTTCGAATGGAACTTCTTGTAAAGAAAATTTGATATTTAGTTCCTGTTATTTTGTAAAATTAGTTTTAAGTTCTAAAAATTCACCTGCTAAATTGGATCTTAATACTATCTCATTTTATGAATTTATTTTGTCGTTTGATGGTATTTCGATTTCCAAAGCAAATTCTTTATTCTCACCTTCCAATAAGTAATTCATAATCATTTCATATTTAGATCCTTCGAGTTTATGCCAAAGAAAATCATCCCCATAGAGTTTCTTGATAGGATAGTTAGGATTTTCTTCAATTACTAATTTAACATTCTTGGCCAAAACTGATAACATTCCACTCATTGCCAAAATAAAATGTTCAGAAGCCTAATGATAACAATTTAAAGAATACCTTTGCTATATTTTCAATAAAAGTGAATGTTCCACCTTTTAAATTTGAGATATTATTCATTACTTTTGCATCATGATCTTGTCCATAACCAAAAGAATTAATGACGAAGGTATCTTAAATTTGGTATTCGTGAATAGCTTATTAGCATCTTTCATCTGCTCCTTTGTTATCATCTTGTCCATCAGTCAACACAAACATACAAGTAACAGGGTTCTTTTATTTTCTCTCTTTAATCATTCTCAATCCTAATTTAACACCATCTGCAATATTTGTAGAGTCTCTAATTGTCATGCCAATAATTGCATCTTTGATTTTTTATTTATTTTCAGGTTTATTGAGAGTCCAAGGCAAATTAATACCTGAATATGTGCCAAATGTTACTAAAGCAATTCTAATAATTTATACAACTGAATACCTATCGTTTGGATTCAATATTTTTTAGATATATCTTAATGAATCTTTGACAAGGCTAATTTTATTACCTTCCATTGATCCACTAACGTCGACTACACAAACTAAATCAATATTTGCTTTAGCATGTTTCATTTATGATTTAATTGCTTAAACCTATAATATCACTGGTAAAGTTTAGGCGAATTAACTTAAAGTAACTACGTCTTATCTAGGTATCATATTGACATGAATGTTCTCAATAGCTTCTCCTACTTTTGCATCAATATCAATTTGTTAAACTTATTGTTCAACAATAACTTGCTATTCTGCAATTGGGTCTTCCAAATTTTTAGCGATTTCTTCATCAAAAAGTTGGTACTTGTGGCCTCCAATTTGAGGAATTTATCCTGTTGATTTTAAATGAAGTTATGGAGATTGCTATTGTTAAGTAGCTAAATATAGCTATTAAATAATTACTATTAGACTGTTTAGAAACATTGTTTGATGTCTTCGATGATGATTTTGAAGATGATGAGTTTCCCATTTTTTATTTATTTATATTCTAAATTACATGGAATTTATATAGAAATCTTTTCTGATAATTTCTAAAAGTGATGATCACATTTAAATCACAGTACCATGAATTTGCTCTTAGTAATACAGTTTAACAAAATGTCTGTGGATCAATAGATTTTAAATGATATAATTGAAAAAAATTATATATCTAGAAAGGTATGTTATGTTATATAACTAAATTGGTCATTTCCACTCATGAAAATCCTTGTTATCAATAAGATTAATAATTCTAATCATGTTTCTTAAGATTACTAAATCTATCGTCTAATTGAATTATAAACAAAATAATAACTTAATAAAAAGAAACAAAAAGTAAATTTAATTCCTATTGAACATAAAATATAATAATTAAATATCTTAAAAACGTATTATAGAATACGAGTTTTAACTAGTTGAGCACATCTAAATGATTTTAATAAATAATTGAATATAATCTGAATGCAACTCTAAATTTAAAGTAAGTGAATAGGATATTCAATAAACCCTCTAAAAGCGAACAATAAGTTCATGAAAAGTATTAAACAAATGACATAATTAAGATAATTTAAATAATTAAGAAAATTTAGAATGTTTACTTCACTCAATATTTAAAATAAAGATTTTAAATTAATTAGAACGAAATAATTGAAAGCAAGAAAGCTTATAGAAAATATTTCTATATATATACGATTGCAATTATTAGCTGAATATATTAATAATAGGTAATTTATTATATATGTGGTTGATTAATTAATTTATGCATACTGAATAATTATTTTAGAGTATTGTATTATACATTAAATAAATATTTATTAATAATGTTGTAAGATTAGATATCTTTGGCAGAATTCGTGCTTTAGGAGGCAAGAGAGAAATGCTTTGAGATTGAAGTCAAGGCATTCAAATAATTTGAGAAGGAGAAAAAGCAAATTGTGGAAAAAGAGAAATCTAACATTTAGGAAGAAATTAATACAAAATATAAGAAGAAGGCTTAACAGGAGAGAATCAAACATAGTGCCCTTGTAAATGGTGCTAGAATGAGATTGATGAATGCCAGAAATCAAGCATTGACAAAGATTTTCTCTGATGTATATTTGCTTATTAATAAAGTCACAATATCAAATTTACAAAATGATCAGACAGGATGAAAGATTTTATGAGGAATTGTTAAAAAATTTGATGGTTCAAGGATTAATTAAATTATTTGAACATGAAGTTGTAGTGAGGTAAATGAATTCGATTATTCTTAAGATGTTTACATAGAGACATTAGACATGTAAGAAATGTAATAGATGATGCTATCTCTGAATTCTAAGATATTTTAAGAAAGGAATTGAATGGATTAGAATTTGAAGTCAAAATAGACATTGATGAAGATAAATGTCTGGATGAAAGAACACTTATTGACAATTCAATTAAAAGTGTTTAGGATTACTCATCACAAGAATCATCATCAGAGGTAAGAAATAAATCAATTTCTTAGGTCATATCGAAAACTGAAAATGATAAAAAATGTTTTGGTGGAATTTTGATGACCACCAAGGATGGTTTAATTGTTTGTAAGAATACCCTAGATGTTAGAACTGATTAGACATTCCAAGACTCATTGCCAATTATAAGAAGTACGTTGTTTGGAAAATGATGTCATTATTATATTGAAACATTTTATATTAATATTATTATTAATGTAGCAATCTGAATTTGAATCAAAGTTCAATGAAGAAATTCAATTCAGAGATCTTAGGTATCTAGAAATTAAAGCTGAAAAGACTTAATAAGAAAAATAGCATTTCAATTTATTTAGAAACATAGAAAACAACCAAATCAAGGCAGTTTAAGATTTAGAAACGCTTTACGAGAAGAAAATATTAATTGAGAATGAGAAATACCTTCAATTGGAGCAAATTTTAATCGAGGAAAGGTAGAAATTTCAAACAAACATGAAGGAATTAGAGTATGATTGTTAAAAATAAATTAAAGAGATTAAACAGATTTTTCTATAGGATTTATAATTTCTCTACGATGCTATAATTTCAAATAAAAATGAGAGTTAGACAGAGAAAAAACTCAACGATAAAATTGAGTTGGATGGGGAATTAGATAGTGGATTTCTAGACATTTATACTTAAAAATTATATTAAAGAATCTACGAATTAGAGAAAGAAATCCAATCAAAGGATAAGTAACTAATGATATATAAATCTGATAAATATAATTGCAAAGAAGTTGATGTAGTTCAATAACAATTGGAACTAGAAATATTAAAATAGAAGGAGTCTGAAAAATTCATTTAAGAATTATAAAATTAAAATAAAGAATTAATGGAGAAGATCAATTTGCATGAACAAGAATTATCTCATTGCAATGATCAAATTAAATAATTTCAAAAGTATATAGGAGGATTACAGAAATCAAAATTGGTACTAAGTTATAAAACTTATGAAATGTAAACTGAAATGGAACCTAAGGATAAGAAGATTAGAGAATTGTTAGAAAGTATACCAAAATTAGAAGACGAAATAAATGAATTGTCAAACAAATTAAAGTAATATGAAGAAAAAGATAAGAAAACTAGTAATCAAATCAAAGTTATGAACGAAGACATTGATAAATTAAAATAAAATTGTAAGAAATATTAAGACTTATCAAAATAAATAACTATGGATATATATAATTGCTATCATGAGAAGAAAGAAAAAGTAATCTTCTCTATTAAATTTAGGAATGGGTAGATTTTATTAAGTAAATGTACCAAAAATACCTGAGTAAAAATGATAAGTATGACGTTAGAAATCCAGAAAATGTCACTGAATAAGACAAAAAGGCAGAAATATCCATCAAACTATTTACTAAGGATATCACTTCCATGATTCACGAATTTAGAGAATCTGTAATCTATTCCAATTTAATTAGGATTGGCCCCAACAATTAAAACAATTGTATTAAAAACATTTCACCGGTGAAATCACTAATGAATTATGCAGACAGAATCAATTTTTAGTCAAATCCTCTTAAGAGAATGATAAAAAATTTAAGAAATTATTATTGTGGAGAGATTAAGAAATCTATCTAAAAACTCAGGAAAACACACATCTTTTAACTCATTTAAATTAGGTGCTTGAGAGGAAAAAGAGTTTGGAAGCTAAATTAGCTAAGTAGATATCATAATATGAATCCTTACTTAAGACACAAACTAGAGCCAATTCTTTGAAATAATATGAACAAAAGCGTAAGAGTCATCAATATGAAGTAATATATTGAGCATATAAGGGAAAGAATAGTGCAATTTTGTAAGATGAATCCAATTGGCAACATTTAAACCAATCAGTTGATTTGGTAAATGGGTAAATCACAAATAAATTCCCAAAAAAAGGTAAGTTAATAAGGGGTTAAAATTATAACAAATAAAACTTATCTCGGTTTGAATAACAACGCCAATCAGATTTAGTCACTTAAATAGAAATCTTGTAAACTAAAAATCAATGCTTAGAGCAATAGATCAAAACTTTAAGGACCAAACTGATTGAAGCTGGCCTTGATGAAGAAATAACACAAACTAACACCTAAAGACCTTACAGCTAGAAAGTAAAAAGAATGTGATCAAATGAAATACTTTTAGAAAAAATTAATTATTCTAATTTCTTATAGTCAATTAATATAACTAGGTTTGTATCTGGTTGTTTCTTCTAATTTTTACTTTTGAAGTGGATTCATCCTTTATGTGTTAATAAAGAAAGGGTTGTTTTCATCATTAGTTTTTTTGGAATAACTAAATATCATAGATTAAAAGTATACCTCATCCTTGTACTTGGGATATTATTTGTTAAAGGCACTTTTACCAATTTTTCAATTGAAGAGGATGTTTTGATCCTCAGTTCTTCTTCTTTTAAAGATGAGACTGAAAAAGCTACAATCAGCAGGGTCACATTGTCTGTACTCTTTCTTTATATGCTCTCCTTAAGCACTGACTCTACTGATGTGGATAATACACTATGTAAATTGTTTCCTGCCTAACAATTTAAGATATCTTTCCAAACAATATTCAGAACATCAGCAGAACTTAGTTTATCGAAAATACCATCACCTATTGATAAGATTGAATAATTTACTTCCTAAAACAATGAAATCATGTTCATTTGTTATTTTGAATTACTTGATTTCAGGTTCAGCAATAACAACTTTTGGATTTCCACCAAACTTCTCAAATTTAGCTTCGATATCTCCAAATGTCCTTGAAACTGACAACCTACCTGGATTAACTCTAACTGGTCCTAAAATCTGTATACCTTCTTCATTAATTCCATGAGTTTAGTACACAGATCCTCCACCTTTTACAATTCTTTCCTATTCTAATTCTGGTTTATGATCATGTGATAATGCAACAGCTTTCCTACCAGATGCAGTACTTAACACAGCTCTACTATCTCCAACATTTGCCACATAACAAGTATCTCCTATAACTAATACTACAATAGCACAAGATCCACTTCTTTCAGGTACTCCCTTATTATAGGATTCTTAAGCAATTTATAAAAAAGATTTTTCTGCTGCTTCAAATCCTTTTTTAATAGCACCAATTGGATTCCAAGGGAAATCTTGTTCTTTAACTACAAATTAATGCAAATTATCTCTTAGGAAATCAGCACATGCAGCTCCACCATGTCCATCATAGACTCCAAAAAATGAGCATTTAGGCCATTATTCTGTATTTCTACTTTGGGGTTTGAGAATATTTAATATAATGGAGACTCTATCTTCATTATAATCTCTAACAATCCCTTAATTCGTGTTTGCAGCATAAGCTTTGATAATTCCGTTTCTTTAACTTGAGCACTTTGTTGGCTCATAATTAGGCAATAGGCTTTGTCTTAAGAAGGAAGGTTCTTGAAGACTCTTGTATTAAACTTCATTGTGTTTTGAAGTGTATGATTGCTTTTTAATAGGGGAATGATCAAATTATTGATGATACGACAGATTCAAATATTCGAAGGGTTTCTTGGTTTGTCTATCCAACTACTAGTAATTAGATAAAAATGTGTTTAAATCCCTATGTCTGAACATCCTTTTTTATTTAATATTAATTTAATTTGAATTTAAACATACAACGAATATTTTAATAATTGTTTATTTAACATATATATCCAATAACATTTGAGATAATTAATACAGTCTTCATTCCTATTTCTTCCCATTGGTTTTGGCTTTGAACTTACTCTTCAATTTCAACAATTCATGCAAAGGCAACTTTTTGGCTTATTCAATTTGCTTCTTAACTGAATTGGCTTACTCTTACTCTTCGATCATAACTATGAATATCAATATGTTTGATTACTGCTTTATCTGACTCTAGTTAATTGAGTTTAGGTTTCCTTGATTCTCCCTTCATTCACTTGGGATAATTTCATCTGTATTGATTACATTTTTGCCTTTTTTACTAAGATAAACAGTTGATTGAACTTCTAGAACACTTTCTCAGATTCATAGTTTTAATAGTTCTCTCCATAGTGATCACATAATTTCTCATATAACTTTTATAGGTCCAAATATTCATTTTCAATCACTTTGTAATAATCCAACACTTCCTGCTAAAATGTTTGGTAGGTCTCATTAATATTCTAATCATTAATAGTGAGCATCTTCTCCAAATGTTTGAGACCAATCTTAATCTGATTAATTTCATTATTGAATATTTAAATCAATGAGAATTTAGATGCTTCCCCAATCAAATTCATCAATTGATTATTCAACAGTTAATCTTCAAATTCTTCAAATTTAAATATTGGTATGTTTTCCTATTCAGCTACGGTAATGGTGTAAATTATCAACGATGTTTCTCGGTCGTTTCCTTTTATCAAATTGAATTTTTCAATTGATTCTAATTTAAATCCTTTTATTACTTATATATAATTAATGATATCAAATACTTCCTTTTGGAGTGCTAATATTTAAATAGTTTCCAACAGCTAAACAACATAATAGGAACTTCTCCAAATATTTACATTATAATAATTATTAACATGTATTCTTAACCAATTACAATTTACTATCAATTGATTTCTTAATCTCAATGAAACTCATTTTGAAATTAATGGAACATAGTCTTTCTTCAAAAAATGGCATATCATATAATTCAACTAAGAATTTCTCTGGAATGTTCAGCTTTATTTGTTGACTATCTTTTGAGGATTTGACTTTTTCCAATTATTCTATTTCTTTTCCTTGAGGCAAACACTTCATCAGAGCTTCAATCTTCTCTCCATCCAAAAACTTAAGATCTATATTGCTTACAGCTTATATTACTAATTGACTAGTAAGTCTGTATTTGGCTATTACCAATTCTACGCTTCTCTAATCTTAATGATAAATTCATACCGATCTCTCTTAATTCAAAATTTGAATGTGTTAATTTAGGGTTGGTATTGATACTTAAGCTGGGATTTATTGTTGTTATGGAGCATTTACTTATTGATAAAACAATTCTTCTAACTATTCGAAATCCACTTTAATCGTTAAATCATCAGCATCATTCCAAAAACTCTATTCTATTTTTTACATTAAAACAGCCTCCCAATGTAATTATTTCAATTATCTTTTTGGTATTTTACGCTATTATTCTTATTTTAAATTGGCTAGTTTTTGTGGTAATGGTAAAGGTGGAGGAGGAGGAGGCTTGGTATCAATGATAGATAATCTTTTGATTTATTATATTCTGATTTCTTTTTCTTCTGAGGTTGGTCCACTCAATTGTTTGGCCATTTCAGCGAGAAGTTAATTATTGGCAGCCGTCAAATTTTTATTTATGAAGGTTAATTTTTCAAGTTCTTAGTTCTTATCTTGAATTGATTTTTCGAATTTGGTCACTTGATTTCGCTGATTATATTTGGTATATTTACTAAGGATTGATTCTCAAGATTTAAATTATTTAGCAATTTCTGTTTGACTTTGTCGATCGATTACTTTCGATCCATCAATTATTTTTAGACTTGTAACATATGTTACTATTAAACAATTACACTTTACGCCTTTTTCAATTCTGCCTTCAATGCAATAAGTTCTCATGTAAATTAACAATAGAATACTTGATTATAATCCAACTGCATTATCACAAGAATTATTACGAGATGACATAAAATTTAATATTTTATATATTTAATTTCAAAGCACACTGTCTTTAAGATCAGTAGCCGATACAAAAGTTTGGATTTCAGGGACAATCTATCTTCTCCTTTGAGTTGATTTCTCCTATTTCTCAAGTTGCTCAGTTTTGAATTATTTGAATTCTTCAGTCTTCTCTATTTGAGTGGTGACTTGTTGCAAAAGTTGCTCTTCTTGCAAATCTTCCTTGATGACCTGTTGATTCAACAAATTGTATAATTAGGAATTAGTCTTTCTCTTGGTTTGCATTTGAAACACCGAATTACTATAATAATAATGAATGTAGTCGTACATAACAAAGAAGAGTATAAACATGCCAACACAGATTGTAATAATGTATAGATTGGAACCATCTGAGAAAACCTTTAGATGCATGACTTGGCCGAGATGAAATCTTTTGGATGGATCAGGCATTTTCATATCTATGGGTTTGAATTTGATGTCTTTGACTTCATGAATAGTCTGAAAAGACTTTTTAAGATGATCGTATTCTTGGCCTTTGAGGTCTTCAGCTTAATGATAGAATTCCTTATAGTCCTTTTGTTCATTGGATTCTGCAAAGTTTTCATCGTAATCCTTGTAATTCTTACGAACGGATTCATATTCATTCTCTTTTTTGGCAGAACCTTCGGAATTCATTTGGACAGCTTCCCCTTTCATTACTTTGATCTTCTCAAAGGATTCCTTAATTAGAATGAATTGTTTTTAGGCAGACTACATATATTTAATGATCTTAACACAGGTGTTTTATTAATGTCTGGATGGTATTGAGCTGCCATTTTATAATAGGCCTTCTTGACATCTGGGAATGGAGTGAATTTATCAACTCCCAACACTTGATATGGGTCAATGGCAGATGAGAACTTGTACAGATTCCTGAGTCTAGTTAGAAACATAATTAAATTTTATATGAAAAGCAGCACAACATTAAAAGGAGTCACGAACACGTTCTAATAGATAGTGTTGTCAGCCAAACAAAAAGAAGAGCATGAACGTAGAAACATGAGCATTTTGGAGAAGGCAGCAACACTTTGGCAAAGAGATAGTTCGCACACTAAGACAATACAATTACAAAGGACTATCTACATTTTGAAATAGTACTCATAAAATAGAACAGATGAATAACTGGAAGCAGTTAAAACTTACTTCGAAGAAAACTTCCCCTATTATAGGTACAAATATAATTAATTAGATTAGTAAATTCAAGGAGAAGTTGGATCACGAAAGTTGCAAATCCCTATTCAGAGAAATGACTCTAGAATGGTATGATACCACCAAAATCATATTCAGACATGGTGATCCTGGGAGAAGGATGTATTTTGTCCTGCAAGGCGAATTGGTAATTTTAATCCCAAAAACCAAAAACACTTCAGAAAATCCACCTCAAAAGAAACAAAAATTCAAGTATAACTCGTTCTATAGTAGTTCTTTTGAAGAATGGGTCAAATATGTTTTTGTTGATTACACATAAGTTGCAACCAAAAATAGAAGGCGATCAATTTGGAGAAATAGCAATCGAACAGAAAGTTACTAGAACAGCCACAGTTGCTGCTAAAACTGAAGTCATTCTAGCTGTCATTACATATGATCTCTATTAAAGAATACTTGGAGCATTCTAACATGAATTGACAAATCAGAAGATAGCCTTCATTTCTAAAATACCTATCTTTAGTGTCTGGCAACGCTAGAATCAATTAGTTCTATTGCAAAGTTTAGAAGTTTAAAACAAGAAAGTTGGACAATTTGTTTTTTTAAAAGGCAAACCTGATGAATACATATATCTAGTAATCAATGGCGAGATTGAAGTTATTTAATGGTCATCACCCAATGCAGATTAGGTGTCTAACCATCACAATTTCGTCCCTAAACCCAGTATTATGGCCATTATCAATTCTGGCTAGTTTTTTGGAGATTACGAACACTTCAAACAACTCAGCTGCAGAATTACCACTGCCAAGGCCAAAACAGATTCTACTTACTACAGGATCAAATATCGCTAACTATTAGACTATTTTCAACTCTATTCATCAATTGACGATTTCCTTAAATATGAAAATGTCAAATTCTAGATCCAGAGTCATCTTGGATAGAGAACCAATCAGAATCCAGATTTGACTGAGAGAACAGGAGATGACACCTATCAATTTGATCTAGATTAAATCAAATCGTCGTATTATAAGAAAATAAAAGTTGAACAATAAATTGACAAATTGAAAAAGAAAATGGAAAAAACAGTCGAATAAGCACAGAAGGCTATTTATTATTATGAAATAGAAAACCTTAAGTAGAGCATTGAAAATATTGAGACTATCCAAGCAGATAAGTACTCCTTCTTAGTTCCTTTCAGAAGCGATCCATATGTAAATGAAATGAATCTCATCAGATCAGGAACCAGGAATTAAAGAAACAGATTATTACAGCAATCTGAAAGCGATCTGAGAAGCAAGGACTTGCAATTTAGTCTCAGATCCAGCATTAAGACTCAAGGACAAATTAGATCTTAGAGTTAATCCAATTTAAATTCCTTATCCTATGCTAAGATCATGTAGAACAAACTCAAAAAACTATCGATTAATGTCTAACCCACCATTGAAATCAATAAACCTTAGTTTACTTAATCTAAAACTACCAAACCTGAACATCATCCTACGAATGTTGAAAGCATTCACAATGTCAAAATGGATTTTACTCCTATATCTAACTCATAATTATTCACCAAAAAAAAACATTAAGGAAGTGTATATAAGTTCTAAATTAAATCATCATACTGATTATATATTAATATAATTTAAATTAAAAATATATAAATGGATTAACTAACAACAGTAACTAGTTTCAATGGTCCTCTCAAAAATGATGTCTAGAAGTTTGTTTAATCCACATTGCAAAAAGAATTGGATAAATCAACATATGATCACAATGATGCTTAACTTAAGAGTAATAAAATCTGTGATTCAATTTTGAAACATTTAACAACTCAAAACAAAAATTTCAAATTCATTGTTAACTGCCTCCTAATGTAGAAGGCTGAGTGTGGTCTCAACATTTCTGGGTCTTGCTTTTGGGATAACGAAACTGATGGATCACTCACCATCAAACATGAAACTGAAGCAATTATAGGCATAGTTAATGTATTTGCTTGTGCCCTATGACACATATAAATATATATTATTATAAATGGGCAATAATTCCACGTAAATTGGTAATGGCCATGGATACAGAATCATATCCATTGAACCCAATTCATTTGGATCCAACCTCAGTATTGTTCTCACATTATACTAGATTTGGAAATCTTTCTAGATTATATCATCCACATCAAATCTGATTCCCAAGTGAATGCCATCAAATTGTTAGAAAGTGATGAACCCATAGAGTTGTCTATTTTTAATATCTTCTCATTGGAGACCAGAAAAATCTATATCTCAGAGCCGCGATCCACAATCAAATTGGGTCTCTTGATCAGATACGAATCTATTAATCCATTGATTCTGCACATCACCAAAGTATTGAAAGGGAGTCCTGCAGAATCAAGTGGACTCAAAAGCAATTAAGATTATCTCCTAGGAGTCAAATCTCATAGGTATTAAACTATTGATGAATTCTCAGATATCGTAACAGGATAGGCATATTCGAAATAATCAATTGAAGTAATCATTATATCCCATCATAAAGCTCTGCATATTTTCACCATTGACTAAAAAGTCTCCCAGAGTTGTAGTGTTAGAACCAAAGTATAATTGGGGTGGACCAGGAGCTTTGGGATGTGAATTTGCCTCAGGAGCTATACACTCTTTCAACTTTTCTCAATTGATTAAAGCCTAAGATGGTGAAGAATCCAAGGAAGTGATTAAAAATGAAGACTTCTAATCATAATTTAGTAAAGAATCAAATTAATTTTAATAAATTGAAAATCAGGATATTGAAATAAACAATTAAGAGAATTTATAATCAGAGTTCAAATAATAAATCTATTTGGAAAAAATTAATGATCCTCAAGAACATTCCATTGATAAATCATAAAGTTTATCTAATTCACAAAGTACTTTATTCCAATTAACATACATAATTAGCGAATCTAAATTAAATACCAAAACAGATTTCTAATAATAAAATGAAGAAGCTTCTAATCTTGAATAACAACAAATAATCAATTAGGTTGAGCTATTGAAGTCATAAAATATTCAAGACAACAGTGATGATTTGGATAATCAATAACAATAACATAATTAATAGATTTAATCTGATATTCCATAATCTGAAACCCATTCTAATTTAAGATAATAACAATAGGATGATGATGTAGATGTAAAGTAAGAATTTTAAGTTAAATAAACAAATAATGAAGATGGTGACTTATAATAACAAAATGAATAATTAAACAAATCCAATTTGCAGGAGAACGAAAGCGAGATAATAGGTATATTACAATAGTATGTAGAAGCTTAACCTTAGCCAGATGTTTCTTAATAGGAGAATGACTCTAAAAAAGTTGCTGTGAAATATGTTAACCAGTTAGTATTTAAATCTCCAAAGAGAGACAAAATGTATGTAGTTGATAAAACTCTATTGTTTGACATCTAATTTGAAGTACCAAAATATTATGTAAATATTTATTGATGTGATTGTATAATATCTATATGTAGATTGCCATAATTAAATATATTTGATTAGATGAAATTCCTTTTTGATTTAATTATATGTTTCACTGAAGATTATATCCTCAGATTTTATTGCACATAATATACTAAAAGTATATCTGAGTAGGTAAATTCAGTCAAGTAATAATATCAATGGATATATTTTATTTCTATCATATTTATTCTAATCATTATATGTAATCCAATGTGTTAAATTGGAGTACTTATAAACTATGCTTTCTTAATAGAGAATTAAAAAATTCAAATATTTAAGAGCATCAATAAATTTTAAATTAATATTTGATAGGTGAAATTACAGATTGCTAATTATTCATAGATTTTCTTAAATGGTAATCAACTAATTATTGGTATTCATAAGACTAGTTTTTTAAGGAGTATAAGTAATTAATATATGTGATGAATAAGATTCTGTACTTAGCATGATGGTAATATGTTGAAAATGAATATTATGTTAAAATGAAAATTTGAATATTCTATTAGATGACAATGATTATGGGTATAATCATTCAGTTAGACAACCTATTGACTAAACCTATTAAGCAGATAATTATGAATGATATTTATATATATAAATTTAATTATAATATTATTCGTTATTATTTGTTTTAATTTTATTCTAATATAGGAAATAATATTTATTTATGTAAATAACACCTAAAGCATTAACAGCTTTACAGAAACTATTGTCTGTTAATTCGCCCATTAATCCTCACGAAATCCGCAATCAGGAGCACTCAGACTCTAAAAGCAATTAGAAATCCTAGTAGTGTTAGAGTAGTTGTCAATAAGATGGCATTAACAATAGGCTAAAATAAAAATTTATGAGTCCTCTAGAAGGAATAGAATCACTTTTAAGACATAGTATAAGTAAAGCCTCAGTAAATGGCAAACCTTAAGGAAATGTGAAAAATGAGTTAATTAATGTTTTAAAATAAAATCAAAATGTAAAAGAAAATACCATAAAAAGAAATGGAAATTCATTAAATTAACTGCTTTAACCTTAAACGAATGCACCTTAAAAGGAATAGAGTGCAAAAGTTGATTATAAAAAAAAAAGACCTCCGCAACTAGGCGATATTGTTTAAGATGATGATAATGCTTAATAAAAAAAAGTTACTACATCGAAAAGTCTGTAAAAGAGTCCAAACAATATCAATAAAATTGGATCAGGTATATCATTAAATTTATCCTTCAGGCTTTTTTACTAGCACTCATCAAAAATAAACTCATATGAATGTATTTGGGTCATTAAACGAAGTCCTACGATAGTATATTCAATAATAAAGCCATAAAAGACGTAAGAGATTAATTTATATTAGAGAATGGTACTGATCGAAATCAAGAAGAAAAAAAAGTAAACGAAAATAAATTGCACTCAGCTTAAAACAAAAGGATGTCATAATCACTATAACCCAATTATAGCAACCTTCTCTAAGAATTATATTTAAAAACCACAAAGATTTTAACTACTTACCAAACCAAGGAAACTCTATGGAAGTAGGAAAAGAATAGTTTAAAAGAGGAAGTTAAATTTTTAAAATAGTTATTATAATAATAACAAGAAGAATCTAATTAAAAATATCAAAAATGAATCAAAATTTTTGTTTATAAATTATAATACTCAAACTACTTATTAGTTCTTAATTTCTCAATATTTATATGGAAATGAATAATTGTCTATATAAAAGTCTTATTAATAATTTTACATTTGTTGAATTTCAAAATAGATTTTACAATTGAATTAAACAAATTAATTTTTATATATTGTGATTTTAAACAAAAGGTTTATGTTAGATAATGAAATAGACATCCTCATTACAGTCCCAGAATTCAAGAAAAATGAGGATTCAGTCTAATATCGAATTTAGTAAGATATCTATCATATCAAATCAGTTTTCAAAACTAAAAATCAAATTCAGGATTCGAAAATCACTACAGATACTCAGAACTCAAAAGATTTCATGAAACCCTTCAAACATTAAAAACTGAATTGCCTGTCTTCCCAAAATCCTATTGGTGGAAATCTGTCAACTCTAACACTTAACTTATTGAACAAAGAAGATAAATTCTTGATTCCTATTTCCAAAATTTGACTTCAATCAAATTAGTTCGAGAATCCTTGATTTATAAAAACTTTTTGTTAGTTGCCCTAAAAGAAAGTGATAAAAGAGTATAAAAAGTAAGTTCATATCATAAATTAAAAGGAGAACAAAGAGAGAGCAAAAAGATCTGAGAATTAAACTAGAAAGAAAACAAAACAACTTGGTTAATTTATTACTCCTGTACCGAATCCTGTGAATATGCCACCAACTCCTGAAGATAAAAGATCCTAATCTATGGAGCATAAGCCTGTAAATAGCTAATAAAGAAATGAAAGGAAAAGGACGAGCAAATAATAATCACCTGTATAATAGCAACACTATTTAGGTACTTAATTTTGGTGGATCTAAAATCTTCAGAGGAGTATTGTCAAATGCTGCTAAATAATGAGTATTCAATTAAAAAATTATATGTTAAATATTAATTATGCAAAAATATTCATAAATTGCGGCACTATTGCAATAATGTCTTGATAGAAAAAGTACTTTGAAATCAATAATACTGAAGAGCTCTTCCAATCAGTCATTTGTTAGGTAGGCTTATGCAATCATCAGTAAGGCTATTCAATATTACGACTAATTATATTAAATTGTGGAGGAAATTAAGTCCATTCAATATATCGACATATTCGATTACAATTTGCTTATTGTTTTGATGCTCGATATATTTAATCCATAAAACAAAAAAGCTAAAAAAATGGGAGGAGTAGTTGCAAGATATCTGAAAACTCACAAAGTATTAATAAAATAATTGCTTGAATAAAACAAGATCTATGAATAAGAGAAAAAATACATATATATCAGAGCCTTACAGCAACTACCATTTGAATCTGTTCAAGATGAGCACATACCAAACTTATGCAAAGTGGATTACGACATTTATTCACAGTATTTATCCAAAAACCCTGAGTTTTTGAAAGGAAACACCTACATAGTTCAAAGCAAATCTAGTGCATTGCCAGCTTATTTATTATTAAGGAATATTAAAGATAAAATAGCTGATATTATTGATTGTTGTGCAGCTCCAGGTAACAAAACAATATAACTTTCACATTATGCTAAACAAAACAATATTACTGGTAAAATATATGCAATTGAAAGAGATGAAAAGAGATTTGAAATACTGAAAAATAGATTAAATAAATATAATTGTGATAATGTTGAACCATTAAATTTTGATTTCTTAACAATTAAACCTCAAGCTTATCCAAACATTAAAATAGCCCTATTGGATCCATCTTGTTCAGGCAGTGGGATGCTCTAATTAAGAATGATAGAGGCTTCAAAGGATGATTCTATTTAGGTTCCAGAAAATAAAAAAGAATAGGTGACTCAATTATCATAATTTCAACGAAAAATGTTACATCACTTAACATTTTTTAAGAAGTTAAAGTTGATCATCTATTCAACTTGCTCTTTATATAAAGAAGAAAATGAAGATGTTGCTAATAACTTTTTGGAACATCATTAAAAATGGGAATCTGTAAATTTATTTCCAGAATGGCCATATCGTGGAATCGATAATAATTAACATTACGTTCGTGTTCCTCCAAAAGAAAGCGATGGATTTTTTGTAGCTATGTTTAAAAGAAAAGAATGATAGATATTTAATTGTTTATTCAAATAATTATTTTTGACTTACAGCGTTTAATTTCTATTTTAAACCTTAATCTTTATTACTATTTTGTTATGCAAATATTATCATACCTAAATTTAAAATTCTCTATAGGTTCATATTTTAAATAATTTATTATTATAATTTAGTCTTTAAATAATTAAAACTTCGAATTATAAAATGGATTAAGAATTCCCTTAAAATAATTTATAACACGAGTGGAATTTTGAATTATCACAAGCAGAGGAGCATACTCTGTTATCTAATCAAGACCATTACTTTTTTGATATGAACTTTATGATTTTACCAGATATTTTGGATAAGATCACAATTGAATTGAACATCAATCTTTAAGTGATATCTTCATAATAGTATCAAAAGGAAAGATAAAAACTACTATTTACAATGCTTAAATATTAGATTGGTTTGGATATTCTGATAAAATTGGTTTATAGGCGGGATTAATCACCTTTAAATGGTTATTACTACTTGAAGACGCTTGACGATATGGCTTATGTGATATATAATTTGCAGAATGAATTATTGAATTTGATGATTGAGCAGAACATATGTTTATTATAAATATCAAATCGCATAGTGAAACTCTTTAACTCTGTATTAAGTATGAAATACATTTGAAAATAGATCGAAAAAAAAAGGAGGTCAAGTAGTTGTCTCCTTCTAACATAGTATAAAAAGACCTTGAAATATTAAAATAGAAATTTAGCAGAATAAATGACATAAATTGTGTTTTGAGACACAATGGATTTTATATACATAATTGGAGAATGATTTATGACTTTTTGAATGCACCTTAATATAAGTTATTGAAGAAGGTGATTCTTTATAGGACAGAAGTACAATAGATGTTATAAGAAGAGTCTGAAAAACAACTATTAAGATTGATGTCTATGTTAACAATTTATTAATAAGAATTAATCATAACATACATTTAATCTACTTAATTAAGCTAAGAATAATAATAATAAGAGATGCAAGAAACAGAAATCGTAAGAGGGAAATATGCTCAACTTTATAAGGCACTATTCCTAATGGACACAGATAAAGAACAATAATTGCCTAATATTTTCAAACTCATGATGTTATACTATTTTGAAATTGAGAATTGGAAATTATTAGTAATAGAAGAATTGATGGAATCGCATAAGGAATAAGATGCTTATGAGTTATTATTAGCCAGTAAAATAAATTGGAATTCCTTAAGTAACAGCGACATTATAATTAAATTATTGATTGCATCTAAACGATCTTTGTAAGCTTATGTTTATGTCACAGAATTGAAAGAAGAGTAAGCTTTAAAATATTTCATCAAGCAAATGATAAATTAAAATGATATTTTGAATTTATTACAGGTAGAATTTACACCTGAATAAGACAATGTAGTTAATGAAATCGTTAAGAATTTGGCAGAAAAGGAAGTTTTAATAGAATTTGTGAAGAAATTATTAATTGCAAAAAAGTATTTTCATGCTATAGAATTTTATAAAAAATTAAATTAGACCCACTTCCAACTTGGTTTGGAAAGAATTGAAGAAGTAAAATACATTCACTAATTTTTATAGTTAATTAAGAAATATATTGCTTAACTTCCTGAAATTGAGGAGAATTACTATCTGGCAAAGATGTAAGGAAAATAATTGACAGAAGATGAATTATTGATTGAAGCCATTTTAGATAATCAAGAGAAAACAAATGACCAACAGCAATATTAATAACCAAGAACTATATAATATTTTGTAGAATAACCAATTGTGGATTATGAGAGGGTAATTAATTGTTGTGGATGGATCAGAGAAAGCCATTTAGGTATAATATTTTGAATTTATAATTTTATGTGATTAACATATTACAAATCATTATAGATTTCTTATATTAAATAATGATCTATTTTTAATAATAATATTCTCATTTGTTAATGATTTTCTCATATGATTATTTATCCAATAATGTATCTAATTCTGATTCATTTTACACTTTTGCTTACAAAATCCATGTTTCTTCAGCCTTCTCATTTATCAAATTTGGAGAGTCCTTTAAATCTTCATTAATCTAATAATAAACAAGTTAATTACTCCAACAATTTCGCCAGCAACAGGAGCATAGATGTCAGCAGCAACTTTGACACTTTCAATCGCTCCCAATGATTGGTGTGTTTTGAATACCAATCCCACTTTTTGGAAATCTACATGAACTATATCTCCCAATTCCTTTTATGCATAATCTGTAATTCCAATTTTAGCAATCTTTGTTTGTGTGTCATATTTAATCCATTCATGATCCTTTGTGTATTTAGTTAAGACTTAGTTACTCACATTAAATATTTACCTGAAAAGGCTTATCTCAATTTGAAAATGGATCTCATGTACATTTTGAATAAAAATATATTTATGTTAAATATCTGAACAAAATAATCATAAGAAGCCCCTACACATCAATACTTACATTCTCAGTCTCTCCTGAACCTTTATCCTTACTAGATCTCGAACTCGTTTATACTACCCTAAACTGTGAGGCTAATTGAATTAATCGTTTTCTGTCTTAATAAGTAATTAACTTGATCATGAAATTTAATATATTGAGAATAATCATGAGAATCTTAAAATTACGATTGCCTCTATTTTGTTATTTCTTCAAGTTCTCTAAATGAAAATTATGATTACCTCGAATTTCCACTTCATAATAATAATCAATAATTATCAATAGATCATGCAAAATCTGCTTTTTCTTAAATTTAACATTCTAATCTCAGTGATTCAATTTAATTTAAGTCCAATATTCTTGCAAAGTCATCAGTAACATTTCAAATATATTTAGAGTTATAATTATTAAAATATGTTTATAATAATTTTTAGATATGCTTTATTAGAACTTTAGCAATCTTAAATAAAAATTAGAACAATCATCTCTTTAATATATGGATCGTTAAGACTTTATATCAATTGCATACTTTTAGAGTTAATACTCTATTTATCATATATTTTTGTAAGAATTAATATCAAAAAGTGAAATAGTTAGTGCGAGAATTTAATGTAAAGATAATCTACAATAATACATCATAATTAAGTTATATAATTATATTTATAAATAAGACCAATTTATTAATAAGAAGGAAATTCTTAAAATTTAGGAACTTGTTTATTTTGAGAAATTTTATAAATTTAAATTACATTCCACCAAGATTGTAAGGGTGAATTATTTGATATATCAAGAACTTTCAAATTTCCTATCATAAAATATAATGACTAAAAATATATATATATGATTTCCTTAAAATATCAATAAGTTAAGGTTATTCAGATAAATTCAATGTGATATCTTAATATTTTGATTAATATATGCATAAGTTTATTATATAACTGATTTTTTAAATTTAAAGTAAGCGCTAAACAAAAATTTTAATCATTTACTAATAAAAAGAATATATTCTGTAAATTGCCTGATTTAAGATCATTAAAACTAATCTTATCCATAATAACAAAAAGCAAAATTGAATGATATTGAAATTTATTGAAATTTAACCTTTTATATAATCATAATTCAATTTCCGAAAATATATACCCAGAATTCTTAGTCTTGCGTATAATTTTCAGGTAAAAATATAATAGCAGTAAAAAAATCAATGAAAATAGTACATAAACTGATGGACCAAAGTTAAAATGAAATTATGGAGGCAGATAAAATTTAATGTTGTAAGTACCATTTTAAAATTCGTTTAAGCAAAATATGGAAATATCAATATAATTTTATCGTGTATTAGCAAGACAATTTAGAATCCAGGTACCTATTGAGTAATTATATATAGATTTATTATAAAAGTATAAGGATGTTCCATATTGATATTATTAATTGACAATCATAGCATAATCCGTTATTGGAGTATTGAATGAACCTTACATTAAAATGGGTTCCAATAAATTTCCATCTAAGAGATGATTCAAATAATAAACTCCAATTATGTTTGTTTTATTATATTGAAATTGTTGCATCAACACCCCATTTTAATAAAATGAATTGCCATTATTGCTTGAATTGCCATAATTAGGAATAGTTCTAATTGCAATACCTGAGTAAGGTTAATAGCCTGATTTTTAAAACTATTTTAATCTTATTTCTACTATGGAACTAAAATAAATATTCCCCACAAGCATTGTTAGACTTTGAGTATATTTTTATATAATTTAAACCAAAGAATATGATATTAATGGCTCATAACAAACTTACTATTAATCACAATAATAAATTATAACAGAAATTGGTTCTCGTATTTTGATTTCTGAATCATCAATTAACATAATTCTACCAAATATTTAATAAGCTTAAGCATAGAAGAATATTATTTTTTAAGGTATATGATTTTAAATCTGTTACTGTATTTAGACAATTGAGAAATCATTACATACAAAGAGATCTTCTGCAAATTCATTCGTGTTATCTATCTCCAATATAATGTTGTAAGATTAGTAGAACCAATACAATTATTATAAAGAATTTTCTAAGGTACCTAAAATAAAAATTTAGTTTAAAAGAGTGCTCATTTTTTAAATATTTTAAAACCTTACTGAAAGTTAGATAGTATCAACTAATACGATATCGCCCTCACAATTTAAAGTAAAATTAAGCAAGTATTATGAAGTACTATTCTCACAAATTGAATATAATGTATAATCATCTGATGCTGATTTTAAACATTCCTTTTATTTTAGATTTGAATAATTAAAATTTGAGATGTAATTTAAGCCACTATTTACAATTTATAAGTGTGAGTTATTCTGTAAAGCAAAACATTAGTTTTTTATTGAAGTAACTAAGGAGAAATTGCTTAAATTGGGAATGCTGCTAGACTAATGAAAAAATTGTTAAGTTATACTGCAATATTTGTTAAAGTCATATGCTGAAGTAAGATTTGTTGATCCGCAATATCCAACCTGCCTATCAAGAATTAAATTCATTGGATATGAGAAATTTTTGGATCCAGGAATTATATTATCAAAACTTAAATTTATTGATAAATTGCTTTAATTTAAAAAAACTGTGAAGTTTGAATATATAATAATACTTTAATTAGGAGTCTACTATAAGGCTTTGTCATTTAATGCTGAAGTTACAGTATAGTTATAAATATATTATGGGTAACTTATTGAATAGTTAAACACTTGATCTTATGATTCCACCGATGTCTCATATTTTTAAAATTCATAAAGTTCATAAATCGAATTATTTGAAAGCAGCACCATTGAAAATAAATATTAGTATTGAGGCTAATAAATATAATAACTTGTAATTGCCTAGCTACATAAAATTGGTGAAGAAAAATTAAGCATATAATACAAACTCTAATGATATGGTAACGAAGGATTATAAGCATAAACAGTGTAATTACTAAAAGTAACATATAGGAATATGCTATCAGATGATATTTTTATTACATTTTCAATATTCAAGCTATAAAGGTTCTTTACATGATAGGATTTTTGTAAATATTACACATTCCAAACTGAAAAGCAAAGATTTTGACCATTATTACATAGATACGATAAAATTAACTAATGATTTATTAAATTTATCTATTTGATTGTGAAATTAACTTGAATCAAGGAAATTGGTATTGGTAAGTTATTTTAATTAATAGAAATTCTGATAACCTCTTGTCTATTGTTGATATATAATAAGGATGACTATAATTGTGTATTCATAACAATTTATATTGGATTAAATTGAATGTTTCTGAAAAATTTACTTATTGATTATTAATTTAAAGTGATGATATTCGTAAATTGAAGAGTCATTATTTAAATTTCTTCGTTTGGAAATAGAATTATAATATTATTATAAGTAACTAAAAAATCTGAAAATTATTATTGAAAAGTATTATTTGAATAGCTAATTAATCTATTGGTATCATGCTAGTATTAATATAAATAGATTGTATTATTAGCTCTTAGTCCAATTAGTATTACTAAAGGAAATATGCTATAGCCAACTTATAAGGAACTTGCGTTTGCTGATGTATTAATTGAAGATATTATTGTAAATTAGTACCCTGATTCTGGACTTGTCACTTAGTTTAACAGAATATCAATTGAATAATTATTATAACCTATTAAAATTTATTGAGAGTAATATAATGACATTGACAATGATTAAACTAATGAATAACTTTGATTAATTTATCCAGCTTATTGTTAGGCTATTAATGTAAAATTTAAAGGTATTCCTATTGGATTTTGTTGATATTATAATAATTACCCTGAAAAGCTAACAAAAAAACTCGTAACTTTAAGGTTCAACGAAGTTTAATTTTAAGGAAGATATTAATTAAACATTACATATACATTTGTATCATTCTAAGATAATTCTTAAAGATACACCTTGGAGAAGGTAAATTATCCCTTATTCTGACATTTAAGTAAAAAAGTATAATTATTTCCTACATTTTCCAAGTTAGTTAAATTGACTTATAAGGAAGGAAATTAAATTTTATAAACAGTTATCTGTGAATTAAACACAAATAATTCATTAGCAGAATTCAAATATATTAGGGAATTAATTTAGTGATTTAGTTCGTATGAAACTACTCCATTCGACTATTTTTCTTGAATTGATATAGTATCATTTAATTTATATATAATAAATTAGTTATTTTATAGTATCTTTGAAATAGGCTCAAAGACAAATTAGCAATCCTTATCTATCATCAGTACTTAGTTTTCGCATCCTAATAGTGAAATAATGCAAATTTCTTAATAAGGTAAAGTTTACATTAATAATATTTGATCGCATTAAGAAAAAATCTATAAATCGTAATAAACATTAATACAAGTAAAGTTATTCATATCATTGTAGCTAAATTAATTTTTTAAACATAATTGAGAATCTGAAGATATGGTTAATTAGAATAAAACTTGGTTAGTAATTATATAAATATTGGGACTTATTGTGAGGGGAATATCAAAATCGACGAATTAATTAGTTAAGCTACTTTCATTTACAAATTATGATGAAAAGAGTGAAAGTATCGAATAATTTTCAAAATATTAGGCGTATACTATAAAGGCATTTGTTCCATTAATAATTGATTATATTTTAGTTGAAGAAGGTGAAGATGATTATATTGAATAAGCAATGATTGATTACGCTTCCATTATTTGAATAAAAAGCAATTGATTATTCTAATAACAATCAATCAAAATTTTAAAATCATAAGATAAATTGATGTTAAAGCAACTAAATGAAGCATCTATTTTCACCGATTCCCCAACTTATTCAAATAATTAATCCTTCCATTGATAAATATATACTTCATTTTAAAATGATAAAGTACCAAAATGAGTATTATTTGACGACATTGAGATAAATTCTACAATAATATTCTTAGTATTTTACAATTCCCTTATATTTAGTATATTTCTTCGCATAAGTTCATTATTTATACATTTGGGACATAAGGATCAATTTTGCATATTAATTATTAATCCAATACCGTAGTATCAATATAGTATTCAAAAAACTCTCCTTCTGTCGGGTACAAAGAAATTGCTTATTCTTTTGTGAAACTAAACTAAGGAAAAGCGCCCATTGTATTCATTACTAAGATAAATATTATCATGGAAAAAATATTAATGAATTGCCATTAGTTTTAGAAATTCATAATAAATTCACTAGAATCACTAATTAAATAATAATATCTATCTAATATATATTATTATCAGAATCAAGAAGGCTCCGATTGTATTATCTACTTCTTTTACCAAAATTGAATTTTGGTGTAATATTCATTTTAAAGATTCTCCATCTCCATAACTATTATTGGCAAATCATTAAATAATTCGTTTATATCTTTGTTATATAAATTGTCTTATCACTCTTTGATTCTTGTGGATTCTTTGTTCTTTAATTAACTTTTAATGAATTTAGTATTTTGATTCAAATTATTATGATTATATTATAAAGTCACCTAAGCTTAATAGCTTTAATCTTTTTTAATATTTGCTTATTATTTTTGTTATTATTATTTATAAATGTCATTACTTATTAAATGAAACTTTATTTGAAGATTGCCAATTATTATTATATGTAAAGCTAAAAAGTAATTTAGCTGATTGATATTTATCGAAATCCTTTAATAGATGTGTCTTTCATCTTTCTAAGTACTTAGTTAAATTAAGATTCCTAAATAAAAATGAAATTGTAGATAGGGGACAATTACTCTACTTCTCTTATTCTTCTAAGATTAGTTGGAGTATTCCTTAACAATTCAATCCTACATATTCTCATTTATCTCAACTAATTCAATTAATGATGATCATCATCCAAAAGCTAAGGTATATTTAATATAAATAATATATAAAAGAAGCCTTACATTAAATCAGATTTAATTAATTAAATATAATATTAATTATAATTTTAATCTAAAGATTGTTAAATTAAAAATTAAAAATCCCTCCTAATATTGTATTCTTAGTATATAAAAATATAATTTATAAATTGTCCCCCAATAGAATTTTAAGAAATAATAAATTTAGAAAATCAATTATTCAATCAATGAGCAAGCTGACTTTGTCGATTAAATATGTCCAAACATAATTTAAAATTTCTTTTTAAGCGAATGAAAAGACAATAATCGGAGAGCTCAAATAATATTCTGTTGACCGTCTGAGCAAGCTTCAAAAAGTAAAAAGTGCTTGTATTATTCCTTTAGCTAGTAAAAATCGGGTTTGAGAACATACCTTTGAATTTTGAGGCTACGAATTACTTATTAAAAGACAATTAGGACAGTATTTTGGATGATGATGATCTAGTGCTAGATTTGATTAAAGATAATGAAACAATCCACTTAGTATTCATTCCTTCCTTAAATAATACTGTTACATAACCATAACCATAAACGTAACCACAAACATAATAATAACCATAACAATAGCCATAACCATAAAAATTAACATCATTATTTTCTTAATTCTCAACACAACCATAATAAGCTTTTGGATTTAACTAAAAGAGTCTAGCCTCTTACTCAAATAAACCTAAAGCAATTCCACTTTAAGCATCATAACCTGTTTCTAATCCACAAGTTTAAATTACTTCTTCAGATACATTATTAAATAATGATTAATTGAAAGAATTATAACAGAAATTTTATTTAGATACTAAAAACATTGAGAACGCCTAATGGATAGGAGAATTAGAATTGCTTTTAAGATTTATCTAAGCTACAGATATCACAAAGACCTATAAAGTTAAATGCAATTTAGAAGACTCATTAATGTAAGTATCTGAAATGGTGTGCAATGGTTTATAATTATAAAAAGATCATGTAGCCTGCTTCTTTAGCTTAAATGGGCTTCCAATTTGTGCATCCTTAAATTAGATGCACAATGTAAAGGTTTCGGAATCATTAAATTGTTTAAAGAATAAAGAAATATTTGTCATAATTACAAAATGTAAAGTAGGATAGCCTTCTTTACCTAAGATAGATTCTGAGTTAGGAGAATAATAGATCTTTATTCAATATTCTGGGTCTAAATCTATCAAAGTGAATATTTTGACAACAACCGTATAAGAATTAAAATAGAAAGTATATCATAAACTCAATATTCCAACTCCATTTCAATAATTAATTTATGTAGGTAAAGTGTTGGATAACGCAAGCACCTTAAAGGATTACGGAATACAAAATTTAAGCAACATTATCCTAACATTTAAAATTTTAGATTCTTATCCATTCTAATAAAGTTACAATTATAATTTTCATCTTCCTTGGATGAGTCATCTAAGAGAATAAACAGAGATCGGATTACAATAATTTAGATCAGTATCACTAGTATTCTTTTCTAAGCAAAAAGAATCAAATATTATGGCTGTGATAAGGAAAGTTTCAATGTGTAATGCCCCCCTTGTATTAGCATGTAAACTATTCTCTCAAAATCTGAGATCTTCCTAATTATAATGCATAGCATTTGAGGTTGGTATGTAACGTGTTATTTTTGATCTAATACTTTCAAGTCAAACTGTACCAGAAACCTTCAAAATTAATAAAATATTTGAATATTCAAGATACTTTTATGATTAATTCTTGAATTGGTCATTGAAATTAAATTAAGATCAGGTTAAGTTATAAGAAAGATACAGATTCATTGATTCTATATGTAGCATTACATTAAAGAAAATTAGTAATCCAGCTTATTTATCAGAATAAACGGAAGAAGATAAAATAGATTTGGAAACTTGTTTAGTAGTTGATTATGATCAAATGCAAATTAAAATTTAAAATAATGAGGTTAATTAAAAGCAGGTTCCTTATGCATAACTAAAATTATTATAACCAGATTAACTATTAGAGGATTTCGATTTAATTAAGTTGTAAGAAAGAGAAACTCTGATTTGGTTACCATAAGCTTTTATTGAATTTAATGATAGTAAATTTGAAGTAACAAATGCTTGGATTTAAAATAAAGCAGTATCTAATCATTTGACTTTAAAACTATATAGTGGAATTGAATTAAAAAATTAATAGACCGCTCCCTTATTGACAACAAGAAAATCAGACGAATTCCTTATTTATTCAGGTCCCAATAAGGATGTCAAGTAACCAATTATCATATTTAATGTAATGACTGGTGAATCCACACCTATGAACCCAGATAAATTGGCCGTTCTATAATAAATTGGTTCTATGCCTTAAAATGATGATGATGATGATTCTGAATAAAATAAGGAAAAAGTGTTGGAACCTAAGATTACTAACCCTCCTAATGAGGCAATAGTAGTTTTACTTGACATATCAGGTTCTATGGATGAGTTATATTATGATAGTGAAGATCTGACTAGAATGGGAGTGGTTAAAGCATTTTTCAGTACATTTGCTGATAGAACTATGGCTTATGATTTGAAGCATGTAATCTCTTTGGTATATTTTGATAACAGAATCATTGAGAAATGCTCATTCACAGAGCTCTTTATATTGTTTAAGGATTTAGTGAATAAGGCTCAACCTACTGGTAGAACTAATCTATACAGGGCTTTGAAATATGCTGAAAATCAATTATTAAAATTCAAGCAAACATATCCAAAGTGCTTGTTAAGAATTATTGCTTTGACGGATGGATAAGATAATGATGTCAATCCTTTGGATCCAATAAAGGTTGCAGAATCCATTTTGAAAAATGAAATCTTTTTAGATTCTTTTGTTGTATCAGATGATTGCACAGATTTAAAGAAGATAACTAAGGCCACTGGAGGACAATGTTTCTCTCCTTAAACAATACAAGAAGGATTGAAATTATTTGAATTTGAAACTATTTTGTCTGCTTCAATTAGAAAAAAGTAAAATAAAATAACTCTGAAACAATTAAGAGATACTTTTAAATTGAAAGATTCATAAATTGATTTTGATAAAGTTCCTATTGGCATCAATCTACCAAATGAAATAAATCAATAATCTATGCATCCTTAATAACTTGTTTAGGAGATCGTTTAAGATTAAAATAAGCTATTCTAGTATGCTTCCAATAACTCTTTAAAGAGAGTGATTAAGGAGATTTTGAATTATGAATAGCACCCTCATCCACATATAAAAATATTCCCATGTCAAGGGAATGTCTCGTTTTGGAAAATTATCTTATTGGGACCAGAATAAACACCTTATGAAGGAGGAGTCTATATACTGTATCTACAATTTGATGAAAACTATCCAATCAAGCCTCCCAATCTGAGATTCCTTACTCCCATCTATCATTGCAATATCAACTCCCAAGGAAGAATATGTCATAGCATCTTAGATCGAAATTACACTTTAGACACAACAGTACTCTAAATATTCTAGGCTATTTTCGGTATCTCATTTCTCTAATTATTACATAGGGTTATTGATGACTCCAGAACCTGATGATCCATTAGATACAACTATTGCTTCTGAATATTTGGAAAATCTACAATAATATTAGAACAAAGCCAAAGCTTTCACACAAGAACATGCCAAGAAGCCATTAGATGAAGTAATCACCTAAATCATTGGCGTGAAAAATGAACAAAATTTGAGTGATGCAGAAATGCAAGCCAAAATAGTAGAAATCAATAAATGGATTCACGATCATAACATGGAGATCGAGAAAAATAATGCCTAAAAATAATGATTATTATCAATAATATTTAATTATTAATAGATCAGAAAAACTAAGAAAATTATTAAAACAATGTGTCATTTGATAGTCCATTCTTTATGTCATCTACATTTATTTTCAAATGTATCATAACCTCATTAATATTTCTAAGATTATCCTTTTGGAGGGAGTCCTAAAATCAAACAATAACTTACATTCACTTTCTATTGCCAAGATGTTTTGGTTAACAGAACATTCTATTCCTTTATTTCAACTAAATTTAACTCACTCAATTTCAACAGTATCTATTTCATCTCTTAATACCCTATGGGATCATCTTTATTTTAGATTAAGTATTGATTATATCTCGAAAGAACTTGTTGGAGATATGCTACATTATATCCTTTGATGTGAATTTCTAAGGCAATATTAATAATCAGTAATTTCAGAGATCTACTAAAAGAGTGTAAACATGTGTGATAAGCCTTATTATAAATTCTATCATAGGCTAGTTTAACATGGTTGACTTCAATTTATTTAAATTACCCAGTTTTCACTAGTTCCTCCTTGCCAATCTCAATTGCCTTTCTACAAACACACAAAGTCTTTCTGATGTCAGTGGATATAGTGGCTATCTTTTTGCCTAGATAATTCAGAGTGTTTGAGGCAAATAATTCCTTAATTTTCTTCTCTTTCATTCTTTATTGTAATATTGTTTCGATTTGAGCACTGGTGTAAGGTCTGAATACAACTCTATGATTTCCGAGTCTTGATTATAATTTGGGTTTGAGTCTCTCAGGAAAATCCATTGTGTTGGCAATCATAATAATAGTCAATTTTGCATGTTTTTGTTACGGCCAATCAACCAAATTATATAGCACTTATTAATCTGGAGTGAATAGGTTATCACATTCATCTAATAAAATTACTCTATTCTTCTTAACAACCGATTTCTCATAAGTCTTGTATGTAGCAGGTAAACAACCCTTAGTGAACAGTTCAGCTAAAATAATAATGAAGTTGAAATACTTAACAAAATACAGGCTTGAACTTTTGAAGCATCCTTTATGTTTGTAAGTTTCTCCAATAAAAAGGAGTAAATGTTGTCTGGCAGTCCAAAATTCATAGCATTCGCATAGATGAATTAGAAGTTATCCTTTTTACTTGATAACTTCTTTTAGACTTCCATAACAGTTGCAGTCTTACCGATTCCTGGAACTCCAGAGATGTCTAAAATTAAATGAATGCATTTACATAAGGCTTAAGATTGTCCGTTGTTCTTTACACCATCCTCAATAAACTTAGTAATTAAGTCTTTTTCTTCATCTCTACAGAGAATCTCATCTGGAACTGTTGCTTCTAATAGGGAATTGTAACACTCATTCATGGAATCCAATTTAGTTTTCATAGCCTTTGTTAACTTAACAGTTGTTTAGGTAGGTTCAATTTGTAAATCAAGATCCATCTTCTTAGTGTGCTTAGTAGTAGAATTCCTTTCAGTTGTTAAGGATTTCTCATTATGATCTGATTGTTGTTTCGGAACTCCTAATAGGAAATGTTTGGTATGATTGATGTCCTTGTTAAGTTCTTCGTACCAATCATCCTCCATGTCCATTGATTAGTCTTGAGTTTTAGCAGTACTTAATAACTTTTTGGGTTTTATGGATATAATCTTAGGTTTATTTAATTATCTAGAAAAGCTGGTTGACTATTCTGATGGATTCAGAGTAAATAACTGCGTATTATCATTGTTGCATTCTTACTCGATCACAATTTTTTAGGTTACCTTATTAATAACAGGAATCTCTTGAGGCGCGAAATTATCCCTCCTTTTAATATTGATAGTACTGTCTAATTTCGTTTATATCAATGCAACTCTTATTTCTGTTTTCTCTCCTTTGGTACACTTCTCTTCTGTAATGCTCTTCTTCATCTTGGGGAATCACAAAATAGAAATCTGGTTTATTGTTCTTTGGTTTATTCTATGCAGCATTGGGAACTATCGGTGCTGGTTGAACCTTCTCTATTTTAGCTGGTTATTTCTTAGCTTAAGGAATGACTATGAGATTGTACTTGTCTAAGTTTATTTTTTTTATGCTTATTTCTTTGGTGCCATAATTGTTAATAATAAATTTAATTATTTAATATTTGGCACAAAAACACTAGTATAAAATATATACAATTTTGATAAATGCTTTAAACATTAGCATCGTATTATTGTATTGTTATTATTATTTATTAATATATTACTATTTTTTCTTAGATCACTTAATTTACTTTAATGTAATTAAACTTAACATAACATAATTAAATTTAAAATTAACTCAACTTCCCCTTAGAATAGGTCTGCTTGAGTCTTTAATTTACAGAATATTTTCAACTTTGTATATATATAGATAAATTTCAATCTTATGTGTTGAAGTCTTGTGTGATTTCCTCTTTTGATCTACGCTTGTAAAACAAAACATATGCATTCTTAGATACAATTTAATCTTCATCCACTTCATTCACCTGAGCGTCATCAAAGTTGTACCATTTTCCATTCAACTAACACTAAACAGTTAAAGTACGTGGTTCTTTCCAAAAGCAGTGTAATGTCCTCCTCCCATGCCTCCAAAATGATTTGATACTGCATATAAATCATATAAGAGTTTCTTATCGTCCTCTCTTTTCCCTGGAAATTCCTCTTCTATCATCTCCTTCTGTTGGGTTTCTATATCATAATCCAATGGTCGATTCTTATTCAGAATGAATTCCGTTAAATCTAAACCTCTTACAGGGAAGTCCACAAAGGTCTCAAGTTTCTATTTGAAAAATCCACTTGATGCTTTGAATCGCTTCAATGTGAATATCAAAATATCAGATGCCTAATCGCTAAATCGATGCTCATACCTTGTAAATCTACATACTCTTGAAGGCCTGGACATGTTCTTTACAAACCTTGCAATACCAGGCATTGTCTTCAGCCAATTATTCTGGCTATTCCGATTGTTTCAAGCATTCCTAAAGTGCCACTTTTTGGGTTGCATTATTATTCGAATAGTTATTAGATTTGACCATATATCTTGGCTTATTTAGATTGTTATTGCTATTCTCATCATTACTCATCGAATTCCTCTCCTCTAAACAATTATTGCGTTAAAATACCTTCCATTTGTTTTTTATTTTACTAGTTCTAATAATATTAGTAGATGTCAACAGGTTTAACATTCTAAAAAGGACTCTTATTCCAAAACACAATCAATTCTATCTTAGTATGGAGATCGCTCTGTTGCGCTTTCGTTTTAATTTTTTGATAGGTTTCCTCTGTGTAATCTGCATCGCAATCTTAACAATTCTTCTAGCTACAGAAACTGCAAGATTGCCAATAAGTGCTTGGAGATTTGAATTGTATGTTGTAATACTAAGATTTTATAAACTTATATTTACTTTTTGGTAGATATTATCTTCATAGTATTATTTCAATTGTTCAGGAGTTTGCAAATCATTCATTGAAACCTAATCACAAAATATGGGAAGTAAGGCCTTAAAAATGGCAAGGTGTATTTATTTAAGTGTATGTTCTTTCTATATGATTACATAGAATTATTAAAGAATAGTTCTTTTATATTACTAACCGAATCCATCTAAGGCTTTTTAAGAATAGCTCAAATAGATTCTATCATCTGAAGGTATTGCCCTCTCCTCTTCACTTAATGGTTTGATCACTAGATACCCTCTCTTGGCATTCTTTCTAACAGAATTAATCTCAGATTTGGGATCAATAAGATCTTGAATATCATTGGAATAGGAAGTATAATAGATTAATTCTTAATTTGGATCTATTTTAAATTCTGGAATAATGAACTCCTTAGTGAATTCATGTAAGGCCATTGCTTTCTTGGATCCTTCAAAGTTGATGTATTTAGTTTCAATTTGAACTATTGATTTGATAACTTTGATTTAAATGGACTTTAACTTTTTACTTGGAATACTGAGTCCGCAAGTCAAGAATGGATCAAAAGTAATAGATATTTATGAACATGTGGGACATTTAAGAGTTGACTTATATTGTCCATGCATTAAGTCAACAATAATGGATTGATTTCTAGCAAGATGATTCTACCAACTTTCCTTTGCCACTTCAAAATCAGGTTTGCCTTAATTATCCTTTGATTCAACATAAGGTTTCTTTTTGACTCTATTAAGATCCTCGTGTAATCCATCCAAAAGGAAAGTAATTAATTCAGAAGAATCATGTTATTAAAATCCTTTGAACATTGGTTAGAATTATCCAACTGCTTTTTTGAAACTAGTTGGTATTACTATGTTTTTGTCACCACACCATAATTTCTTAATAAGGGAGGCATACTTCCTGACTAGTTATCCTTTAGTTCCCAGAGGATTGTCCTCATTAATCTCATCAAAATATTTATTTGTAATAAAATATTCGGACAATTAATATGTGTTTGATAAACATTGAGTACCACTATTCATAAAACATGTGTTGCCTAAATTACCCAATCCAGCGACTCCTTTTACAGATTGTTCGCCGACATTCATCTTTTTTACTTATTCATCATCAGATCCACATGGATCACACTTTGGAAGATGATATCGTTCATCATTCACTTTGCATCTTTCTGAACAATATGCTACCTTTTTGCATTTACATGGAAAATGAAGTTCACTGATTGAACCACAACTTTCACATTTGCCTTCAATTGGAACAGAGGGATGTCTGATACACCAAGGCTTAAAACTTTGTTAAAACTTAATTATTAGTAAAACATAATACCTCAATTACAACAAGGTCATTATCAGTAAGATTTAAGGATTTCAATGTGATGTCTGATGAATTCTCAATAGGATCTCCTGAAAAATCAAAGACTTGATCATCATTGTAATCAAGATCCTAAACCTGCTTTCTGATTTCTGCAAACAATGCCTTATGAGGATCATTTTAATTTTTGTATCTCCAAATTCTAACACCATTCTGATTATTGTAATTACCCCTAAAAGTATGCACAGTCTTTTATATTAAAGCATAAAAGTCGTTCAATACACAATTCTCTTCTGCTTATAAATATTCCTTTTCGAATTATGTCAGATTATCCTAAGCAATTTAAATAATCGTATTAGGTAAAATCAATGCGGCATTGAACTTTAAAAATCAAATGATATTTACCTTAAACAAATTCACAATCACCTTCTTATTTTTGCCTTGTCCTACAGAATTTCGCACAATCTAAAGACCTCTGTAATGCTAATTCAGATAGTTCTAGATTTATTATGAAATCACTATGTAATCCTTATCCTCTTGTAAATTGGGTTTCAACCATATATTCCATGGGTTGGAGTTAAGCGGGTAATATTTGAAACATTCATTTATGCGCATCTCTAGCAAATCATTATTATAATTTTGCAACATTGTTTATCCGAATTTCTTGTCAGGTGCTTGACCATTTACAACTTAATCATATGACACATACTATTTCCATGAATCAAACCAACTAAGTAATCTAATTCATTTAAATACTTTTTGCTCAAAATATAGTATTTGTCACAGTCTTCATCCTCAAAGTTCTCCTACAATTACAACAACATCTAGTGTATTTCCTTTGCTTATTGTTTCAATTTATTCGCTTAATGTTGAGGAATCCCTGTTCTCTATTATTCATCTGAATCCTCTTGACTATTAAAGTGATAAAATCACATAATTACTCATCGTCCTTTCTTGAAAATTTCATTATAATTAGATTAATATAATTACTATAACTCAAACTCAAATCCCTAATAACTGGTGAAATACAAAATTCTTTATCTAGTATTATAGAATTTTGTAAATTTCATCAATATTATTAATTCTACCCCCATCCAAATTTGTTCATAAAATGCACTCCCCCTCCAATTATCTAGATCCAATATAACACTTAATATAAACTGGCTATGCAAATCTTGTCAAATAATGATCTAGTAATTCAATTTCTCAGTGTTCATTTTTTATAAATCATTAATTACCTAAGGAAATTGGCTAAGACTTCTTTCATTACCGTCGTTCGAGGACTGATTGATTCTATAAAAAAACGTTCTAGCTGATATTTCCTTATTGAATACTCAATGAAAATATTAATTAAACCATTCTGCATCTTGTAGATTCAAAAACATCAAACACTTCAATTAAAGATATATTGATGATTTATATCTATGAGATATAAAGAAACCACAAAATTAATATCACTATTGTAAAATGTATTCAAAACAAATATCCCACAGAAATTTTATATATACCGAAATCAATATATAATTTAAATCTATTTATTAATCTAAAGATTCAAGTTATAATCTCATTTATATTCAAAATTATATGCTATCCTGTTAAATTATTATTATTCTTTAATTGTAAGACTCCTTATATTTTTTCATCAAGTGTGCATTCACCTTTTTTAGAATGGTATTGTTATAAAAAACTACAAATAAAATCCTCCTTAAGTTATTTTATACTAACAAATACAAACCCTTTTGGTTTATTCTTCTTAAAATACTTAATCGATCTCCAATCTTCTAAATCCTTTAATGACATTAATTTAATAAAAATCAATAAGCAATATTTTATTCAATTATAAATTTCCTTAGTGAATTTATTAATTAAAATTTTGTTTTGAAAGAAATTAACTTCTGTATAAAAAGAATTGGTATTATAAAAATAATCATATTGTCAATATAAGATAAAATTGGTTCAAATCCTGTTATTTTTAATGATATACCCTGTATTTTCAAGATGCTCACTTTATTTTCCTTTATTTTACAACAATTTACCAATAATAACCTTAATGTCACTCTTTGAATGGTTTTTAATAGGCTAGTAATTCTCCTTATTTTATTTAGTCTCTTCATGAGTGCTATGATTATTATTATATCTAATCTTTTGTATGTTTTCTTTAATCCTTAATGTTGTGCAGGGACACATGTATTATGAACTGTTTTTTAAACTATTCAACTAATTCTGAGTAAAAGCAGGGACTTTGAAACTATTAAGTGAAGTATTGTTAGTTTTTTGTTAAGTTGAAGTACTTTATTAATAGCTGATTTCAGTTTGACCCAACATTTTATTTAAATTTGATATTTATTACTTAACTCCTTCTTAAGACATGGATCTTTAATAATTTTACTCTTTTTATTTTTATAATTCATGTTTTATAGATCTATTGTAATCAAATTAAATTTGTCTGTTGGCTATGTTTGGATTCAATTATTTCAAAATTTTTGGTTTTTATGAGTCTTCCTTTAAATTATTTTTTGAATCCAATTAGAATGATTCTTGGTTCTATTAAAATATGCTTTATTCTTATAAATAGGAATTGAGATTGTAATTATTACTGGTTGGAATAGAAAAGGTTGATTAAGATTTCTATTTTTTATCTTTCATCAGGTTAAATTACTCAATTGAAATAGGCATTCCTTCATTCATATTTGAAGATTTGTCAAGTGATTGATTGTTTTGAAACAATTGTGATTGTATTTATTATTTTTAAGCAAGGATAATGGATTAAGTGGATGAATTTTTCAAGTAATTGTTGTAAATTTGCACTTTACTTTCAGGACAAGCAATGTGAAAACTTTTACATTAAACAGGACTATCATATGATTAGAGGGAACTCTTTAATTTAATAGCATCAATACTTCGCTTTTTGGATGTACTATGATGACAATTCATACTTTCAATCAAATTTGAATCCCTATTTATTTTTTTCATTTCTTCAATTTACTTCAATAGAATTTGTTTTTCATAAGTGAATTAAGCCTAATTTTCAGCATTTTTATCCGTCAATTATTTAATTTAATCCTCATACTACTATTTCAGATTAACTATATCAATATTCTATTCAAGATGTTACTGATATTTCTTAATTGTATTCTAACATTTGTTGATTCTTAACTAGAGTTACTCCTTTTCCTTTTCATGTTAAGTGGATAACTAAGTGAACTTGGATTCATACTCCTGCTGTTTTGACTTATAATCCTACATGCTTAGATCTTTTGCTTTTTGTAGTTCTTACTCATAAAATATTTTTTATTATTATTCTTTCTATTTATAAACGTCTTCCTGTTTAGCCAAACTTTCTCTTAATCTTTAGTTTTCCTAACAGTTAACTACTTTTTCTTGTTCAAGTTAAGAAATCCTGTGATCATAAAGTAAATATTGTTTTTAGTATTGTAATTCCAATTCCTTTGCTTAGGATTCCTTCTCTTAGAGTTATTCTGATAATGATCTAACCTTAAATTTAAAAGGACAATTACTTAATGCTCTAACTGTTTAATCTACTCCTTAAACTTTGTCTTATTATGATCTTTCTGTTAATTATCGATATTCTTTTATAATTCTGTAATTGATTTCTAAACCGTATAAACAATCAAATACTTTCTAATTGGCTGTTGAATCACTGATGGCTTATGTAATAGTGTCATTTAATTTCTTTTGGCTAGTTTCTCTCAACTTGTAGTCTTCCAATTAGAGTTCAAGCAATTATGTTTTTTACTCTAGAACGGCCTTATCCTTTTTCCACTCATTCTCCTTTGAGATGAACTTGTTATTAAATATAATGAGGATACATATTTTCTCAGTTTGGCTATGTCATTCTCCTCAAAAAAATTAAATGAAGAATTGAGCATTCAAAATAATATAACGATTAAGTGAATTATAAATAAATAATCACCAAAGTGTTTCTAAATACACATGGAAAACCTCTAGTTTCTCCCATTATAATGAGCATATCAAATTTTATTGTCAATAAATAAACAATTGTAAATGCTTTTTGCAACCAAAATTTGTTTCAAGATATATTTATTAATTAAAATGTAAAAAATCAAATTACTCGTTTTTCTAGCTTTGGCAGCCACCATAGCAGCAGTCATGTATTAATATGCACCTTTGGAATAATATTACGTATTGATTATCTAAGTGCGTAGAACCTAAGAAGACTGTCTCATGAAACTTACACAAAAGGTGAAGCCAACTATGAATTTTGTATGGAATTATGTACAAGCAAAGGAGGAGTCAATTGCGGTGGCAAAAGAAAGGGTACGTATATTCGTTTTTAAAATTCAAGGTTGCTGCCATGCCAATGCTTGTAGTGCCAATAAGATCTACGGATGGGATGAATGTGCAAAGGGTTAATCAGTAAGACTTGGTACAGACAGATGCATCGGTAGTTGGGATTGAGTTAAGATTCGAGCTTACAATAAATATATAATTTTACAACACATAAAATATTTAAATATAATTTTCAGTGTTTTAGATATTTATGAGAGGAACTTTGAAGTTCTTGGTTACAATCAAATTTATTTTATAAGTATTTATATGATCTTTTATTAAATCTATATTCATTAATAATTTCTCGATTTTTAATCACAAAATCTCAATGTCTCAATCGTTGATGATTCACTAAGAATTGAGAAAGCAATTTGTCCTACAGTAAGTTTCCAACTTAGAGTCACAATTAACAAAATGGGTTTAACACCATTGTCCTAAGTATCGAATTATTAAAATCTAGTGACGATATACTACAATCTCATTCAGACGAGGCTCATTCTTAAAGTTAAACCCACACCAATGTACTTCATTTTTAAGGTCTTCTCATGTACCTTAAATCATTAAGTGAAAATCCTTCTCAATTAGAATTTCATACAATGAAATCATTACAACAGTATTTTGATTATATGTCCCAAATCTTGTAAAATGAACTTAAACTCACCTATTAAAGACAAACCATGAAAACAAATGACAAAAATATTGAGAAAAAAAGTTAAAAGTTTTCTAAGAAGTCCAACTTAATTTTAAAAAACTGGTTGAATAAACACTATTCCTATCCCTACCCCAGTAAAGAATAGGTGGAGTAACTAGCTGAAAAGTGTAATCTAACATAAAAACAAGTATACTGATAAAATTATCTAGGTTTAAATTTGGTTTATAAATGCCAGAGGAAGAATAGGGAATAAGATGTATGAGGAGAGGAAATTTAAAAATATTGTCAAATCCAAATATTTATCATTAAACTCTAGCAAATCAAAAAAAGAAAAACCAGAGCTTAATCAAAATGATCAATGATATCATACAATAAATAATTATTATTCATAATTGACTCTCAAGTTAAGATGCTATGAACCTACAATTTCTTACTCTATACCTAAATTACATTCCCTTATCATGGATACTTGAACTTGATTAATTTATAGATGTCAGGATTTTGATGTTTAAATTGATAGAAATAATATTGCTTATATTTTATTTAACATTATACTCAAATTTGATGTCTTCCAATAAGTTTACACGTATTCAAATAGATTAAAAACATCCTTAATCCAATATCTATATCACTACTAGAGATTTCTTAAAACCTAAAAATCAAACTCAAAAGAAATAGAAACTTGATTAGTTAGCATTAATGGATATAGTGGCTATCATTAATTTACAGAATTAAGAAGTGCTTTTTGAAGAGATTCCACATCTAAATCCAACAACAATTGAGAAATGCTAAAAGTACACTTTTTACGAAAATTAAGGAGCTGTAAAATTGATTGATGTAATTAATTCTCTTTGTTACAATCTTAGGATGTACTTAAAGAACAACGAAAATCAGTGGCCATTTTCTGCGACGAAACATATGATAAGTCTCATTAGTTGCTGGTTTGCTATCTTATTTATGATAATTTCTAAATTACAGACATCTAACAATTAGATTCGCTAGGAAATAAAATATGTGAAATTAATTTTGAGGAGAAGAAAATTACATTAATTGAAAATAAATTTCAGATCGTTAGAGGATTTGATAGAAACTCATTATTCCCCAATTATAGATTTAAAACTGAAATTTAGCAAATGTCAGATGCTTTGAAGTTTCAGTAGACCTAGATGGCTAGTAAAAAGGTTTATTCTAATTAATAACGGAATTTATAATACTTTTTCAATGCTGATAAACTGCTTCTAAGAAATCCTCCAAATTTAATGAAACTATCATAAGAAGGTAATAGATATTTAACATTTAGATTTTAAAGAGAAATATTATAGTAAGTTAGAAGAAATAAAGAGTTAGCCAAGTGTAGGATTTTGTAGTGCAATTGTGATTAAAAAGAAATGATAAATAAATTTCATTTTATAACATCACAATAATCCATTAATTCACTATAATTCTCAATATTCTATCTCTTTCAGATGATTAAATTTAAGCCTTTGTCCTTTAATATTCATCCTTCCTTCATATTTAGTTCTACTCTTATCCCAATCCATCATTTTCTAATGAAATTTGTTAAGATAATATGCTAATCTAAACTTTTCTAAATTACTGTTTTAAACTCTCTAAGCATGTATATTTAAATTACTAAATTGGTTTATCCCACAATTCTTCAAGATTCCCGATAGTTCAACCCTGTTACATCATTCTCTAATTATAATGAGCAGTATTCCTTAATAATAATAATATAATTAATGAATTCAAGTATAATTTACCTATTAGAAAAAATTTAACACAATGATCTTACAGTTTATCTGTATATATTGCGACTTCCTGTATAGCCATTAGAATATTAATAATTGATAGAAACGATAAAGAAAAATAACATCAAAGTTATTTTTTATTTCGGAAAATCATCCTTAGTCCTCAAAAATTAAAGTGGAATTAAATTATAATAAGTTACTCAAGATGAAAAAGTATTATAGGACATGCAAGTATTTCACTGCAATAAAATAGGTTGAGTTAATTAATAAGAAGTCGAATATTGGATTAATGTGTTCTGAGACATGTGAAACTAGTTTATAGATGTATTTCCATTATATGGTTAAGATAGAAAAAAAGAATTTGAGTTATTTTGAGAATCATGTACAAAAATGAATATTGTAGGCTTAATGGCATATTTGTCCAATTGACTAATTGAGATAATTGTATGAAGAAATTCAAAAATCAGAAAATATCAACATATTTGATTATAATCTACTGAAAACTAATTCAAACATTGGTTCAAAATTATCAAACGTTAGCTGTTAGAGTGAGATCGTAACAAAAGAATTACCAAGATATGATTAGGACAGATGTGAATCTTTTGTTTAAAATTCCTAAGTAACAAGCCAAAAGTTCAGCAAAATTTTAACAATCGAGGACTAAGTAAAATCAGAATTTTATCCTATTGTAACGCCTCCCTTATCAAAAATCGAAAAAGCAGTCGATCCAGACCCAAATAAAGTGGATATAGCAGTTCCACCTCAGCATTAACTTAGGTTTGATGACTAATATTAATTGCCTGGCAGAATTTCATTTATTCATTTTATACCTCAATATGGATTTAGATGTTTGGAGTGAATTATTCATCCTCACGTTTATTATTTAAATACAATTAATATTCATATTTTTATTAATAGAATTAATATGAATAAATTATGTTCTTCATAGAATCCTTAATCTAAGAATTTGCAATCACATCGGTTAAATCATGGCTAGATAAATTGCCAAAATCCAAGATGAAATAAACAAAATTAGAATAATTGATTATTATAATTTTATTTTATAGTCTTCAAGGGATACTTCATAAAAATTTAGAATGGTATTCACTCATAATTTTTACATAATCGTAGTAGGGAATGGATTCTACATAAACTGTTGAGTTTATGAGGAGATAAAATTTTTAATTTTAAAATCTCAGCAACCCAGTTAGTTATTAATTACAATTGTAATAAAATTTATATTACTAAGAAATCTCGTTGAATCATAATGTTCATTTTCATTGTTACTCATAAAAAAGTGAGATTGATATTATAAACTAAATTATAATGTGTCTTGTTTGTAATAGCAGAACAATGAATGTCCAACAATTAATTAAAAAATGAAATAGATCAATAGAATTGAAATTAAATTGACAAGGCTAATCGATCATTTACATTATAGTAAAGAACAAATTAATGATAATGTTAAGTATTTCTTTTTATTTATCGTTCATAGATGGTAATTTCTTTTTTATTGTTTTTGTGTAATGAACTACAAGTTCAATAGTGGAAAATAGGATTATACTTGATTTTAAAGTATATTTAAAATATATTTATATGTATGAATAATAATTATCATCAATCTTCTTTTAAATTGGTCATTGTATTTTTTTCTTATTTCTTGTGATTTCTAAAATAATCAAAGTTATACACACATTTAAATATCAATGGAAGTATCTGATAGATCATCATATTCCTTGGAATGGCTTCTGTTTATTTTTTTTTGATTATGAACTTGAGTGTAGAATTTATCTAATTTCTTGCTCAATTTATCCATATTTCTAATTAAAATTTATTAATTTAATGGATTTATTAAGCTTAGGCTAATATATAGTATTGATTTGATTTTATAATATAATATAGAAATAGTATGAAATTGGATGAATTTTATATTTATATATTAAATTAATAACTCACATAAAATAAATGTTAAGCCCAACAGTCACAGAGAATGAGTAGTAAAGGAAGATAGGTGAAAAGTTGATTACAATTATCCGAACTATATTAATCACAGAGAGAGAAGTCTACAATTTGATTAATATTAGGTTGAGGAATTGAAAATAACATTAGCCGAAAACATTAGATTTGACATCAGTGATGCATTTAGAGCAATCGATTCTAACATGAAAGGATACATAACTTCATAAGACATCTTTCGATTTATGTGTAAGAATGGATGTAGTGTGCACTAAAAGTTTTGTGATTTCTGGATCTTCACATGGAGTAAAGGAGATGACAAATTAAGATACCAACTATTTCTTGAATTTATCGTTCCTCGATATGATAGAGATGCAGCTATGCAATGTATAGTCAGAAAGTTGTATTCAGAAACAGGGAAATGTATCAATGCATAATTAATAATCTTATAGACAAACTGTCATTCTATTTAGAAGAGTTTGTGGCTAAGTTGATATATAAGGAGATCGATTATTTAAGAACTATTGAAATAGAGAAGATGAATTTAGCCTAATTAGTTGAATGGAAGTTTACAACAGTGTTTAAGTATATTGCGGGTAATTTGCCTGTTATCGATAAAAGATGTTTGGATTAATTGTTGAACAAATACGAAATTTAATCATTGACATAATAGGAATACAACATGTTTCTAAAGAGATTCAATAGGAATGAAGAGACGATTTTGTAAAAGGACGAATTCAGCGATGCCATCTTTCCAAGCAAAGAATTAATTAAGGAAATGTAACCTCCAAGAGATGGATTTCAAGAATATGTTCTCAATCACGATTAACAATTGGATTAACTGTTGGGTAAGGATTAAGTCAATGATGGAGATGATTTCATTTTCAAACCAGAAGAACATAAAATCAAATTAAATTCTACTTAAAAAGGACACAATATTTAATAGGAGTTTATTCCTTAAAACTAATACCCAATTTAATCTACCTTAAATAAAGAGATTAATGGACCTCCCACCAATTAATAGCCTACCTAAAATAAGACTATACTTATGAGTCTTAAACCACCCTAAACTTAGTCCTAATTTCAATAACACACTATTGATCAAAGCATTTAAGCTTCAACTCCAATCCAAATGAAATCTAAAAATTACAAAAGCCCAAATGAACAACCTTCTCAATATCAACAATAAGATTTACTCTAATAATTTGAGAGGAAGTAGAATGCCTCTCAAATGGCTTTCAGTCAAGATAATTTATCTAACTATTATAATCAAAACCTCAATTTGGAGTAATCCCAATAAGTTCAATATAACTAATATGTTAACTAACCGACAAATGCTTAGTATATTTTATCAAGATAATGACGGTGTTTTATTTAAACTTTTATTAGATAGTATTAATTATTTTAAAATATCTCATTTGAATTGATTTAGTAATATTTTTAATGATTCCTTCTCCATCACATCATTCATCTTCAAAATTTACTTCTTATGCGTATTAAACAGTTTCCCATGCTTCTTCACTTTCAACTCTATCAGTGTTTCATCACTTTAGCTTTCTTTTATTGCTAACTATTAAATGATATCACATTTGATACTTCATTTATGACCATGAAATTATGACATTATAGAGGTTCCTCTATATTTTGTTCTTTCCAATCAGTATCATAAAATAGCAAGAACCCATCTACTGAAATTATGAAATTTGTGGGTATAAAATCTTTGCCAAAGCTTAACGATCTTTCCCAAGCAACATCCCTTTGAACACTATACTTCTTGAGAATCAAAGGTGATTGTTACAATAGATAATCAGGAGAGGGCACTAAAGATTACAATTAATAAGTACCTGTAAAATTTGAAGCAAAGGCATGATATATCTCGGTTGATATTTCCTTCTATAATGGTATACCTGAGTATTTCTTGATCACCACTAGCTATTCTGGTGTTAATAATTAATTAATGTTGAAAGCTGTTATTGCTTATTATAATATCTATGGATTAGCAAAGTTAATTGTTTTCTAGTTTGGGAATTGAAAATACTTTCCTAACTCTGTATTTAATTGTGCGAATAATTTCTATACGAACTCTATTCTATGTAATTCAAATTCAGATATCTCTTTGAGAATGTAGGTAGTAAATAGACCGAACTATTTCTATTATGTTATGAGGGACTTGAAGTAATCTAAATTTAATCAATCTATTTACAATGCATTTTATATTCTTCATCATAGATGTCCTTCATTTGTTGTCCTCCCTAGAAGGCTGCATCTACATTCTAAGCATAGATCTGTTCATATTGTATGAAACTCTTGTAGAATTGTTCGACAGCATCGAAGGTTATATTTCGTTATCCTTAAACTTGCATCAAATAATCAGATATCTTTTATTTGTTCATTTATTAACAGATAATTAATTTCTCTTTAATCTCCCCCTTCAAATTGTTCTTCAATATTTAGATATTTTAAATATGCTACTGATATTCACTCTCAAGATTACTAAAGTTTTAGCATAAGTCTAAATGGTATTATTATTAAATAATATCTTTGTCATCCTATGGCTATTCTTAAGTGTTGCCATTGATATTTTAGTTACTAGAATGATTAGATTATTTATTTTTCTTTTGGTTTTATTTGTCTTATCTTTGAGTTTGATTTGTGAACAATCTGCTCAATAGTTTTTAGTTTGGTTAAACATAAGAATATGTGGCAAAGTAGTCTAATTGTATCGATAGATTATTCAAATAATTTTGCATCATATCAAATGAATTATTGGATGATTTGTATCTCATTTTGATTTGCTAGAATACAGTTTCAACAATTGTTAAATATTCAAAAATAAATTCAACCATCTTGGTCATATATTAAACAAATATTTAATGACTTTAAATTCTTCTTTCTTGATAAGCTGCCTTCCAAATTTCATTTTTTAATGCCTCTTTAGATTGCTGTAGATAGTTTATATCAATGTTGTCCTTTAGTTTTTATAGGATAAGACATAAGTATTCAATTCTTGAATTGACTTGTTTGCCTGTAATTTTTTTAATATATTGTTTAATAGTGCTTTGGAAGGAATTCGCTTCTAGTTTTTACTGTTGTTTATTGAAATCCGCATTAATGGTGGCCTATGTAGGTATTACATTTCTATTCTATTGGTATTATTATAATTAATCTTATTTTTGTTAAGTGTTGTCCATTTGTTAATTAATCTTTCCATACCCATCATCCGTTGGAGTTTCCATCATTTAATTGATCGCCATTCCTATCGCTGCACCTTTAGCTGCAATGGATTAAAAATTTTAATTCTCTTTGACAGCTTCCATGCCTTTTTCGTATTATTGCTTAATGATCTATTGACCCTATTCCAATTGTGATCCAACTGCTTCCTTTAGTGTTAATGATACACTTACATTGACTTTTTGAATTTATTAATTGGCCAAGTTTGATGCCTTTTAAATTTAAGAATTGGCAATGTCTGTGCCCTTTTGTACAACTTTATTGGTCTAATCTAGAATGGGAAGAAGGTTCTTCTAAGCCAAATCCATCCCTTTGGCAAATTGAGTTGCCTCTGAATGTCCTTATGAGATTTAGGATTGGAGTAAATACCCACAATTTTAAGAATGGGAGCAGCAACTTTCATGGTTTGGTTGGCTTCTGCGATTTGGTTGGTTAATTGGGATGTGTGATTTTGGAATGTGTTTTGGGCTGACTTAATTGATGTGCTGACTTAGTCTGCTTTTGAATCGATGAGTTTAGTTAGTTTTGTATTTAACATGATTAATTAATGTCTCAATTTATCGATCAGGAAATAAATGGGTACAAGGTCCAGAAAGCAATAGGAGAGGGGAAATTCTCGACCGTGTACAAGGCGATGAATAAGGAAGGGAATGTGGTTGCGTTGAAGAAGATTAAGGTGATTTGTGACTCTATGTTAGATTTTTGATATGATGGATCCAAAACAAAGGGAGAAATGTTTGAAGGAGGTGAAGCTAATGCAACCCTTGGATCATCCAAACATCATAAAGTACTTGGATTCATTCATTTACAACAATGAATTGATTATAGCTACAGAGTGGGCGGAGAAGGGAGATTTGAAAAAACTAATCAAAAATGCTTAATCTGATGATACTCCATTTGAAGAAGTGTAATTGTGGAATTACATATTGCAAATAGCAAGTGCATTGGACCATATGCATGAAAAGAGAATAATGCACAGAGATTTGAAACCAGCAAATATATTTATAGGAGGAGATGGCTCATTGAAGGTTGGAGATTTGGGTTTGGGTCGTATATTTTCGTCAGAGACAATCGAAGCCTACTCCAAAGTAGGAACACCACTTTATATGTCACCTGAGGTAAATTATCATTAAAAAGGAAGAGCTCCTTCATGGCGAAGGGTATGATATGAAATCAGATATCTGGTCATTGGGATGCATCGCATATGAGATGGCTGAGTTCAAGAGTCCCTTCAAATAAAGCGAGAAGATGTCTCTCATGGATTTATTTAATAATATCACCAAAGGAGAATTTAAACCAGTTTCTAATCGATACAGTCAATAGTTGAGGGATGTCATCGAAGGCATGATAGTAGTCGACCCCCAAAAAAGACTTGATGCAAGCACGGTTCTGTAGAAGTCAAAGGAGATCCACAATACCTTCCTTGATACCAAGAAGACTCCATAGATAATTAATGTTTTGATGATGGAAGTAATTAAATCATGCAATTTATATAGGACATCTATGAGAAGTTGTCATTAGTTCAATATCATGAATATTTCTGTATTCCATTGAAAAAGAAACCAGTTTCGAAATATTATTTCTCTTTAGATGAAAACGTTAATCAGAATCAAAGGTTCTATTACTTTGTTGAGTTATGTTATTGGCTAATGAGTTTGCCCAAGTAAAAAAAGAATAAAATGGCACAGCCAATCAAACTCAATTATCATAATGTTGAAGAAACTGCCAGAAAATTGCTTGTTGATATCAAAGCTTGGGGTATAAAATTACCTGAATAATTGGGGTCTCCTCATATTTCATAAGGATGTGGAGACATGGTTTGCTTCATTTTAAATGATTTGCTAAATAGAGAATTGATTAGAGTCAATTTCAAATTTGAATCTCCTAACTTCGGTAAGGATTTGGAAAGCTCTGTAATTTAGGTTAATAAAATAGATGATGAGGATCTTGTTGAAATTTAAGAAGAAGAAAATGAAAATGAAGAAGTTGAATAAGATGAGTTGACTTAGAGTATTCTATTTTATCATAAGAAATATAATAATGAACAAACTGATTACAATCAAGTTCCTCAAGATCGATAAGTCATCGAAACCAAAGTTGCAATTAATGAATGGACTAAAGAGTTCAATAGAGTTGAGAAGGAGTTTTCTAAATTCGAAGCCAATCTTAAAGTGAATAAACTTTATTTAAAGGATTATGAGAGAACAATCATGACCATTTCCAAATGTTCCAAAGTAATTCCATTATAATTATTTAAGCAATTGTCTCTTCTCTCTGAACACTTGAAATCAAATGAAGTTTAACAAATTTAATAATAGTGGATTGATTATTTGGAATTGATCCCTAAATTAGAAACCAAAGTTACAGAATCAATACCAGAAGATACTTAAATCACCTTAAAATAGAACAGGATTAAAATATCAGATTTATAATTATAAATTTCACAATTGAATAAAGGGAACACCGAGAAGTTAGAAATCGATCAACAATTAAACCAATAGTTATTAGATGTAAAGGAAAGAACACCTGTTTTGGCTGACAACAGAACTAAGCAAAAATAATTGATCAATTAATTGAGAGTATTGATTTTACTCATTATAATAGAATGACATACGGGATATGGACGTTAAAATTGGCATAATGCAAACTCAAATATCAAAATCGTATTTTCATACTAATGACGTATTATCTGATGAAGAATTCTGAAATATCTAATAATTTTATTTTAAATAATATGTATCATGATATAGGAGATTTGCATTTACTACTTTTATCTGATCTTCGTTTTTTGTCTTTGCACATAAGCAATATTAAGATTTTAAAGGAATACTGATTAAATATTTATGCTAAGTCCACTAAACAGGGTATTTTTAAAAATATTTTTATCTAATATTTACAATTTGGAACTTAAAAAAGACACAAATAAATTATGATTCAGCCACTTTCAATACAATATGCCACAGAAAGCATTTACTCAAGGATATCACTTACTTTTTGTATATCATAGATGACAACTAAGTTGGGACTAAGTCAAATCAATCTTATGAGTATTTGTGTCTTCCTAATTATTTAGTAAATATTAACTGGAGTTGCATGAATGCATTAATTTGACATAATGCATCGAGATTTAAAACCTGAATATATCATGTTTAAAGAAGCCAATCAAATAGCAGGATTATGAATTGTAAACATTAAAAAGGAAGTTTACTTATAAAAACTATACCCAACATCAAGCAACTTATGAAATAGAGGATGAGTAAAAAATTTAATGATTAATTCTATATTTGTGTTCATAGAAATTAAATAACATCGTGTTAGTAGATTCTAATTAGTTAATTGAATTAGCTTGTTATTGAGTATCAAATTTATTTTATATATAATGATCAGTCAACTAAAAAAAACTTGAAAAAAATCATTAATTCATTGCTTTCTTTCCAAAAACTATATATTCACCTTAAAATCCATGAGTCACTTTTTTACCTACTTAAATAACAACAAAATCTAACCTTTGGCATTAAACTAATATGGCTAATTTTATGATGACCCATATTATTATTTGCCATATATTTTTTTAGGATCATATTTTTTGGATTTGGGGATCTGCGGCAACATTATCTATTTAATAGAAGACTATTTGTCGAGATCATCATCACTGTCATGATGTTAAGTATTTTTATAAATACTCTCAACTTTCAAATCGAATTGCAAGGAAGGTAACTGCAGACAATAAAGATATTAATTACTCCTGATTTCTTTTAAGATTTTGCATAGTAGTTTTAAGTTTTCTTGAATTACGCCCAGGGTTACTATTTGCTTTCGTCTATTCTTTGACTTCCTTCCAAAGAGTTGTCATTTCTAAATAATGAAAATGGTAATAATACAATTCTCTTTGATTGGATATTCTGATAGTATGCTAGCCACACATTTAAGGATCAGCCTCAAATAATTCTCTAAAGTATTCATGTTTTAACGCTTATTAAGCATTGATTCTCTCTTCTGGGTCATAGATCAACAGTAGTTTAATTAAATCGATGCATTCCTTGCTTTAACCTTGCAGTAGCCTATCGATACCACTGCCATGTTTAGGTGGGAAATTGATTTCCATATGAGTCGCTTGTCTAGAATAGGAAAAAGGTTTAACTTTCTAAATCTGTCGAAAACCTTCTGATTGGGTGTTCCCAGTATGTTGTGTATTTTGTTGATTTGATCTAGTTCATTGGTTCCTGGGAAGAGTGGAAATAAGGCTATGATTTCAAACATGACACACCCTACTCCCCAGAGATCCATTTTATGATCATAATAGCCATCTGTCAATAAGCATTCGGGCGCTCTGTACCACCTAGTAGAGATATATCTAGAATGAGACATATAAATGATCGTAATACTCAGTATAAGGATGTTTGGAGTAGATTCCTTTGCATGATCCTAAATCGGCAAGTTTGAGATGATCTGCGTTTAATAGAATGTTTTCACTAATGATTTGAATATTGATTACGGTTTAATGTCTCTGTGAAAGATGCCATTTTTGTGCATATGTCCAATAGATTTTAGCAGTTAGTACATAAATGATTTAACTTTTTAAGGATTCAAAGGTTGTTTTCTCCCTATTTGAAATGTTGATAATAATACCTTTAATATGCTCATACAAATTCTGTTCCATCAACTCAAACACCAAAGCCAATCGTCCTGAGGGTTCGTCACTAAATTAAATTTATATGATTTTCATACTAAAGAACTTCAATCAACTTAATAATGTGATCGTGTGGACTCAGCTTTCTTAGTGCCTATATCTCTCTCAAATGATTAACCTACACTTAATCAGTATGGCTTACTTGTTCAATGGATGTGAATTTATTTTTCATGCATTTAATTGCAACATAATCTCCAGTTTTGAACGATTGAGATTTGATGACCTCTGAAAATGTACCTTCTCCCTTTTTGCCAACCAACTTGTACTCTATTCAAAATATTGCTAAAGATTACAATTCATTTCTCCTTTGCTTATATATAATTAATATTCAAATCATAATAGATCAAATGGGAATTAGCATCTGTCCCAAACAACGTACTCTTTCAATTCACGAGGTCCGAGTCTTTATCAAACGTCCTCCCTGTACCATAAAACTAGAGAAAGTCTCCAAAATTATGGTAGTTGACGACGTTATAGAGAGAGAAGACTCTCCTTTGCTAGCTCAAGTCTAGAAGACCGAAGTGGATGAACCTAAGATGTAATATACAGCACAATAATCAGAAGAAATGGATAATAATGCTCAACATCCTTGGCTTAAAAAGACCTTTGCATAACCACAATGCAATGAAAGCGTAATGAAAAATGATATATCATTCGAACCAAATAGTTCCAGTTTTGATTTACTCAAACCTAAATCCATTCTCAAACTTCACAAAAATGGAAATCATAGTTAGGAACACATATCAAATGATCAATAATCTATAGGTTCAATTAAATCAAATAAGAAAGTCAGTTTTGATAAGCAGGTTTAATTCAGTAACTTTAGAAAGAATTGAAGCACTGATTTATTTTGATTAGATATTGACTATATTTATTTTCTTTTTCTGCAACACTATTTTTTAATATTAAATTAGCTACTAAATTCCTAAATATCTTCTTTTTAACTGATTGCACCAGACTTCAAGAATCCTCAAAAGATTACTCGTATTAATAAGATATACCTACGCATTATTAATTCTAGAAAATTATCTATCCATACTATGAAGTTATTCTATATTCACTTATAGATATATCTATTTGTAGCAATCCAATAAACTAAATTGTTAGTAAGCATGTTTCAAGTGATTTAGCTTGGATATATTCAAAAATGGAAGGAATAAACTACCCCATTATCTGTCAAAGTAGATCAAAGATTAACCATTAATTATCGAAATCATATGCATTATTAAAGTACTATAGAATACAAGAACAATATAGTAAATGAAGTCAATAAGCCATAATATATGGAATGAATAGGTAATCAACCTAGCATTTCTTATTAGAATAATGACAGTATAGTATATATTTTAATTAAATATGATAAATTTAAAAAAAAACTCAGATTCAGATATTGAATCCCTCATAGAATCTATGTTGAGATTAATGGAATACATGAATGCAAATCCAAGTTTTAAGAGGAAGATGTTTGAATCCTTTAATCATGAAGATTTGAGTAAAATTTAGAAAAATTTGAATGATAAAAAGAATATCACTCTGAGAAAGATTTCTTGTTTATTTTTATGTTGCATATTGTAGAATGATGAGAATTGTGAAAGCTTTTTAAAATTGTCTGACTTGATTCCAATCAACTCTAAAATAAGTATAAATGGTATTCCAGAAAAGATTTCAAAATATGTTTCTCATGATACAATATTCAAATTACAAAGTGCTTCGTTTTAAGAAAACTCATTATGTTGGTATTACACCTATCAAATGGCTAAGGAATAGTTGCCATATTTGTAATTCTTTTCTTTGAATTATTCCGATATCAGAAAATCAATAACTGAATTTGTTGATCCTCTAGATTCAATCATTGGAATAGTGTATGAAAAACAGAGAATATCTAAGCCTCTAACTCCCAATAGCGAGATTTCAACAAGAGATAAAAGAAATCACTTGTAAAAGTTGAGTGTGTCCCCTATTCCTAAATAATAGTAGATTGGAAATACGACTAATAATGCTAATGTGTCTTAAGAAAAATATTAGAAACGGTATGTAATTTCAAAAGCCTAGCAATTTAATTAAACACAAAAGTTGTAAGATCATTCTGCTGAGAGAAAGAGTGTGAATTATGATGTTTTGAGGAATAAAATATTGGAATAACAGAATACGAGAAATGCAATGGCTAATTCAAAACCCAATAAGGAGATTTAATCTACAAGTATGGAGTTGAAATTAAGATTACTAAAAAATTAATGATATTTGATGGATTTTATTTATATACTTACTTCCTATAATTTTTTTGAAATCATTAATCACTCTATAATTCTCGAACCAAGTCCTTCAAGGGTTTCTATTTACCATCTTCAATAGGTTTGTTTTGCTAATCGGAGGCATCACTTTGTTTGTCCTCCTCTTGGAATTGGGACTGGTTCTTAAATGGATAATTACTTTAGGATTAAAGTTGGTATTCATGACTTTTTTGGCAACTGAGGTGGGATCCTAATTTTCGACAAGGGAGGAACCGAACTTCTTGATGTATATGTTATAAGCAATTTGTATGTGAATCTGATTGCGTTGGAAGTGGAGATGTTGCTTGTTTTTCTCATAGAAAACAGGAGCATGTTTTGGTTGATTGAAATTGGGTATTAATTGACTAACAATTTATTGACTGAAACAAGAGTTAAAGTATTGTTGAGCTTGTAATAATCCAGGTCTAATATTGATATCTCTTTTTGTAGTTGGAAGTTCCTTTGTTGGCTACTTATTTGCAATTGCATTTCTCTATTTAGTCTATTTTGGTTATTTTCTCATGTGAGGTTTGGTGATTTTCTTAACTAATAAACAGATAGTGAGGATTAAATACTTTTATTCAATTCAGAGATCAGATTATAAAAGTTTTTGACAACCTCTCTAAAATCATTGTCATCATAAATTTTTCGTCGATTCCTTATTGACTGAAAGTATATCTATAAGACATAGTACATATGCAGATTTATATAGTTAGTGATTATTGTTGTTTGAACTTTCTTATTATTGGTCACTTTCAAGTAACATTAATCTGAAATATGTATTAAATTAAAGGACTTTCACATTTAAAATATGTTTTAACAAAAATTACAGAAACAAATACGGCTCAAATATCTCAAAAGTGCAATTATTTTACTGCTTCCTCGACACTCCCACATTACATAGGTTTGCTCTATTTGGAATTGCCTTGAATGATGGGTCTCTCGTTTTCAACAGGCTGATTGTATTAACACAAGCATCAATCCTACTAACTCTTGTCCATCATTGTAAAATAAAACAATCATAATTCCATTCTAGAATTATGTCTGTCTTATTGTTAAAATCAGCATTTGTTAGAAACAACATGTGCAAATATCACCTATAACGACATTCTTCAAATTTCTATTCAAAATTCAAAGTTGTTTGATTAAATCATTATAATCAACAGATATGAAATTATCTCAGAAGATTCGATATATAGATTTTGTGCTAGTCTGGAGGATCAATAATCCCTAATTATTAATTCAATTATTATTTGGCTAACATAAGTATCCAAGGAAATTTTAGAGGCATGATATCATGAACGTCAAAGACTTTCCAGGCTTAATTAAGTCTTTAAATGTTGCAGATTTCCACATAATACAAGAAAAATCAGTATACTTATTACATTTAGAAATTAATTATGATTTGCTTATTTAATCAATATCCATGAATGGGTTATTTTGTTTCTTTATTATTATGAATTGCATTAGAGTAGATTTTCTAAGTATTTTTCATATTACTAACGGGATTAATTAATATATTGTCTTAAATTACCACTAATTATCTATCAAACACATAAAATTTATACATCTTTACACTCTATTCATTTTTATTTTTAATACTTTTCTTCAGTAAAAACAATGATTCTATTAATTTTTTCTGTTATTCAACAACTGTTGTGCATCTTCAAGCATCTATTGGTTTATGTATTCTAAGATATCAAATTATTTTGATTTCCATAATTTAATTTACTAGTAGGGGGTAATTTAATATAAAATTGCAATTAATTATTATTAATATATATTCAGTTATAGAGGTTTTTGAAAATAGTTGAGTATATGAATAAACAGTAGATGAACTAGGATAGAGTTGATTTTATGAATAAAAACTCCTCTTCATATTATTTTTTTATTTCAGCTATTATTATTATCCTCCCTATATCTGAAAACTCATGATCAGGTAGTAAATTTAAAAAAAATGAAAAAATTCTTAAATGAATAAGGAATAGCTAAAATCAATTTTCTTAAGAAATCACACATGGTATTGCCCGTACAAGGTTTCTAGCTTTTCTTTTGCCTTTTTATAGAGGATTAAACTTTTAGTGATGCGATCTGCATTAAGTGGCTGTTCTTGTTAATATACATTGGCTCATCAATTTAAAGATTTTCTTTGATTTCTTATCATATTTAGATCGTAGGATAGCTTCATGGTCATTGACAAATTACAGATATAATTAATGTTCATGTTTACTCCAATGACCTATCAAATTATCATTATTTGTTGATACCATTCACTCTTGATGAACTATCCTCATCATCTGAACGAGTATGTGTTTTGTTAAGTATTTCTAAGTTTTTTCTTGCAACTGGTTAATTTTTAATTACCTAGTATGGCTTCTGTATTTTTCTATCAGTATTTTAATCCCCACAAATTTTAGTATTTTCTTCTTTATACTCTACTTTTGGAGCACAATCCACCAAAGAATTCACTAATTGACTATTGATAAATTGTACTGTATTAAAATATTTATTGATTATAAAGGTTATTGATTAGAAAGAAAGTTTACAAAAAGTAATCTCCACTGATGATATTTGATTGTTCTTGAAAATTCATTATGGACTCTATAAAATAATTTATTTAATGAGATATTTTAATCACAAATAGACTTTATGTGATCCAAAATATATTAAGAAATGTTGTATTATTAAATATAAAATATCTTTGAATATCCACTCCAACTTTCATATTTATACATTAATATAATGATTTATACTGAAATCAATCTATAAAACTTTGAGTTTCCAATTTTACTTCTGTCCCTCCTCCTTCATAATCTTCGTCACTACAAAACAATAATTAATCAATACATGTAATAATTTAATAATAAATCTAGCAAAAATAAATAATGCGTATTATAATGATCTAATAAATATTCTGAAATTTTTCTATGGCAAAATCTATTTTTTATTCAAATCAATTGGATTCTAAAAAAGTCTCTTTAGTTTCTCATGATCTTCAAAATTCAATCGAGATCATAGTAATTACTAAATAGGGTTAATAATATACTCTAGAATCAAATTATTACATCTTATTGAATCTCAAGTGGAATATATATTTTTATTTTGGTTGCAGTTTCAGAAGTAATTTGTTTACTGATTTTTCAAATATTTATTAAATAGAAGCATTTGTTATTAAATCTGAGGATGGTGCAAGCTTAGATTATTTAGGTTGTTAAATTTTACTAATTCTGATTTAATCAGTTGAATTTAACTTGGCTCCTACAAATAAATATAGAGAGAAGTTGTTATTAATAAATAGTAAGTTTAAATGGAATTTTATTTAAAATAATAAGAGTTATTTATTAATTATGTTTAATCAAATATCAAATTATTTATCTTAATAACATACTACATTCAAATCCTGTTGCTATTTAACACAACTACAACCTATTAAGTTACTTATTCTAAAAATCTTTTTTATTATGTTTACATAATTACAATATTTATAAAATCCAACCTTGAATTAGGAATGGATGAAGGAATTATTGATATATATTTTACATAGATATTATATTTTATAGTGTAAATCCATATGGATTGAATTATTGAATTTTTCAATTAATTGGAATCATAATTTCAATAGATTAATAATATTTTCTTTATTATAAGATAGAATTGGATTTATGAATGATAAAACTCGATGGAAAGAAATTGTTGATACGATAATTGATGGAGTAAATTTATATTAAATCATAAATCCTTTAAAGAAAATATTTACTGTATAGAAAATATGATAGCAATTGAATATAGATAGATAATTGATAATTCCAACTTGATATATATTAAATAAATTAGAATTAATTATGTTAGTAAGATCGTAGATGTGAATAACAATTATTTACTATCTTAAATAATAAGAAAATCAATATTCTGAAGAACTGAAATTAAATATAATCGAATTTGAAAGGATTAATGAGATAGATTATTAATGAATGATCAATATCTTAGAAGTTCCGACTTGATGAATTAATTCCATTCCTTTTACTTAGATACATTTTAACTATGATTGGTTTCTTCGTCATACTGTTTTTCCATCTAAAGATAGAATTAAAACGTGTCTTAAAACAGTTTAGTGCATTCCATCCTGTAATTCTTAGTATACTTGAATTTATCAGCTCTATTATTAGGCAATTATTATACTTTTGTTTGAATTCCAAGGCACAAAGACATCCAATCAAATAATGGCCAGTTTCATGTTCCAACAATCTGTCCCATTTATTTTTAACCCAAGACTTATTATTGAGACAACACCAACTCTGGATGACTAATCTATATTTGATATTTTATGATTTTTTCATTTTTCTCATATTAATGTCAAACGTGTATCCAACCGTCCAAAAGCAATGTGCTTTCCAAGGTGATAAAATATTTGGAGGTGCTGAAAAGTAACTCCAATCAACTTTTAGAATCTTGACTCCATTAATAGTGACTGGGAGAATTGAATTGAAGTCCTCATAAGCAAAGTAATTCAAGGGATCTTAGAATGTATTTTGGGAAACAGGAGACACTATTAATCAAAATGGCGATATACTATCAATTTAATCATCCTCTAATTTCGAACAGCTTTATGGAGGACTAGATGTATTCGAATTACTGCAACAAGTTGAATTATTTGAGATGTTTGGTAAATGATGGATTCTGTTTCTTAAATAAAGTGTTACTTGATTTATGATGAGGCTCTTTTAGGAAGACTGAAATTTAATGATTTACTAGCTTGAGAATGTTTTCTATTCTCTCTTGATCTGACTGGGCTCATCATCATTAAAAACCACTAAAAAAATTTGTTTAATAAATTTTTAAATTCAACTACATTTCTTCATGAAATTGACGAATATAAAATAGGAAAAATGTAAATCAAATAATTCTTATTATTAGTCAAATAATATTACTCTCTGATCGTATTATTAATACATATTAAACATAAATTTTATTATTATGATAATTACTTAAGATTGTTAAGACGACTCGATTATTATAAAGAAAATACAGAAAATATAAATAGTGAATGAAACACACAATGTTGAAATACAATAAAGAGATTAATAATAATAATTTGTATAAGAATAAAAAGAAGTATTTAAATAAGAAGAGGGATAAATATAAAATGAATTATAAGCATCAAATGGATTATAACAATAAGAAGATAAATTAAAAGCAGTAGCTGAATAACCAAAAGAATATTCTCAATAAGAAGAAAATTTGAGAACTTTAAATTTGTAGCAATTAGAAAAGTAACCTAAATATATGAATATTGCTAATTTTTCTGATAAGTGTTTTCATGATATAAGTCTATGTGAAACCACTTTAAAAGCATTAGAAAAAATGAACGTAACAAAAATGACGAATATTCAAGCAAGAATAATACCACATTTATTGAAAGGTAGAGATGTCTTAGGAGTTGCAAATGCTGGCTCAGGGAAGACTTTGGGTTACTTGATTTCAGCATTAGAACTACTCTATAAAAACAAATTTTATTAAAAGAATGGAACTGGTATCATCATTGTCACTCCTACTGGAAAATTAGCTTAATAAATATTTGATTTTGTTAAAGATCTTCTGTTCTATCACGAAAACACTCGAGTATTAATTACTGGAAGTACTGATATAAAGGAAGAAGCTATTAAATTAAAAGAAGGAGTAAAGATATTAATTGCCGCTCCTGATAGACTAAAATATCATTTATAGAATACTAAAGAATTCATTTATCACAATTTATTATGTTTGATTATAGATGAAGCAGATCAACTATTAAAACATGGTTATGAAGTAGAAATCTATGAAATTCTAAAACTTTTACCACGTGAAAGATAAACTTTATTGTTTTCAACAACAAGAAACAAAAGCATTGATGATTTAGCTAGAATATCACTAAATTAACCTGCATATATTGGAAATGATGATGACATGAATTAAGGAGCCACAAATAGTGATTTAAAATAAGGTTATTTAATAGTAGAACCAGATAGGAAGTTTTTACTGTTATATTCATTTTTGTAACTAAATTTAGAGAAAAAGATAATGGTTTTCATGTAATCGAGCAATTCAGTCAAATTTCATGCTGAATTGCTTTATTTAGTTGATATGCCTGTTTTTGACATTCATGGAAAGTAAAAGCAAAGTATCCGAACTAATACTTATTATAATTTCTGTGATGCCGAAAAAGGAGTTCTTCTATGTACTGATGTTGCTGTCAGAGGTTTGGATATTCCAGATGTTAATTGAATTATGTATTATGATCCTCCTAATGACACTAAGGAATATATTTATAGAATTGAAAGAACTAATAAAGGACTCAAATCTTAAACAAAATCTTTGATTTTCTTATTACCAGAACAAAAAGCGTATCTGGCTCTGGAAAAGTTAGTTGAAAAGAGTTACTTATTAAATAAAGATGGCTTTGAAGTTTATCGATAATAATTACTTGTATAAAGATATTCTCTATTTTTAGTCGTAGTAATCCCAAAGTCAAAAGGATGTTTAAGAAGCCAATAAGCAAGATCTTACTCATATGAATTTAAATGTTGTTCCAGAGTTTCTTTAAGTAATTGAACCATATATCAAATATAGATATTGAGATTGCTTGTTCAACAATAAGAAAATAAAAAGTTCAATCTTTCATGAAATAGAAGAACTCTGGATAATGAGATACAAAATAGTACTCAGATTGTACTTAATTGATTGATTTTATTAACTTTTTTTATATTTAACATGATCCTAAGAATTAATTGATCATAATACTATAAACATTATGCTCCATTAATAGAAATCTTATTTAATGTATTATAATCAGACCAATTATACTAATACGAAGTGATGTTTAAATTCTTTACTTGACTTTGAAGTAAAATCTTAGTACTTTTGTATTGAATATGATATATAAAAAATGGGATTGTCATTTCATTAATTAATTGCAAACTCAATTTATTATTTACTAATTTCATTTTAATCTTGCTTTGGGCTATTATTTTGAATTGATTTATCTGTATTATCATTTTATGATTACGTTGAAAAGTATGAGAATGAACTACAATTCTTATTTCTTGAAAGTCCATTTTATTGATTATTCTAGACTTGTAATCCAGGAATGTTGAATTGAGACCTAGATCAAAAATTATTGATTACTTTTTATCATCGATTCCTAATGAATTTGTCGCCAGAATTGGAATTATGCTTGGTACATACCTCACAAAATTGGAAGAATCATTAATATTCAGGATGCTGGAAACATTATTCAATAGTTCTGGCTATTGATTATTGATTTCTCCAACAAAATTCAAGACGACTTCATTTTCAACTTTAACCATTTGAGTATTAAGGTAATTTTATAATTGCTGTTTAGTGCTCATAATAATAGTTTATGCATTTGGATTGTAAAACGCAGGCTGAAGATTATTGAGGTCGCAGAAATTCAGAGTATCAAATATCCCTATTGTAAATGGTGTATGATTTTTTGTCTAATTATTATATTATTATTTGGTATGATCCTATTATTTTGGATAATAATAATGGGCCTTCTGTTTCTTAAGAGATGATACAGGAATAGCTGGATTCTCAAATTTAAATCTGCTTTTGAGGATATTTAGGAGGGCAGTAATAGAGGTGCAATGATTTTTTTTCAGTAAACAATTAAATCTATTTTTAACTGCATTTTCACTTCTTTTAGTCTTTAAATTTTTTGAGATAAAAGCCCATTTTCTTTGATGTTTTTTCACTATTTCCAGCAATTCTATGTCTTCCTCAAGACTCCAAGGATATCTATTTATGTCAGGATTCAAATGATTATTCCATCTTTCTCTGCATTACTTTCCTGTCCTGGGTGATTCTTTAAACTAGAGATTGAGTAAATTGGCTAAACTGCACCATTTGTTTTACTTGCCCTCCTCTTTGCTTTTTCTTAATATTAGTTGATAAAATTTACTTAATTAAATCGAGCAACAATCGATCTTACTCTTCAGTCCAAGGTATTTATTATAATGATAATTTTAATAAATCGGTCCATTTATTTTTGCATTATTCAACTGTACGACGACTGATCAACTACACTACTTCTTCCCAAATTTTATTATGCTTTAAATAAGAGTACATTTTACAATTTTTCTAATGTTGATTCCCTCTCTTTAACAAATTTTCAATACTACCCAAATGAGAATCTATTTATCATCGTCAGTCCAATTCTTTCTTAACTTTGGAGTCCATTATTCATGTAAATCCCTTTGTAACTTGTACACTTCTTAGTCAGTTAATAATTCAGAGATATGAAATTATTCTTTCAGAAACCTGAATACAAAAATAGATTACTATAAGGACGGAATCTTAATATCCTTAACATTCTCATAGAAAGTTTAGAACCTCTAGAAAAATTCCCTATTACTGTCAAATAACTACTGGTCATTTTTTGCCATTGCTACTATCAATTATTTATCGCTCTAATACTTGCTTCATTTTTTTGAGCCAGTTTTTCTAAGAGTTGTTTTTTCTTTTTCCAATTTCTTGTTTACATAATTAAATTTACAAGTTGGAAGATTAATTAATATTTTTATTCAAACAAAAGAATTTGCATAAATAATTAATTTTAAAGTCTCATAAATATGAAAATATATCAACAGACCATGGAAATACCTTATGGTAAGAAAGGAATCCAAATATTCTTGGGACTTTCTAATACACTTATATAAATATTTCAATAAATTTACTAAACATACTTGCATTTCATGGATCTTACTCATACAAAGACTCAATTATACTTAAGTATGACAAAAAATGAATGTCAAATCATATAAATATTGAACACACATTAATAGTTTTAATTTGATTCATTATAATACATACTGATTAACCAAGTACAAATCCTTAGGAAAATTTGGCTACAAACCACTGAATTTCAAATCCAAACCGGCTTTCTAGAATATTTATTTAAACATCGCATCTGATCTGATGACACTATGATCTTCGGTGTCATAACTAAATCCCTATTTCGTTATATTCTCCTTCAAAATGATGTAACCATTCCCATTCAAATTTAACTTGCATTTTTTTAAAAACAATATTAAATCGTCATCTGTTAAATGACTTGCCACCCATTACACCCAAATACAATCATATTTATGTTGAAACTCAAAACTTTATAAACCAGCGCAATAATACTCACTTATTTTATCACCAAGTTCTTCCTTTGCCTTCTCCACATAAATTGGATTCTGTTCCACCAAATCTACTTTCTTGAACCATTATATCAACAGCTCCTTCGAAACTCCTATTTTTATTTATAGCATAATCTTTACTTCCTATGCCTGCCCCACAATCAAGGACTCTTAAATCTTAGAGAGGGTTCTTATAGAGCATCGTCAATAGCTTGTTTGATTCCTCTATATCGATCTTATTTAAGAAATCCAATCCTCCCAACACACCTTTCAATGTGGGTTCTATTTTTCTCCAGTATTGATCTCCCAAAGAATACCATTTCTCTTTTGAATCCCTTAATTAGCTATCCCAAAGAGCTTGTATATTTTTAAAGAATTTTCCCTTGTCATCATTTCCACTTTCACTATTCATTATTTTTTAATTTAATTTTGTGATAAATATTATCAATATCAAAAAAGCATTATAATTATAAATGTATATATCATTTGTGTAAATTAATAATCTCATACCAGCTAGATTTACAATATATCTTATTTCCGATTTAGAGATTAGACTCAAGAAATAAATCTTAGTTTAGTAAATGCGTATCGTGAAATCAATGGGGATCAAATTAACTCTGTAAACATTGATTAAAATTCTTAATTGATTTTGTCTATTCACCCATATTTAAGAGCTGAATAATTTGATTTTGAAAATATATATAAAACTTTACTATTTAAATTTTGTGTTAATCTAAATAATAATAATTAGAATCTAAAAAATTATACTATTATTGAGGTAGAAACAAATTTTATATTGAAATGATTAATAAATAATGTACATTATATTTTATAAGCTTTTAGAACAATCAAACAGGTAATTGCAGTATTCACATTAGAGTTGACTGCAAATACTGAAAATCTTCATAGTTTTTGTGATTTTAGAAAAACAATAGGAGAATCAGAGCATTTTTTTTTTGTAAGTATTATTATTAATTTGATTAATTAGTCTTCATTTAGAAACATCTAATGATGAAGATTTTTCTTATTATTCTGTGATGTCTGATAAGGCCATCTTGGATCTTTCGTATCCCATTTTCTTAAAGAAATTAATCCAAATATCCTCTTCATTCGAGATGGTTCTATGCTATAACATATTGAATATAGAATTTTATACATAATCATTATGCAATTAATTCGAATTGACCCAGAAGAAGGAGATTAATGCTAGGTATGGCAATATGATGATGATTGTCAGGAAACACAATCTCAAGAAGAGTTCAAATGCAATAGTGTTATTGACTGACATCTTCAGACAAGGGATCATCTGACAAGGAGTACAATTGGGAAATTACAATTCCGAATTGACTTGTTCCTTTGCAATAAAGTAAATCATTTAGAATATTGTTAAAAACTGGGAGGCACTATACATGACAATTATTATTCTCAAGTCTTCTCTTTGGGTTTCGTTGTTTTGGAATGTCTTCATCTATAAAAGTGGAAGATCCTTGTAAAGCGGTTAAACTTTATCATCCATTTTTTTTTGCAACTTCAGACTGAAGACTACGAGAATTGCTGTTACGCACCCTCCCACTATTCTTGAAATTTTACTATATTTAACTAGAATTAGTTATTTCTTACAATAGCATTCGTAGAAAATGTCGTCGTCTTAAATCAATTCTATGAGTACAAATATTAAGCCAACGAGCACCAAAACGAATAAGAACAAAGTAATGTATCTGAATTTTGCTTACGCTCTCCTCCTGTCTGTGGATAGTTTGCTTAATTTAAGACTGATGTAGTAATAAAAGAAGACGAACACCATCATTCTGAAGTAAGGTTCTAATTGTGTCACGTATTTGTTGCTGATGATGAAGGAATCTACTAATAAAACTTGAATTGGTAATCATGATTACTTAGAAAGTTGGTCATAATCATGTACAAAATGATGCATTTTTTCGACAATTTCTTAGTTCCTGTTTGATATCTCCTTAGCAATTATAGAACCAGAATAGAAAGCAAAATAATTATAATAACACCCAAGATAAAACAATTAGTACACTTCAAAAAGTTTTGTGATGCCCCTCCTAAACAAAATTAATAAAATGGGTAAATGCTTTTTTGAGTTTATTATTCACTCATATATTAATTAAATAATTAATAATGCAATCGCCAAGATATTCTGTCCTTTATTACCAAATAAGTATGTCATTAAACAGATATCGTGATGCTAAATCCATCATCATTCATTTGAAAGAATTAATTTTAGTTTTTATATTGATAAACTTATGAAACTTAATAGCTTGTAATCAATTAAAGAAATTCTGACTGTCATCAATAGTCTTTACATAGAAATATTTAATTCAATTCTGAAAAATCAATCGATACTCCGAAGTATATTTTGATAATTAAAAATTTAATAAAAAGAACCCTTTATTTATAATTATTATTATCCATAAATATGTTTTGTTGTAAATAATTACGGCTCTATAGATTTTAATAATTTAGTACTTTCAGATGGTGTAGTTAAGTTTTCGATCAAATAGAGAAGGAATCGAGAAGAAAAATAAAAATTTCACTATTCTAAGATGCCTTAAAACAGGCAGAGGAATTTAAAGTGAAGGAGGAATTTATTCGATTTACTCTGTGTGATGTTAATTCATAATCCTAATTGATTGAAGCAGCTGTGCCAGCTAATGTTCTATACAGTGCAATAGCAAAGACTTATAACTTAGAGTTTTCTCTGGTTGAGAGATTGTATGGTGAGATCAATTCAATGAACAACTTTGAAGATGTATTTAATGCCCATAATAAATCAACTTCTATATAATTTTCGAGTTTATTTTAAAAAATCCAAGAGATCTTTGAATTATCTGGGGGAGGTTGTGAAGAATAAAAGGAAGTATTGGTTAAGGACTTATTAAGTTTGTGTTCCAGTGCACAAGAAGTGAAATATCTGATTAGATTCTTGAAGGTATTAGTCATTTGAATAGAATAGAAAAGAATGAGAATAGGTTTAAGTACATAGAGTGTATCATCGTTACTGGATGAGAGTGAAAGAAAACGATTATTGGGATATCAATCTGGATCAGGAGATTTGTAGATTGGAATTCCGATACAACCCTAATTAGCAAAAAGTTTTCAAAAGGAGAATAAGGAGGAAGAGATAACAATGGAGAAAATCAAGAAAAAGTTCTTGAATGACGACTTAGGAGGATGCTATTTCGAGTATAAATATGATGGGGAGAGATTATAAGTGCATTACACCAATGGGGAAGTCAAATTGTTCGGTAGATCTTTAGAGGAAAAGACAAAGCAATTCAAAGAGTTATCGAACTAATTGAAGGATTATTTCCATAACAATAAATTTGACGATGTAATATTGGATTGTGAGATGATATGTTATGATAAAGGAGAGATCTTGCCATTTTAAGAAATGCAGAATAAAACATATGAGAATTCAGTGTATCTGAGTTTGGTTTGCTTTGACATATTGTATCATAATAAATAAATTCTACTAAATAAGACTTACTCCTAAAGATTATAAATTTACAATTCAATCTTAAAGCCTATAACAAATCAGAGACAAGTAATAAGCCACATAATTTCACATCGATTTAAGAATGAAAGTGAAATGGACAGATTTTATAAGTAAGCATTGATTGATGGATTGGAGGGGATTATGATTAAAAGAGATGCTGTTTACTCACCTGGATCGAGAAATGATTGGCTTAAGATTAAGAAAGAAAAGGATATTGATTTAGTTGTTCTGGGTGGATATTATGGACAAGGAAAAAGACAATAATGGTTGGGTTCATTTCTATTGGGTATTTATGAGAATGGACGATTGCATCCCATAGCTAAGATAGGGACAGGGTTTAGTGATTAAAAATTAGAGGAGTTGACTAAGAGGTACATGTCCAAACCAAGTTGCAGTTGTCCCTAACATTTGGTAGGGTTTAAAGATCAGCCTCATGTTTGGTTTTCTTAAAATGACGTTTGGGAGGTCACTTATGATACGGTCTCGGCATCACCTCTTTATCCAGCTCAAAATTCGCAGTTGAACACAGGAATATCAGTGAGATTCCCCAGGTTTAAAAGAGAAAGACCTGACAAAACAATAGAGCAGAGTGGGCCAATCCAAGATTTACTTGAAGAGTACTTTAAGGTGTAGAGGAAGGAGTTCTTTTGAGATTTTATATAGTTGTTAAGATATTTTTGAATAAATAGCAAGTGGTGAAAGGTTCAGGCTCAATAATACAAATAGTAAAATCAGTATTCATTTATATTTAGTATTTGATGTAAAATTAAATAAATATTAAATTTCTCTAAATCTAATTATGAACTCTTAAATCGAAAGAAACTCTGATCCTCCCCGCACTAATGTGATTTTGGTTGTTATAACTAACAAGGCTAACAAGACTCTGAGTCATGATAAGTATTTTAAGGTGTTTAGTCCTTTCGGTACCATATAGAGAGTAGTTGTTGATTTATAATTGTTTAGATGCTCATCTTTGAGAGATCACTCACATGGAAAACCTTTGTTGAATTTGACAACCCAGACTCTGCCCTCAAAGCTAGATCTTAGATGAATGACAAATACTTCTGTGATGACAACACATTGTTGATGAATGTGTATGCCAGCAAATTAACTTACATAACATTCCAAGAAAACAATACTGGGGGAGTAGGTATGAGTGCAATTAATTGTTAGATTACACTTAGCTACGAAAAAAAGAATCGTCACCTCCAAATGAAGTTACACAATCTTCTTCTTCATCCATTAAAACCAATCCCATCTCTCCTTAACAAAACTTCTAATTTTTGTAATCCCAAATGTAATTCCAACACCAAATGTCTCGTCAAATCTAACAAATCAATTCTCTTATGGGACAATTGTAATAGGTTTGTGCAGAAGGCTTTGCTGCACCCTTATAACAAAACACCGACCTCCAGAATCAAATTGAAAAGCAATAGTCAATCTTGAAGGACATCTACGACTTTTAACTCAAATTCTCCAACCTCACAGATCATTACTAAACCTTCTTACAAGATTACAACCAACTTGATGATTAGAAATCTACCAGTGTTCAATCCAGCAGCAATGGCAAACAGAACAGGAAGAAACTAACACTCCCCAACGACAAAAAGGTCAACAATGGGGATTAGATTGAATTCATACAAAGTTATCATGAATCGGATGTTACCAAGGATGTTATGTTCCACAGTTCCGATAAATTGATTGATCAGATGTAGGTTCAGAAGATGTATTAGAGTGAAGGAAAGAGTGTTGTCAAAGCAGAGGAACTCAATTTCAATGGATTAGGTCTAAGAGATTCCGAAGGCGAAGATGACAATCTTCAAGAATATGAAGAAGAATTATTCTAAAGAGTCAATGGCATTGAAAATGAGAATGATAATGAATTGTTCAAATTGGCAGATTAGAATTAAGAGCAAAATGAAGATAAATAAGAAATCTTTAATAAATGGAATCAAGAGATTAGCTCTGACAAAAGTGACAATGTAGTTGCACATCAAGTTGAAAAGCAAACTCAGAAAAATACCATTGAATAATCATCAAGAAGTGTTGACAATATTGATTAATTAATTAGCAAAGGTAAAAATTAGAGTTCAAATCCATAAATTACTTCCAAAAGTCAGACTTTGCAATAATAATAAGAAAAACTTGAAGAATATGTGAATCCTCTCTTTTTTAAAGGTTCTTCATTTATTGATTTTGTTTAGCTCTGCGCAAATCTAAAGTCATTTATGCAAGATGGTTCGACAAGAAAGTTGTAACATCCGCTATGCTTTATAATATATTTAGTATCTACGGCAACATAGATAAAATGATCTATCTGAAGGAGAGATCAAGTTGTCTCATTCAGTATGTGTTGTAGGATCATGCGGCCATGGCTAAAGACGCTTTGAATGATATCATGTTTTATGGATAATAAATCAAAGTATCTGCCACTTACTAATTAGATCTTTTTTTCAAATTATGAGGAAATATCCCTAAAAACATAGCCAACAAAACCTGGTGAGATTGCCTCCGATCTTAAAACTCAAGAAGAATACTTTTAAGGAGGAGAAGAAACTCACCGTATCAAACCTGATTCCACTTATACTCTTGCTCCACCTTGTGACACAATCTAAGTTTCTAATCTTACAAGAAATTCCTGCCAAAATCATATCATGTAATAATATATGCAAGATTTTGGATAAATCAAAGTGTTGAAGTATTACGAGTTGTTTTATTAAATAGAATTCTATCTACTGGGAATAAGTATATGTGTATCCTGAAATATGCCACTATTGAGGTGGCATTGACAGTTTTGGCTAATATGAATGGATTAGAATTGGACGGAAAGTAATTATATTTTGTTATATAATTATAGACCTATATAAATTAACTTTTCTAAACAAAAATTATGATTGGTTGATTTATCGATTATTCGGATTAATATTACAATATACAACCTACTTTTTTTATTTTCATTAATTCAAATCAATAAAAATGGCAGGAAAATCAGGCAAAGGAATTGGCAAGGTCAGCGCAAAGAGACATGCAAGAAAACCAAACAAAGCATCCATTGAAGGAATTACAAAGCCAGCTATCAGAAGATTAGCAAGAAGAGGAGGTGTTAAGAGAATTTCATCCTTCCTTTATGATGACTCAAGAAATGTCTTGAAGAGCTTCTTAGAAAATGTCGTTAGAGATGCTATCACCTATACAGAACATGCCAGAAGAAAGACAGTTACCGTAATGGATGTTGTGTACTCCTTAAAGAGATAAGGCAGAACTCTTTATGGCTTTGGAGCATGAATTAGTTTAATATAAACAATAATAATAATTAATTTAAAAACTCCTTCTTTCTCATAGTTGAATAATTGATCAACCCTATTTTCTAATAATTATATTTTGTAAAAATAATAAATAATGAAAGAGGAAACATAGATATTTAGGGTAAAAAAGTAGATACATTATTTCGCCTGGCATTGCTTTGCTCCCTATGCATTTTTAGGTTATTTCATGACAATCCCAAGCGCAGCAGAACCATCCTGGCTTAAGATCAATCAAACAAAACATAAATACAGAATCGATTTCAATTGGATGAATGTTGCATTTCTGATGTACTCTCTTCAAAGATTATATAGAGGTTATTTGCTTGCAAGTGGCATTGAGATGAAAGGCAATCTGAGACAGATAATGATTAAATGTGAGACCATGCTTATCGTGGCTCTGGTGTTGCAATGGTTTCTCCCCTTCAGAGAAGGGACTCTGATAATAAGAGTATTCATGGGAGCTTTGATCAATCTCGACATAAAGTACAGCAATGTCTATTTTAAAACTATGATGAAACCTATTGAAGTTTATATTAAGAAAAAATTTCCAGAATAATTAAATGGTAATGGAATCAATATTAATGATAACTAGTTAAAAATCTAGGTCAATATTTATGTCAGTATCAATATATTGCCTTTGGAATTGGGTGGACAATTTAGGGACTTATGGCTTACAGCTATCCCAAAATCGAGATGCTTAACAAGTTGAAGATTTATGATGATTGTGTTCTGTGGAATTTGTTAATCTCCTTGCCAACAGTATTTTTGGCAATTAGACTGATCAATTTACATCTTTCATTTAATTATGATGATCTAAAGACTTGCACCCCTAATGAGGCTGAGTACTTCTTGGCCAATATGTTCAAGAAAGCCAATGTAGAGGAGGTAATAGACATGTACCACGAAAAACGACTTGTTGATAGTAAAATACAATTTTATCATTAGATGATGAGTACGAATTAGATGAATAAAAGACTCTCAAAATCATTTAGATCATCATGTATTCAAGTAGCACCATGATGTTAGTCTTCTTTATTAATCGTTTGAATGTAGATTCCAATGGAGTTATCTATTAATCTATGCCTTTTCATTACTTCATTTTTGGATTAACAATGATTTTGGCAAATTACCTGCCTTGTAAATTGTTTTATAAGGTTCCATAATTGTTACTGTATAGATTAAGTTTGTTCATGAGCATTATTATCAATTTGGCATTGGTGATTAGCATTTAAATTTAATCCTATTATTTCATTTTGATCTCTTGCATCTTGGCAATATTTAGTAATGGGGTGGGTTTATTCTCATTCACTAGTAGCTATAATTATGTATAAATCACTTAATAACTCAGTACGTTGATGATTTCATGCCAATCCAACTTAGTTAAGGCTTGAGTTTAGCAGTCTTGGTTGGACTGCAATTCTTTATTCGGGAGTAAGTGTTTGGAATAAGTCTAATGGTAACTACTATATTAGGAATATTCATATGGAGAAGAGTGTAATATTTAATTGAATAGGAGGAAGAGGATGAAGATAACGCTAAATTGATTATGTGATATAAGAGTGTATTAAAGAGATGTTAAATAATTTATATTAGAAAGCAATAAATTAATTTTTAATTAAATCTTTTTCAAATGAAAACCCATACAGAAGTGTCAAGTCAAAGAAGAAAGGGCAGAAGAGCTTAGCTTGGTGCTCCATCTAATATTAGATATAAATTAATGAGTGCTCATTTGTCAAAAGATCTAAGAAAAAAATATAATGTCAGAGCATTACCAGTCAGAAAGGATGACGAAGTGACAGTGGTCAGAGGTATGAATAAATTAGTAAGGAAAGGCACTCATAAGGGAACAAAAGGAAAGGTTTCATCAGTTTACAGAAAGAGATGGACAATTCAGATTGAGAAATTGACAAGAACCAAGGCCAATGGTAGAGTTAATAATAATAACAATAGGAATGCCATATCAAATACCAATCAGAGCATCTTAATGCATTATCACTAAACCATACTTAAATGAAGACAGAAAACAATTGCTTGCAAGAAAGGCATCAGCTAAGGTATCAACAAAAGGAAAGGGTGAAAAGCATACAACTGAAAGTACAAAGAAGGCTGATTGAATTTGAATAATGTTGTAGAGAATTTATTATGCAGAATAATTTAAATATTAAGTTTAAAACATGTATCATCAATGGCGACTTGGTGATCTGTATGGATCTAGACTAGCCTCTTCTCTTGTTTTGTCCCAATCTACAAGGAATCCCTTGATATTCATATTGAATTTGTTCAACTCAACGTCCTACATTAGAAAATCTAATTTACATGATGGAATTTAAAGTTGAAAGCATGTTTTCCAGCTCTTTCTATCATCAACTTTGTGGTCTCAGAGACTTGAACTCTTCCCTCAACTCCACTGCTTTCCATTTTATTGGCAACGGAGACATCTTTTCCATAGATATCATATCGGACAATGTCAGTTCCAATGATACCGCCAGTTACCTATCCAGTGTGGATACCGATTCTCATGTTCAATTTATCAAATTTGATTTTCTATCTAACAGACATAATGATATCGACCATCTGAAATCCCATTTTGACAGTGTTAATGGCTTCTTGAATAGGCTAAATAATGAATATGACTAAATACATTTCGTTTGGCACTATTAGTGAATCCCATAACAACATAACAATCCCCAATAGTGTACATTTTGTAGACATTGTATCTTTAACATAGTTTATCGAATTCAGTGAAGAGATTTCTCAACATGAGTACGACACCTTCTGGACTCTGAGTGTGGGAGTACTCAGTGAATCCTTTAATGTCAGCAAAGAGAAGAGTCACATCATCAAACTCATCTATAAAGTCACTTTTGTCGTAGATGGAACTATTCTTCATTTTAAGATAGGAATGCATAGGTAACAGTTAACTAACAAGATTAATTTGTTTGACTTTCTTTTCTTCGTTGATCTATAAGTTGTTGAACATTTGTATTTGTTCACTCATTGCTAGGTAATATCCTAACAATAGGATGAGCATGCAACAACAAATATAGAAGATTGCATAATGAGTGATTAAGTCTGTAGAAATGTAGAATCCTAAGAACAATCCAAACATGATCATCATATAGAGTATTACTTACAGAAATGAAAACATTTTCATCTAACAAGACACTATCATAATGTACAGTATTTCAAGTAAACAAATAATTGCTACTTCTCTATTGTCAGTTAAATAAGCCTAGAATAGGACAGTGAAGACAGCGTAAATAAGCAAGATGTAATACATAGTGTTAACTACTCTATTTCTATAAGCCTTGGATAGGATTGGAAATAGTACTAATGATACAATCAGGAAAATAGCCTATTTATAAATATTGAATCTAATACTCTCAATACGAAGATCAACAAATCATGATTAAACAATTTACGAACTATTATTGATAACAGAGTAATAACGAAATAAGTGATCCACAAAAATATCATACCCACTCTTGATTCATCTACATTTTGTTCCTTAAGAATTTGATTGAAATTGGATTTTATTTCATTTTCTGGTATGTCCAGAATTATATTTGGTTTAATCAATTCCAACTCCAATACTCTCTCGTCTTATTCATTTGTCATCAATACTGAATCTTCAGTTGGCACTTATTCAGGAGGTTATGCTGGTATTGTTAATCTTGATCTATTGTCTTCATGAACTGACCCTTGTTGTGCTTGAACTGGCTATGGTCCTTTAGGAGATATATCAAGTTTGCTCTACTATTTCAAATTATCCTGGTATATTGAGTTGTGTAATTATGATAGGAATTACCTTTACTTTTTGGTTTTTGAACTTCCCTGCTATCTTAACTCCTTTACAACAAGCTTAGTGCAGTTCTACCATAATTGAAATGCCTTTGGTATTTAATAACCTATTGGTTTAGTCTTGAACACTTAATAAGTATCAATGATTCCTAAACCTTTAGCTTCCTTCTATTTCTTCTAATAGTACTTGATTCCATGTCTTGCCTATTTAAAAGCCTGTTCACTCAATGTTATGGCTCCTGTATCTCCAGTTGACCCTACTCTACTTGTCTAATTGACAGGATCCCCTATCAAAGAAAATTGAGGTTTATGATGACCTATCACTCCAGCAATGACTCGACCCACATGTATTCCAATCTTCATCTCAATTTGATTACCCTTTCCATACTTTCTCCCTTGCACTTACTACATCATATCAAATGCCATATTAACTAATCTCATAGTCTTCTCTATCCTTGTCACATGAGCTGTCATATTTTATTCACATGCCTTAATACCTGTGGCAGCCATGTATGTATATCCAACAGTTTCAATCTTCTGCACTCCATGTTGAATACACAAATTATCATACAATCTAAACAATGAATCCAACATCAACACTACATTCTTGCCTTCTTCCTTCATGATTGTATCAAAATCACAAATGTAAGCAAACAAAATAGAAACATCATCCTAAGCCTATTGCATTGAAAATTATCCTATTGAAATTTGTTGTCTCACAAATCTAGGCACCAAGATGCTCAATATGTCTTGGGCAGCTATATTATCTTGTTCTATTGAATATTTTGCTAAGTAGTCATTTCTTCTATGTTTGATCGACTTGTAGTAACTGAACAAAAATCTAATAGTGATACTCACAACCAATAGAATTTGAGTGCTGGCTGCATACACAGATACTCTACTTTGAGAATAAGTTCCATTGGAAGTGCTGAGATCTGTTGAAATCACAACTATCAAGATTCTTACAATTAGTTGAATCAAGTAACAGATGTTGTACAACATTATTGGAATCACACTCATATTCATCGAATTAAATGTACTAAATAAGATCACTAAAGTAGCAGAGAGAGTTATAGTCAAATCATCTGATAACCAATCTATTGCTACTTTGATTGCAAATATGATCAGCACTATGATATGTGAGTATGTATAATATGATTATTCCATTGCATGACTACACGAAAAGAGGATTATAATAAAGATGATACCAAATACAACTAAGTAATACGCTCCTGTGAACACTCTTTGATCTGTCAAAAAGAAGTCTGTTAAACAATATGCAATGTAGTATAATAACAGAATGCATAAGAATACTCGCAAATGCTTGAGGGATTGAACTAATTTGTGAGCTAAAAACTTTTATTCCAAAACCAGCTCCTTCATCTCAAGAGTGAGAGGTTTCAATTTCATTTCAGTTACTTTGGTATCACCTGGATTCAACATCTCTTATATGTAAGGTGAAGTAGCTGAACAATCAATGAACACCTTCTGAATTATGGATGAAACATTACTATCATATAATAATAATTAAATATTACACATGCTAATCTAGACATTGATGTAAAATCTCTTTGTTTGTAATCACTTCCTATTCTACACCGCTTTTATTCTGAAATGCAAATTATTAATATGCACTTGGAAAGTATATCAATTTTATAACATCATGTAAAAAGTAATTGATAAAATAACACCCAATTAGACTAAATATCATCGCAACGATGCTATTAAATCTAGTAAACAACTGATATGTCAATTCTTGATAATCATAATTACTAAAGTCTCCTCTGTAATTAAGAAAAACAAAGCCTACCAATAATCCAAAAGTCAATAGAAAGGCTATGACCACAACACTTACACTATTGCAGATCAATCTAAACAGTACTTTTAGAGTAGACACAGTGATGAGCAAATAGATTATTGATGTTGCTACCATTTGTAAATCTGACTAGTGACCATCATTCGTCCATGCATAATTAACCATGTAAATACAAGAATAGAATGTGTAAGCTGCACAAATGAAGGACTCCAAAAATCCTTCAAGGAGATAATAAAGCCAGAATCTACGAGTTCTTATTTACCCATCTATGTAAAATGCAGGAAATCGAGTATTCACTAAAGGTTAAGTCTGCTTATCAGCCAAACCGATGACCAAGGCATTTGGAGTGGTGTACATAAAAATGTATAAAAACACTGTCATTGAATCATGCAATGAGGTGGCTGTGAATTGGCAGAACCAATTAAAGAAGAAGAGAGTCATACCTAAGAAACCAGCACAATAAAATAGATAGATGATCATAGATGACACTCTTTCGCTATGCAATTTGCATTTCTATAATAGCAACACCTTGATTTCAGAAAGTGTATTAACACTGATGTCACCTGCATTCACTTGAGGATAAATGTGATTTCTTTTGCTGTTAATTATTTCAATACTGACATTCGCAGCTTACATCATCAATGCATCATTATATCCATCGCCAACTCCCAGAACAGTAGGATTGTTAGGAAAGTAATTGCGAATTATCGTACATGCTAATTCCTTTTATTATGGATTCATATTGAATCCAATCACATTCTTACAAACACAAGATAAGAACCTGAAATGACTCATTAGATCAGGCGATTCACTAATCAGAGATAGGGAATGACCATTAACTACTAAAACGAATTGTAACACCTATTAATATTGCGCTCCTTCAAAAAATGTCACACTTGATTTAATCATACTTCTACTCATCATATTATCATTCTAATGCTTTTCTTATTATTTCTCTTGTATCTTCTATATTTCACTTTAGATCTGTCCTATAGCTGTATTAATTTGTAACCATATCTATTCCTTATCGGTGGCCACAATCCTCAGATATTTAGACGTCGCCGTCATCTCTAGAGATTGTGCACAACTGATTGTTTGCACTTCCTAATCACCACTCAATAACCATATATCAATGTTACAATCTTTAACAGTTCTAATGAAATCTAAAGCATCATTTTTCAATTCTTCTTTGAATCCTGTCATCCCCAAAATATTCAACTCCTTCTCATATTCTAATGCCAATTGCTCAAGAAGAATATCTTGGTTTGTTAATGAACTATGCAACAGATTAAATTGTTATTTGTAACTTTCAGTCTCCTTCTCACTCAACACTCTAGTAGCATAGATAATCATTCTGATTCCTCTCTGTTTGTAATGCTGAATGTAAGAGTCTAGTTCTTCTCTTTCCTTATGATTTAATTACAACTTTGCTTTTATTGCTTCATAATCTCCTTTACAAATTAATAATGAATTGTTTTTCGATCCTTCCCCACATAGTTAGTTGATTGCTTCATACTTTTATTTTAAATCTAGATCCATCGTCATAGGAGCCTAAATAACAACAGAATTCAGATTTCTAGTGTATGTAAACAAATTCAATCCCAAAACTTGATACCATATTGGATTTCCTCTTACTTTACATAAGTACATATCAGGACTATCAAATTTGTTGAAATTTTCAAGGGAGTAACCACAAGAACGAGCAAATGTCAATGCAATTTCTTCACTCTTTGAGAAGGATTCATAAGTAATAGAGTCAGCCCCAAATACTGGTCTAGCCTCATGGCATAACATTAAGCATTTTAGAAATGCATCATAATACAATGTGTTTATATCTTCAGTTTATTGGTACTCTTTTTAAGGTGAACTACTTCTTAATTGATTCACTAACTAAATGAATTCATCATTATTATTTCCAGGGCTATTTCTAGTTTTAGGTTGTGGTAAAAATATTCTTGTCTACATATAATATTGCAAAGGTTATTAGACTGAGTTCTCCAACATTGTCATTCTCTTATTCTATGGCTAGGCTGTAATCTAATTGAAAATAGGATTGTTATTGGATGTTTTTACGCTTTTCAACAATAATTTACCACTTGGTTAGACATCTGCATGACTGGTCTTCTTTTCGTATTCAAATGGGATCAAATATTCATTGCCATCATTGATGCTAGCAAATTTAACAGGATCCTCATTTTCTTCAGGCTTGACTGATTTTTAATTCAAAGTTGTCTGCAATTGATCATAATTCAAAGTAAATGACAGGGAACCAAATAAAAGATTATCCAATTTGTAATAGGAAGTAGTCAAAGTGCCTGTTTTGTCAATCAACATGTAATCAACATGACCTAAATCACTCAGGTTGTTAGCTGTGTTGATTTTAACATATTTAGTAATATTATCTTCAATTTAATTGATTTCATATTTAAATAAAGAAACGAAGTTAACGAAATCTAATAGTAGATAAAGAGTGGATGGAATTAATTAGGCATATAGGATTGCTAATTAGAAGACCTTCATTCCATTGGTGGTATTGTGATCAATTAATAAGGCGAAGTAGCCTTCATCAGATCTTGCTAATAGAACAATGATTGAAATCAAAGTAAAGAAGAGGGATAAGCAAGCCATGAGGAATGAATAGAAATTGCACTGTTTTTCTTCAAAACTGTGTTTCTAAGCATTGTAATGACTGCTTTGCATAGTTTTAGTGTTTTCACCAACGTAGACAACTAGACCGAATAGCCAGGAAGTCTATTTAATCTTTGTGCCTTTGGGGATGAAATTGTCTATAGTCAATTCCTCATTTTTGGGATCCTTCTTCAATTTTAATCTACCATGAAATCTTTCGGTGTTTCCATTGGGTGCTTCATATTCTAATTTACCAGTCAACATTTTTCTGTATTCTGGAAACTGATTCTTCAATCTTGTTCTCAAGACTATCAATTGAGTCAAATAGGAAGATTTCTTCTTGGCCAGAGAAGATTTGCCATCGTAATATTGTGTGTCAACCATACAAATTGCCTCTCTGTCTCTCACTTATCCTGTGTCCAATAGGATGATATCTGCAGGGACAATGTCTCCTTTGATCAGATAGAGTACATCTCCAATTTGAATATCACTCCATTTTATGGTTTCCAATGAACCATCTTTGGCTCCTCTGGATGTTGTTTGCATATTTATCTTATGATCATGAGTCTATCTGCGTATGTCGAGTATGAATTCCATAAAGACATAAAATATCACACTCAATCCGACAGGGAAGATGGTGATCCATCTGTAAAACGGAGACAATGTTGGATCAATCAACATTATTAAGGAAATCCCTAAAAGATAGATGTTTCCGAATCTTTCCAATGCAGTGTATAATGTTTTGGGTAGAAAGTTATATAACTAACATTATCATGAACATTACTCTATATTTCCTGGTGTTGAAAATGTTTTTGTTTTAAGGTACACTCAATAATTAAACACTTCCTTTATGTAATTCCATGGTAATCATTTATGAATCACTTCCATAGCAGAAGTTCAAACATTCCCGGAATCTCCTCAACCATATCTCCACGATTTAGTGATGGTTATAATTCATATTAATTTAAATGTAATAATCAAAAGCAGCTCTGGAAATAGGAGGCACCTTTATTCAAGTTGGTATCGGTACCAAAACAGATAACAAATGGTCATTAACCAATAAAAAGACATTTGACACCAGAGATCCAGAAGATACTCTCCTTGATCTAGTGACTTATTTGCAGCAATTCGAATTTGATTCAATTCAAATAGCTTCCTTTGGTCCTCTGTGTTTGAACAAAGATGATCCCCAATTCGGATCCATTACCTCCACTCCTAAACTCAAATGGCAGAATTTCCCCATTGCAACAAGATTGTCGCAATCATTAAAGAAACCCTTTGCAATAGACACTGATGTTAATGCCTGTGCCATGGCTGAATTTATGTTGGGCAACCATAATGTGAGACAATCCCTTGCGTACATCACAATCGGAACTGGAGTTGGAGTAGGTATCATAGTGAATAGACAATGTGTTCATGGAATGTTGCATCCAGAAGGAGGCCATATTTTAGTTGCCAAACAGTAAGAGGACAAAGACTTCAAGGGAGTTTGTGCATTTCACGGAGATTGTTTAGAAGTGCTATTATGTTAGTGATATCATTAGGGATTATGTACCAATGTTGCAATAGCCAAGAGATTGAATTGTCCTATTACTGAATTACCTAATATCAGTGATGATCATCCAGTATGGGAATTGATTGGTTTTTACTTGGCAGAAGCATGTCAAAACATCTTATATCTATTGTCAATCGAAAAGATAGTGTTGGGAGGAGGAGTCATGAACAGGAAGCTCTTGTATCCCATTATTGATAAGCATCTAAGAAGACTAGTGAACAAGTATGTGGAAATACCAGAAAATTACATTGTGGAGCCTCAGGTAGAAGATGTTGGCTTAATTGGTGCATTATTATTATAATGATAATAATTCAATTATATGATCTCATCTAGGATTGTGAGTTCTCTCTCAAGGTTTTAGTTGATATCAATGTTATAATAGGTAAATAAATATATAATAATATCATTTAGTTTCAGCTTATTTGATAGTAGTCTTTTCCAAATTGCTTTCTGGTTATTACACTTATTTTGATACAGTCTCATCCAATTTTGTTATCTTCTTAATTGGCACTTGTTTTTAGCCAGATTCATAGTATATTGATTATTGCAACGGTATTGGTTGCATCTGTTTAGTCTAATATAATGGTTATGGTTGATGATATGTTTGATATAACACTTATGGTTATCTTGGAGAACTTAGTATTTTTGATTGAGGTGAACTGAGTATTTGTTATTGAGGTACATAACTTTATGAATAAACAAGTTTATTTGGAGACATTTGTCGTTTTTCTTGAAAGAATGGAATCAAGTTGCAAATTTTATCTCTAAATTAATCGATCACCTGTTTTAAATCATTCCAACTTGGTCTTGCATTCTCTTCAATTTACAACAGTTCTCTTACAAAGTTTGTTAACAATTGTGAATATCCTGATCTCCTTACTTTTTGCAATTTTTAATCCACCAAATTTTGTGATATGCAACCATTCTAAAAATCCATACAATCATAAGATTCTTCTAAAAGTAGAACTTCCAGCATTGTCATTCCAAATGAAAATACATCACTTTTATATTCATTATGTTGTGCTCTAAAGTTCATATTTCTATAATTGCTTAATAATATAGGAGATAGGTAAGCTCTATCTTTGCTTAGCAACATCTTCTGAAACCCATGCTAACCTCCAGGAAAATAGTTATATTCTGCCAACTTTACACTTCCATTCTCATCCAAATAGATGTGCTATGGTTGGATATCTCCATGAGCTTACTTCTATTCTTCCAAAAATGCCATTGGATCTACTATTTATTAAATCAATAGCCAAATATGAGATTCAGGGTATCTCTTAAGTGGTTGCTTTCTCTTTTTCAATTCACTCTCCAGTGTGTCTTAAAAATACTCTGAAACAACCATCACCAAACTGGAATCAGAACAAATCGATTATTCATTACAAGTGCGAACAGCCAGTAATTACACCAAATTAGGATGTACAAAGATTTTCCTCTTCCTCAAATGGTTTGTTATCTGTGTTAATTCAGTATCACTCTTACTTTACAACTTCTTAATGCAAATCATAGAATTATTCTAATTATAACAGCTTAATTACTTGATTGTGATTGTACAACTTCACCTACCCAAATTGGTTGTGATCATATTCTCTCTCCTTTGAATATTGCAGTAAAAACATTTGGTACTATTATTATGTCTTCATTTCATTTGTATCACTTTGATCAGCTCCCATTAACGAATAAATTAAATTAATATTATTAATAAAACTAGTATTTCGAACATTTTAAACTGTAAATTATATTTATATATAAAAACAAAGACTTACTAATTTTGTTTGGATTTCTATCTAATATCTATTAATACTTAAACCTAAATACAGACCCTTAAATTCTAATTAAAAAATTAGAAAAACTCTACTTCTTAGAATAGATCATGATAACTCATATATTTATCCATAATATGCTATTGTTTGAGAACTCTTATAGTATGTTTGTTATATAATCATAACTAATATTATTGTATTGATTTAATCAGAAAGATTAAATTAAACCTATCTAGATTCAAAGTATGATCAGTGATAACTAATTGTTTGTTAAATCACTCCCGATTAAGAACTTCAATTTATAAATATGAATTTTAAGAAATTGGTACTTATTTATTCTATAAAAATTACATATTCAATACACTCTGGCTTTTTCATCGAAGTCTTATTCAAATTAATTATCATACAATAAATCTTAACCATTTCCGCTAAAATCATCATCTTCATAATAAGAAAAAGTAAATGTACTTGATCCTATTGAAGACTATATAATAATTCAATAAATGTTTTACTGAATAATTTTCGGAATGCACTAACTTTTATTCGCTATTTGAAGTATCAGAATATTCAACATCCATATTTTGATTTCCTTCTTATATCGACTAATTTCCATTCTGTTGATTGTGGCCAGAATTAAAAATAATTTGATATTTATTTTGTCTACCCAACAAATGTTTTTAAATGTGAGAGTAAAATCTATTTTTCACCATGTTTTCCTAAATCATTACATAAATTTACAGATCTTCCCTTTAAATGAGAAGCAACAACACTCCATTTGGCACCATATTGATTATAATACTTGACAATGTCCTAATCCTCTTATTATGTCCAAGGTACAAAATTAAGTGCAGGATCCAATTTATTGAGATATCTTTCTCTGATTTATTTCCCAGTCCTTCCTTAAAAGTGTCTGGCCAATTTGGTCCAATTCTTCCCCTCTTAAGCAACCAAGTGTACTAATTTTGCATCTTCCTCTTAATTCCATTTTTATTTATTCTAAACATTATGATTTTCATAATAACTTAAATAGGATTTATCCTTCTCCATCGCTGAGAACATTATGAAATGTTTCGTTCAGGCATAAACTGAATTATTTTACTCCAATTTCCCTAATATTCTTGGTACAACTTTCTGAGACGTTGATCCTCTTCAGGTTACCAAATTTTCACAACTCTCTTGTCTCCTTCCTGTTTCTCCTTTGCTTTACTTATCTTCTTCTTCAAACCCTTATCTACCTTCTCCTGAGATTTGGAACTATTATAAAGACGATATTTATTTCCTCTTACCGCATGCCTTAATGATCTTTCATTTGATAATGATTCCCTTTATTGGCATCATCCATTTCGAACTAATTCTCCTAAACGTTGTCTTCTTCAAAACTACTCTTTTTTTATTATTATTTTTCGTCATTTAATTATAGATAGTTATCTGTTGGTGATCCGATTGATGAAGTGGGCTTTGATTCTTAAAAAATTTCAATAAATTTGTGCTACTTATTAGTTCATTCATCGCAGTTTTCCCAATGTCTAACTCAATCCTTCTTTGTTCTAAAAATTGTTCCTCCTAACTTTTATTGCTATTTTGTGATTTTGTATCCTTTTCATCTCTCTGCCGTTTCGAGCAGCAAAAATTAAATACAAGGTCTAGAAACATCTTTTTGTTGCTTTACTTGTTATTTAATAATTTATTAAATACTTGATTCTTACTAATTATATATATATTTGTTTCAATAAAATAATTTGTATCAATTAACTATTTATTTCTAATTTCTATTAATAAAGCCATCAATTATAATTATATAAATAAATTAAAATATGAATCAACTCGAAGAAGTTACCCTGAATCAGAAAAATATCCGTGATAAAACAGGATTGCCAATCAAAAGATTCTACTCTGTTAAAATGCAATGCCAAATTTGTTTTGATGATTTGACAACAAACGAAGATGAAGTCTTCAGAACAAACTGTGGAGACACCTTTCACAAAAACTGCATCTCTAAACTAATTGAAAACTGTTTGAAAGAAAGATATCAATAACTTGTATGTCCATCATAAGGCTGCAGTAATATTGTTGATTTAAATAATAAATAGAAGAAAAACTATCTGCATCACTCCTACCAAAATTAGGATTCAATTTTCAATAAATCAACATCTATTTTAGCGCATAATTGGATGAATTAGTAATTAAACATTAAAATAAATTCTCATGTTGTCCAACACTTGGATGTTAAAACATTTTCATCATCAATCCAAGTGGAGATCCAATGTTTAACTGCGAATTTTGCGAAAAAATATATTGTCTGAGATGCAAATCTGAATCACATCCTTAATACACTTGTGAATAATTCTAACTAACTAAAAATAAAGAAGTAAAAATCAATTAAATCATATTAATTATAGAGCAATGAAAGAGAATTCAAGAGGTTAGTCGAAAATATGAATTGCAAAAAATGTACCAATTGCGGAGCTTGGATCTTGAAAGAAAAAGTAAGAGACTTGTCTGATTATAGGGATGCAATCACATGAAATGCAAATGCACTTACGAATTCTGCTATAGATGTGGAAGAAAGTATAGACACCCAGACTGCAAATGTCCCTTGTTTGACAGAGACAATTTACCCTAACCATGAAAAAAAATACATAACATTGAAATATAATATAGTTTATTAGTTGTGATATTTATTCTTAAATTATTAAAGTATGATTTCAATCTAAATTGAGAGCAACAAAGAATTTGAGAATTTCTTGATTATTATTTTATTGATTATATTATTTTTAATTTATAATATGATAATTGAATTCTTAACTAAACCAAATTTTTGATATTTTTAAATTAGCTTAATCTTAAATTAAAATTGAGAAGATTAAACCCATGAAATTCTAGACATTCTAGCAGAGAGGATCAGCTTTAGTTTAATTTAAAATTAATTCAGCAGCCTAATAAGTATTATCATCTATTATAATTCAAATGTAAAATAATTATTAATTTTGATAATTTCAATATCGTTCCTTTAAATTCGTCATTTCGTTGTGCTGCTTTTTTATGATCTAGTATAACTTATCCACGTCTTATTGAAGATATCCAATTCTTATTTCTTTTTTTGCTATCTTCTCTAACAACAATCAATTATTTAGTTTTACTTTAAAGCGGCTAAACTTCTTGATATATTGCATAAGAAAGTTAACTTAAAGTCTTTTGTTACAACCCTGAAGTCTGTCCATTGTTAGCAGAAGACATGGAATTCAATTATTGTTTCTTTACTGTGATTTTTCCAGAACATGCTTCTATTATTATAAAGACATTGGTGCAGAGTATTTTTCTCTTTCTCTTTCTTTCAGTCGAGAAAAAGTTAGCTGAGTCATTGAAGTAATTTCTAAGAATGTGTTTGGCTGATGAATATTTAACTTTATGGAGAATAGCAGCCTAAAATAATAAATCATTGAAATTCTTCATTACCTAATAAATTGGGAGACGATCATTAACTACACTGAATATTAACCTTGTTTTAATCTCACAATCAATAGCTTTTCTTTACTTAGTTTTATCCTTAGTCTATTCTTGGATAGGAATAGGATTTTCTTCCATTTATTGAAGTATTTAGAGTTATTAAAAATACTTTCTACTCTCATTTATGATTTGGTTAATGCTATACATATAGAATACGTATGTAAAATGATTGCATAATTTAGATTTTTGAAAATTAATATGAATATTCAAGGAGAAATTTGATCAAATTTCAGATTTAATTGTGGATTATTTCATTTTTTAATAGATGTTTTAAATTTATTCTTTTAACTATTTGGAGACAAGAATTATTTTAAAATTAATCGATTGAATAATAAATTTCATAGTCAACTCACTTCATCCTAAAAACATTCAAATATGAGTTCTCCTTATTCGTTTTCATATTCTCTAATTCTATCCTCAGTTTTTAATTCATTCAATTCAACTGTCTCTGAATTATCAAGAGATGTATCTTTAGGATGAAACATATGAGCACACAAATCCAACACTGTCTTTTTGTCTATTTCAGCTGCTTCATTCTCTATTCAATTCATATTGATAATTATGTACCTGTATTAATTACACTGTAATATTCAACGAATTCGCTGATCCTCTCCACAAACCTACATTCTTCCATCTGTTTGGCAAAGTTCTCCTTACTCAAATACGACAGACATATTAAGACATGCATCAACACACTTACTTAAATCTATTCCTTCATGAATTTTAACAGTTATTCCATAACCTAATGAGCAAATTTCCCTTATTTCTCAAGATATTGCAATGTGTATGGAGTGTGAATTACATTCGCTAATGTAGCAGATGCAAAATCAAGACAAAATATATGAATTTTTGTATTTATTGATTTTTGAATTAATAAGATGATCCATTATATGATTTCATTATGAACATATGTTGGTATTACAGTATCTTTAATACTAGCTTTTTATAGAATTGCCAAACAAAATCTTTAAGTAACAGAACCATTTTCTTATTCCTTCAAAATTTTAATGATTTTCTCAATAATGATCATATTCCCATTATATGTTAGGTATTCCACTCCTCTCAAAGTACTGCTGATGACACTAATCAAACTAGTAATGGCGTGTCTCAGACTCTAATTATTGATATCCAATAAATGAACAACAAAATCGAACTTCTCCGTTGCTTCAATATTGAATACATCATTTCTAATTAACTCATAAACTAGATTCTTTCTCAATTCAGGTGCTATCTATAGTGCATTGACTCTCAGAGATAATAAAACTTCAATCATTCCATCCACATGTTTATCTTGAAAGTTCTTAAATAGTTTCGTCTTGTGTTCATGCATAACTTATTCAGTAATCAATTCAGTTCCTTCTGGCTTACCCTCATTGATGATCACTTTATGATACTTCCCCAATTAAATTTTATAATTTTCTAAGGTTTCACTCAAGTTCTCATTTTTGGCTGTTTCTTTGAGAGAATGCAATAATTAGAGTAGATTGATACTTACAGAGAAGATTTGTCTTCCAGCCTGCAGGATTTATTAATATTTTTTATTAAAGGCTTTTTATTCCTTTTCTAAATTGATTTCTCTTTTAGTTTTTGTATTGTCACTCTTAAACAACTGAAAAAGTCTTGGTGCTTCATCTCCTATTTATTTAGATTATTATTATTTATTCAGCATCTAAAAGTAATTATTATTGAAATGAGTACTTTATTAGAAACTTATTTGCTCTTAATTTCTGCTTCAAAACATTCAAGTGTGTTTGTAAAAGATGAATATCTAAGATACTCTTTGATGTATTCATTGATTTCATTTTAATCAGTTTGAATAGAATTGGGCAAATTTGAATTTGCAGATTTCATTAATATAAAAATATCAATAAATACACAACTTCTTAAGTTACTAAATAATTAATATTCAAGATTTGTCTTTAGTTAAATATTAAATATATTAAAGATTCTATCAATACATTATTACTTTTAGATTATCACTCTCAGTTTCACCTAAAAATAAATTTAAGCTAGATTTATTTAATAATTTTTGAATAAATAACCTTCCCATTTCTGTTTTAACATTAATCTAATTTTTAAGAGTGTTAATAATTTTGGATTTATGATTTATCTCCTTCTTTTTTAAATTTCAGGATTTTAATCTCATGAAAATTATAATGAATTTAAAATTTATAATGAAATATCTAAATAATAAATTCCATGCCAATAATAATAAAACCCTCTCTTCAGCACTACATTTAAATTAATAAGTCTGGTACGAATACTTTGAACAATAATACACTTCTTTCTAACAAATCTCATTTATATAAATTTTTCAATTTAGGAGACAAATCCTCTATCATATCACTTGTCACCTGTCAGGATTCAATCATATTATTCTTAATCATTTCATGAACTTTCAATTTAATCATCTTCATTAAGTTTAGATATACTACATTTATTCTTCAATTTATATTAGATTCTAATACTATTTTAATCTCAAGCTTATGACTGTCGAAGTCTTTTCATCTCTCATCTCTTTATATTTCACTTGTAATTCGTTCTTTCTCCTTCTTTTATTTTTACTTAATATTTTCATGTATGTTATTTTTTTAACTGTTCAAATAATGAGCTGACAATCCTCACAAGATCTGGCATAGATTACATAGTGTTCCCATTTTGTTATTATATCATAAGGCTTTATTTGGTGTTTCTTCATAGATTATTACTTTGTGTTTATTGCAATTACAATTATTATAGCATAATGCTCAAGTCCTCTGGATTAGTGATATCAATCTTTTATTTTTCAACTTGTATATTATCAAAATGTTTGAGTAATTCTCATTTTGAGAGACAACATTTATTATAATCATGTCATTTGGATATTCTATTTTGACAGCTTGTTCCTTCACCTTTTTGGCCTTTGTTGAAAATTAGAGCTCCCTGTAATAGCAGATTCCTTATCCAAATATTATTTTGATTTCTTTAAGCTTCACTAATAATTCCTGTTAGTTTCTGAAGACTTGTATTATTTCCTTAATTTCTACTTCTACCCATTTTTAATTGAGTTTAGAAATTCTTAATGAAATTGACCCTTCTCTACTATTTTCTTGAAATATAGAAATTGAATATTTCTCATTGTATTTGAAGTGAAAGTAGATTGAGCAAAGTTCTTGAGAATTTGCCCAGATTAAACCATATGCCTAAAGAATAGAGAGATACGAGGAATTGGAGGTGGGTGTAAATGTAATTCTAATTAAGATTGTCTAAAAGTAGGGGATTAAATTATTCGGATTGGGGGAGTTCAAAAGAAAATGGTTTAACGAGATGTTTAATTGGACTGTTATTTTATTGGATATTAATATTAATGGAATGATGTGTGTTTAAAATCAGTATAGGAGTAGAAAGTGAAAGTAAAATGAGGAAAAAAACACTCTCACTTGAGGAGAGTTTATAAAAATAAATTTGCATATTATAATATATTAGTAATTAAGTTAATAGCACTTCTTTTGGATTCACAGTTTTAAATTATTTGAAATAATTCATAGACATACTTAATGGCTAGTGAGGAAGAAGTAAACATTGAGGATGAAATAATTGAGGAATAAGTAGAAGACAATCCAAAAAAGAAGAAGGACAAGAAAGATAAGAAAATGACTATCAAACTAGACTAGAAAAAGCCAATTGATGGTAAATAGCAATTTGGTGACAAATCTATATGTCGATTATGCAAAGTGACTACTCAATCAACTCCAACTATAATCTGTATAAGGTGCCACTTTAAATACCACAAGGAATGCATACGAACTTAAAACAAAGAGCCATAATTCCAGGACGGTACTAAATGGTACTGTCTCTCATGTATAGAGAGAATGGCTAAGAGAAAATTGAAAGAGTCAGAACCATAGAAAAAGAAGAAAACTAGCCAAATCCCTGAATTCTTTCAGAAAACCCTATAACCACAAGAAGACAAATTGAAAAAACACACAGAATTTCAATAAAAATATCCAACCTATGTCCAATAAGGAAGAGTCATTTTTCCAATATTTGATGAATATCTGACAGCTTATCAATAATTGTTTACCATTGAAATTAAAAAGAAGCCACAACTCCAACTTGATCCAACCATTCCCCAGAACCTCTTTGAAGATATTCTTAAGATATGGGATAGCTATAATTATATGGATAAAATTGTGAGTGACATCCTCTACGCAGGAGAACAGTAAACTGAATGTAATTACTATACATTATATAAAAAGAGTAAAGTTAAGTAAATAACATCGGCACCTTGATTCATTTCAAAGATAACCACACACCCTATAGTTAAAAAACTCGCTAGGAGATATTTAATATAATCTAAACCAAACCTGACGAATTGATCCTCTTTTTCTGCTATTTCTATCTTAAACAAATTATTGAGGATTTAGATTAGGAATAGATGTAAAAATAATCATACGTAACTTATATAACAATACTTCTAGAAAATCCCATATTGGCATCTCCTTGGATACATGTGGTTTACAAATCGAATCCGATATTACGAATTATTAAGGGATGACATCAAATCATTGCCAACCAATATCTACAAACAAGGAATTCTACCTTTGTAATAAGATATGATAGAGTTTTGTGATTACACAGACACTAAGAAAGTCTGCAAATTACTCATAGCCCTTTCAGATGGATTGACTGGTCTAAAGAAAACACAGTTTTTGTACTAATTCAGAACTGAAAATCTCCTGTCCAATAATAGAATCAAACAATAATTAGGCACTCAAATTAAATAGTAGAGAAGTCAATAAATTGACATTAAAAAAGAGATCATTGAAGCTGAAGGTAACATTTCGATTGCCAAAGTATACTTCTTCATCATATTTAGTCTCAATTGAAACAGGATGGACTAACTAGAGTTGAATCACAGAAATTCACAAAGTAAATGGAACAGGCCCAAAAACAAGCACAAAAGTTAAAATAACAGTATTCAAAATTAGAAAAAGAAATAGCTTCATTAACAGAAAGATATAATTAGTAAGATAAGGTAATCATACTAGTAAATTCTTATTAGGAATTAGCAATTACTTAAATGCCAGCTTTATTGTTAAATCCATCTATGTGCTTAGGTCAGGATGCTAAACATAGTTCTTATTACTTCTTTTTATATGAGCCTGATAAGATCTTTGTATGTATGAGACATTCAATCCTTGATGACGATCGATCATAACAATGGGGATTTTATGATTAAACTGAAATTCAAAATCTACTCAATTCTTTGTGTCCAAAAGGTGTTCGAGAAAACACATTAAAAAATAACATAATTGAATTATAAAGGGCCAAATTACTACAAATAAATGAGTAAAATTAGGAATAGAATGATTAAATCGAACAAGAGAATCATAAAAATGGGAAAGGTGTCGAGAATGATATTGAATAGGAGGGTCACAATTAAAGTGAAGAATAAATAGAAAGATTAAATAGTTTAATCAATTTAGATGTTGATAAACTTGTGAATGAATTCGTTGAAATAGAATAAAGTTTAACACAATATTTAAATGAGAAGAATTCACGATGGTGTAGCACTGAATAAAGAATTGAATTTTTAAAGAGTTTTCAAAATGTAATTGAAAAAAAGAGTTCCCAAGAATATGACGAAATAGATCTAAAGCCTTTAGGGAAAGCAATTGAATATTTTGTAGATAATACAATGATGCAAGAGAAATTAGAACTCAGATTAGATGAGGATATGGATGAGAAATAATTAAATGAAAATGATGACGACTCTTATTAATAACCGAATAGAAGAAGAAAGGTTGTTGAAGATGATTCGTCTGTGGATGAATAACCTTAAACTATGTTGCAATAATTAGAATAAATGGATATTGGGAAAGTAAGAGTAAGGAAATTACCTATGAAATTATTTGGCACATATTATGAAACTCTAAGATAAAATTTGATTGAATAACTGAAATATGATTGTAATTTAGCAAAAATGAAGATTTGCTTAGAAGTATTGGGTCAAATAGTTAAGGATTACATTGACAGAAAAATGATTTAAATACAATAATAAATTTTGCCTGTTGGAGAAAAGAAAAAGGTAGAAGAAGTAGTTGTTGTTGCTAAAAAGGTAGTCGACCCTCCCCCTTAATTTGTTTAGGAAGCTTAAATATATGTTACTCAAAATTTGAGGAAAAGAAACTAAATCAAACCTTAGTATACTGAGACAGAAACAAAATGGGAAGACAGATGCAAGAAATGCAACAAAGGAGGAAAGGTTATTTGTTGTGATACTTGTCCAAAAGTATTCCATCCAAAGTGTATTAATTTAAAGGAGGTTCCGTAAGGGAAGTGGAACTGTCTTAATTGCTTAACAAATTTTGAGAGATAAATTAAAACAAGAGCTACTATTAGAAAGTTAGAAAACCAATGAGACAATGATCCATTGTTTTTATTATTAAATAATGATTTGTGATTTAGTTGATTATACTCTAAGAACAACTCCAAATAAAGGAAGGTTTTCATAGACAAACACAACAACGTCTCCAAACAGTTCTAGCAACTCATCTTTCGAAGCTTCCTAGCTTAAGATCCCAAGACCTTTGTTGAGTTTTGATGAAAAATTTGAAGCCTCTCTTTGTGCTTTTGGTATTCAGTTTATAATCCATTTTAGAGTTTAAATTATTAGTCCCTGAAGAAGATGGCTTAATAAATTTTGAACAGTTCAGTTAAGAATTGATATAAGACAAACTTATATTCTTGAATGATGAAAAATATTTATTATAGCAATAGGCATCTTTAGAGATCGCAGAAGAGAATGTAAAGCCTTTCATTAAAAAACATAGATTCTCAAGGATGAAAGAACCACTTTGATGCTCAAAAATATACCTAGAAGCATGAAGCCAAACGACATGAGAAATATTTTAAATAAAGAATTTCGTAATCTCTATGATTTTTTCTATTTGCCTTTAGATAACAATGTATTCAAATTTTATATTTGAAGAATGAAGGCCATTTGGGATATGCTTTTGTTAATTTTATCAATCAGGATGTAGTATTAAAATTTTATAGAACATTTAATAATTAAAAATGGACTAATACAGAGAAAGTATTACTATATTTATTAAATATAGTAAATTTGCCAATTAAAATATGCAAAATTATAGGGAAGAAGGCAATATGAATTTGCAAGATGATTGAGCTTTAAATAGCTATTTTTGTGTATTTTTTTCAAATTTTGATTTAAATTCATTCAAGAATTATTTAGAGCCTAATAGATTTTTAGTATGTAAATTATTTGAACAATATTTCCATTCCTCTGGTATTTATCTAAAGTTCTTCAGCTTTTCATCCTTTTCAATAAATTTATTTATAGTCTATGATTATTATAATTAATAATTTCATAGACCTGAGAATTATTAAAATATCAACTTTTCGATTCATTAAAGAAATTCAACTTTGCTATTCAGAATGGCCTAATACACTTAATAGGGTGTCTTGCCCTTAAAAAGATGTTTTAGATTTGAAAACTCATATAACAACACAGCTAAATTCCAATAATCCAGAATGTGATTACAGCGATATTCCTTAATGGTTTCAGGAGCCTTAAACCCAGAACTTCCACAAGACTATTAGCCAAATAAGTTAATTTCACTAATTTACTTAAATCAATCCATGTAATTTTCGGTTATCTTTCTTCATCAAATATAGATTTTCAGAGTTTAAATCCAAAGGAATCACATTATTTTATGCAATTAACCCAAAGCTAATATTACTAAGACAGTAAAATAGGATTGCCTCTAATTATAATTAATCATTGCGAATTTTCTTATAAAGGGATCACTCATGCAAAATATAATATGCAGAATTGTTACAGGTTTCAATTAGAACACTTTGACAACTTTGTATGACTCTAAAGGCGCTCTAAAAATAATTTAATGGAATCTTTTTAGATGTATATTTCTAATTATAACTATAATTTATTACTTCAAAACATATCCTTATTACTCCTCTCCTAAATTCCTAACAAAGAAATACCCACTCATAATAATATCAATTAATTTCCTTTTGAATAGAAAATACACTAAACTTACTTAAATTATGAGTTACTTTTAAAGAATCATCCAAATAAATTTATGTTTAAAAAAGAACATTATTAAATTGAAAATACACAATGACTCATTTAATATCTTTCAAAATGGTGCTTGCAAACTTTGAAATAAAATCTTTAAGTCCTGCTATTGATTTATTTAATTCGTTTCTAAAAATTAGAATCATTATAATACTAATTTTTTGGCCCATTTACTTTTTCTAAATCTTCTATCCCCCTTATGAATATTCCTATCTTCTCTAAAGCCATTACATAATCTTTCTTTATCTAATCTAAATCCTCATTGATCTTGGCCTTTATCTCTTAATTTTTTTTATCCTGAATCAACTATTTGTAATTATTTAACTGTTGCACCAACTATATAATTAATTGAATACATACTTTAACTTATAAGATCTTTAATTCTGCTTCTAATTATTATCCTTAAGCATCATTAATCACAATGCTTCTGTTGGATATCGTATTTTTCTCAAGTTCTTATTATTATTAATTTATGTAGTCCTAATACTTTTAAACTTGACTCAGATAATTTTAATTCTAACTCTATAATTGCTTAATCTCTTTATTCAATTTATCCTTATCTATCTCATATTATGCAATTTATTGATTCAAAGAATTCAATTGATTTTTTTATAGACTATAATTTTCTCTTAATTACTCCAACTCTTATTACTAGGATTTCAGTCTTAATTCTTATTGTTCTAATTGCTTTGCATTTTATTCTTTTAGAGCACTCAATTCTGACACTTAACTTTCCAATTTATCAACCTTTTTCTAATTTTACACTAATTTGGTATTTTCAAGGTATAACCTACTTAACTCCTCTAATTTCTCATTGAGAGTCTATTGTAATTCTGAATTTTCTTAACTAAGATTATTTATTTATTATAATTATTGTTAATTCTCGCTTTCGTATTTATCTCTTGAATCTGACAATTAAGAATTCACATTTTAGAATTATTGGCTTAATTTATTCAATTTTTCTTCAGATTCTGATTTTTATTTATTCACTAACAACAAATTATTTTAAGTTTCCAACAAAGTCTATTCTAATTATGAAACGTTGTTTGTTAATTGATTTATCTGTTTTTCTGATTATTCTCTGTGTTGTTAATATTATTCTGAAATATTTTTCTATTACAGATCAATTAATTCCTTCTCCTCTTTTTAGCTCAACAACTTTTGTGTTATTTGTAAATTTTAAGAATTTTGATCATTGATTTAAGAACTCATTAGTTTTATTTACTCACTTTGCCTTTATTTTTCTTCTTCTAATTTCAAAATTTGTTACTTTATCTTCTCTAATTCTGATTACGCAGTATTTGATATTTATTAGATAATTTCAATTCTATTTTATAATTCTTTATTCTCTTCATTAATTTGATTTTACTCATTTTTAGAAGATTGAAGTTTGATATTTAAACTTTATATTTCTTATTGTAATTAAGTTGTTGTCAGATTTGATTAATCAATTTGACTTTTAAAGTATTTTATAGACTCATCTAATTAATTCATAGATTCATTTTTTGATCTTATTTATTAATTCAGAACACTAATTTATTCAGTTAATAGCTATTCTTATTATTATTTACTTTAAGACAATTACTAAATTTATTATTTAAGATTTGCAATTTGATCATCCCTCGTTTTTATTTGTTAGTTTAATTATTGAGCTTGAGATTAACTTTAGTCTTGTAATTACCTTTAAATTAGATCTTTCATTTCTTCAGCATTAGCAGCGCTATTCTAAATATCAATTAACTATTTCTTCAATAGGTCAATCATTTCATTTTTATTCATTAGATTAGAATCATTTTCTTTTACTTGCCTTTACATTTCTAATTAGAGCCTCTAAATTTCTTCCTTTAAAATCTTTATTTCATAAATTTATTATTCTATTTTGCTATTCAGATTCTATTCATTCTCAAATAAATTAATCTACTTCTTTTGAGCTTCGTTCTTCAACAATTAATTGGCACTAATAGCAGCCTATAATTATTACTGAATCTAGATAATATCTTGCTGATGATCCTCTTCCAATCTTAATTTTTCTTCTTTCTATTATTTTATAGTATTCTGCAACTTGAGAATTTCGCAATTAAGATTAGAAATTTCAAATTCCAATGTGCTAATTTATAGATTGAGAGTATTAATCTTTTATCCTGCTTTTGATTCATTTTCTTAACTTTCATTGATGTAATCTTAAAGTTCTTAAATAAATTAGGTCTGTTAGAATAACTGTTATTTTAATTAGTCTGAAGTTTGTTCAAATTATTTTGACAATGAAGACTTTTCTGACTCCTTTAGTGTTATTACTTAAGATAATTATGCGATTTCTAAATTGTACGAAGCAATTTTATTATTGCATTCTTAAATTTATTAATTAAGTTTTTTCTCATTAGTTTATTTTTCTAAAATAATTTAATTCAATTCATTTTATTTCTCAAATAGCCTTTATCCTTATTCGTCGTACTATTAATTTTTGTCTTCGAGATTAGTTTACAGAGTTTCTATCAAATGTTATTGTTGAACTATTTTTTCTTCTTTTTAATTTATTTTATTATTTGCTCTCTGAACATTAAGTTCTGATTCTTTTATGTACTTTTAAATTTCAATATTTTATTTATCCTTTTAACTTTATAAATCTTAGATTAATTATTAACTACTCTCTTAATCCTCTTCATATTTTTGTTATAAATTGTTATACAGCTCTTTTTAAGAAACAAATTAATTTTATACCTCGTCATGTTATTATTTCAATTAATTATAGTTTTCTTCTAATTCAGAAAAGCTTTCCTTAAAACTCTAAATTTATTATTTGAATTCTTTATCACTCTCATTTTTTTCATCCTCTAACAGCTTTTATCTTTCAATTAGCACATTTCTCTCTTGAACCAATTCATCTATTTAATCTTTCTATAAATTTAAATTTTATAAGAATTCTGCAATCTGAAAATCTAGATTTAAGATCTGAGCTTCTTTTTTATTTAAAATAGCTTATTTAGCTTATAGTTCAATATCATAATTCGATTAATTTTCTTAGAGTGATTACGTTACTAATTAAAGTTCTTCATTCATTTATTTGTTAACAGCTTCAATTTCTAATTTCTATTTTTCAATAATCTCATTACATTCTTTGATTTCCTTGTCCTTCTATTTGATTTTAGATTTTAATTCATCAATCTCAATTATTTGTTGGTCTAATTCTTTATCGTACTGCTCAATACACTCCATACCAACCTACAATTTCATCTTTAAATCCTAAACCTCTTGATTGAGTTGATCAATCTCCCAATCTTTTTAAGCAATATCATCCATTTTCTTCAATAATTATTCATATGAATAATCTTCCAATTACTTATACTCTTTTTCTGACTCCTATTTTAACTTTTCTAATTATAACTGAGTACTTGCAATCTCTTCATTCTTCTATATCACTGTAGATGTCAAATCTTCCTCCTTTGTTTCTAATAATTTCAATGTGTTATTGTAAAGTTCCTCCAATGATTTATTTTATTGCTGCAATTTTAAATACGATCCCTCAGTTTGATTAAACTTTTCAATTTGATCCGTCAATTAAGTTGTCAACTCTTCTAATTCTAATTATGTATCTTTGACACTTTTGGCTGATTATTCTAACTACTTTTGCTTATTTTGATTTTCCAAGGTGAGCGCTTCAATAAATTTTAACAGTTCTTGAATTTTAATACTTTGCTATTACACTTAATTAGTATTTCCTTCAGTTGTCTCTTCCAAAGACTTAATTATTGCTTCTTTATCAATAATAATGTTAAACAATTCTTCAATTTTCTCCTTACCTTCTTTAATCTAAGAATTTAAGTCACTTAGCTCTTGCTGCTTTTGATTAGTTTCAATTTGATGTTTTAATTATTCCTCATTCATCTTTCCGCCAAGATCAGAAAGTTCTAGAGTGTGCTATTGGATTTTGGTCTATAATTGAGATTATAATTATAGATATTCTAAGTCTTTTCTTTAAATATCTCCCTATAAGTTTTGTATGGTTTCAGCATGTTAATCAACTTGTTCTTATAATTCATTAATTTTTTGTTCAGCCAAATCTAATTCGTTATTTAATCGCTTCTCTTCTGAAAACTTTATCTCTATATATTCATCAAATTTATTCTTCAATTCTCTTGAATGGATTTATAAGGAATCATTCAGATTTTATTATTTGATAAAATCTTCTTAACTTTATTAAAGCTATTAACGTAGTTCCTCCATTTCTTCATCCTTTTATATCAAGATCATATTCTTAAGTTGCACTAAATCCTAATTCTTTTTATTTATTTCTGCTATCCTAAGATCTTGAACTGTCTTCAAATCTTCAATTGCTTATTTATATGTTTATTCTACTTGTTTCTTTTCTTCAACTACATTTTAAAGTTCTTCTAATAATTATTACTTATTCTGTTCCAATTTTGAAATCTAGTCTGATTATTCAACATTTGTTTAGATTTGAGAATCGATTGCTTCATTTTAAATGTCGCTCTGATTTTATAATTCTTATAACTATTTTTCATATTCGCTTTCCTTCAATTATTTATCATTTTTTAATTCTTAATACTTTTAATTCAATTGATTTATACTATCTTATAATTGAACAATCTTTTGATTTTGATTTGCTATTTACTATTCTAAACTCTTAATCTAATCTTCCAAAGATTTGTTTTATTATTTGAACAACTGTTCTGATTACTTTAGATTTTCAATTAATTCTAGGATCACCTATTATTATTTTTCTTATTCCAATTAAGTATATTATTTGAATTTCTCAAGTTCAAAATTTAAATTTTGACTATGATTTTTCAATTGAATTATTTCTTATTCTTTTTATTAAGCATCATTCTCTAAAACATCATTATATTGACTTAATTTTTCTACTTCTTTCTCCTTTTATTAAATATATTCCAACCTTTATTCCATCTAAGCTTAATAATCAAACAATTATTGATCAAGCTTCTTAATTTAATATTCTCTATCTTGAATTTCATTTTATTTTTGTAACTATTACTTTTGATGATTAGCATTTATTACTTCAATTTAAATTTAATTCTCCTTTAGAATATTATCTATCTTAACATTTAAATTTGAGATTTCTAATCTAAATTAATCATCTTGTAAATTAATTTATGTCTAATGAAGAGTGATCATTAGATCTCTTTCATTAATCTCTTCTACTTGCTTTGTGTTTAATTATTTCAGTTAAACTAATTCTTCTGACAATTATAACACTTCACATTCATTTTTTAAATTAATCTAAATGATTTCCTATTATTTCTGTTCCAATTAACTTTACATTTATTCAATCTCCTTTTATTGTTTTTCTATTTTTACTTACTGATCTAATAATTATTATTTTAAGTTCAATTTCTCTTAATTGAATTGACTCTATTCAATTGATGAACTTTTCTAGTAATCATTATTGATCTCTTCTAAATTTGCAATTCTATTAGTATATTCAGCTATCAAGCTCTTTTTTTCGTCATCAAGTATATGGAATTATTATTCATATTTTTATTTTAATTACACCATTTCCTCATATTATGTTTATTTTTATTATTCAAAATGTTTTTGAGCATCTTCTCCTTATTTTTTAAGTGCTTCTATTTATTTATCTTTTGACTCGCTAATACTAGTTATTAACTTGTTCTTTTCATGAACTTCGTTAACTTAATCTTTATGCTATTAGATTAATTATTATAAATAAAATTTTTCTGTTTAATTTACAGATTCCTTCTGCTATTCTTAATATAATTAATCATTCAATTTTTAAAGCTATTCTTTTTAGGTCTCATTGATTTAAGTGGTCTATTTTAGGTTTTCTTGACTCTCTTGTAGTTTAATTTGTAAATCATTAATTTATTCGTTTAAATAAAAGTTTTCTTATTTTAATTTTTCTTAAACCAATTATATTTACTTAAGTTCATTCTTCAAAGTTTCATTTAAAGTCTATTATTCCTTCAACTTATAAGAATTCTCTAAATTAGTTTAGGATTGCTTTTATTCCTATTAAGATAACTCATTTTTCAGTTTTCCAATCTCCAATTATAATTAATTGATTTCCAAGCTTTATTGAGTTGACTTCTATAAGGCTAATTGTTCTTTAGAATTACTTTCCTTTAGATATTCTTGCAATTCTTAAATCAAATTATTTTATGTATTTAATTAATCTTTTAATTGTTGATTTGCCTCATTATACTATTAGATATTTTATTCCTTGTCCACCTCCGCCTTATCAACTAATGATTTTAATTAATTAATTTCATTAGTCAAATCAGAAATTTTATTCTAGAATTCTTGATGTTATTAATTTGTTAATTTTGTATTTCTCTCCTTTTCAGCAGTTGCTAAATTAAAGTCTTATTTATATTTCTCATATTATGATTGTAATTATATAATTTAGTCTTATTTTTGAGTTAATTCATTTTAATATTTTATAACTTAAGATTCAAGTGTATTAATTTGGCTTTCTTTCTCAATTAACAAGGACTATTTCACTGATATCACGCTCATTCTTTGTTCTTCTTAATCTTAAATATTTTATTAGAATTATTCAATCTGATTATTCAAATCTTAAATAATTGCATTTGCTTATTGTAATTAGACTTTCTGTTTCTCAATAATCTAGCTTAATGAACTCTCACTATTTTGTCTTTAGTTGTCTGATTCATTTTTCTGGATCTTGGTTTATGTAATTTCAGCCAAATATTGCTTAATTTATTATTCATATTAAGAAATCACCTATTTATTTTCTTGTTCCTACTGTCTTTATTGCTTCTTCAAAGACTTTATTTACTCAGATAATTGTGTGATTTATTGATTATTTTAGTCAAGTAAAACTTTATAGTCATCAATATTTTTTGATATGTTTGTCTCTTATTATACAGAGTGATCTTGCAGTATCTTGATTTTCTCAGTCAATTATAATACCAGACTTGATTTTTAGGATAGCTCATCTTTCTATTAAATTATGACTCCATTTAACTATGCTTCATTATTTTTGTAGAGCATTCTTTCCTATATGAGATCAGTAGATAATTCTTAGATTTTCTAGTTTAATTTTGATGTTTATTCCTCGCTTTTTTAAAATTTGTCTTACAATATTAGCATTTGATTTTTATAATTAGATTCAGTTTCAGCCTAAGTTTATTCAGATATTTGTTTTGTTTATTCTAATTCTTACTGCAATTCAATTTTATCTTGTTTAAGCTTTTCAATTTCTCTAGATTTAGCTTTATTCATTTGATCAAATTCTATTTATTTAGCATGAAGTTTTTATTATAATTCTTGATTTTAGTTTTACAACTCATTTGTTTAATCCTACAATAAACTAATTTGCTATTTCATATCAAATGTTCCATTAATCGCAGCAGATTCTAATTATAAGTTTAGTGCCTTAAGTTCCTTTAATTAAATTTAAAGATCCTCAATAATCTATCTATTATTGAGAATTTCAAATTCGACTTCATCATATCTCTACTAGAATTCCTTTTCTAATTTTTATTTGACATCTTCAACCTCCTAATTTTAGAGATTCAATTAGCTATTTAATTCTTTTAATTCCTCAATTTTCTGAGCTAATTAATCTACCTTTTATTAACTTTATAAGAGTTTTTCCTCTAATTCTTAATTCGACTACTTTAATTTATCAATCTCTAATTTAGACAAATTCTATATCTGAGTTGCCTTGTTTGTCAACTATTAAATTTGAGAAAACTTATTAGCATTTTGTTTTTACGATTCTTATAGATCTACTTAACATTTACGCAATTCTGTAATTAATTTCACTCTCTCGTTTCCAAACTCACTCGATTCTTTCGTTTCCTATTAAACCTCTTCTCTAATCTTGGATTCCCTAGATTTCATTTAATCAGACATGATGACTAAATTTTCTTATAAATCCTGAATCTTCTAATCCTTTTTGTTGCAATCTTTCTAAAGATTCTCGATAACCTTTTGCAATGATTCAATTGTTTCACTTGACCTTTGATTGGAATCTTAGTCATTTTCAACAACTTCAAGTTTGCTTAGAACTTTATTTGTTTCTTCTTTGTTTTACAATTACTGCTATGGATTTCTAGCAATAACTTCAGATTTTCTAGGAGGAGGTTACTGTTGTTATTAAACAGGTGCAGCTTTCATCATTGACTGAAATCTTCCAGCCAATTGTTTAACTGATAGCCTGTTTGCTTCAGGCTAATCATCACTCATTTTTTTTAATAATTAGATATAAAGATAACTCAATCAAAATCAAAGTCGAGAAATTAAAAATAAAGCTAATTCATAACCATTTTTACAATTAGATCTTTAGTTCAGCTTAAGAGAAGCCTTTCAATATATTTTTCTTTTTTTTCTTCTTCTGAAGAGGTAAGTTCCCTTGCTTATTGACACTGTTCCATTATCTACATAATATTTCTGGTAGAGTTTAAATCAGAGTGTAACGATTAACTTGAAAAGAGACGCAGTTGCAGCTTGTAAATAGACAACTTCAAGGTAAACTGATTTCTAAATGTACTTTCTGCACCAGTATCATTTTACAAGAAAATTTTCAAGTATGACAAGTGCTTTAGAGAGCCTAGATAAAGTTCTCCATTATTTTCCCTCAGCTTAAGAGTGTTCATCGCAAAAGACTATTTGCAGGTGAGTGTAGTGCATCATATATGGATCTAATACATTTAAGTTACAAAATTTTCATATTAAGTTTATCAGTTTCCATACCCTCAAACTTTATGAAGAAACAAAATGCAATTAGACAAGACTCACATTATTCTTGATCGGGCTTGATGATTTATTTAAATGGTGTACAAACTTTAAATGAGTTGAAATAGACTCTTTTTATAATTTATTTCCCCTTCTATTTACCTTGCAAGAACTGTAACTTACAGAAGTGTGAAAATTTGAATGATGATTAATTATGTGATCATAGTATAGAGATATGTTAAGACTTAATTATTGGAACATTTGAAATTTGAATAGCAAATTATTATTATTAGACGAGTCTTTAATTGCCTTTTATTATTGTTTATGTAATGTGATTAATACTTATAAGAAATCGATTTGGAATTAGTTTTCAAAAATTGATGTTATTCAACCTTAATTAATATATTATGAACACTTTTTTGGGTCAGGAATTCTAGAGGTGGAATTAATTTATCAATAATTTAATTTGGTAATTACTTTGGAAAACCACTAACTATTTTAAAACTAGATTTATAAAATTTATTCAGCTAATTGTAAATTTTATTAAACCTATATGTTCAAACTACAACTAAACCAGAATAATTTTGCTTGCAGAAATTTAAAAGTTTAAGATAGCTTTTCTGAATGTTATTATTTTCCATTATTTGACATAGGAATATTTATAAGTTGAAACGATTGGAAAATATAACAAGTCTGATGTCCATTTATTTTATGATTTTGAAAAGAAATATTCCACTATTCAGTTTTTAGCCTACAGATTATTTATTCTTGAAATTTTAAAAAGTTATTACCAACAGACTTTTGTATACTTTTGTTCTATTAAAGTTATTATATCATTTACAAATTGGAGACTTTAATAATTAAATTTAACAAAAGATCTGAATTCAATTAGAAATTCCTCCAAATACATATAAGATAAAGCAAGGGAAAGGGGGGATCCGTATTGAACTTCCTTAGCAAAGGAGTATATTGCATTTGTGAATCGATATACATAATGCAAATTAGAATATAATTTTATTAAGAATTTTACTCCAAGTGATTTAATATTTATTTCTATTCCAATATTTAATAGAGAAGCTCTTGAATGCATCGATAGAATCTATGAATAGACAATTCATTTATGCCTTTTTGTTATAACTTCTTATTAAATTTAATACATTAAATATCTTAATTTATGTAGATGAAGATGGACTAAACCCAGCCTATTCTTTAGCTAGTGTATTTAGTAAATAAAATTAATGTTTAGGTGAACCTTAATTCTAATAATTTTAAACGTAGTTAATTTGCTTCCATTGTAGAGTGTGAAGTGTTTTTACAATTCCTTATAAAATTTCAGATATACTATCATAAGAAATGGCTCTATTTGATGAAATTTTTTATAAAAGTTACATAAAATCGATATAGGAATTACAATCATCGAGGTAATAGGAAAAAAACGCCGTATTTTTTGTTATTACAATTCTTTTAATTGTTTAGAAGAATGTCTATCTATCATTTTAAAAATCATTTCTAAAATTAGAAAATATTTAATTATTAATTAATTATTGTTTATAATTTAACAGTTACAATAAATAAAGTATAGTCAGAAAGCTTTGAAAAATTAACAGAATACTAAAATCACAAAATGTATTTATAAAATGTATAAATTTTAGATAAAATTTTGATGTAATTATATTTTCCAAATTTTCTTATCATTATTTCTTATTTTTTAATTGGATTAATAAATGAAAAATAAAGAATTGGATATTTAGAATCTTACCTTTGAAACATTCACAATATAGACTATATAAAGAATTGTTGAATTTATTTATGTTATTTATGGAGGATCAAATATCAGCAAATATTACAAGAAATATCTCATTTTACGAACATACTCTAATTTTAATTAAAAATGAAGAAAAGAAGATTTTATGCATCCAATTTGGTTAATAACACTTTCGTGATCTATTATATAAGATAAATACTGTACAGCAATATTTTTGCATTAAAAAACTCCATATTTTAATATCTCTTTAATTAGCTGAAACCATAGTCTTCCATAATGAATCAAATACTGTCACAATCACATGAAGGTCATTTTATGATTGTTATGTTTTGCGTTTAGTGAGATTGGGATTTATTTATTTCATGATCGAGATATCAATCAATTAGTTTGGAAAATCCTAAAATAATTATGGTAAAGTTCTTATCTATATTGTCTTAATATAAATGGAGGATTGATTAATATCTTGTAATTGATATACAATTAACCATTTATGGATTGTTTAAAAAGAATCGGAATACAAGCTATCGATGTAAAATGATATCAAAAATGAATTAATGAGTAAATTAGAAATTGTTCGTGCTTATTTTTATCATAAATAAAGATATTGCAAAATTACGGAGAATTTATATATATCTGTGATTTAAAAAATGAATATTTTCATTTTGAATGCGATCAGATTGAATAATACAAAATTTTTTTTATTTAAGAATATTTTATGTTGTTGCTAAAAATTTTAATAACTTAACATAAATAAATAATTATGATTCATAAAGAATGACTCTCTGTTTTGTTTTTAAACTACTATGTTGATTTTAATTAAAAAAATTTGTTAATCACAAAAATAAATGGTACCTAATAACCATACATATTATTTATTATCAAAAATTTTGAACTCTGTTGTAAAATCTCAGTGGTTTTCAATAAAAAATTGAAGATTATGTCTCAGAAAGTAAATTCAACAAATTCATTAAAAGATACAAATACATTGACTCATAATTATTTGAATAAAAAAAATAAAAATAAAATGAAATACACTGGGAGAATTAATGAATTTTTATAAACAACCAAAAAATTCTAAATTTGAGGTTATGATTANATAAAATGTATAAATTTTAGATAAAATTTTGATGTAATTATATTTTCCAAATTTTCTTATCATTATTTCTTATTTTAAAATTGGATTAATAAATGAAAAATAAACAATTGGATATTTAGAATCTTACCTTTGAAACATTCACAATATAGACTATATAAAGAATTGTTGAATTTATTTATGTTATTTATGGAAGATCAAATATCAGCAAATATGACAAGAAATATATCATTTTACGAACATAATCAAAATTTAAATAAAAATGAAGAAAAGAAGATTTTATGCATCCAATTTGGTTAATAACACTTTCGTTCATGAAAATAATAATTAATAAATTAACTATTATATAACATAAATACTGTACAGCAATATTTTTGCATTTAAAAAACTCCATATTTTAATATCTCTTTAATTCGCTGAAACCATAGTCTTCCATATACTGTCGCAATCACGTGGAGGTCATTTTATGATTGTTATGTTTTGCGTTTAGTGAGATTGGCATTTATTTATTTCATGATCGAGATATCAATCAATTAGTTTGGAAATCCTAAAATAATTATGGTAAAGTTCTTAGCTATATTTTCTTAATATAAATGGAGGATTGATTAATATCTTGAAATTGATAAACAATTAACAATTTATAGATTGTTTAAAAAGAATCGTAATACAAGCTATAGATGTAAAATGATATCAAAAATGAATTAATGAGTAAATTAGAAATTGTTCGTGCTTATTTTTATCATAAATAAAGATATTGCATAATCATGGAGAATTTATATATATCTGTGAAAAAATGAATATTTTCATTTTGATTGCGATCAGATTGAATAAAAGCAGGATTTTAAATCTCATTTCACTTATAATTGTTTTATGATAATGAGTGCACAAACAGAAAATAAACTTATTTGCTGATAAATATCACATCAATAAAATTTTTGATTGTTTTTAAATCAAATTTTTTTTTATTTAAGAATATTTTATGTTGTTGCTAAAAATTTTCATAACTTAACATAAATAAATAATTATGATTCATAAAAAATGACTCTCTGTTTTATTTTTTAACTACTATGTTGAATTTAATTAAAAAAAATTGTTAATCACAAAAATAAATGGTACCTAATAACCAAATTGAGACAACAAGATTTTAATATTTAGAGACCTACAAAATACATATTATTTATTATCAAAAATTTAATGAATTAGAACATGAACTCTGTTGTAAAATATAAGTGGTTTTCAACAATAAATTGAAGATTATGTCTCAGAAAGTAAATTCAACAAATTCATTAAAAGAATCCAAATACATTGACTCATTATTATTTGAATAAAAAAAATAAAAATAAAATGAAATATACTGGGAGAATTAATGAATTTTTATAAACAACCAAAAAATTCTAAATTTGAGGTTATGATTAATCATAAGTAATTAAATGGTTTAGATCAACATTATTCTTCACCTTTTTGATAATCAATCTTGTCATTATCATTGTCTATGCATTTGTATTTATACCAACTACAAAAAGATATTTGATCACAATCAATTTAATTATAATAGTCTGAGCATTTTTTATCATAACAAAGCTTTCGTTTCTCATCTCAATTGCAATACGAATTAGCGCATTTACCAGCCTCTTTAGCTTACAATGTAACACATGATGAGTCCCAACATTCGTTATTCCTCCAAGAACAAGCAACCTAATTTATTGTAGTAAATACAATTTGACAACATTTTTCCTATTGCAATTCTTCTGTGCATTTTCTGATTAAACATGAGGAAGAACTAGCTCCCCACTTACAATTTGCTGAAAAGTTGCATTCATTTTCAGTATTTAATTGATTGCATATGTTTTGACATTTTGAAATTGACCAATAATCCCATTCACATTTTTCATTTTCATTACACTATTTTTGATCTGTTATTTCATTACATTAACTGTTAACACAAGGTAATAAGGTATATATCCAAATTAGAAATATATTCATTATAAATATTCTCATTTGAATTATTAATTTATAAATATCGTTTAGAAGATATTTAAAGTATTTTGTTTTTTTCAACAAATATACACCTCATTAAATTTGAAATTTGATTCAAATATACTTATATGTATGATTGAATTTTTTTATTTGTTTCTAATAATTATCATAAATTTAACAAAATTACAAATTTTATACATTTTCTTGGTGGCCCTAATAATTTGATAATTCAAATAATTTACAGTAAAGTTATTCCGGGATTCTAGCCAATGCTGATAACGTTGTTATCCAGTATATCTATAGAATATGAGTAATCAGAAACTTGAAGAACTTCTGATCCTTAAGGTAAAGAAATTGAGGTATTTAGGAGTATGGGTTACAATCTGTTGGAATTTAAAATACCAAATGGAGATTACCAAGAGGATTGTGATGCAAAAGGAAGCAAAACTTGGAATGGTTCCCAAGATCATTCCATTTAGAGTATTGGCCAAGCTTTGGTCTTTGTATGTGCTACCTCATATTAGATATACGAAGATGGCGATTTGGAAATATAAGAAATCAACGATTGCAGCTGCATATAATTAAAAGAAATTCATTAGAAGAATAATGGGTTTGAATAAGAGCTTTCCAAAGAATATTATGGATAATATTATAGGTAGAGTGAAGTTTGATGTAATAGAGAATGGATATGGGAGGAATTAGCTTAAGAGGTTCTTATTTAGGAAATACTTATTTCCGATTTCAATACTACCCGAGTATTTTACATTGTTTCAACTCATGTAACTTTTACAGTTATTACATCTGAAAGAATTGATAGATATAGGATGTAGGAGAGGCAATTCTATAAGAACAAGATTTCTTGAGATCCAACTGAATCAAATTTTGAAAACCTTTACGGTTACCAGTAGGAGTGGGGGAACCGGNTTAAATGGTTTAGATCAACATTATTCTTCACCTTTTTGATAATCAATCTTGTCATTATCATTGTCTATGCATTTGTATTTATACCAACTACAAAAAGATATTTGATCACAATCAATTTAATTATAATAGTCTGAGCATTTTTTATCATAACAAAGCTTTCGTTTCTCATCCCAATTGCAATACGAATTAGCGCATTTACCAGCCTCTTTAGCTTACAATGTAACACATGATGAGTCCCAACATTCGTTATTCCTCCAAGAACAAGCAACCTAATTTATTGTAGTAAATACAATTTGACAACATTTTTCCTATTGCAATTCTTCTGTGCATTTTCTGATTAAACATGAGGAAGAACTAGCTCCCCACTTACAATTTGCTGAAAAGTTGCATTCATTTTCAGTATTTAATTGATTGCATATGTTTTGACATTTTGAAATTGACCAATAATCCCATTCACATTTTTCATTTTCATTACACTATTTTTGATCTGTTATTTCATTACATTAACTGTTAACACAAGGTAATAAGGTATATATCCAAATTAGAAATATATTCATTATAAATATTCTCATTTGAATTATTAATTTATAAATATCGTTTAGAAGATATTTAAAGTATTTTGTTTTTTTCAACAAATATACACCTCATTAAATTTGAAATTTGATTCAAATATACTTATATGTATGATTGAATTTTTTTATTTGTTTCTAATAATTATCATAAATTTAACAAAATTACAAATTTTATACATTTTCTTGGTGGCCCTAATAATTTGATAATTCAAATAATTTACAGTAAAGTTATTCCGGGATTCTAGCCAATGCTGATAACGTTGTTATCCAGTATATCTATAGAATATGAGTAATCAGAAACTTGAAGAACTTCTGATCCTTAAGGTAAAGAAATTGAGGTATTTAGGAGTATGGGTTACAATCTGTTGGAATTTAAAATACCAAATGGAGATTACCAAGAGGATTGTGATGCAAAAGGAAGCAAAACTTGGAATGGTTCCCAAGATCATTCCATTTAGAGTATTGGCCAAGCTTTGGTCTTTGTATGTGCTACCTCATATTAGATATACGAAGATGGCGATTTGGAAATATAAGAAATCAACGATTGCAGCTGCATATAATTAAAAGAAATTCATTAGAAGAATAATGGGTTTGAATAAGAGCTTTCCAAAGAATATTATGGATAATATTATAGGTAGAGTGAAGTTTGATGTAATAGAGAATGGATATGGGAGGAATTAGCTTAAGAGGTTCTTATTTAGGAAATACTTATTTCCGATTTCAATACTACCCGAGTATTTTACATTGTTTCAACTCATGTAACTTTTACAGTTATTACATCTGAAAGAATTGATAGATATAGGATGTAGGAGAGGCAATTCTATAAGAACAAGATTTCTTGAGATCCAACTGAATCAAATTTTGAAAACCTTTACGGTTACCAGTAGGAGTGGGGGAACCGGAAGAGGAGATGGGAACGATAGAGGCTTTGGATGACAAGAACATGATATTTGGCCATGTAATGGGCCACCTGTTTGGAGAAGCGGGAGATTGGCAAGAGAAAATGGGGAAGATCCTAGATTACATAAAGAATGTGGGGGTCAAATTCTACTCGGTGTAAAAATTGATAATAGAGCAAATAAAAAAGATTGGGGCTAGGGCCAAGAGATTGATTGAAGAGGAATGTAAACCGTTTAAGAAAAAGAAAAAGAATCCAACTTTATAACATTATTATTCATCAACACCAATTATTATTATTAATATTAAATACATTGAAAATATATGGAGATATAACAATTATAGCATTTTTCAATTAATGAACGCGTTGGGATTTGAAAATTCTTAATTATAAATGAAGAATATTGGTAATAGAATAATATTTGTTCTTAGTTTTATGAAAATTCTATATTGCAGTTAATTAAAGTGTAAGTTTGCAAGATCAATAGGAGGATTGTTATTTTACCTTTTTATTAGAGAGAGAGAGAATTTTTCAATTTTTATATTATGAAATATAAAATACCCAAAGTGTAATTATTTCAGCATCGTATTATTAAATTATAAAATATGCCTGTCATTCACAAGCCAATATTGTGGATTTTTAATTAATTATAGCACTATGAACCGATATAGAAGTTAATTATCCGACAGAATCTGTCCATACTATAATTTTCACCAATGGTTCCTTTTATTATCAAAAATGACTGTGGATTTCCAATATAAAATTATCATAAGAAAAAATCACACAAAAAGAAATTGGCTCTTAATTAAAAATATAGAAACTCTTAAGAAACGAAATATATTTTATGTAAAATAAAAGATACTTTGAAAGATAATCAATTTCTTTCATCCTCAATTATAAATGGAGGAATAAGTGCTATTATTTTTATATAATAAAATAATAATATCAATCTAAATTTTCATTAAGTAATAAATAAATAGCTATTGTTAGGAATTCTTAATCATTCATCGATTTTATTATTAAGACAGCATTATCGAAACATATACTTCTTGTGAAAGTTATCCTTGAAACAGTAGATCTAATTTAAGAATTAACTTTATAATAATGATGATACTTTAGGATTTAAAAATATATTAAAATCTAGATTATATTAGTTCAATTAATATATAATGTGTATTGCCTTTTTATTATTTTAAAATTCACTCTCTTTTGGTGTTGTAGTAAGATTGAATAAATTATTTCGCAAAACTATATAATTAACCAAAATTAAATCTGATATATTCAACATTGTCCCTTTTATATCTTTGAATTATTTCATAGATTATTCCTGTCCCAAAATTCAGAAAAAATCAAGTATTAACTTACAGATTTTATTATTATAGTAGCCGAATAAGAAAAGCTTGGAATTCAATTTTGATCGTTATAACCCAAAGAAGAATAAAAAATTTCTTTCTAAGGTATAAAGTGAATCTAAAAGGTCCTTAGGGAATATTTCCATACAATAGCTGCTTAGAAAAAGACGAGGTAAAATTAAAAATCAAATACCTAAATAGCTCAACAAATGGATAAAGTTTATAATATCATATATTTTCATTAGAGAATTCAATATGTTCTTAAAGAGCTTTAATCTGGTAGGTCAACTCAGATGAAAAAGTCTTAAGCTATTTTATCCAAGTTAATAAAAAAGTATAACGTCCAAATCTAATAATAAAAGAGGATCCTTCTGGGGGCTTTTTCTACTGGAACAATGGCGAATTTAAATATACCAAAAGATAAGGAATCAATAAATGGGACTAAAATAGACCACTATATATCTTCCGAAATAAAGGATCAAATGTTTTCTATAGCAAGCAAATAGTAGATCTAAACAATAGAGTAAATAGCATAGAAAATGAATTTAATGTATTGCAAAATCTTGTCAAATCACTAATTTGTTTTCGATTTATTGAATTTATTTAATATTATATATTTAATTTGGATTTCAACTAATAGAAAAGAGAAAACATTATGTTTATATATGATTTAAAAAACACAAATCTTTTGAAAATAAGATTCAATTCTCTAGTTTATCCTAATTATTTAACAGTTTTAGCGTAATCCGCATAGAAAATCAAAATTATAATCACACAAATTGTTTTATGAACACAAAGCCATAGCTGCTTGTTTTTATCAACACGATGGCTGCAATTATTGCATTCCTTTTGTATAATGTCCTTTATCTGGATGGCTATAAGTAGTTATTTTTTTGCTTCTAAATTAGAATATAGAAACTACTTACCTCTTCTATTTTGATTGTCTTGGGTATCTCTTGCTTTAAAAAAATTTGGTCGATAATGTAAATTTTCCTGTAATTATTAACGAGCTTTTTTTTAATTTTTGATTTAAGTAAGTAGAATTTTTCTTTTCTTTATTAAGTATCAATATATATATATTTTCATTAATTTTTTTATCCAAGCGATAAATGTTTTTGTAGGATTTTTTCTCTTCTTTCAGATAAGACGAAGATGAATGGGACTAGGAAAATCAAATTTTCAAAAAATTATGCTATAAATCTGAGAGTTTAGATAGGTAAAATAACCTAGAAGTTTGTGGAGACTTGATGATTGTTCTTATAGAAAATAAATTATATAGTTTTGAAGAAATTTAGAATGAATTAATTGACAATTTAGAAGAAAAGAAGAAAGTGAATAATCTAGAACTAGATGATGTAATTTAATAACTTAGAATATTTTTTTAACTTTTGGAAATTAAGCAGAGAAAAAATAAAATTCCTATTTATTTTATTCAACAATTAGTAGATTCTGAAAAAAATCTCAATCAAGCAATAAATAACCTGCCATATTGGTAAAAGACAATAATATAAATTATAACTTAAATTTTACTCAAGTAATAAGATATTTTGAAGGCAACCAATAAAGAAGAACTCAAAACTTTGATCTTCCCTACTCATGAAGAATATCAAAAGTATATTTTAAAACTACTTTTAGATCTAGAATATTAGTTGGCCCGACCATATTCGGATTATAAAATGGAAATTTTATTTATATAATTGATGGAGTTTAAAAATAAGTAATTTTAATACTATGTCAGGGAGGAGAAATGAGGATGGGTAAAAAGAGAGGAGTTTGGAAAGAATATGGAATATTAGATGAAGATTTTCAAAATGAAACTTCTTTGAAAATCCAATTTAATTAAGGAATGATCACATATATAAAGGATGGAGAAATATTATCATAGTATAATTAGATATTCATCAAGATGTAATTCAATTGATCATGTTTTGTTGAAAAATATTTAATAAATCAAATTTCAAAGATGGAATGGAAATTATAACAATGGAAAGAAATCTGGAAAGTTTTAAATTATTTGGAAAGGTGAAAATTTGAATATTGGTGGGGAATATAATCAAAAAGGTGAGAAGTTTGGGTCATGGACTGAGTTATTCGAAAATTATGGAGAGTATAAATGTCATTGTTGATTATAGTAAATCCCAAGTTTATTATATTGGGGAATATTTGGATGGAAAAAAATATGGCTCATGGTCTCGATAATATGATGATGGCTTGAATACAATTACTTTGTATATATAATATTCAGCAATAGACCTTTGGGAATGTATAGCGAGGAAAGATTGAAAGATGGGGTGTGGTTGGAATTGCATGAAAAATTTTGGGAGTAAAATTTATATTTGAATTAAGTAATCATTAAGTCTTTTATACTGGATAGTATAATAAAGGAGTGAAGAATGGTTTTTGGGCTATGAAATAAAATTTAAATAATAGTAAAATAATGTAATTTGAATGCTGATTATCCATTAGAGGAGGAGGATTTTACAATCAAAAAGGAATGAAAAGTGGAGAATGGAATGAAAAATATTTTTGGGAGTAATTGATTATGATGAATTTTAAGCAATTTAGTAATCGAAGTTGGAGATTATGAAAATGGTAGAAAAATTGGAAATTGGTTTTCAAAAATAGAAAAGTTACGTACCAATATTTTTGCACTAGAGTCTTAATCATCACAACTACATTTTCATGGTGATTATAAAGATGGAGTAAAAGTTGGATTGTGGGATATCTTCTTTTAGGATGATGAGAATTATAAGTTAATGTAAATTTTAATATTTATTGTCACAGAGGAGGAGGTATTTATGATGATAAAGGTATGAAAAATGGAAAATGGATTGAATTCGATAAGAATTACAAATAGTAATTTATATTATAAACTTTCATCAGTAACTAAGTAGTCTGGGTTGGTTAATATAAGAATGGAAAGAAATTTGGTTCTTGGGAAGACAAAACCAAACATTATATATCATAAATTTATATACATTCAGATTTGGAGGCATGTACGATTCTAATGGAGTCAAATAAGGAAAATGGAGTTTACGAAATTAGTTAGTTACTGATCCTTTTTGCTATGATGATTATGATTAGAATGGATCTTATATTAATGGAATAAAAGTTGGAAAATATTCTGATCATTTTTTTAACATTAAGTTGTAAAATTGATATAAAGTTTTAGCTTTTAAGGCCAATATAATGATAAAGGAATGAGGAATGGTAAATGGAAGGAAATTAAAAATAAAGATAATCAAAAGTGTAAAATTATTTATGAAGGGGAATATGATAACGGTTTCTAAATTGGAAAATGGGAGATATATGATGATAACTATGATAGACTTCTGTAAATATCCTAAATTATTATTGCATAAAGAGGTGGTGGAACATATATTTAAGAAGGAATTAAGGATGGCATGTGGATTGAATTGCATGAAAATTTTTTTTAGTAAAAGAGTGTTTAGTATATTAGTCGTGTTGAAGTTAGATACGATGGATAATATTAAAGTGGTATAAAAATTGGAGATTGGATAATAAAGAAAAAAAATATGAAAAAAACTAATTATAAATAAATGTACTTATTTCGGTGTATTTTATTAGTGGAGGTGGTTAATACAATGATTAAGGGATGAAAATAGGGTATTGGGAATATCTGTCAAAATTTTAGTATTTTAAGTTGTAATTAAAAAGTTTTTGGAAAAATTTAATTGTCGGTAACTACATTCAAGGCAAAAAAATTGGTATATTCAAAGAAGAAAAGGCAAGAAAATTACTCTGATTATTATATAGAATTTGCAAGTTTCATAAATTATCACTGAATTCTAACAATTTTGATTAAATTTCTAACTAAGGTTTATGGCAATCCCGAAAATAAAATACCTTATCTAACATTATAATAATATATTTTTGTATATGATATATTGAGATAAAATGTTTCTTTCAAAAAATCATTCAGACTTTCAAGGATTATTATCAATTAAAAAAATAAACTGTATATTTATTATTCTCTTAAATAATCTGAACTTAAAATGGGACATGACCAATGGAAGTGAATGTTTGTGTCGAACTGGAGGAAAACCTAACTGTCATCAGGCCGAGCGATTTTAAATCCCTCATGCATGCATGGAGAGAAGGGTTATGATGTCTTTCGCCAAGATCATTAAAATTTCTCAGGATCCAATTGAATAAGTGAAAAAACTCTACTAAAGTCTAAGAAAAAATTAAAAGGACAATCCTGGTGGCATTATATATAAATTATGCAAACACAAATAAGCAAGATTAAATGTGAATTGATGATAACTATTTGCATTTCTCATTTCTTCAAAGGATTCGTAAAATAATAAAATCTCTATGTTTTTTAAGGTAGTTCTATTAAGATAAATTGATTAGCGATATCTAAGGATTTAAGAATGAATATCAGTTTTTCACTTCAAAATTCCACAATTCTCTATGTGATTGTGATTGACTTAGATTAAATTATAAACTATTTTCGTTCAAGGTTTAAGATGTAAAGAAAGACCATAATTTTGCTAATAAAATGAAGATGATATTAATCAGGAGAAGTATTTTACTGATAGATTTAGGACATCTTCGATCTTATATATTCTTAGGCTTAACTTTGTGTTTTACTTAAACTAACTCTATACTTAGGGGTCATTGCCTTAATATTTGATTTCCTAGATTACAACTTAGTTAATGTCTAACCACCACTTCCTCTCACTTAGTTATTGGATTTCCACAAGTTCCTACATTGAGATATGAAATCATACGAGACACAAGGGCATTTATCTCCTAAGTGGCTCATCCTACTACTGTAATCGAATACTTATTCTTTACCCTGTAATCATCATTCAGAATTTTCTTTCCCATCAAGTTATCTGAAAAAGATTATCTTTTTGAAACATAATAATCTCTTTTCTCGTCATATTACTTTATTCACCAAAGAGGTTATGGACGTAGATCACTGTTAAAGTAATTCATAAATGCTTTAAATATTTTTGTGGTAATTAGATTAGATTCATGCATTCAACTTGTTAAAGGGTGTTCTTAATTTGTATCTGTAGGGTAATCTTACATGTCATTTTTGAAATAAATATCTTTAAAATGGTAACTCTTGAAAATATACATATGATTGTATCTATTTTAAGTGTTTGGGGGAGAGAAATTTTAAGGGGAATAAATTTTAGGAGATATATTGAAGGGTCTGAATTATCAACTTGTAGGTATAGTAGAGAACAAATTAAGAATTATTTGTTAAACTTGCCACAAGGTAATTGTAAACTATAACCCTAAAAAAGAGGTAGTAATACTATCAAATATATATTAAGTAATAATGGTTGATAAAATGAAAAATTGAAATAAGGTTAGGCTTAAAATTCAAATATAGGACAACGCATTTAAATTTCACGTCATGAAAAACGAATAATAAATTTTGGTGAATATTTCATAACTCAGTTAATGATACGACTAAATTGGTATCTTCATTTAAACTGAAAAATGGTTTAGGAAAATCGTCTTAGTAAGATGACTATTAATACTTAGGGTTAATTTTTAGCTAATTTAATCTATTTTTAATATTAACTATTATTTTTTTAACTATACTTTTTCCTTGTTAGATGGTAAGTAATTTGGATAGATTTATAGAGCCTTATCAAAATACACAATTACTTTTTATTATCTTTATAACGATTGAATTAAAAATATAATGACTATTACCTCTCCACTTACATCTGATGAGTAGACTTCTGAATCCAACTCAAGCAGGAAAGGAAGGGTTTAGAACTCGAGCCCAGTTTAAAGCCAAGGCTTACCTCTGTGACACAGGGCTATCCGCAGTCCGGGTGTAGTACAGCCTGGGCGCAGGAGTACAAGCGAAACAAGAAGTTGAATAAAACATTAAGAGAATCAGTTATATGACTTAGATTAAAAGATAGGTAGTCAAGGAAATGAAGTTTGTTTAACTGAACATGAAGGTTCAAGTCCTTTGAAGAAGGTACCGGCGAATTCGATTGGACTAATTGAATCTCGTCTACGATACTTTAGATTTGGCAATATCCAGATCAACACTAAAATATATGGTGAAGTTAGTAATGATAATAACCATGACAAATGACTAGTGCTCCTACTTTAAGTGAAGGTAATTGATGTCCAATCAGCGAATTTGAAATAATAATCTGGTATCTGAATTAGATACTGAAATATGATTGGATGGCAGGATTAACTTTTGATAGACTGTGATATGTCCATACATCAATTATTATTATCATTATGAAATAGATTAATTAGGCACACTAATTTATTTTGGTGACCTAAAGTAGGATATTTCACTTCTTGATTTTAGTCAAAAAATATGTAAGTTATTTATGGGATGCATTTTTTTCGAATTTTTACTATTGATATAAATTATAATTGATTAAGTCAAATATTTATTTTTCATCTTTATTAAATAATTCACATTAAATGTGATTTATGCATTTATAGTTTCATTTCTTCTCTCTGCTTGGTACTTTGTACTTCTATAAAAAATATCAAGTGCTATTAGTTGAACTTTACAGGAAAATTTAATTAAGTTTATGTTTTTCTAATCTTTAATCGATGAAATACAACGAATATAAGAATTTTCTTTATTATGCTCAAGGGCTATTCTTCGCGGTAAAATACTATTACATTCATAATCAGAAGCATTGCATAGTAAAAAACTAATTAAAGGTAATTGTTATTTGTGTGATATAATTATTTGATCTCTCTAATCTAGAATTATTAAGATTTATTTTTTAAATTAATATAAATTAAGCTATAGAAATATTTAGAAAACAGATGATTAATGAAATTAAATTAACATTTTAATAAAGAAGTAGAATTGGGATTATAAAGAGTGAGAAAATAAGAGAAGAATGCATACCTACAACGAGGAAATGAGAAAGTTTAGAATAATATTGTTAATAATCTTTTTAATAATTTATGCCTATTATTAATGACTACAGTATCAGAAATCTAGAATGTTCTTATAATAATAATAATTTTATTACTAATCTTTAACTTAGATGGACTCTCATATAATTATCTAGGGCCAAAATTTACTTTGCATGTCTAGGTCAATGCTTCGTTTCAAGAATAATCTTTAATAACATTGGAAAACTGTCATTTAAAATCCAAATTATGGATTTTAAGTTTCTCTTATCTTAGTGAAACATTCTCAAAGTTGTTTACTATGGAACTAGCAATTCAGACCACCAAACTCACAAGTATATTTTGAAAAATGAGAAGCTATTGAGTTACTTGCCATTAAAGTTATACAACTCTACTGATTAATCGTCTTAATATTTATTTTAGCAATTCAATTATCAGACAATTATATTATGATTCTTTTTGGCAAACAGATATTTGAAAGAACATCAATAAAATCATTTGCTGGTTCATTAAACGTGATAAAACACATCTAAACTATTTATTTGAGAGAAATTTGTTAAAAGGATATTCTATCCACTTCATCATAATAATAGACTGTCGCCAGGCTTCGAATATATTATAATAGTTTCAAACAAAAATATGAAATCTTAATTTGCTTTAAAAAGCAAATTTAATTCATTGTATCAGATTTAATAATATCCACTGAAAAACAATAGGAATTCCAATATAACTTGCATTTTATTTGAAGAACTTATCCAAAGCTGAAAGTACAATTTTAAGTATAAATTTATAAGATATTATATTCTCTAAAATTTAATAAATAGAAATGTTTAAGAATGGACATAACAAAGGAGATATGTTATAATATTAACACTTCTTCAAAAAATAACATAAACAAAATAGGTTTTCATTATAAGAAATCTAATATTACAACATTATGAACCAAATTATTTTTACACCCGGGATTCAAGATTTTTTATTACCTTGCTTATGTAAAAATAGGAAATAAGTTTAATATATTATTACATAATCAAGATATTTAGCTTACTTCAACTATTATTTTTAAGACAAGGTACTCATTTAAAATATCTTCGATTATCCTAAGTGGTAAGTTAATAAACAAAGATTTCTGTGTATTCTTCTTTAATTTTGTTTCAAATAACTTGTATTAATCAATAAATTTATCCTCATCAAGTTCATGCATGGCAAAATTATTTTTGGCAATCTTAAAATAGCCTCAGCTTTATTAGCCAATATATTATACCTTTTAAATAATATATCATTTATTCCTTTTTTAAGCAAAATTACTCATTTCAGAAGAAATGAAGGGCAATATAGGAATATATAAACATACATTGAATGAGTAAAATAGATAGAAATAAATTAAGGCATTAGTGAAGTTCTGTAATTTCATAATTTTTACTTAACCAAGGTTACCTACCTTACTTTAATCAATATATATGGGTTTATTTCTATATTTTATATAATACTTAAAAATTAATTTCTCTAATTCATCTATTTATCTAATTATATTAATAATGAATACTTGGTTAATTTGTGTTTAAACCCATTATATCAGGCATGTTGTTTGTTTGAATTATAGTAATGGATGCTAACTACACCAAAATACTTGCAATGGTTATAGAAGTTTATCAATTGTGCTGATGCGATATGTATAGATAGCTTTACTTATTCTGACTTATGTAGGTTTATAAATGTATCATAATCAAGGAAGCTAAATTCTACTCTTAACTAAGGTAGTATAAATAAGCTTCTATAAACCAAATTAGGGTGCTTTTATTTTTAGTTCTAAAATTAGTAATTCTAGGAGTAAGAGGAAAAAATATTCCCAAAATTGAACAAATTATCAAAATATTAAAAGAAAATAACATATAATTATAACTTAAAAAATAAAAACTTTTAGTAGGGAGACTTTAATTCCAATATAACTAGGTGTGTCAATCCATTTATGAGGTTGACACCAAAATTATCAATTGTTAATTAACTTTGTAAATCAGCCTAGTGAATTGGATTATGAAATACCAGAAGACACAAAATCCATGTTTAATAGAAAGAGAGTAATTAATCAAGAATGTGATAAAGTACTTTAGTAAAAGGGGTGATTTATTAACTTTCATTAATTTAGAGACTTTCCAAGTGAAATACTTGACCTTTATGAATTAAATAAGGAAATTAAACAATTGGGGAAGTTCACTTTATGCTTCAGATCAATATTTAACCATGTTCAACCTCAAAACAGAACAACTGCAACTATTGAGAAGATTTATGATCGAAATGTTTTCATTACACTATGGACGATAGGAGGGACATAAGTAATCTTTGGGAAAAATAAAGAACTCAAAAAACGATTCTAAAGAGAAGAATCCGACTATAGATTAAAATGCCAAAAACTCTGGTTGAATCTCTTAGAAGTTTAGACTAGAGTAAATATTTATAGAGGAAAACAATGGAACTCCAATTAAGATTTCAAAGAGAGGATTATAGAATCTAAATTACGAGATAGAAAAGAGAAAGTTCTTAATGCTTTAAGGATAATTAACTCAATTTATAGACGTTCCAAAAGTAACACACTCACAATTGACTACTGCTTAAATGTATTAGGTTCTAATGGACGCTAACGTATTTGGCGAATAATACAATGAATATGAAGTTGAAATTATTAAAGAAATGATGGAATGGAGTAAATAACACAAATTGAAGATGCATCAAAGGAGAAGGGATTGGATTATCTGGATAGGAATTATTATCAGACGTATTAATTTACTTGGATAATTAGTAAATTCTGCTATTATTAGGCACCGTACGTCAAATGCACACATGACTAAATCTAAGATGTTAGATAATATGATATCAAGGTGAATATGCTTCATAAAGATCAAAGAAAGAAGCTTGATCTGGAAAAGGTAACAGTGTAGGAAGAGAGAATCAAAAAATAAAGTCTTAAGAGACAAACTTGATTAATATATTTTGAAAACTCTCCTAAATTGAGAAATGAGTAACAGTACATAACAATATCTGAATTTCAAATCCTTCTAATGTTCACCTAACTAGGAGTTTCAACAAAAGAGGGGCTTAGGATACATTTAATGCAAAAAGGAAGCTACATCAGGTTAAGAAATAAAATAACATATAAATTTTTTGCCAAAAACTCTCTCAACCACTTTATCAAGCATTCTTATAAAATTGAAAGCCAATTTTATGCATCGCAACTACTGAGTATATAAGAGCTTATTGAATGACTGTTAATGAAAGGATGCTGCCTAAATTGACATGAATTGCGAAGCTAGATAAATTCATGTTTTTATTAGCTAAGATTTTTCCTGATTTTCAGATTGTGCAGTTGAATTCAAAAATGCTGATGTACCTTAGGATAGATATGTTAAATTTGTGGATTACTCATCTAATCTTAGCAATTCTAGACGGATATTTTCGTAGAGGCCTGGCCATTAGAACAGTTGCCATAGATTTAAGAAAGAAATATAGTACAATTATCTCAAAAATTCTTTTTGATGATTCATTTATCATCAGTAAATTAAGCTTGCCCTGCTAATTAGGTGATCCACTTTTGTAGTCTCTATTATGAATATCTTTAATATATAATTTAATTTTAGAAGCAAAGATTAAGCTGAAATATTGCAATTCATTTATTAAAGTTCATACAGACTTGAGTCTTATCAATGCATAATTAGCAATCATAATTTATGATCACTATTTTAGTGTTTTTCAAAAAATTAGCTAGTAACACAATTTAATAACTATGAGAATGAAGAATTTAAAAATTATATTTTCTTGAAGGGAGGTCCTTAAATCTCTCTTCTTCTTTGATCAAATATATTTTAGTATTACTTTTATGAAAATAAGATATAATCAATCTTAGGATTTTAAGTTATTCAAAATATTTTTGTGCTGCTTTTAAGGTAAACAGTACCAAGATTGTGATATACTAAATTGAATAGGTATTTTCAATTCTAGATTAAAAGGAAACACAGTTCAAATTTTACGTATATCGTTAAGGTATTTCTTTGTGTCAAAAAGGATAATTAAACCAAAATACCAACCTCTTTATATTCTTAGCTCATATGAAATCAAATTTGACATCAATTCAAGTAAAATTGTACATAAGAATATATTGTTTATGAATTCATAAGACAAAATTTAAGAATTTGCAGTGATTAAAAATATTTAAAAATAGTCTGTGTTTGTTTTTGAATTTCCAGAAAAACACCTTTTTAATAGTTTTGACTTTTTAATTAATAGATGAAAATCAAATTCTTATTGATCACTCATTATTTGGTTTAAGCTTCTCTTAATTAAACAGCAATTCATCTGAAAAATGCTAATTGTTTTATCAATTTTTTCATTTGAGTTTTAAAAAAATGGGATTTTTGTTTTATTTATTAAACAAATGGTGTCTTCTAACAGTTATGTCCTAACATAAGATTTCAGCTCATAAGTTCTGTCGGCAGTATCATTTTGTGCAATCCAAATGGACCTCTGGTAAACCAAATGATCGCACTTAAAATTGCATCTTATAGAGATCCTCTTGGTTTGTAGTATTCACCTTTAGGATCATAAATAAGTTACCCTTTATAAGTATATTTGGTCTAAACAAGAGTTTTCCAAAGAATTCCTGGTTAAAAGTTAAATGAGCAAAGGCTTAGAGCAATTTCGTGTAATAATTAAAAGAAATTAATTTTAAAATATCAACAATCATATTTGATATTTTCTTTTAAAGATGGAATTTCTTAATCGGTATTGCATTGTAGCAGCTTAAAGCTTCATTTCCTAAAGTAAGAAAGAAATTTTGATGATCTTTATATTTTATTAAGGTTATAATTATGGAATTTGATAATTTTATAGAGAGCAAGAATTATCCTATCCTATTCTTAATCAAAACATAGCTTTCTCTTCTCAAAAGATTCCTTATATTATAAAATAGAAATTTTTATTCGAAATCAGATTAATAAAGTAGTAGTAGATTATCTTTAGGAATATATTTGAATGCTTATAGAAAAGCTATTAAGTTAAATCCAAAGTTTGCGATCCTACAAAATGTAATTCCATTTCTCAAAATCTAATCAGATAAATTCTTACTATAGAATTTATTCATTAAGCTGTTTAAAAGTTAAAACAATGTATCACTCTCTGCTTCCTAAAATGCTAATGAGTATTATAGAATGTGTTTTAAATAATTTCATAATTACAAATAAATCCGATTAAATTCTCGAATTATGTTGTTAATATAGAATGAATATCTTATTTTTCATAAACATCAACTTATTTCTCAATTTGGAAAATATTTATAGCATTCATTTAAATTAAGAATTTGTCTTTTCCAGTTGTGTAAAATCTTTAAATATCTTTTGATAATCAATTCATTCTAGTTAGTCGATACATGAATATCTTGATTTGAACTTACTAAATTTTTGAAAAAAGTAACAACCACAAGCACTCAATCACTTATTATGATAATCAGGTAGTTCTGGAATTTATTTTTTTTTATTCCAAATTTATTAAATATTCTCCCCATACACTTTTATAATGTAGTTATTTCTATTTCTTAATTAAGCGTATTTTTACTTCTAAAATCAATATTTCTTCAAGATTTATAATCTTATAAATACCGTATTAATTTGTTTTATTCATCTTACAATCAAAATTGATAGCGGATGCACTTTTAAAATTTTTATTATCATAGATATCTTTCATTATTAAGAACCTTAAATGACCGTAGATTTTCTACTATTTTATTTTATATGAAAAAGACATTTTAATAAAATGAGACTTAAAATTGCATTATCATAATCAAATAAATCAGGCAAGATAATTAAAAAAAAGAAGAAATGACAAAAAAAAATGATAATTGATTAAAGAAATTCTTGATAATTAATTTTCAATTTAAAATTGTTTTTTATTAGGGTTGCAAAACATAACATCTAGATTATGTAAATAGCTATTTTAAATCAATACCTTAATGAGTTATAAATTCTCCTTTAAAGATTAAAGCTCCATATGCTTAAAACACAGGATATTGATTAATAAGGAGAGTTGTAATGATTGAGCTGACTAAATAAAATGAAAATAATACCACCTTCTTAATAAAAAATGTTTGGAAAAACTAGTTCTTCAAATTTAGTAACAATATCTTTTTAAATTTAATTTAAGTGTGAAATTTGTCGCTCCTTTTTAACATCCCATAATCGTACAGATTTATCTTGGCTTCCAGAAGCTAATTAAGTACCATCAGGAGAAAAGTCTACTGATAGTACGCAATCATTATGACCCTCCAACTTTGCCTACTATTATCTTGTTTGAAAATCCCATAAACGTATAGATTTATCATCACTACCAGATGCTAATTAAGTACCATCAGGTGAGAAGCATAATGAACGAATATGATCACTATGTCCCTTTAATTTAGATATTTATTGTCCAGTCTTGAGATCCCACAATCCGATAGTTTTATCAGCGCCTCCAGATGCTAATGTTGTTCCATCACGAGAGAAACAGACAGAATAAACTGAATTTGAATGGCCATCTAATTTGGCTTTTTATTATCCTGTCTTAACATCCCATAAACGGATAGTCTTATCGCTACTACCAGATGCTAATGTAGAACTATCAGGAGAGAAGCAGACTGTGTTGACATTATTAGTATGACCTTGCAATTTACATATTTATTGTCCTGTCTTAACATCCCAAAAACGGATCGATTTATCACTACTCCCAGATGCTAATTTTTTACCATCAGGAGAAAAGTTGAGTGAATAAACCCAACTACTATGGCCATTTAATTAAACCTTTTATTGCCCTTTTTTAACCTCCCATAAACGAATAGAACAATCACTACTACAAGATGCTAAAATATTACCATTAAATGAGAAGCATAACGAGTAGACAATTCCACTGTGTCCGTTTAATTTAAGTTTTTATACTCCAGAGTTAACATCCCATAAAAGAATAGAATGATCATAACCACCTGTTGCTAATGTAGAACCATCAGGAGAAAAGCATACTGATTGGACAGAATTACTATGTCCTTCTAAATAAATATTTTGTTATCCTGCCTTAAAATCCCAGAAACGGATAGACTTATCTCCACTACCAGATGCTAATTTTGTTCCATCAGGAGAAAAGCATAATGAATAGACATAATCATTATGACCATTTAATTTAGATATTTATTATCCAGACTTAACATCCCATAAACAAATAGATTCATCAGCACTCCCAGAGGCTAATTTAGTACTGTCAAGTGAAAAACATACTGATAGAACTTCCTTATTATGGCCATTTAATATAAACTTTTGTTAACCTGTTTTCACACTCCATAAACGGATAGATTAATCTTTACTATTAGAAAAGCTTCCACTACCAGATGCTAATGTAATTCCATCAGGAGAAAAGCACAAAGAATTTACACAGCTCCTATGGCCATCAAGTTTCATTTTTTTTTTTTTTGTCTTAACATCCCAAAAACGGATAGACTTATCACCACTTCCAGAGGCCAATGTGTTACCATCAGGAGAAAAGCATAGTGAATGTACACAACTAGTATGACCATTTAATCGGGTTTTTTATTATCCTGTCTTGACATCCCATAAACAGATAGATGTATCTTAACTACCAGATGCTAATGTAGTACCATCAGGAGAGAAGAAGACTGTTTTGACATTAGCATGGCCATGTAATTTAGATACTAATAATCCAGACTTCACATTCCACAAACAGATAGATTTATCACTGCTTCCAGATGCTAATGTAATACCATCAGGAGAAAAGGATAACGATTAAATATAATCTCTATGACCCTCTAATTTGAATAATTATCTTCCTGTATTAACTTCCCATAAATAAATTGAGTCATCTCTGCCACTATAAGGACTTCCACCACCAGATGCCAATGTAGTGCCATCAGGAGTGAAGCATAATGAGTTGACACTACCCAAATGGCCTTCTAATTTATGTAACTCATTTATCTTTAAATTGTTCCATTTACAGTTTAATAATTAAGCTCCATTTAAATTTATCCCACTTATATCAACGTTGTTAAATTCTGATCCATTTAGATTACATCTTACGAAATTAGCTCCAATTAATTAAGTATTTTTAATCCTAATATTTTCAAAAGATTGGTTTCTCAAATCAGCTTTCATTTCAACTAATATATTTAGTGAGTTTGATCCACATTAGATGAATTTTTCATCTACAGCGGTGAGATGAACTAAAAATTTTAGAAACTCAATGACCTTCTTTTCGTTAATCATTTTTTTAATTAGATCTCCTCTAATTATCATACTTCCTGCAGCTGAAAAATCATTTTTATTAAAGTCATGACCTTTTAGTTCTTTGATAATATAAATTATTTTCTTAATGTTATTTTTTAAAGTTTTTAACTTCTATTCCTTATCTATGTGTGATAAGCTCTCTACTTGTAAAATATGTTTTTAGAAATGGTCTTGATTCTCATTATTTGAAAGATATTCTAGGCAGTCTTAGATTTTCTCTTTTCTAAAAATGTCAATTATAAAGCTTGATATCTATTCATCAATATCTTTTGATTGAGTTAAAACGTCCCATAAACCCTTTTTTTTTTTTAATTAGCAGAACATTGTCTTTAAAAAAATTAAACTTAAATTTCTATTAAATTTTTCGTTCAAATAGTATTGAACAAAAAAGTTATAACCTATTGATGTTAAAATAGCAGATTGGGCTTTATTGTTATTACCCTAAAATAGCATGTATAAATAATATGCTTATGTATAGATTGATTGGTTTAAATTCTAAAACAAAAGCTCTATTCTTTAGAAAAGTAATTTATTTTTAGAGGTATATGTTAAGGGAAATTTCAGAATACAATGAAATAAGAAGATGGAACTATTTTATAAAATAAATTAATTCAAAATAATCCACAAAAAAACTATTATGAATATAAACCTTGTAATATTATATAAAAATTAACATCAAAATATGATTTGATTCATAGAACTACAAGGGTATAATGATTAGAAACGCTAGAATTGAGAAACCTATCGTTTATCTAATTTATGTTTTTTTGTCAAAAACATCTTTTTTGATATTTATGAAAATTTTATTTTACATGAGTTTAATCTAAACATTAATTCCTGCCTAAGACGTATGATCTCCATAGATTTTGTCAAACGTTTCGGATATTTTGAGTTGATATTTTTAGGTTTTATAAAATAATAATGTTCATTTAAATTATTTTCTTTGAAGGCAGAAAAGAGTTTATCATATTTAAATAAATATCAAGCTTATTTGTGGAACAGGGTAAGATAAAATCAACAAATTTTTAAATCACAATAATTTTAAACTGGCCATAAATTAAGTGGTATTATGAGAAGATAATTTAAAATGATCATGGAGTATTAGAAAAATTCATAATTCGTCCAATTTTGTAATAAAAAAATCCAATGACACGACCTGAGATGATCGATTGAAATTAGAACAAAGAATAATAGCTAATGTGTTAAAAATATTGATTTTGTTCTAAATATTAACTAAATTCCTTATTTTTCTAACAAAAATAATATTAAATTATAATGATAGTGAAAGTGTGCATATATGGTTTTATAGTAATTTTGAATAGCATTTTAAGTTTATTATTTTTAATAGTGCAAAATGTATTTCCTAAAGTCCTAAATATTACTATGGAATAGAATTTATATCCATTATTAGATTAAATAAGTAAAAACAATGGAATATAGTTAAACTATGCATTTCATCATAGATGAATTGATAATGTTTAAATAGAATAATTTAATTAAATATTTATTTTTACTAATATGAAAAGCATCTCTTATTATTGCATTTTTGGTTTATTTAAAAAGAAATTGAGCTATTATATTTTCTATTTATTGAATTAGTATTAAATTTCATACTATATATTTTATTTGATTATTCATTCTCATCATTAATTTTATTTATTGTAATTCATGTACTATTTTCATAGAAGAGTTATTTTTCATCTTAAGATATCTCCTCTTTCCTCAAAGTGCAATATTGTTGACTTTTTATTAATGCATATTGTCTAATTTCTTCAAATATTTAGTGTGAAAAATGTTTAATTCTTTATTTCATAAATAAATAAAGTCCATTTTCCTTAATATATTCTGTTTCATTAATGATAAACTATCTTACAATTTCGGTTGATTAATAATCAAAATTAATATAATAAATGGGAATTTTTGCAAATTTTTCATATATTATATTTCTTTTCTATGAATATTTCTTTTAATATTTATTTCAGCATTTTTAAATATTGTTATTTCCTCTTAAACAATAACTTATATATTTAGTTAATTAATCCGCACTTTGTTAATTTTTTACTCTTTGAATTTAATTTAAATTAATGAAGATCCCTTCTTGTGTAGAGAATAGAAAGTTATTAAAAGATTATAAACCCAATTATCTCTACTATCCTAAACTCTATCAATAGCAAGCATATTTACGATCGCGGTGTTCAACAAG